CAACCCCCCCCCCCCCCCCCCCCCCCCTTTTTTTTTTCGAGGGAGGAAATTGCCCCAACTGACTGATTGTACCGCAGGTGGGCGGATCCCTAGGTCATGCCAGCAAGCGACTGGCACAGCAATTCCCAAAACTGCGCTTCATCGTGCAAGATTTCGAAGTTACTTGCCAGAAGGGGGAAGCTGCATTGCCGGACGAGCTTCGATCCCGGATCAGCTTCCAACCATTCAACATGTTTGAGCCTCAGCCAGCGCTCCCCGACAGAAAGGTCGTGTATTTATTGTGCTGGATCCTCCACGATTGGTCCGATAGGGAATGCTCGCAGATTCTGAGGAGCATTGCACAGGGCATGAAACCTGGAGATCATATCATCATTAGTGAATTTGTTCGACCCGAGCCGGGCGCTGGATCACTGTGGTTGGAGCGAGCCGTGAGGTATGCTAGTTTCTTGTGTTCATATGTCTCTCCTGGAGTTTTTTATCCTGCTTTGAAGAACTAATTGAGCCACAGCCGATCCGATACATACATGCTTTCTGGGAGCAACGGCCGCGAACGGACGGCCGCGCAGTTTGAGGCCCTGCCACGGATGGCGGACCCTAGGTTGAGATTGGCTAAGATAACGCTGCCCAGTGACTCTTGGACAAGTGTCATTGAAATAGCTTTTGACGAGGAGAAGAAAATGTATTAGACAGTTAGCTGATGTCTAAAGATTTATACCTTGAGATAGGTAGCTTGGTAGGAGGATATTGGAAATATGTTTACTGATGGAATTACAAAGACTTTATTCGGGTATTTTTTTCAAGAAAAAGATTTCGAGTCTCGAAAATTGAATTGCTAGTTGAATAGTTTACGTCGGTTAGACGTGCATAGTTGACCTTCGACGGACATTTGAGAGAAACATAATCCTACAGCAAAGGTGTAAATGTCCCAAATCCGAACCAAGTTGCACAGAGCATAGACAAGCAGCAGTCAGCCCAATACATGTTGAATGCATGCGCTCCCACAGATTCCCGCATACACTTCACCCAGGTATAAGTTGTGCCTATCACATGGACCGCAACAAATACCAGTTTACCTAGCGGTAATACATCGTCAAGTAAGGCCCCGTCCGCTCACTATACGAAAAAGTCATGATGCCCTGCAGATCAGTAGTCTTTTGCACGTCCAGTCCAGGTCTATTCCCAGTATTAGCTTGTCACCCTCGCCCGTCTCTGGATTTCCATCCAAGAACTTACATGTACGAGGCCAAATTATCAACATAAGTCTCTGCATGCCCCGCCCAGCCTCTCCGGCGAAAGAACTCCACCAATGCATCTGCAATGACCATATCGCTCAACCCCATGAGGGGAATATAGATCTTCGGTGCAGGGAGCGGATCTAGCGGGTTCAGTTCGAAATTGAACAGAATGGCACTCTCGAACGGCGGGTCGCCAAGCACAGGAGGCCGAGTCGACGAGCGAATCCCCTCAGGGACACCCAGCGCCTCCCACAATTCCCGAACCATGGCCAGGCCCGTAAGAATTTCATCGCTGTCCAGCCGGCCCCCAAGCGTCCACACCCGTCGGACATTATCGAACGTGACATTCTGCTCCTGGACGTAGATCTTGAGCCGTGTTGCCTCTGGCCGCACAAGGTCACACCCGAAGGTAAGGACCGTGGGCGAGTCGGGAGCAGTAATCAGAAAGTCCCGCAGGACTGTCAGCGGTGCGTGGAACGCGCCCCGTGTGTCCCACTTGGCGAGCTCGGTAAAGAGTAATTCAGCCGGAGTGATTCCCAACACGGCGGCCTTGAGGGGCGGCACCAGGTAGAGCTTGACACCAAAGTCCCCGTCTTTGAGGTCAATCGCGAGCATGAGTTGCGCGGATATGGGTGATCTCAGCGCGGGGCTAGACGCGGGGAGCAGGGCTTGGTCGCTTTCAGTGAGGGTGAGCTTGGGGGTCAGCGTGTGGTAGAGTTCCAGGTCAATGTTTTTGCTGAGGTGCTTGAGTGTTTCCAATGCGTTGCTTGTCGTGGAGTATTGGAAACGGGTGGTGCCCTTGTAGACGGACCTGTAACATCGGGGTTCTAGGCCGACGCGAATGGTCGCTCCGTTCTTGGTGAAGTTTTGGCTCAATTCCAGATTTCCGGCGCCGCCGATAAGGGTGGAGCACAGTTCGGGCTGTCGGTCGTCCGGAAAGGGTCCCAGCATTGGGATGATGTGCATCCCGAATTGGCAGAGATACTGGTATTGTTGGTGGACGTCGTACTCTGCGCGGAACAGCATCTCACCGAGGATGGGGGCCGTTTGGTGCCACCAGCGGTCTTGGTCGAGATTTGCAAATATCAGACATTTGCTCAGAGAGTGGTACGGTCTTGTCGCGGGGATCAGGGCAGATCGTTTGCACTGCGAGGCGAGTGCTTCCTCTGTATACGCGTATGACGACATCGCTTGGTGTGGAATTGGTTGTTCTTGATGTGGAAAATGAACACGGTTTGATGAACTGTATAATATGACTGAGGAAAGAATCGTGGAATACGCTGCAAGATATGGAATTGCCTTCGACTATGTGTGACAGCCTGAGTGAAAGTTACAGTCATAGATATATAAATACTCGCTTATATGCGAACCGTAAAGGCCAACCCTAGTAGTAGGATCGCTGGCGTCGGCGATCAAAGAAGTGTGCACCTTCCGGAAATTATACATTACTACTAGGCAAGATACCACTTCAATCAGGGATATCTTGCTGTCGCAGCTCCGGAAGTCCCGGGGATATGAGAGAGGTGGGATGGTTTCAGTTGTGGTGATTACCTAGTGTTCGCGAGGAATGATTCTCATAATCGACACTGACCGCTGCAACTTCTGGATGTCATCAGTTGCGATACTGGCTGCCAAGTCTTGTCGAACTTTATCAGATGATAATAATCATAGATGTTGTCACTCACCTTTAACTCAAAAAATCACGGTGGCCGTTTGTTGCATTGGACGAGACCGGCGATCCCTGACCGGCTTAGATTAGGCGTTGCGAGGATTCCAAGCTGAAGCCCAACAGGTCTGACACTACCAGACACTAGACACGCTGTTGTTATCAAAAAATATTATGATCCAGGGGACAAGCCAATCGGTTCCTTCTCGGCCAGTAATAAGGGCGAATGAACATATTGCACACACATCAATCAGGCTCACGGATCCAGGGGTTAGCCGTGCGGATGAACCAGACGATTTTGGAATCTTGTAAGACACAACACTAGGAAGATGGCTTCAAACATGCACTAGGCAAGCCAATAAACTTGATTACAATTATCTCACTCCGTCAATCCCCGGGTATATCTCACACAGCAGGATCTTTCCGTCAGGAATTGGCCCGGGTTGAAGCAGCCACAGCCCGAGCGTCACACCGTACGGAATTCAGTAGTGGTCAGCACTTACCTTTCCTCTGACTCATCGGTATGATTTTGCTATCAAGGATTGCATGTCTCGTTGGGAGAGTTCGGGTAGGGGAGAAAAACCCGCGGTTTCACTCCGCTGACGAGTCAAAAAGCCATTTCGTCATAGAAGCGCAAGCCACGATATCGCTTGGCGATCCATTGAGCTGTTTATAGAATTCTCTCTCATGTGAGACCAGGTTGATATTGATAAAGTATCTTCATCACACTGGGACCTCCCAGTATTCCATTTTCATAAAGTTTTTGATGGTCACCCGCATAGTGGCGTTGGGAAGATGCCTTGCAACGCTCGTTGGTCAACTGCAGTCAGAATGTCAATACTTGGTGATATGAACCTGAGGTGATGGAACGAGGGAAAATATCCCACGAGGCTTTTCACACCAGAAAAAGCAGTAGATGCATGCATCTTGTCGAAAGTTCTACTATTCAAAAGGCTAGGTTGCACCCTGTTTTCATTTGGCCACATTAGGAGGTCACACGATGTGTTACGAACTCAACCCGGTTCTGGAAGCATTTTGCAAAGAATGTGAAGCATCTTGCAGACAAAACATGTTGCTGGAGCCAAGATTATCTGGCCAGGCCCTGAATATTACCCCAATTGTTACGTGACACTGATATTGGATTTTTCTTCTACCTTGATTCCAGCGTTCCCATCAAGCAGAATGTGACTGCTCAGCGGTCCAAGAGCGTGCTATAGACATTTCAATTACAAAATATATATTGGCTGTTGCCTTATCAACTTTGGGAATTTTCAGAACAAAGCCAAATTATACGCTACAGGTAAATATCAGGTGCTTTTATCTTCTCACGTCAATTTTCTCCCCTGTCCCTAAAGTGCTACCACATTTAGCTTCGGGTGTTGTTAGCCTGGCCTGTAGAATTACACATCTACAATGAACATTTTACTTTGATACAACACTGACTTACTTCGAACTAAAATGCAACGTTGGTATTGAGCTTGGGTTTCCTCCAGGATGAGTGTCGTGCGTCCGGATCCCTAGACTTAAAGTCATCCAAGATACCCCTGCATCTGAATCATGTCCTGTTGACATCGAGGCAGCTAGAATCATAAGATTTCTCATCACATTGAAGGAAGTACGGATTAGGAAGGAAGATCCGCTATTCTATCTGTATACGATTCAAGCCATTCACTAATGTGTTCTTAGGCGCTCCGCCAAAATGCTGAACAGCGTTACGTATCGGGCTTGACGTGATTGATATCCCCAACAAGTAGTATTATCCCCTACATCAAAGGGGTACGGGTAATTCTGTCAAACATCAATGACAAGAAAGTACAATCATTTATACGCGTAGAGTATCCTGAGAACCCCAATATCGAGTCAATGTTTGTATCCCTAGCGCAGGCGCAGCAACAGCAGGGCGATTAAGATATCTGGCACGACAAGAGCGTGTTGAAACACATGGTTAGGGATTATGTCACTGTGGATGTCCGCAGAAACACGACCATATGTTAAATTAATGCTCCCATGAACACTCTATCATGTTGACCCATTTTAGACAATATATCTCCATAAACTATCCAGCACTTCTGAAAGAGCAAGTTCGATGCGCTATCACCAACTCAACCTACCGGCATGTTTCAATACGCCGCCTGATATCATGTAAATCTATCTCGTCACATGTTAGGGATATCAGTCAGATCAAGCCAGGTAGAAAATACTAATCAAGCTTCTTGGTGTAGCAGCTAATATCACACCACATGCGATCAACGTACTAATCATGGGGGACAACCGGCTCAAACTTGTCAAAAAACCACCCTTGTAAGCCTCAAAAATGCCAATAAGATCCATCCCCCAGGTCCTAGTAATATCGAGTGCCCTGTCGCTCCAATAATCTCCTGTGAATTACCCTTCTCGGTGTTGTCGCAGCGGTTCTCGCGTCGTGGGCGTAGTTTACGAGGCTGTCGTTGATGACATCTAATCGCTGGGCATTCCCAATATTTCTGAGACCTTACGAGGTTGAACTCATAGTTTGACTTGAAGACTGTTTGATGTTCTAGACCCGAGGACTAGAAAAAAGATCAGGCCTATTAGGGTGTCTTCATACAATGTACAATTTACCGGTGCTATCATCTACCCATTTGTACAACATTTCCACCGCTCTATATCACCCAAACAGAAACACATCACCCATCTACCAGCTCCCAATCCTCTCCCCTTTGAAACGACCTCTCCACCAGAAACGGAAACAAATGCACCCTCATCTCTCCATCCGCCTCCAACCGCCTCACAGAACTAATCCCCACATCCCCATGAAGCAGCCCACCCAGCGTCAACCCCAGCTCCTCCTCGGCCCCGTCATCAAAATGCAAATAAATATTTCCATCACTCTTCGCTGTCTTTCTTGCTAGAATCCGTTCCCCCTCTTCAGTCAACACACAAACCCTTACCCGGTCCCAGTCTGTCATCAACAACCCGTCCTTCTCCGCCGTCTCCCTCTCCACCCCCTCAATGCAAACCCTAAACACCGCCCTCTCCCACTCAGACACCACAATCGCACAAGAGTTTGACCCCCTATGCAGCGCCCAGAATCGCCGCGGCCACCGCCGACTCCTCACGCAGAACCTCCCCCCATTCATCCGATCCGCAACATCCCCCTCGTCAGCCCGCAAGACCGGAAACCCCAACGGCAGCGTATCCCACGCATCTAGAAACTGAAAGAAGACATGCCCGCGCAGCTCAGCCAACACCATCTGCTTCGTTTCCGCCGTCACAACCTCCGCTGTCCCGATATTGATCTTCTCAATCGCGTCGTAGAGTGCTTTCGGCCCGTCGCCGCACCACGACCACATCTGTGGCGAGAGGCGCTTCAGTTCATGAAATTTGCGTCCACCTGTTAGGGACTTATTTTCTTGGAGGACGCGGTATAGGAGGTCGGCTTTGGAGCGCGTTGAAGCGATGATTAGGTAGCGGTTGTCGCGGCCGCCGTTGGGTTTGTTGCTTTCGTGCCAGTGGTCGCCGCGGTAGAAGACGAGGTTGTAGAAAACCATTCTGTGAGGGTTTGAAGTTGTAGACGTGGAGGCTTGGTGGGATGAGTGGTGTTCTGAGATGGGCGGGGTGGGAATGGGGTGGAGTTGCCTGATCCGGGGACGACGTCGTATTGGGGTGAGTGGGTGGACTCTGGCTCGTGGTGCTTTATCATGACAATCTTGTTTTGATGATTGTAAGATCTTTTCTATGAATGCTATCGTCTTCAGTTTGAGCTACTAACGGGTTGCTCCTTTCTAGGATTGAGTGTGGTGAGATGGGCGGCACGATATCACGCAGAAACCACCCAGTTCCTAGCATGTATATGCCAGGGAAGTCTATTACTCTAAAATGCAATCAATCTAGATACCAAAACATTTTCCTGTGCTGAAATCCAAAAAAGCGCATACCAGCTTGCGTTGGCATGCAGGGGTATAGTCTATATAGAGGGAGGAAGCCCTAAATCACACGCCGTCTAATCGCCAACGATCAAGCAGACCGAACCAAACTTGACCCAAAAAACCCCTAAAAGCAACACTCACGAAAAAGCATAAGTATAACCACCCTCGCGATTCCACCAGCGACAATCAATGCCGGCCTCCGAACACAATCCCCTCAACCTCTCCGTCACACCGACCACCTCCTCCTTCATCGACCTGCCCCCACGACCCGCGTCGTGCAAATCGCCCTGGATCTCAATCAACCCCAAATCAGGGAATCGATCCTTAGCGCAACCCACCAGATCCTCCAACTGCGCCACCATAACGCCCATATCGCACTGGTCGAACTGATCCAGCGCAAGGACCCTCAACGCGCGGGGCAAATTCCCCGCCAACGCCCCAAAAGACCCATCATCACCCTTACTCCAGTCAACGATATTCGCCGCCCGCAACGCAACTTCCCTCAGCGCGGTAAACCCCGCCAAGGGCCCAAAAAAGTCATCTTCCCGCTCCGACCCAGTCGACCCCCACCCCAGGCCATCATCCAGCCGGAACTCGAGTCTCTCGAGCGTCTCACGGTGCGGCTCCAGCGCGCGGTGGAACCGCGCCGGATTGAAGTCCTTGAGCGAGATGCTCGCGTGCGCGTGCACGTACCGGAACGACTTGAGCCCGCGACACGCCCGCAACAGGTATCCGAGGCCCTGCTCGGCGTGTGCAGCGGTGAGATCGATGTCCGTGACGCCGGAGAATTCGCGACGCTTGAGGAGCTCAGGCGCGGGGCCTGCGATGTGGTCTTCGACGACCATGTGACCCTGGAAGCGGCGCATGGCCGGGAAGGAGAAGAAGGGGAGGAGGCGCGACGAGAAGATGCCGTTTTCGTGGTCGTGCCAGGTCGCGGAGACTTGCTCGAGGGCGGGGAATGGAGGTGTTGTGTCGAAGGGTTTTTGGCCCCGCACGGCTCGCTCGAGCATCCGGTTGAGGTAGCTGGCTGGGTAGTCGAGTTTGAGCTTGAGTTGAGAGAGGTTGGGTAGGAGAGGGAGGAGGAGGGCCGTCCAGGGGTCGATCTGGCCGCATTGGAGGGCCTTTTGCCAGGCTTGCTGCTCGTCGAGGGTGTGCGCGGCTGCGCTCACGGCGGGGAGCAGCGTTGCCGCGTGGTATTTGGTGTTTGGTCGGTGCGACTTGGGGCAGTAGCCATTGCGGACGCCCATTGAGAGCTTGCGGACGCTCTGGGCGAGCTCTGGGTGCTCGATGATGGTGTGCGTGAGGCGGCTGAGGGCCCAGGGACACAGGTAGGTGAAGTCGATGGATGTGTATATCTCCTGGCGCAGGAGGAAGTAGAATCGGCGGCAGCATTGCGCGAGGCTGAGGGTGTTGCCGTGATTGTCGTTGTAGGCTGCGATGAGCAGCAGCAGCTCATTGGGAAGGTCCTCCAGCGTCATTTTTGCGACTGTTTCTGACCTAGCTGCCTGAGAGAATGAGAGGATACGGTCGTGAGTGTTCTGGTCGAGAAGTCCGGGGTAGAAGGAAACTCGGGAGATCATTCATAATAAATATGACTGAGGCGGGGTCTCCGACAGAGCTGACAGCCTGGTCGACGCTAAGGTGGAGGATTGACACGAACATCAGCTGGAGCTATTAATATTATTTGCCTGCGTTGGATGTGAGGATGGTGCTAAACCGAAAATCTCTTTAGGCGGGCCCACCAGGTCACGATGCGGTGGAACTCGGTCTTCTCTCGTCTCCAGTCCATGGCCGCTGCAAATCCACGTTTGGCCACCTGGTTTGCTGGTCGACGCATTTGGGCATTGAGGAGATTTTTATTCTGGTTTCGGTTCTCGTGACCTTCGGATATGGCATGATACGTGGGAGTCTTCCATTTTCGGAGACGTGAGGTTTAGGGCTGGGAACGGCGAGTGGACGGAGAGTGGGTCCTCAGCGGTTTCACCACGATTTCTGGTACTTTAAACAAAGCCATGGTCGTGCTGATTGGGTCAATTATGGGAATATTTTAAAGAGACAATAAAAAGAAAAGAAAAGAAAAATGAAAGAACAGGACTCCGTACGGACGAACCAAATAAGAATAACCGAACGGGACCGATCTTCCCGCCACCTGATAAAGCTGGTTCACGGCAGGGACAATGTGCTTGCAACGTTCACCACCACCCCCAAGGAAGCTTGCCCGAGCTAAGAACCCAAAATTGTCAGTTGCAGAGTTAATATCAATGCAATCCAATCGAGGAGTGGAAATTGCCGGGTCCAACAGGGGCGCCATCCAAGGTTCTTCCATCGCTGCTCCAATCATCAAACGCGCCTCGGTCCGATTCGAGCTGAGTCATCCTATCCAGGCACATCTTGACCGAGAGAGGCAATGATCACGCAAAGTGCGGTGAAAATTTCCTCGGGGTCCGAATTTCGGGGATTCACGTTGATTGGGGTGGCTTGTTTAGTTGCCTCCACCGGTCCAGTGCCATGGCGAAAATAGTATCAAATCAGTGCTATTGATTCTCGGCTGCAATCCTAGACGAGAGGGGAAGGATTCAGCTCGTAGCCAGTAGAGCCGTTTGAACCGGATGGACCGAAAAGGAGAGACCGAGGAAAGAAGACAGATCTCCACGGGCCACTTCACGAGCTGTGTTGGTGTTGATGCCCTAAGCTGTGGGCGCTGCAGATATACATTTTGATTGTGCATATCAGGTTTTCATTGCGTACACCGCATGGTTTGTCTTTTCCTTATTCTGGCCACGGAATGGGTGACGGAGTTTGATGCAGTGTTCTGGTTTATATCAAATCCATGTCAGGCAACACGTCCTTTTGGCTGGAATTATTGCGTCGTTGCTTCATGCCACTACTTGCGATTTCTGTATATATTATGTAAGCATTTCAAGGAACGTTCATAAAATGCATAAAAATATCATGGATGATCAGGTCAAGAATGTGGCTAAATCCAGACAGGAAATGCAGATGACCCATCTAAAGCCGGTGGACTAGCCGTCCCGACATCAAAGTAGCATGTATAAATAGGAACCACCATATCAATGACCTGAAATACTCAAATCCACCTCGTGGGAAGTACGCAAAAGAACTTGTCAAAGGGCAGACCAGGCACTTCGATCACAGTAGGTTATCCCATGTGATAGCACAGCTGGGGACTGCCTAGTAGTCACGGTCATAAGCACTCAGATTGAATAATGACTCGGGTATCCTGACTCTTGTACGAGGAATGTACGTTTAGGCAACATGATATTGAATTTGACCCCCAACTGGATTATATATATACGCTTTGAAATAAACTACTCATTAAACTTAACAATGTTGATTTATAGATTATTAATTAGTTTTAGTGCATCTAATCAGGATGATACTCGCAGAGGTATCATAAGAATGGCAAGGCATCTACCCTCTTCACCTGCCACTTATCAGTCCTCTGGTTGGATGGCACATAGTATGACTGCCATGTGTGACATACATAGAACCGTGGAATTCCAGGAATTTAATCAACCCAATCACATGTATATCCCCAGTGATATGAATTAGACTCCTGACAAAAAGTGCATGAACCACAGCCAGTTACCAAGTAAGATTAGAAATAGGGCTGATCCACTGTTTTCCTCCCAAGGAAGATGTCATCTGGTGTATGACATGCCAGAGAACATGATAAGAACTGGATTCTATCTAGATAGACGGCAGCAGTGGGGGAGGTAGGACGTGTATATTTGAACTTATAACAACAATCATCTACTAAGTGACTATCAAAGTCTGCTATGATATGGATATCATCCATATTATAACTACCATTGTCAGTGAGCTCTAGAACAACACTGACAACCATTCACCTACAGTGAATCACAGCTCTTTCATAACTTTACTAGAATTAGCTCAACCTTTCTTGACAGCAAGATTCTGATGGACTGTCCACTTCTCCCCCTTGGATATCTTATAAAGTCAAGTCCCCTCCTTCAATCTGCAACATCCCTAACACACCACCCGTGGACGTGTAGATCCGACCAGTTGTGCTTTACATCCCATCAAATTTAGTTGTAAAGCGTCAAGATGGCGTCTCTACTTCTCAAACTTTCTACCCTCTTCATCCTCGCCGTCGCTGCTATCGCGCAGTGTCCTGCTCCTCAACTCCCCGTCGTGGACCTGGGCTACGAACTGCATCGGGCCTTTTCCCTCAATGTAGGTTATGATCATCCATTTGACATATTGATGTCTCTAACATAAAAAGGCATCCACCGGGCTGTACAACTTCACCAACATCCGCTACGCTGCTCCGCCGCTGGGCAACCTGAGATTCAGAGCTCCAGTCCCACCCACCGCCGAGAACCGTTCACTGATCCAGACTGGGGCGCGTGGTCGCGTGTGTCCCCAGGCCAAACCACTCTGGGAGACCATTGCCCCGGGATTCCTGTCGAATTATCTCACTGGTCAGCCCTTTGACCCGTCACTGGATGTTCCAACTGTCAATATCTCGCTTAATATGAAGTTTCCCGGCTTGGACCCGCGCATCACGGAGGACTGTCTCTTTCTGGATGTGGTGGTACCGAAGAAGGTCTTCGACAGGGCTCAGAATAAGAATGCGACGTCCAAGAGAGGTCTCTCGCCGGCTCTAGTGGCTCAGAATAAGAATGGCACTTCCGAGCACAGACTCTCGCCTGTTCTGGTGTGGCTCTACGGTGGGGGATACTCAAATGGCGACAAGAGTGGCGTCTCTCCGGCCGGTTTGATCGGGCGTGACCAGCAGTCTGGACGTGATGGGTTTGTCTTCGTCGCCATCAATTATCGCGTATGTTCTCCCTTCCCAGCATCCGAATCCCCCATGTCCACAACTAAGCTCTAACTGAATTCTAGGTTGGCGCCTTCGGTTGGATCGCAGGCGACGGTATTGCCAGGGATGGCACAATCAACGCCGGGCTGCACGACCAACGCCTAGCCCTAGAATGGGTCCAAGCCAACATCCACCTCTTCGGCGGCGATCCCACCCGCGTCACCGTCATGGGTATCTCCGCAGGATCCGGCTCCCTCATCCACCAGATCACCGCATACGGCGGCAGAAAGGGCCCCGTCCCCTTCCAGCAAGCCATCCTGCAAAGCCCTGGCTGGCAGCCCAAGCTCTCGCGCGCCGACCAGCAGCAAGCATACCGCGAATTCCTCCACATGCTGAACGTGAAAACTCTCGATGGAGCGCGCAACAAGTCCTCGGCGGCGCTAATCCGCGCCAACGCGCTCCAGATCGCCGCCTCCCCTTACGGCACGTTCACGTACGGACCGACCATTGATGGAGACTTCGTGCCCAGGCTACCAGGCCAGCTTCTGGCAGGCGGACAATTCGACCACGAACTCAACATCATGACCTCGCACACCGCGAACGAAGGCCTCATGTTCACCGCGCCCTACAACTTCTACCCCGACGGCCTCACCCGTCTCCTGCGCACAAGCCTCCCAGGCATCCTGGACAGGGTCATCGATTTTGCAATCAACACCGTGTACCCCGCGGTATTCGACGGCGCAAGCCCCTACCAGGACGCCGTCCAGCGCGCGGCTCTGGCTGTCGGCGACGTCGTCTTCCAGTGCAATACGAACTGGGTCAGCCGCGCGTATGGAAACCGCACCTACGCGTATTTGTTCGATATTCCGCCTGCGCTGCACTCGTCGGACACTCCGTACACGTTCTACCCCGAACAGGGCAGTTCTGTCTTGGAGGGCACGATCGCCAATGTCTCTGTTGCGTTCGCGATCCAGGATTTTATCACTTCGTTTGTCCATGAGGGCAAGCCGCATTCGTCTATTGGGCCTGTCTTCGAGGAGTATGGCTCCGAGGGGCATATCATGGACTTGAAGGTGAAGAATATCACGGTTGTGAGGGATCCGACCCAGAATGAGAGGTGCGATTTTTGGCAGCCTGCGCCGTTCTACGGGGGTGCTTAGTACCTTTAGTACTGTGGTGGCTCTTGAAGGGCTTTCGGAACCCCAAGATGTGTGGAACAGATTGCCAAATTTTGTGCTCTTGTAGGAACTGGAGATACGGAATACTTGCTAGGATGTGTGGGGCAGATTGTTAAGGGATTCATGCAATTGAAATACTTAGGGTCTAGAACAAATCCAGACTGTCATTGTATCGGCATCTAATCTCACTATTCGTAACTCACTATCTACACCCGACACAACACAGCTCCTCCCATATCTCCCTCTATCTCCTTCCAATCCTCACTCCCCACACAGGCCTCACAATGAAAAATTCTACCCGGGTCATATCTCTCCTTAACGGCCTTCAACCGCGGATACCCATCCCCAAACAGATCCGTCCTCCACCACGGATTCCGCGCATCCTTCCACCCCGACGAAGCCCCTGTCATCGGCGACAACTCCCTCAACGTATCGCCCTTTCTCAGTGTCGCGTCTGCTTGAATTTTCTCAAATACATCTTCATCGGCATCAACAGACAGTACCGTCATAGGCGCAACCACCGCGCAGCTCCTCCGCCACGCCGGATGCACACTAACATGCCGGTCCACCACGTACTCTCCCTGCCCAAGAAGACTCAACTGGGTCCACACTGTCGCGTGATTTGGCAACTCGGGTGCATTCGTCGTTGTAATGCGCAGCATCTCTTTCAGCATCTCCGTACTAGCTGATAATGCGGTCCGATCCAGCAACCGCGATGTCACTGCCACATTTCCATATGCTATTGCATTCATCCCACCAAGTGCGTTGAAGTATTCCCCGAACGAGGCATACTCAATCACCGACTCTTCGACGACAAGCGTCGACCCATTCCGCCGACGCAGAGCGTCCATAAGAGCCGCGTCAAGGAGCGCGCGCGCAGAACCGTCACTTCCACCGCCATTCTCAACCCTACCCACCACATGACTGTACCCCCCATTAGCCCGCACCGCAGTCGACACCCCAGGGAGATGTATCCCTTCGCCCACCTTCTCCACGCCCCAGCTACCATGTCCGGAAAATCCTCCTTTCGAGAGCGCAGGATAGGCCGCCAGAATCTCTGACACAGCGTCAATAAGGGCAAGCGCACCCGCAATCGGGTCCCGTCTGTGCGGCGCCGGATACACCTGAAGTGTATGCGCGGTGACCGGACGTGAGGGGTGCGCTTTCAGTGTCGTTGACACGACTATGCCGTATGCTGCGCTGCCACCGCCGCGGAGCGCGAAGAAGAGGTCGGGGTTGTGACAGGCATTGGCGGAGACTGTGGTGCCTGATGCGAGGGCGACTTCCATTGAGAGAATTTGGTCGGCTGGGAGGCCGAGCGTATGGATCAGGGGATGGAGGGTGTCGCTGGTTGTTGTGATTTCGGTCGTCTGGGGTTGTTAGTTTCGGGTGAGACGCGAGTTAATTGGAGGGTGAGTTTGTGGACGTACTTGGTCGGTGTCGCCTATGACTATGAGATTTCGCGCGAATGCTTCAGTGTAGAGCTCGGCCCAGGTGTAGCCTCCTTGCACGGTGAAGGCACTGTCGCTCCATTTTGCGTGTGGGCATGGGGAGTGGGTGGAGTAGAATTCGTGGTATTCAATGCCGTTGCGGATGCTGGCGGTTGAGATGTGTAGTGTGCCTTTGGCGCGTGATCTACAGATGTCTGTTAGCTGGAATGACACTGGCGTGAGTAGTGTGAGGAAATTACTTTTCCAAAGAGTTGCGATCAGATCCAGTGGTGACTCGCAGATTGTGATTCTTTGCGAAGATAAGCGCTTTTGCGACGTCGTCTGCTTCCGTTGCGCGGATGATATAGGCATCGGCGGGGCGTAGGGGGCATTTGGATGGCGTGTCTTCGTCGCTTTCCCAGGCGGCTTCAGGTTGTTGAGAAGCTTGCATCGATGAGGTGTACTCCTCATCTCCAGCTAGTGTGTCTTCACTATCTTCGTCTCCTAATATGTCTCCATCTCCGACTATGTCCACTTCGACTCCATCCCAACCCAGCAATATCTGTTCGGTATACTCCCCAGCTGTAGGCTCAACACACTGACCAGCAAGCCCCAAGCAAGTATTCTTGTCTTCCTCACTCTCAGAGAAGCAAACCTCAATGCCTGGAACATTGGGCAAGACCCTTCCCGCCAGGGACTCGTTCAGATCATCCCATCGAGCAAGTGACGGCCAGCATTCATGGCGAGGGCCCTACCGAAATATTAGCACTTCATCTATAAGGTAACTGTTGATCCATATATTGGAACCAAGACCGTACACATTTGCAACTCGCTTCCGCATTCACCCAGCTAGTGCCCACTAGGGCCAGTACCAGAACCCACACGACAGCCATTATCAGCTGATTATCTATCATCGATAATGCTGTCTAACACTCTGAGACACAGGCATATTTAAACCATGCTTTCCCGCTCGGGTAATGTAGCGGTCAATGAACAGAGGAAAGACCGGACAAGCTGCATGTTGACAGTAATCGAGTTATTGATTCGGCCGCAGCCGCCACAGCCGGTGTCGTCACCTTTGGTGTTGTATTCAGGGCTGATGCTATGCACGGTCGTTGGATATGCAATGAACGCGTGGATGCGATGCGAAGTATTATCCAGTGCCTGTGGTGTTTTCACTGAAGAGTCGGTGGGTATACTTCCATCGTATGCAGGAGCCATGCGGTGTGTATTTTCATCTTGACAGGACTCATTCTGGCTACTTTGAAGCCCTACATGTGAAGTATCTTATACTGAGTGGTGGCGGTGGTGGTGCAATATACTATGTACTGTAATTCTTTTACCTACTTATTGTTTAGTCGGGGCGATAATAGGCTTTTCTTTCTGCAAGAATGAATTCTACAGGCGAAAGGGAGTGTGATTGCCGGTAAATAGAGCAGGGTTATCATGCTGACTATCCTATAGTCAATCATACGGGGCACTTCCGAACCAGCCTGACATCACCAACAGGGCTGTTTAGGGCTCCAGTGCAGGAATGACCCAGACGCTTTGACATCACTCCCAGGAATTCTGAAGATAAACGCAACACATATCCGCAAGGTTCTAGACCAGCTCACCTCAGAAAGCCATCAACCCCAAACATCAACATTGTGAACCATACATAATCCGCCCCAGAACCAGACTGATATCTGGGAACCGCAGCCATTTGTCAGAATCGACCTGTCGCGACGTGTCTGGACCATCTGCGTCCCACAAATAACCCCAACCCCATCTCCAACGGTACACAGCCCAATCTGGTCATTGCACGGATACACTTGGGTCCGATGGACCGTGGAAGGTGGACTGAGGAGGGCAGCGAGGCCGGCTCCCCTGAATATCTCCACCTGAACCGGTGGTCCTTCCTCGACCTACGCGGTATCTGATCCTGCAGGGGCCTGTTGATCTACACTCAGACCCCTGGGGTCCTGGCCCATGGGGTCCTCCTACTGGGAGGCCCAGTCTGGGACTACTGTTTCATGTTTTTGTCCGAACTTGCTTTTTGCGAAAGGATAACTCATCGTGGGCTGCAGTATGAGATTTGGACGGTCGCTTCCTGATCGTCCTTACTTCGCTCTCTTCCTGTATTGATTCTGCACTTTATGATGAATATCTCATGCCGCTGACCTCGAGACAGTCCTCCATCCCATGCATGAGAATCATCCTCTGTAAGATTGCAATCAGCACGAGATAACTGATACAGAAAGTGATGCAAAACTGAAGCAAGTGGACCCGAGTAACAGGCCAAACCCAACGACCATGGTGCGACCGGTAGTTGGATTAGCATGCTGTTTCGAGCCAGAACTGGTAAGGATCTACCACTTATGTCACAAGAATTAGCTGCCGCCAGGATTCAGGAATCCATCGCGGGCGATCAGCAGGATCGTTTAACAACATGCTGCGTCATTCAATCCTTCGTCTCGAAACTCCAAACGATAGGCAAAACATGACGCAGAAATGTGATGGGAACGAAAGGCGAGATGAGGATGGACACATGATTGATGCCTGAGGCATTCAGACTCGTCGGGGACAAGAAAACTCTTTTCTCACTTTGTTTCTCCACTGCAATCCACTCCATTCCCAGCCTCCACGGGGTCCTGTCTTATCCGTGGCAATTATGCTCCGGCTTCCTCAACCATGGATTCAACTTCAGGGCAATCTCGACATCATGCTGAGTCGAGATATGTAAACCATGGTGTCGAAGCATCGCGCCCGTTGTCCCAAACAAACCCCAGCGGTAAGCTTGGATCAACCAGATTAGACTTCACTGGCATCGCCAACGATCATTGCTCCAGGGGGAAGTCGTAACGACAGGGTCAGAGCTGGACTGGTAGTCCCACCCGGTTTCTCGACCATCCGTCGTCATGTCAACTTCAAAGTGTAGACTGACGTCTGAAGCATGACCGTTGCCTGGTGGTTTCGTATAACCACGATGCATACACGCCTCGGCTAGTCGATGTTCTATTTCTATCGAAAATAGTCAACAGAATAAAAGGGACTTAAAAAAAGAACAAGGGGAGGCAACAATTGAACAAGGAGAGAACAGCCACAGCCGCGGCGACCCACCACCACCAGAGCCGTACGCCACTGTGGGTGGTCCTCTTGAGGCCGTTCCCCTGATTGGGCATTGATCTACGTCGAGCCAGCTTTCCCGATGGCGATCTCCAAATCGTCGACCAGGACCGACCAACCCAGGCTGGGGTAATTCATGGTTGAATCTAACAACCACGAAGACAGCTCATAATCCCAGCGGGGTCGCGTTTCAGGATCGATATACACCTCATATCGTATAGAATTATGAGGCTGGTAAAACGTCATTGGGAAATCTCGTGAAAGTGCCGGTGGCAGGGCCAGTCCTGATTGCCGCCGGAACAAAAAGACGTGGGTCCGTCGCCACCGCAGCTACTGCAGGCGTTGGACAACAAGCCGTGATGGACATCTAGTGGACCCACTTCATGCTGATCAGGCAAAACACTTTCTGTTCGAGGCTTAGAGTCCCATCACACTGCGAATGTTCTGCTCTTTTGCAAGCCGGTCAACTCCATAGGCATCCAAGCTAAGGCTTGATCTAGAGGAATCGATGGGCTCAATCGCCACGCTGATTCGTGGACCTGACTAGTCGTATCAATTCCCAACCTTCTCCCGCCCGCGGCTTCGGCGTCACGCTGGGTCGATGGATGGGATGCCCATAGCCAACTACCTTATCGGGTGCCTGAGCCGACACGGTGATGAATCATGGCGGCTGGTTAAGGATCGTCGACCCAGCGTCACTGTGATTCGGGCCGTGTCTCTTTTTTTCTTATAAATTGACGGCTCTACCTCCCCTGAGATCTCAAGCTACAAGCTACCATCGATTCTCCTGAACAGTGCATCACTCTATATCCCCAACTCTACATTCTATCCTACAATACAATTCACAATGAAGCTCTCCACTGGACTCACCTTCGCCGGCATCATCGGCTGCGCCGCTGCCCTGCCCCCTCCGTTTGACTTCCTCCCGGATCCTCCTGCCCTGAGCAGCATTCCCTGCAGCACCCCGAGCGTGAGCCCGACCCCTACTGCCTCGCCTGTCTTCGCCCGCGACTGGGCCGTCGATGTCTCCAGCTCGGCCACTCCCTCCTCCACTCCCTGCAGCAGCTCGGGTATCCCAACCCTGACGCCCGCGCCTTTCTTCAAGCGCCAGGAGGCCGCTTCTTCTTCCACCGCGACCCCCTCCAGCTCTGCCACTCCCTCCAGCTCCGCCACTCCCTCCACCTGGGCCTTGCCGTTCGCGCTCTAAGCTCTGATTGAGATTTGAGATCAATACCGGGGGCTGCTCTTCGCCGGCCGAGACCTGCAGCAGCCTGGCCTACTCCTATCATGGGCGGTTTTCATATGTTCTTTCTTTTTTGTTACCATGCAGATCTGCACTGCGCTGTCTTGAAGATGGCGAGTGACGGACTGTTGGAGTGACATTGGGTTATATAGACTGGACTGGGTCATTTTCCGGTGTGAAATTGGGAGTTTGTTTTAACACGATCTTTTTTCTCTTTTCTTTTATTCTTTCGCAGCGTTATGAGGTTATGTAAATCAAATAAATGAATCTATCGTCAATCTTCTATCATTTGTGGACTGTACAATCAACGAATTAATAGCGTGCAAGATGAATAGATGGCGTGGAGGTTGTATACCCAGACCACCACGCACAGGCTAGTTATAGGGACACCAGTAGTGGTGTACTGCCTATCACCTCTAAAAGTACGAAAAATCGCCATTATACCTACGTCCCTCTCACCAGTCAGTGTCGCCGAAAAGATCATATAGACAAACGCAAATGCTCCATAACGGTGGCATTGTTGCACCTTTACTCCAATATGTTCTGTTGCCGCCATGGTACTTCCCCAAAAATAGTATACAATCCTATGGGTCATAATTACATCACGGACAGCGCAGCATGCCCCATATTTATGCGTTAGTCCTTCCTGCCCTGCCTAAAAATATACCCATTAGGCCGTCAGCTATGCTGATCATATCGAGGCGAGATAATTGCTCTCTAACCAACTTAGCTCTGAGATATTTAGACTACCGGAATGAATGAGTCCATAGCCTTGAAGGATATACTAGCTTCGGCCACCTTCAGATCCTGGCGCAGTCCAGGATTCCGATCCGCTACACCTTGCTTGCAGTAGCGCAGAATGGAGTGAGATACGGGATTCTTCTCATAAAACATCCTAAAAAGGGTCTGATCAATGCTCTTGTGGGCAGACCCATGTTTCGTCTGTCAGTAGTGATATCGAGATCAGCCCTACTGCCAGGGTAGCCGGAATATACTTTATTATAGACCCAGAAAAGCGATATCATTCGACACCGGTTGTACAAGCATGGAGTACTACATTCGTCCCTACAATCAAGTATGATTTGTATCTTATTGTATTGAGTAGACGACAACACAGAAGCAGCAATATCGAATTCTCTCAAACACAGTACGAGTAGCGACAGGTGAGCCAATGGATAGCACGTACAATCAACCTTCCATAGGAGGGGTCGTTGAAGGCTCACACTTCAGCGAGCCCACGAACTGCGCGGGTTCAAGCACACCGCCACCATGCACCCAGGGGGCTTGATGCGGTCCAGAACAGTCCTCGGTTCTGTGCCCAGTACATAAAGTCAGCAATTCAATAATACACAGAATATGGGAGGTACATAAAGCGCCAAGGGGTCAAGTCACGTACACAAAAGCGACACAGTCGGGGAACGACCCATCATCCGCGGGAACCATCTGGTAGGCCTCGACATCGCTGTTTGCTCCTCGTTAGCTGCACATCCAGGCGTTTGTCAAGATGGGAAGTTGAGCTCGTACTCTTTCAAGTCCACCGTCGTGCAAGTGTCGTACGGGACATCGAGTTTGATACCGTCGTCTTGGCCGACGAGCTTGACGTAGACCTGGGTCAGGCATATTGTCAGTGATTTGCGCGGCGGATGTGGTTCTGGAGGGTTCTATACGGGGACGGTATTCGCTGTTCAGGAGATATGTTAGCTAGGCTCCAAAAGGTGTTGTGTTTGATTTGAGGACATACCAGCATAGGCTGAAGTAACCCCCAGGGCGAACGCGACGATTGCAGTCTTGGAGAAAAGCATGTTGACGATAAATTAACTATCTTGAGTGGAGTATTTAACAAGTATTAAACAGAGCAATGTGTTGCCAGAATGATAAAAAAAAGACAGATCAAGGGGGAAAGCCAATTTATATACTCCTGATCCCTTGTTCAGCCATCCCAATTCCAGCTAGCATTCAACCTGCATTCCAGCCTGCATTCCAGCCTGCATCCCCGCAATGATAGTGGAGATGCAGATGTATCAACTATCTTGTTTAATTCGCGGATCACTTCATGTCTTGGCGACACAGATTCAATAGTCAATGCAGTGTAACCCAGTCTAACCATTCTCCTGGCTCAGCGGAATGCCGAACATCACGCCCTGAGCCAATTGTGCCTCGATCTCAATCCCGATCACAGATAGATTGGTCGATTTCAAGGCCATTGAGTGTATATTGATTCAGCTTGGTATGCTGCGAAACAAAACAAACTCAGCCGTAGTTGGTAGAGCGGGCGCTGCTGCAGCGACAGATCACACCGCTGGCAGCTGAGAAGCCAGCTTGATCCAAACTCCACGCTCCAGCTACTTCCCCCAACGCCATCCTACACCTTTTGTACCTCGGCTGAATACCCTGATGGAGATCCGAAGAGATCGATTGATGCCTCACCTCCCCCTCCTGGGTACCGGTCATGCCTGGTGGACGACTCCGGGGTTTGCCTGCCTATTATTCCCTGCTCGCTGTTATTCTCGTGCATGGCTACCATCTGGATGTCTTCTCCTGGTCGTCCCCATGTATTCTGCGCGCGTTTCTTGCTACCAGGAAGACGGAGAGGGAATTTTCGGGTCCGATCTCTTTTCAGGCTTGAGTGCTTCACGAAGCTAAAGGAGGAGGGGCGATTGTGGCTGCCGCGCATACGCACAAACAAGACGCGGAGGCTAGGCATCGAACCAGCCAGGATGGTCACGCATTCTTCGATAATTGAACAGAGGATGAGGACTTGCGCCAAATCTAGGGTGAGGGAATCAGCGGGTGATGGAGAAGGGTGAAAAACGTAGATGACGCACATGTGTAGTCTCTGTATGTGGGTATAGTGTGTTGGTTGGTGGCTTTCAGAAAGGCAATTCCCGTGGCACTGTGTGATGTTGTGAGAAACTATTTCTTTTGTTCTTGTCTTTTGGCCGTGTGGATGCCGGGCAACTAACCAAATACCTAGACTCATGGAAATTCCGATGCCGAACTTCTCGCGCTTTTTCATCCGAAGCTTCCAAATCCATGGCCATGGAACCAGGGCCAGTATAAGGTCCACGAGGCCGGAGTACGCTAGATCCAGTCAGTGTTACAACTCACGAGGAACATGAAACTAGGATTCGTACCGTGAGATGTCGTGGTCAAGATTGTGACGAGTGTCTGTGGCCAGCAGGTACCTGTTCGTCGCAGCGAAGTGTCCCAGAGTGCGGCTGGCGGCTGGCATTGAATCATGTAAATGCTGGCGCTGCCTAACATGACGAAGTTCATCGTGACTATAAGAAACCACAGGAAGCCTTTCATCACTCGACATGGTGATATCCGTATCAGGCTAATTGCAAAAGAGGTCTTGCTGAGTGATAAGCAGACAACCCCAATTGACTGGCCGATACCAAAAAGTACCATCGCCTCGTTCGTCCTTGACTGGTCCTTCAAGTCGTCGAGGTGCCTGCCCGCCACTCCCATCGTTACTGTCCTAGTGTAGATCGCGCCGCTTACAATATGTAAGACCTGTGCTGCGTAGTGGTCAATTCTGCCAGCTTGACAGAGGGGGTTGGGGGTACTGACTAGGGCAGCGCAGGCCATCACATCGTCCCATCCACATGCCCGGCTGATGCATCGTTTACAGTACACGCGGAGTAGGATGACCACAAACGAGAGACTCACTAAGACCCACATTACGGCGAGAACGGTTAGGCCCTTGTATGGGCCGTTTTCGAATGACATTTTCAACTTCAGCAGGATAGAATGCTTCGCCTGAGGGAGGCGCGAGGAAGGGAATGAATCATCAATGGGTACGACGTCGATCGGTTGGCGAGATCGGCCGGCGACATCAAAGTAATATATACCATCCGTGTGCCTTAAGTAAATGTAGCGCCCCGTTCCATCGGCCGGGTGCGACACGACATTTTACCAAGGATCCCAGAACTTGAGAAGAAAACCGGTTCGCAAGCAACAAGTCCCTGGTACTGTTATAGAAGAGCATATCCTTCTGCCCTGTACAAGACGTAATAATTCGCATGGTTAATCTACGCCGAATGGAGTCTCTTTGTAACACCCCTCAATGTGAAGAAGCCCATAGGAGGATATTCTTGTCGATGAGGAGTCCTTACTTTCCACGACTGGATCCGAACCATGGTATTAGGCATCAGTCGATTTGGTTATATTGACTCTCATCCAGCAGTACAGCAACGGCTGCGGTTTGACCCATGAAGCCTGCGCCTCAGACCAATTTGGCTATCAATTTATAGGCCTCAACTAGACTAGATCGACCGCGGAGCTCGCAGTGTCTAGACTCGAGAGACATGTAGATGAATTGGCATTGGCCTGGCAGAGCATAGGTGGGTCGACTGGAGCGATCGAACGGCCATCGGGCCAGCTTGAATGAGCATTTCACTGGAGCGTTTGGGTTAGATATCACACCAGTCTAATCATGATTGTATGACCAACCACTAAGTGATTCTCCAGGTCCGTTTTGGCCATCAGCCACTCGGGACCGTGCCGTTCACCCTCAAGCGTTAAACCATTCTTTGTTCCCAAACTTTGATCTTGTCCCGGGGTTGTCATGTACCACATTTCACGACACACTCGTGGGACATCCCTGCCTAATCAAGCTAGGAACTATGACGGGCCTCAGGAGTCGACCCTGTATAGGAGCCAGTCAAGGGGCTTCAATCAACGGGCCACATTAGCCTTGCGATTACTTGATAATTGCCTCAACATTACCACTGTGACGACTAGGCAGGAATGATGTTTAGATCTTGAAGTTCCGATGACGGAGTGGTCCGTGATCTAAAGACCCACAAGTTGGTTGGGCATCATGATTCTCCCAGTTTCCTCCATCTCAAAGGCATGTTTCACCAACGGGCCCTTGCAGTCTGGTGTTTCTTGGGCGCTGCCGGACCAATCCCGAGTCCTGCCATCCCGGGCTTATAATTATGAGTGCCATCTCCACCCTATGTCACGCATTGACCGTGGTTGAAGTTGGGGTGTTCCAGGGGCGAGATCTGTGTATTAGGTTTTGGCCTGGCCTTCATTCGTGCGGCTCGATAGGGGGATTATTGCCTCAACAATCTTGTCATTATACCGGTTTCTTCCAGATATTTCTTGTTAATTGTCACCATGATGGTCAACGCGCAGTGCATTTGCTCGAGTGGATACCGGGTGCCGCATCGACCCATTATATGGCAAAGGTAATGTTACTCAAGGATGCGATTACCAGCAATTAGAAACTCAGGATTTGAAATAGCTCTCTGTCTGGCTACTCACTGGTCATCCAACTATTTTTGGGATTTCCGGCCGAGTTTCTCGTCTGTTCGGCTTCTCTATAATAAGTATACATGCCGTTCTAACCAGTCTTTCTTTCTTCACTAGGCTTTTTCCTCATCGTCTCCAACTAGAGGACGAATCAGGTACACTTTGCGCGTCATTCCACTTTCTCTCAACACGTTCTTATTGCCTAGTATGGGAGGACCGAGGAAACGGTTAAGCAATCAATAACATTGACGACTATTTGAGTTTTGAAGAGAGTTGCTAATTGTTGCAAGATTGCAGGAATCATGAAGTGGGAAAATACTGCAAGTCAACTGACATGTTGCCGATGCATGTCCCACTATTCAACATGTAGTAGATACGTTTCGTCTATTTGTCATAGTAATTTTTTATGAAGAGGGTTAATAAATCAAAGTTACTCATGCATACTTGTCTGCATTATGGATAACATGCAAAGTTGATGGTAGTAAGTGTCCGTTGGAAAATATGTAGTATAGCCCGGAAGTTCAAGTGGAGCTAAAATATATAGTGATCGTCACGTTAAACAATGAATAGATCATAAGTCTACACCTGCAGTACCAATACATTCAAACAAAAAAATAGAACAGTTGATAACAAGACATCTAACAATGCACCAACCCAGCTACAACAACCAAAAGTGGAAAACAAAACCGCGCTCAACAGAACAAACGCATCAGATCACGTGCCCACCAAACCGTCCATCCCATCACGTGATTACATACCGGAACAACCATCCTCCGGACCGCCGTCTCCGAGATTTTTTTCCACCACGATAGAATCGAATCCACCCTCAGATAACGACGACCAGCCACGCCCAACGACCAAAGGAAAACCCTCGCCTCACCACACCACCCGTCGCAATGCATCTTTACTACTACAACGACCCCGCCACCGGCGACCGCGTCTACACGCTCCAGAAGGTCGTCGACGGCCGCGTCACCAAGTCCGCTCACCCCGCCCGTTTCTCCCCCGATGACAAGTACTCCCGGCAGCGCGTGACGCTGAAGCGGCGCTATGGGCTGCTTCTGACGCAGCAGGTATGATGCTTTCTTTCTCACGGAGGGGTTGGAATTGTAAAGCGGGTGATGGTATGGCTAATACGGTTTGTCCACGCAGAACAACAAGAAGACCTCCGAGCTCTAAATTTTCGTCGTCGCATGATTGATTGATTGATTGATACCTACCTACCTACCTACCCTCCTACAACCTACCTACTCTGTCGACCTACCTCTGTCGAATTCCCGCATTGCGAAAAAATTATGGGCTGTTTTCTTTTCCACTGTCTACCTGTGTGTGTGTTGGCGGCGTTAGTGAGAATTACACTTTACACTTCCTACTACTACTATTATTATACTCTATGGTAATACTTTGCTTGTGCTAAGCTATCGTATTGAGAATCGAATCGCGGGATGGATTGGTCCGTTGTAGGGTTTCTCCGTTGTAGGGGTTTCGTATTTGGGGTGCAATATTCAATGGTGCGGGATTGACAGGGCGGTTGGATGTGTGACAGGGAATGGGACCAGAACCAGGATGTGCTGTTTCTGTGGAGTGATTTGCGTGCTCGCTTGTGGGGGTCCTCGGCAGGATCTAATAGTTGTCTGACATGGGTAGCTCCGTCCCTTGATTATTGGGAAATAATACAAGCTTTCGATTATATGTGGCTGTGTAGGTGTTTTAAGAAATAAAGCGCTATGTTGTAGAGTACTCGCCATTGGAATAATGTCGTGTATAGTGACTACTGCGCTTATCATGTTTAAGCACTGAGGTAAATTGTAAATTGTAGGTAGGTATTTAAGTAGGTAGTTAACCTGGATATCTGTAGGTATCGGAATATATACAACAAAGGTAAAGATGATAATAGTCAAGAAAAAAAACAAGAAAAGAAAGAGAAAGAGAGAATATTGAAACAAGAAAAAAGGGCGCGTGGGAAAAGCGTGTGTACTCCCACAGTGGATGATAAAATAAATCAAATAGCCAGCCAGCACCCTCTCGTTAGTAGGCCTTCAAGATAGTAGCACACCCCATCTGAAGAACACCAGAGCAACACAAAACTGCAACAACATCAGCAATACTACCGTTGGATTCAAAATGCGGGCTTGTCTGAAGTTGATCGGCCGGCGTGCGTTGGGCGTTATATATACGACAACGTAGAAAAGTGGCGCATGGGTCAGAATGGTATGGTGCTATGGGTCCAAACGCTGCTTGGGGATGGAGCTAGCTGGTGCCAGCGATGGGACGGGACGAGGCGCACGGGTGATAGTATATTGGTATCGGGTTGGAGACGGACGATGCTAAGGGCAGTTAAGTCGTCTTTACCACATTGGAAGATGTCTTGATGGGTTGATCGTCGTCGGTGAGGTCTACAGCGTCCACGGCGTCGGAAGGCGGGCCGACGTAGTTCTTGTGGCCCCAAACGAGGTACCACAGACCGGAGGTGACGATGACGCCGACAAACACGACGCAGGCGTAGTTCATGGTTTCGAGATCGACCGGGATGGAAGTGGGCATACAGAACAGAGGGATGGCGAGGAGGGTCCACGCTGTGGTATGGAGTTAGTGGACTATGTATGTTAGGAGACGGTGGGTTACTCACCGATGGTGACGACGTTACAGAACACGCCTAGGGGGCCGAGGTTAAAGTTGCCGTTCTTGACGTCCTGGCGGCCGCGAAGGATGAGAGACACGGCGACGGGGCAGGCGTAACTCAGAGTCAGGAGGATGACACCGACACCTGAGAACGCGTTGTAGGCGGCGCTAGAACCAAAGTAGATCAGGCCGAGGAGCAGCTCAACGACCATTCCGAGCATCATGGCGTTGATTGGGACGTCTAAACGTTGGTTGACCGTCTTCCACAGCGCAGCACCGGGGATGGCGCCATCACGGGCAAAGGCCCAAGTGCAGCGAGAGGTTGCCGTCACGCAGCCCACGCCGCAAATGATACCCAGGAGAACCAAAGGCAACAGAAGAAGGAAAGCACCGACTTCGCTGCCTGTCGCCTGCAAGAAGGTGGGTGGTACGGGCTGGCCGTCAGACAGATTGTACAGATATTGCAAATCGGGAAGCACAAAACACATGGGAATCAACGTCGCGAGACCAGCGAAGAGATTGATGGCGACAGTTCCGACCATGGCCTTGGGGACTTGAACCGCAGGCTCGCGAACTTCTTCGCACATCCTAGATATTGGTTAGTACCTCTTCCTCAATGCTCAAAGGGTATCTGTCCTATGTAAAAGAAAAAAGAGAAAAACGTACGAGATAATCATTCCGGTCGCCGATGTGGCATAGGCGGCCTGCAGCAGACCAATACAGAACGACCAGCCGTCCGGCCAGCCGGACTGAGGCTCGAAGTGACCAAATACCCATTTCGCTTCGTGTCTTCCTTCTTTGGCAACCACCAAGAGCGTAATCATCATGGCTACCACACCGACCATGGTGAGGAAAATGGCAGCAGTCTAACACCAGAGTCAGCCAAAAAACTCCCGAAGCAATCCCAATGACTACCATAAATCATACATACCTCAAGCAAAGGAAGATACTTGTTGGCAAACGCCGGAATGGCGTGGGTCACCACGGTGATGGCCAGGAAGATGAGATAGGTGTGCCAGACCTGGAAGTTGTCGGCAATCCCCGTGCCATCGGCATAGTGGAAGACATTCAAGCAGCCAATGAAGAACAGGCAGGTGCCGAAATTTACGGCCAGGGTGATGGTGATATTCCCGGTCACATAGGCCCAGCCACATACCCAGGATGCGACGCGGCGACACCACGGGGGCGACAGGGCGAACGTCTGGTAATACACCCCCCCTGCCGTCGGAAAGACGGATGTGATCTCCGCCAGCGATGCGGCAACGCACAAGATAATCAAACATACGATCACCCAGCCCCAGATGATGTTCGCGGGGCCACCTCCGGCCAGCGGGTAACCGAACGTAGTGGACAACCCATAAGGGACGGACGACAGGATGAAGCACATAAACACCACGTGCCACGTGGAGCGATTGCGTGACAGCTCCGGGACATATCCCAGGGTCTCCAGGGTCTGATCGGCCTGGGACTTGTCACCCAAGGCGGCTTCCGCAGCCATAGAGGACGTCATGCTGGGATGATCGTCCTGACCAGGGGATATAAGAAACTAGCGGTATGGAGGAAACCAACGAGAGACGAAGTTTGGGTGAGTTAGCTCAGCTACTGCAGGGTCCCGCAGAGCATCACAGGTGGGAAATAGAAATGAGGATTCTCCAAAAAAAGAATTTTCCATAAAATCAAAAAAAGGATGAAAAGGGAAAAGAGAGGAGAATGGTGGTAGGAGAGAGGCCGGAGAGGAAAAGAAGGACGAGGGGCATCAGCTGTTAGTCCCTGCAAAAATTTCCGCCCGAGGCTCCACCAGGGCCGGAATCAGGCACCTCCATTGGCCCGTGACCACGAGGGCAAATGGGGAGCCTGGATGCCTCAGTCTGATTCGCTGGAATGCCGCGGCTTGTCACTTGGCTGCCTCTTTGGGTTTAGTGCGGGATGCTTGTCATTGATCGACCTGAAGGACGATCCGACGATGTATAGAGGAGCTTTTTATATTCGATCTCCGCTCTTACCCACTCGGATCCAGCTGATCATTTCAGCGCGGTTGATTTTGTCTTGCCCAGTTCAGTAGAGTTGCGCCGTACGCATCTATGACTAGCGATGACCGAATCCAATTCCTGTCGAGTACAGCCATCGAACCCTAAAAACGCCTCCATCCGCCTGGGAACGCCAAGTTTGGAATTTTGAAATTACGTCTGAGATTATATCAGCTCGGAGAGTATGACTGTTAATTGACCCGGGTACATATAGAGCCCACAGGAAGGATCCCGCGGTGTTCTTTGTGCCCGATTCTGCGATAACCCAACTGAGTCGAATGGGTTTCAAAGTACGACGCATGCACAGTCTACACGTCCGTTGCCACTGGGTAAGAACGCCGTAAGACAAGTATGTCGGTGGTACATCGCTGATGAATATCCAAAGGTCCTAGAGAATTTTCCGTGGCTGTCTGTCCATGCTGATGACGTGGGTGTCATGAATAATGACGCCAGTGAAGAATCGGTGGTTCTCGACTCGTCGTCAGTCAAAAAAATTCACGCGATATCGACTCAGCTGTTGACTGCAACTTTCCCACTTGAAATAGATGCCACTGCGTGAAGCAGGTGAGGTTGCTATTAGGGTTGCTGTATACGTTTCAAATATCCATGATCACCGGCTCATAACACTATTTGCCTTTCTCTTGATTAGTCGGCTCTCCAGACTTTCCCAATCAAGTCAGACTTACAGGCCTTTTTTTTAGATCTAGGGTAAGTTCGTTTTCACACAGACCGGCCTCAACATCTATGCAGGAGCGGGGATTTGGTGCGATTTCGAGTACTACTATCTATAGAGAAGTTCGTTTGGCTGCTTCTTCCCCAATACAGCTACCACCGATGCTTCACTAGCGTTATGATTCATGACACCCACTCATGTCATTAACAGCATGGACAGACAGCCACGGACAAATCTCAAGGACCTCTGGATACTCATCAGCGATGTACCACCGACATGCTTGTCTAAACTAAATGCCACGTCGGAACAAAACACGCCAGGATCAGCGAGATAGGTCCTATCTAGAAACCTATGGCGCTGAAGATAGGCGACGTTCTGCATAATCGGCCGCTCAGTTAACCCTAACTTATGCTGGACCTCCGTTATGTACCAGCAAGGCGATAAGCCTGCACTTGCAGTGCACACCGAGAATTAATAAACAACCGCGACATTTGACAGCCATCTTGACACCAACTAATTATCTCGCACTATGCTATCACAGTGCTTATAGACCATGCGACCGTAAGTCTCCGAGCCGGCGAGATTATAACCACCCCGGCTTCAAATCCCTCCGCGTCTTGGCACCACTAGATAGACAGATATAAGCTCCGACAAGGCACCTAAATACCAGCACTAACAGACCACAAAAGCAATTGTCACTAAACTTAGACTCTTTCTTTAACCCCCAACCACCCAGATGCAACCCTCCCAGAGCATCGCCATAGCAGGCGCCAGCGATGTCTCCAAATACCTCATCGAGGAACTCCTCCTCATCCCCAACCGACCACGTATCACGCTCCTCACGCGCTCCCTGACCAACAGACCATGGTTCACCTCAAACCCGCACATCACCATCCGCGTAACAGAGTACACCGCGCCAGCGCTACAATTCGTCCTCGACGACATTGAAGCCACCGTTCTTCTGTCTTTTCTCCACTCCAATGACACGGGTGTCTACAACACCGCCCACGAAGCCATGTACCAAGCGTGCAGAGCGAGTCACACCTGTCGCCGCTTTGTGCCCTCTGATTATGGTGGGGATATTGAGCGTTTCCCGGGCCTGCCGAGGTTCTATGATGCGACGCATCGCGCGTTCCGGGAGAAAGTCCTCGAGAGCGGGGATGATGATGATGATGATGATCGCGTGGAGTGGACTGTTGTTAATGGCGGGTGGTTCATGGATTACTTCGCTCAAGGAAGTGCCGTTGATCCGACTGCTCTTGCTTATCGGGAGTTAGACGAGAGCGAGGGAGGTGAGGTGGGTACGGCGCCGTCCTTCGACCCGACTAGGGTCCGGTCGTATATGAAGCCACTTCCGGGCATCTGGCCGCTTGACCTTGATACTTTTTCGGCGGTTATACCAGGTACCGGAGACGAGCCGATCGGATGGACGGCTGCGCGGGATGTTGCGAAGGCGCTGGTAAGGCTTGTTCAAGCGCCGCGAGGGACGTGGGAGAGACACACGTATGTTGTGGGTGAGATTGGGACGTGGAATCGGGCTGTGGATACAGTGGAGAGATTCTTCGGGAGAAAGATTCAGGTCTCGAGGAAGTCTGAGAGTGACATCTTTGCTGCTGTGCAGGATGAATCGCTGGGGCCAGGGGAGCGGGCCATTGCGTTCATGGACGAGTGGAATGTGACGGGTGCTAGTGCGGTGCCTATGGATAGGGTTCTAACCCAGCGCGATATGTTCTTCTCTGATGTGACGTTTCGAGATGTTGGGACTTTTTTGAAGGATGCTTATGAGCGGAGCTTCGATCGTATGGTTTGATCGTGCAGATGGGACTGGGATTTGGCATTGATATGAATTTTGTATGATAGACCAAGTGTTTCCATATGTCACAAGAATTATGCCATATAATCTGTTTGGTTCCATTTTGTAACATGTCGATCATTCCGCCACTGTCTACCTGGTCGGGGTCAGTATTAGGGCTGGTGCCCTGATTCGTAGCCCTTGCCGGGACATGCAGTTGCGGTGAAGTTTGCAGAGGATGGCCTGTATCTGAGAACCATGGCTATGACTGCACCCCATGTTCACATGGAAGGCTGCTTTTTCACGTACATACTAGGGACTGGTTGCTGCAACATTATATCCCATCCTCCCTGATGAACCATACAACAAAGACTCGGGCTTGGACATTGTTGATGGACCCTCCGTGAATGCATAGCACCACAGGCATAAGCGTCAGGGCCATGACAATACAAGACCTCAGCTTACACCCCAGCGTCATCAGGCATATTATCAGACACCCAGCCTACCACTCGATCCATCCATCGCAGATCAATATTATTATAGGCTCCGCAATGGGTCACTATCGGGTAGTGGAGGTGCGGGGGTGCGCCAAGGATCTGGGGTATCAAACACGGGCGCCATCGACCATCAACCAAGATTGGCCGCCACGGGCGGGGTAGAAAGTCAGTCTGCAGGCCCAGGAGGCATCCGTTGGATTCCCCATCCAATGACAAGATCCCCCTTTAGCCAGATTCGTACCCTCCTTCATGCAATACTGCCCCTTTACGAGACAAGCGGCTAGTTACTAGTAACCCTGGCCTGTCGACAGCTTCGGTGGATCTGGGGTAGCGGTTGGCCCACCCCCCCGCCCCTCGGTGGAGTATTGGGAATGGACGGATATTTTGATGGCCGTGAGACGGGAAAGTGCTTGGTGGGGCGCTTGTTTTGATATTAAGTGTGTAGGTTTGGGGGGAGGAGATGTGATGTGAACGGCCATGTCAGCCCATGATGTGTGTGTGTGTGTGAGACTGGTGTGGTACGAGTGTTGGGTTATCTGCTGACGCGGACAGCAGGTATGATGTATGTGTGGCCAGATCTTTACCTTGATTCGTTTCCTATTGATTGCTTATCCTTGTTGCTGAGTTCATATATTTCCTTTGATTTCAAGTACGCCTTTGTGTACTTGTACTGTACTGCATGACATGTATGAGCTGGCCCTAGTACTTTGGCTCAGCCTATCCCCCTGAGATACGCCCATCCCCTTCCTTCCACCTCATCACCATCAAATCAGTCAAATAATAAATGAATACCATAAACTCCGCCCCTGAAGTCAAAAATATCCCTCAAATCAAATCGAAGCATTCCAGCCAGCGGACTGAATCGTAAACATAGAAACATAGAAAACAAAAGAAAACCAAGACAGGCCAGTAGCTGTCTATGAAAGTGTGCTTTACGCCAGCTTCATCCCCCCAAACTCCCTTGTATGCTCTATTTCAACCGGCTCATGAATTTCAATGTGAGGTATACAGCGGCCATGGAAGTGTAGACTCCTCCTACGCCAGAAATCCACACCGGTCTGTGGGCGGTCATGGATGTCCGAACGACGTTTGCTCGCTGCCTTCTGGTTTCTGGATGACGAAGTCAGTTAATATGAAGCACACTGTTAGGGAAGAAAATCTCATACCAGTGTTGAGCACGCGGTTTCGAAACACATTGAGCTGCTGACGGGAGTATTCGCCCACGGACGAGCCCATGGAGCGGAAACTCTGCATGATAGGCGCAGACATCTTGACGGCGTCGTGTAGTGTAGTTTCAAGATAGATAAAGTGTTCAAAAGTAGATACTGATGGAAATAGAGACTTGAGATGATGGCGAGGACCCAACCATCAAGAATCCCCTAGATACAAGGTGACACAACCTTTATATAGCAACGTCCTTGTCACCTAGATGCGGGGTAGTCACGAGACAAGGGATGCTAGTATCAATGATACATCGACCAGTCCAGTCCTCATTCCTAGACGGTGGTAAGGTTGCCCGGCCGTCACCTCCGTGGCGATGATTGGATGCGATTCGCGCGCATCGCCCTGTTTAGGTTCTGTTGCAGGGTTGGGCCGACTCTCCCCTGATGAGAGACACGGCGTGATTGGCAGAGGGATGAGGACAACATGATCATCGCAGTTGGTCTGAGGAGCTGGTGGCAATAACAAGGGAAGAGCTATCTATCTGTTGCAGCTGGCTGATGTCATTCTGCTTTTCGTCTGGTGGTGCTGTTGCCTGTAAAAGAGTTTACACGGTCGATCAACCCATGGCTATGTCGACTCTTGACTCTGCGGACGGTGGGTGAATCCATAGTGCGATGCCTTCCTTTGGAATAAGACTGTTCTCTTTCTTGTGTAAGTTTGCTCATGAGAATCAAACCAAGTATATGGATGTGTTCCAATGGCGCATCCTGTGTCTCTTACCGAAGATGTGTCGTGGGAATTGGTCTAGTCAAGAGACGTACCTATCGCCGTCCAATTTTCTCAAGATTTACATGAGCTATTATAGTGTTCGCACTGTTATGCACATGTATTCAGTCTTTGATCTCGTCATAGAACTCCAACAGACACCATCAAACCACCTTATTTAATTTATTGATGTGGGTATCAGATAGCCATAAAATTCCTCCGTACACTTTGTCCTCCACGCCCTATTGCTTCTATGGCTTCCAGTAAAGTCAAATATTTCAATTTGTTATATTGATTTCGTCTAAAACTATCTTGACTAGTATTGACGATAGCGATCAAGAATCTTTTGGTGCTTCTATAGAATGGGACAAATTCTATGGACAATCGCCAAGAAATCTGCACGATATGCAGCCATAAGAAAGTCCTACACTTTCATGGTCAGTAAAGGCAGCGAACCGATTGGAGTTACTGACTTTTGGATGCTGTAGTGGTGTTCATACAGGGATACTGAGTTGCAGCTAATCTATTCGTTGTATAGAGTGTATGGCTAGTAGGGCCGTGACAGCAACGCCATAGGGGCTTTGACAACAATTCTATAGAGGCCAAAGCAGATTCTATTTGTCATAACTCACAAGAACCAGAGCTTTGTATTTCTCTTATCACTACTAGAAATTCAAAGTAATATATAACAGTAGCATCAATTAGTGATTGCCATATTGCCAAAGGGCTATTTCCAGGCGCACCACTAGGAATTCACACAGACGACATGATCACTAAGAGATAGATTGAGAACACAATGCGACATATGCAGCCATGATTGACATAGATGATTTGTATATGTATTTCCAATATCAAATAACTAAGAGAGAACGAGAAGTAACAAGATCGAGACCAAATTATCGATAAGCCAGATAAGATAAGCTCCTCAACTGGCCAAGCCGGCCACCCACGTCATCAAGTCGTCACGTGCTCGCTAGTTTTTCACACATTCTATTTAATTGCCGGTTTCTTGCATTCCATGCAAAAGATTCAAGGATCTTGATGTTTTGGTATAGGGTCAAGTTGGTGACCGTGGTATTTTCCGTAGTAGAATCGCAATAGATAGATAATCACACGTGATCGCGCTCGACGTCGACGCATGTGGTTGGTGGAAAATCCATATCATTCTCCGATTGAAGGATGGCCGCTCAATCCAGTGGGAGAACCCACACGAAAATCCTAGGTGCCTCAGACTACGATGAGGCCGCCTACTGGGATGAGAAATTCGCAAATAAGAAAGATATTGGGGAATGGTTGAACTCGGGAGACGCGATCATAGACGTGGCCCTGTCTAGCCTGGACGGTCGGCAGTTTGACCAAAGCACTGGCCATCCCCGCGTGCTGCATCTCGGTCCGGGCATCTCAAAGTTGGGATCAAGGCTTCGCGATGCGTTCGTACAGCGTGGTTTGCAAGGAAAGAGCATTGTGGTGGGTAGAATGTTGCTCGCTTCTGTGCCATTGTTGCCCACTAACTGTTGCTTTCTCGAGTAGAACGTCGACTTTTCAGCTGAGGCTGTTCGCCTGGGTCGGGATCTTGAAACAGATCTTGACCCTACCCGAGCAATGCACTGGGTACAGGCTGACCTGCGATCCTGGGCCGATGTCTCCGAAATCTCCTGCTTCGCTCCCGTCGACATGATACTCGACAAGAGTACGAGCGACGCGATCGCGACGTCCGCACCCGTGGCATTCTCATCTTCTTCTGATGCATCGGACACCTGCGAAGAAATACAAAGGCTTGTGAAAAAGGGCGGGGAGATTACGTTACTGCCTGTCGAGGTGTTGGCGCTACATCTTGCACCGCTGGCTCGACCCGGTGCTATTTGGATTGCCCTTTCATTTTCGGCCACGCGGTTTGAGAATTTACCTCATGCTATGGCGCACTGGGCTGTGGTGGCCCAGAAAGCGTTGAAAGCACCGCATGGTCACTCCTCTCCATCGGTGCACACACCTGAGGTGTTCCACTGGCTTTATATCTTGAAGCGCAAGTAGCATCCACTGTTGGGATTGGCATCTTTGCACGTCACTTGATTGTCCAGTGTTTGCGGGTGTCAACTCATTTTGTCAGGCTTTGTTCGGGATGATTGTTTGAAATACCAGATCCCGCTCTGAGTTTGTTACTGCATCAGTGATGTACCCAATCCCACCATAGGCTACTTGTTTTTATCGCGATAGCCTACAGCATCGGCACTTCGCAAACATGACAGAATACATGAAATTTGCCTAGACGACCAAAGTATCTTGAATCCGCTTAACTGTTACTGGATTTCAGCTCCTTGAGCTCGTCGGGCCCAAGCAATCCAAGCCCTTCCCTTCGGGTGGGCGCACTAGGATCAAAGAAAGGCTTCTCGGCCAACGCTGTAACCCTAGTTCCATGTCTGGGCTCATTACCTTCGTAATCCCAACTTGCGTTGTGGATGGTGATCCTGCAAGGATGTCAATGGGAATGTTACGCGAACAGAAAGGGATCAATAGAGACAGACCTATTATCCCAAAGGGCACTCGTTCCTGGCGACCACTTGAATCGCACCTGAATATCCACGTTCTTCTCGTACACATCGCAGAGGTACCCCAGTATAACATCGCTCTCCGCCTTGTCAAAACCGACAATTCTATCGGTCATGGCTCTGTTCACCCATAAGGCTTTCCATCCCGTCCCGGGGTGAACACGGACAAGAGGATGCTCGCGCTCCACATGTCTGGGGCCCCGCTCAGGATGGTCACGATCAAGATATGGATGCGCAGAGCGATAAATTGCCGTCTTTCCATCGATTATCTTTCGAAAGGCTGGCGAGAGCTTCTCGTAGGCGGCGTACCCACTTGCCCAAAGGGTGTCTCCCCCAATGTTTGGCACTGTGTCGTTATGGAGATGGGTTACGCCGGCTGGCTGGCGCTCGTGCACCAGGTCTGTATGCCAGCGGGACGATCCTCCTGGACGACGGAAACTGGCAGGCATTTCCGTCGCCTGAAGCTCAGGCCAAATAACGGTGACTCCAGTGACACCAGGCACCTGGGGTACTTGAGGCTATAGTAGATCAGCATGCGTACCAACGCGATGTCCAGAAAACCATACATGTACTTCAATTTCCCCGAACCATTCACCGAGCTCCTTCTGCTGTTGTGGTGTGATATCCTGGTCACGGAAGAACACAACACTGCGCTCGGCAATAAGCAAACCAAGCTCATCTCGCTGCTTGTCATTGAGATCCTTCAGTTGAAGACCGATTATCTCTGTTCCAATATGCTTTGTGAGATCCACTACTTTCTCCGCAGCCGAAAGTAGAGCCTTCTTCTGAGGGTCCGCGCGAGTTGCTGGGTCTACATGAGGACGATCGTAGTCCCTGATGCTGTAAACGTCGTCCAAGTAAAGAGGACGGGATGGTCGATACGGATATCCTTCCGAGAGATCTACCCCGGCCTTCTCGAGCCGTTTGCGAGTTGGAGCTGGGAGACCCAAAGTATCTTTTCGGGGCTCTGCAACATCGACGAACCGGGGGTCGATTGGAGCTGGCGCCATACTTTTCTTTTTTATTATTTGAATATAAGAAAGTCCTGGAATAATGAGTTCCACTGCGTGGGACCAAAAAACGAGGCAAATATCGCAAGGCTGAGTGATCTGATATCTTCTTTTTTCATCTCTATAAGTACTTGGTGATCGATAGTATCCATGGCACACCCCCGCTTCCAGATCATGGATCAATCACATCATCACAACACCGCATTGCGCACTGAATACTCATCCACTGTACTTATTAGTTTTCTATACCTTCCCCTCATTGCCTCTTATCTCCATGCACACCATATGACTCAAATCCTGTCATGAGGCATGCTGCTATATCATCATGCAGGGATTTGATGGCGCATCGCGATGCGATTTATAATAGACGGCCAAAGCAGGAGTACAAGCGGGGTTTCTGACAGTAGTCTTCATTCTAGACTTCGAGTTCTAAACCTACGAGATAACCGCAAACTCGCTGAGAGGCTTGAATATGCTGCCCCGAAGCTAGCTAACACGCTAGTGCCAATTACACCACCACCATGCCCCATAACGCAAGCTGCGCAGTGGCGCAATTCTCGTAATATTAGCGACTTGCAACATGTGCGTGGACGTTAAAAGGTGAGGTTGGGCTTGGAATGGTACTGCATTCCAACTGTAAAGAACAATCACCCTCATGACTCGTCATCAAATCCGCCGTGTTGCCGTGATAGGCGCAGGAATCAGCGGGGTCGTTACGGCCGCACATCTACTCTCAGCAGGATTAGAGGTCACTGTGTTCGAGAGGAACCAGGCTGCCGGTGGGGTTTGGTATGTTTCTCATCTCCTATGACAGAATCGCTACTGATCGCCATGGCAGGCTATACGATAAACGCAAGCCGCATGACCCTCACTATCCTGCCGTCAAGCCATCAAAGGGCGAAGAAACAGTACATGGGACCGACGAGGCCGCGGTCTTGCTTGAACACGCGCCGCCGGGGTAAGAATGTCTGATAGACTCTCGGAATCCGAATTGACTGGTATAGTCCGTGCTATGAGGGTCTCAAGAATAACGTTCCAACCCCGTTGCTGCGCCTCACGTTTAACGCGTGGGCCCCAGGCACTCCTGACTTTGTCAGCCACCAGGTCATAAAAGAATACATCCAGGACACCGCGGAAACGGGTGGCTCGGAGGAAGTCACCATCTACGGGGCGAAGGTGACCCACGTTTGCAAAGTCGGGCCTGTCTGGCGTGTCTCTTGGGTTACCCGACGTGGTGCGGCACGGGACGCGGGGAGCGCGCGAGAGAAGACAGCTGTAAGATCTGTGCCGTGATCTACGTGGATCCATTTTGACGCGGGAGTCAGTATTTCGACGCGGTGATAGTAGCTTCGGGCCATTACCATGCTCCCCGCGTGCCTGATACACCTGGGCTAGCTACCGCCAAAGCGAACCATCCATCTCGAATCTCTCACTCAAAGGAATACAGGTCTCCACGAGATTACAAAAACATGGTATGATTAGGAACGTGCCACGGGCATTTAGAAGATTGGCTGATCATGGACCTAGACCGTTCTTCTAGTAGGCGGAGGTGTCTCGTCTGTTGATATAGCCCGCGAGCTCGGCCCCGTAGCGAAGAAAGTCTACCAAAGCACCCGCAACGGGAAATTCGACCCTCCATCTAGCCTACTACCCAAAAACGCAGTCAGGGTCAGCGAGATAGTCGGGCTTGAGGGTAGCTCGGACAAAGAACTTTCTCCTCTAACAGCACATTTGCAAACAGGACAGATATTGCGCGACATAGACGCTATAATATTCTGCACAGGGTACCACATGACCGTGCCATTTTTTCCTGAATACCACAATGATAATATATCGGCAGACCAGGCAGACGAGAAGGTTCTGGTCACAGACGGGAATCAGGTTCATAACCTGCACAAAGACATTTTCTACATCCAGGACCCCACGCTAGCTTTTGTTGGGGTTCCTTATTACACTGCAACGTTCACCTTGTTTGAGTTTCAAGCCATGGCAGTTGCAGCTGTGTTTTCTGGTATTGCGAGTCTTCCAACTACAAAGAATATGCGTACGGAATACCTAGCAAAGTTGAAACGGCTGGGCGCTGGGAAGCAATTCCACTCGCTGAAAGATGTGGAGGACATTTACGTCAGAGAACTTGTGGAGTGGGTGAACAACGGTCGATCTGCTTTCCATCTTCCTCCGATTGAAGGGCATACAAAGCAGTGGTTTCAAGCGAGGAAAGCATATAAGGAACATGTAAAGATACTTCAAGGCAAATCGTAGAATCGCCCCATGGAAGTTGAAAGATAGCGGTCATATTTCGCAAAACCTAGAAGACGTTTTTAAGCCGAACACAGCAAATTGCTCGATTATAGTAGTTTAGTAGCACAATCCACCGCAGTAATGGCGTTTCATGCACCATAGAAACTAGAGTTCTAATTCCATAATTGCTAGCTATGGTCGCGAGGCACATCATGCAGGATCTGTATGACGAGATATGATGGCGACATGGTGTCTTGTAGAGCCACTAACCTTGCGCTCTGGTGGCGGAAAAAGCACCATGCAGCCAGACCACGTTGGTTATCAACAAGACTGACGGCTTGCAGAGTCCGAATTGCGCGAGCTTCACTATAATGAGGAATAGTGGTTTGAAGTGGAGGTGGGGAGGAAGCAAGGAGGAGAGCCTAGACTATCGACCATTACTTCACCCAGAATAACGGCTATTTGAGTTGTAAATATTATGTAGAAGTTCCACACTTTTCTTTTGCAAATGCGTTGTTGTTTTCATGACAACGACTATGGCACCCCCTGTAGCAAATGTTAACGAGCGTGCTATTGAGCCGTCCCCGAGGGCTATCCGGGAAGCGCCAAAGCGGAGATGGGTGAGCTATATTTGGGATACTTTTGATAAATCACCAGAAGAGCGTCGACTACTATTCAAGTTGGACACAGCGATTCTAACATTTGCATCACTGGGTAGCTACTCTATCTTCGTGAGCTCGAGAGAATTTCTTTCTGCTAACGCCAGCAGGTTATTTCATTAAATACCTTGACCAGGTCAATATTAACAATGCATTCGTTTCGGGAATGTGAGTATAGACTGCATGAATTAGGTTCCTGTTACCCACTCTCTAATGCCAAATAGGAAAGAAGATCTAGGACTATACGGAAACGAGCTGAACTACATGCAAGCATGTTGGACTGTGGGATATGTCATTGGAGAAATTCCCAGCAATTTGCTTCTGACGCGGATTCGACCACGGTATTGGATTCCTGCTATGGAGGTATGTATCGTTTTTGTTGTCCAACGAGGACAGTACTAAAATGTAGTAGTTATTGTGGACGGTCCTTACGTTCTCGCTCTCGCGATGTAACACCGCTACACAATTTTATGTTCTGCGGTTCTTCGTCGGTATGCTTCTCTTAATGACAACCTAGTTGATAAAAAGCAACTGACATCATTAGGTCTCGCTGAAAGCACATTCTACCCCGGAATGCAATATATCATCGGCTCCTGGTATCGTAAAGACGAACTCGCAAAACGCTCGTGTATATTCCATACTAGTAGTGGCATTGCGGCCATGTTTTCAGGATACCTCATGGCTGCTGTGTATAACCTAGAAGGACGCGGTGGGTTCCGAGGCTGGCAGTGGGAAGTGCATTCGATTTCATTCTCACAGGACTGGGCATGCTAACATATTTCTGCAGGCTCTTCGTGGTCGATGGCATCATCTCTTTGCCAATCGCACTAAGTGGATTTTTTATCCTCCCAGACGTGCCGGAGATTTCGAGCCCGTGGTATCTCAGCGAACGGGTGCGTTGACTCAAATATGAGTTATATCGAGATATCAACTAATTTGAGGATAGGAAGTTGAGCTTGCCCAGAAACGAATGGAGCTTGAAGGTCGGAAAAATCGGCAACCTTTTACAAAGAAAAAGTTCAAGAAGATATTTTCCTCGTGGCATATCTATCTTTTGACGATAGCGTACATGTGAGTTCCTTATATACCCTTACGTCATGGATAATGTGAGATATTGATCAAAAGCAGAGCATTCAACAATGCGGGCACAGGCAGCCAGCCAGTTTTTCAGCAGTAAGTTAAATTTACAAACGCGTTGGAAGACAGAGTTCTTATAAAGTATCCAGATATCTCAAATCGTCCAAGGACCCAAAATACACCGTGGCCCAAATAAACGCCTATCCAACGACTACGAACGCTGTCCAGGTCGTCACAACGCTCATATATGCTTGTGTGTTCCATGGCCATTCCCACACATCAACAGAAAACATGCTAATCGCGCTATAAAAAGGGACTTCTGACTCTATTCTCAACGGAAAACGCTGGCCTCCTATCATATTCGGCGCAGTGAGTATCTCCCCTTCGTTTGATTGTCACCGCAAGGTCAAACCCAGAGCTAACTCAGACCAGAGTATAAACGTAATTTGCTACGTGTCTCTTGCAGTGTGGGATATCCCCGAAAGTTGGCGGTGGGCCTGCTATATCCTCTGCGGCGCAGGGTCTGGTATCAGCGGGCTGCTCATGGCGTGAGTGACTCCAGTTTTTCTGTTATTGATAGAGAATCATAACCCACGCTATAATGATATATGAGCTAATCTCAAGTGAAACAGATGGGCTCAGGAAATATGCTCCGAAGACAATGAGGAACGCGCTCTCGTCATTGGCTCCATGAATGAAATGGCCTACGTGTTCCAAGCCTGGCTACCCCAGGTGGTGTGGCAACAGGTAGACGCACCGCAGTATCAGAAGGGGTTTATTACGGTCACTATACTGTCTATTATCTTGATTGTCACTACTTGCGGGATCTTTTCCATACAGAACTCCGAGGCTAAGAGTCATAGGTAAGTCAAGATTACTCTAAAAGCTAGCGGTAATACTGTTTTGTTGACAATTGTTTACAGACCGCACGGAAAACATAGTGAAGATCCAATAGAGACAGAACAAAGTACTAATGGCACAGTGTAAGGGTTATCACACATGGAATTTATTGGAGCTTAGAGGCTATAACACATTTGAGACCACCAGAAAATTGAATGTGACAGCCATTTTGCTGCTATGAATACGTTCCTGTGGCGCTGTAATGGTTCAAAAAAGCCAGCACTCATATATAGATATCTAGGGAGTTACTTGATATTATTGCAGTGATGCATGAGAGTTTGAGAGCCAAAGGATATCTGCTAATGTGACATTGAATATACCCTGGTTTTAGTCCCCCGACACCATGGAAGTGAATACAGCGAACAATCTAGACACTGCATGAAGAAATCAATCTAGGGCTACTGTCCCAGTGATGCCTGGAAGCCAGATCAGTAAAGTCACACAAAGGGCATTGCTGCCTGGTACCCGGGCACGTGATGCTGTCTTCTCGGAGGGACCCTATGAAGGTATTTATATCGCTTCCTTTCCTCTGCAATCCTCTGTCTCTACTTCTTCTTGTATCGTCATCAGTTATCTGCTTGTCTGCTCGTCTTGGTGGGGATACACTGGGATTTTATCAAGTCAACCAAGTAGGCTACTCTCTCCATCCTCATTACTCTTCTTCTGACCAATACTATAGTCAAAGCCAGCTAACCACACATCTTCAAGGCTACAAGATCTCTCACAACCATTTGGACAGTGCTCTGAGTCTCTCCCTTTCCCACATAAACCTCCAACATGGATACCGAAAGCGTAAGTCGGAGCTCCCAGGATGTAGTGGATCCTGACCGACCCTCTCAGAAACGTGCACATCAGGCGAAGCAAATTGAAACCATACACAGTTATGTGACTCGGTGGATGATAAAGGTAAACAATAAATGATCAGTAACATTGAAGAGATCCCTGCTAATTTTGGATAAATGGACAGGAATGCAAAGTTGACGCGTGTGTTGACTGTTTCCTACGACGCCTAAGTGAAATACGAAAGCCGGTCCCCGGCTTTCACGGGCCCGACCTCCTAGATTTCAACTCATTTGAGGGCGAAGAGGCACACAAGCTGGAGATGATAGTGCAGGAGCTGCGCACTAACTTTAACAACTTACTTATTCATTATCCAGAGCATGAAGGTAGTCTTCTGGCCAATGAGAGGGTCTTGAGACATCTGAAAGGCAGACTGAATTTCCTGTTGCAGCATATGTCAATGCTATCAAGAGATACGCCACCCGAGAAGAAAGACAAAGAATTCATTCAGGCCATGCAAGATGTGCTCTTGTCGAGTCGTATCCGACAGCTGGAAGATTATCTCCAGACAGATCAACCTGAATCGTCTGCCTTGCAAGAAGGTTCATTGGAAGAGACATGCCGCCAGTTACGGGACTCCTTTCAAGGGGAAGCGGCTTCAGCATCTTTCGTATGTGGAGGTGAGATACCACTGGGCACTGCCACATCGCTCTCTGCGCCTCCACCAGTGCAGCTTGTATGGTGGGCTGGGGAGCAGCCGGCGGGAGACCGACGACTCATCCTTCCCCTCGATGATGCTACCCCCGAGAGTAGTCTCGAGAGGCTTCGACATCTTGTCGCAGACTGTGAGCCTGCATCATTTGGTAGGGGACAGGAAGATGTTCTCGATCCTGCGTACCGCAATGCAGGAAAACTTGATCCCACCCAGTTTCTCACAAACTTCCACCCTGCCGACTTCGGCATCATCGAGAGTGTGGAGAAGATCCTCCTCCCCAACGTTGGCACAAACATCAAGGACCTTGTGCACTGCCGTAAACTCACATGGGAGCTTTACAAGTTGAATGTATTACCCCTGCCTTTTGTCTATACTCCTGATTAGGTTGCTAATGGTAATGCCTTCAAGGTCTATTCTGGGCCATCGGGAATCTTCCAGAAACACGTCGACACACCCCGGGCGGAAAATCAAATTGCATCTCTTGTCGTTTGTCTCCCATCCCCGTTCAAGGGTGGGCAATTGTCTGTCCGGCACAACAACCGAGAAGTCGAATTCGATTGGAGCTCCCGGAGTTCCTCTTCCATCCAGTGGGCGGCTTTCTACACTGACTGCGAGCACGAGATCAAACAGATCACCGAGGGAGAGCGCATAACATTGACATACAATATTTATGCGACAGACGCATCTGGAGATAGTAATGTATCACCAAATAACAACGCTATCAATCCCGAAACACTGGCACCGTATAGATTTCTACGAAATCTCATCCAACAACCTAGTTTTATGAAAGAAGGTATCACGCAACAACAAGCAATCACACCACTCATCGAATAAAGCTGACGAATGAGTTACAGGCGGAGTTATAGGTTTCTACAGTTCCCATGCCTATCCACACGCATCAGAAGTCGCCAAGACACAGTTACCCAGTGCCCTGAAAGGCTCTGACATTATCCTGTACTCCATCTTCAAATCACTCGGGATGAATGTGGACGTTCTGCCTATTCTTGACGTTGACCCCATCCACGAGTCCCATTATTATGATGCCTTGATAGATACTGTCAAAGAACGCAAAAAACCTGCCCTTGTTTGAAGACATCAGTCTCCCTATGTCCGAAGAGGAGTACCAAGACGTCGCGCGCCAGTGGAAAGTACTATTCGTATCTCGTCGAGTCAAGGGGATGGACCATTTAGCGGATTACGCCCGAGCCTGTGGCTATCCCCTCTGCAAGGGGGATCCGTACGCGACGGTCAGGGAAATAATTGGCACGGAGCGCCATGCCTATCGCGCCACAGATCTCTCGCAGGAATACGGCATGACCATGGTTTGTCTATCTCAATCCCGTATCCATTGTACCCCCGATAGCTAACAGAGTACAATAAGGAAGAAGTCATGTCCGATTGGTCCTCCAGCTACGTAGCAGGTGTTACTTGGATCAATGAGCCCGCTCATCGCGAAATGGCGCTCAGCTACATAGCGTATGGAAACGAGGCTTCCATTGATACCATGTACTCATCTGCTGCTATCTTGGTGATCATTCCACCCTACGAAGAGCGTCAGGCTTTGTTGTCGGAACGGACGTAGGCTTCCATTTGAACCATGCACACCCGTCTGCCGCCATCCTGGTGGTCATTCCACCTTTCAAAGGGCGCCAGAACTTGCTATCAGAACGGGCGAAAGGAGTCTATAATGCTTCATGATTTATTACAAGATTGCCAAAAGGATTTTCATAATAGCTATAGGAATCAAATGTTTGGATTGCCATTGTCCACGGTAGATATATACACGATTTAGACTCCGGAGAGTAAGTATGATGAGTAGAAGTGCCTTGTTTTACCACGCCCTAGCTGCTTGTTTACAGGTGAAAAGCGACTTCACCTAATATAGAGCAAGGTTTAAAAAAGCTTATGGTAGATATACAACTACTTCTCGAACCCCACGTCTACCCCTAGTCAACCTAAAGAACTTCATCAAGCATGTCAAGTCCCGTAAATTTCGTCGCATAATATATACTTTACACCCATACTAACACCCTAGATAACCAACTCCTCCTTCCGTCTCCGAAAAGCAACTTTCGCCCTCGGATCCGAATTGAGCGAAATGCCATTCTTCATCGGAATCACCTTACACCCCTCAGCGAGCTTAAACTCATACTTCAGAAGGATATGGCACAGCGCAATCTTAACCTCATTGATAGCAAAGAACCGACCGGGGCAAGCGTGCTTGCCAAATCCAAACGCCATGTGGTCCGGGGACGGAGACACACACTGCGCGGAGGTCTCGTGGCCGGGGACTTCGCGCAGGCGCAGGAATCGGTAGGGGTCGTATGTTTCGGCATTGGGGTATACGCTCTCATCCCACATGCGGTTGGTGGAGACGAGGATGTTTGAACCTCTGGGGATGACGGTTCCGTCGGAGAGAGTGAGTTTCTCCTGGACGAGACGGCGCATGGAGGCTGTGAGGTTGATTCGCGTTAGATCTAAGTTATGGGAGTCTGGGGAGGGAATAGATTGACTCACCGATGGCGATCGGCTTCACCCGTTGGGTTTCTTTCAGGACGCTGTCCATGAGACGGAGCTTGTACAGAGTCGCCTTCTTCCATCCCTCGTCCTGAATGACATTGATGACTTCCTCACGCAACTCTTTAACCAGGTCATCCTTCCCGGCAATGTCGAATAGCACCTGAGTGAGCAGGTCGGACGTGGTGTGAATGGCAGCGACGGAGAACGAGATCTGCGCGAGAGTAGGGTTGTAGGGACGGCCCTTGGCGGATTCTTCCATCCACTGCATGGCGTCGACGTAGCGCTCGGGCTCCCGGCCTTCCTTGAGGGCGGCTTCTTTGGCGGCGCGACGCTCTTCAATGACTGGCGTGATGATTTCCCTGGCTTCCTTGAGCTGCTCCCGGATTTTACGGCAAGACGGGAGGAACCAGTTCGCGAAACGCCGAAGAGGCCTGGGCCACATACGGAGATCTTGGGCAGCGAGGAACGAATTAACCGTGTAAGTGACCGTGATGCGTAGCCAGGCGGGATCGCGACAGATCCTGTCGCCTAGGAAAACTTTAGAGGAGAGCTGGGCCACGATGCGAAGGATAGTGGACTTCAGGTTGACTTCGTGCCAGTCTGGGACGTTACATTAGTTCTTGAATCGTCTACCACAAAGACGGACAGGACAAACCAGGGCTGTCGGTCAAAACGGTACTCAGAGCAAGCGCCGTCTCCGACGAGAGTGGCTCCGTGACATTGCCTACATGAACGTTAGCCGTGGATGCATATAAAAATGCACAGCGTTCGACTACTAACCGAGACTCTGCGTCAGTTTCGTCCGGATGGCATCCTGCAGAATGGATTCGACGGATGTTCCCTCGGCAAAGGGCTCGAAGCCGGGAAGAGTCGAGTGGAATTCATCTGCGACGCTCAAGCCGAAGTTCAGCGCATGGTGGCTGCGAAGTTCCGTGGCGTATTTCGGTGACAGAATTGTCTTTTCACCGTTCTCGGTGATGATGCGGAATACGTTGGTCTAATTGGACACGTCTTAGTTCGCGCTCCACTGTCATTTGCATTTCGAGTGTCTTGTTTTGGGCTAGGTTCATGCAAGTCGGCTTCCCGTAAATCGGCGTCGCGCCTTCAACTATTCACGTACCTTCGCCAGTCCCGCCTGGATCAGATTCTGTGCATTTTGCACAAAACGCCTCTTCGCATTGGTACTCTGGAATTCGAAACGTCCTTTTCCATTGATGAGGGGAAGTCGCGAACCGTACGACGGTGCCAGCAAGAAGACCAAGGTGGACAGGAGTAACACTCCCGCCAGTCCATAAGGTCCCAGACCTGTCGCGTAGGGTTCAAGCTCACGGAGCATGGTGGTCGGATGTCGGTCGGTGATAGCTACCCCAACACAAATTTTCCGCAAATCGTGGGGAAGGGAAAGGACAGTCCTTTATATTGCGTTGGCTCCCCCTATCACAGTCGGTTATAAAGTTCTGCTCGGCAGGATTCGCACTTTCTCCACCGCGCGACGCATATTAAACACCAGGACTGTAACCGGGGTGCACGGATACTGTCTTCCGCAGGCATAATTTAAACGAGATTTTTTTATGCCAGGTGTGCCTTAGTTAATGTTGGGCGTTGGACTCCCTTTCCCTCAACGGGTGGAGCACGGGTTGAATCATCGCTTGGGAGTCTCCACCAACCATACCGTGTGTAAATAAAGGCGATCTACACGCGAGCTACCGGATCAATCCAGGATAGGCTTAGAAGTGTGAAAGCGCTGATTCATGTCCCCGCAAGTCAACCTCTCACCGGTACCGCCCGTCTCCCCTACTGCCCGATGGAGCTATTTGCAGGGTCGCTTGGCTGCCACAATTTACCGAGCAAAAACGGGAAGACGGAACAGCTAGACACAGCTCTGACATCTGCCCGCCGGGGACGGATGTTTTGGACTGTTGTCTCGCCATTTGGCGATAGACTAGGATCTACGATAGTGCATGTTTGCGAAATATTAGAAAGGTCATTTATGATGCTTGTTGCCCTCCCCGTTAAGGATCTCTGTCCGCGTGGTTACGACGGACGCGTCTCTAAGCGAAGGCATCTACCCCTGTGCAATCCAATCCTGTGCTAAACTCTATCGCAACGTCCCCACCCTTGCTGACAGGGTTGACGCAGCTGCAGATATGTTGCATTATGATATTTATGCAGTTTTCCGCGTATGAAGAAAAGCCGGAATGCCGAGTGTGGTTGTAGGGCTCCTCAAAACACACCACTCAGGAAGAACACTGCAGCTACTCTAGCAGGCCATGATGATCACGCGTTCATCACATCTCACAACCCACGCTGCCACCTTATGGGCACGGACGTTTATCATTTAAAATCAGACATGAGCGTTCACGAGATCTACAGCGGAGAAGTGCGATCGGACCATTCCGAGCCGAGACTGACAGTAATCCGCAGATAGGGCAAGAAAACCACGTGAATTGGGTTGTTCATAGCAAGTGCACCTCAATATCATGATCCATCTATTCGGGTTATGCGTCTGCTATTCCATGTGAACTTCCGCTGCTACCTAAAGTAGAGACTGAATGAACCTGGAACATGTTCCAAGTAGCACCGTCCCGCCCATCCATTCCCCCCGGACGCGCGCTTGGGGCAAGAATGGACTGCACTTTTTTAATTGTCAGACAGATTAGTGACGATGCATCGGACATAGGTCATGGCCGGGAGTTGGGTATGCGAATTAGACAGTCTCAGATCGAGCAATATGTTGAACATGGCCAGTATTACCTGGCGGGATAGCTTCATGTGATGCAGAAATAGTACACCAACATCACCAAACGAGAGTCCCAGGCATGATTCGGACACTCGGAAGCTCCGAATACGACATCCGCAGCTCCAGCTTTCGGAATCCTATTTCAATCCCCTTTGGACTGGGAAGACAGTGACTGCGACATATCATTGACCGGATTCAATACATCTTTATTTATACCTACACCATGTCGTGATCAATCATCATTCGTCTGACATCCTTTACAGATCATGACGTAAATAGAAACTCTATACAATGCACATTCTATGGAATTGTGGATTCTTTGTCTGTGGTGCCCTGTGAGATTAACAGATCTGGTGTAACATTCCCCGATCTCCACTAGACCAATTTGCAACACGTCTGGTTGGGAAACCAATAGCGGAGCTTCCTGCAGCTGCAAGTGACGGATCGACTGTCAGCTTTGAACATCTGCATGGGATGTTCAGTATTTCCTCGGGACATCATCTTAATAGGAATCCTTTTCATCAGAAGAAGGGTTCAATATATAACGACACCATTCTCCAAACCATGGCAACGGTTTTCGAAGATCAAAGCATTCCTCTCAGTATTTTTCGTTCCCTCAAAGCATACACACCCAATACCCAAGCATCTTACATACGACCCCAACAAACACAAAATGAGAATCACCTCCCCCAAAAGCGGCGACAAGATCAACCTCAAGGAGGACTGGCAAGTCTCCTGGGAAGATGTCCAGCCGTGCGTTGCCCATAACCTATCACTCTTCCTTGTTCAAAGTTAACAATAGCAATCCTTCCACAGATCCGATGGCCACGAGATAAGCCTCTGGCTAACCCACTACACCACAGACCCCGCGCAGCACACCCTCCTAGACCTGGGCGTGGACCCTACCCAGCAGAGCTGTGTGACTATTCCTGGAAAGCACAGGCATGGAATTGATGGCGGGTACGTTGATTCATACTTTCGTATCTCATGCGACAACGAAGGAGGAACTGGCTGACTAATAATGGCAATTTACAGCGACCATTATAGAGTGTGGGCCACCAGGCCTGATCTCAAGTCGTGGCCGCCGAGTATTCTCGCCGAGTCGGCTAACTTCCATGTTGATAATCCTGTGAAAAAAGGGAAATGAGTCTTGTTCTGTAGGTATCTTGATCTGGGCGCATGATGAACTGGGATGGGGGGAGTGGGATTGGGAAACTGGGGAAGTGTTTCTGTACGCTTCGGCGACCCTCGCATGTATGTGGCATGGGCCAAGTTGGAACGTGTATCTAGGCTTGGTGTTTTAGATGGAGAATTTGACACGGAACGCGCAGTGAACTATGTCCCCTATTACAGTTGCAGGTAAATAAGCTGGAGTTTACGGTAAGCACTCTTCGTCGTGGTGGTGATATTATCGCGTACACCGAGGTCCGAATAGTAAAGCAGGAAGTGCCGTTTGTAGAAATGTGAACAATCGGAATATCTTGGAACGTAACCCTGTCTCATTTAAATTCATCAAACTAAAAAAGAAAAGGAAAAAATCATCTAGGTTATTGTTATCCATGTGTGCTCCTCGAAGACAACATATGTGATCACCTTGAAGGACGTATATTCCTCAAGAGAAGAGCCAAACGACCCCGTAAGCTCCTGGCAAGGGTCGCTGCGACGACCCGACTCTGAGGGAACAGACTTGCAGTAACAAGAGAAACGCCAATGCAGACAGTCGCCGCGCTAGCAAACGCAGAGAAGAGGCCCAGATACGACAAAATTTCTATACCCGGTCGCTTGAATATGTAGCTCCTTTGCTCCCCGGGACGCGTCAGACGGTTCAAGGCCGGCACGTATTTGAACTCGAATAGCGTTTGCTTTCCAAGGCCGGTACCTTCGGCGAGAAGATGATTCCAGGCTACCTTACGTCGGGTCTGTGAACGCAGGGGAAATGGTCAGAATAGTCTGTTCCGTGGGATTGGCGAAGCAAAAAGAGAAAGGAAGGGATGCCCACCTCGATCATACACCGGTCGATAAAAGGCACCTTGGTCACCGTCTTGGCTTGCATCTTGACCCAAAAACAGTATCCCCACATAAGGACGCGGTAATACCAGTTTGTGCGAGGGACATGAAGCTCGTCGGCAAGTCGGTCCCCGTTGAACAGCCGGGTCAGGGCATCGATGTACCCCTTGGAAGCGTATAGAGGCGCCGTGTTCTCCAGCCCTATGGCAATGTTTTTCGCCAGAACGCGCCCCGTATCTGCGGGAGCGAACTCGTTGATAAGCATCGATTGAGACACAATCTTGCCCCTAGCGGCCGTTGCAAAGAACTCCGTCGGCGCGCCCATGTAGTGCCCTACTAGACGCCACAGCGCGATGTAGTCCTCGATCTCCTGATCGCTCAGGTGAATCCCCTGGCGAGGCAGGCCCAGCCAGACCACCGTGCCGCTGAAGGTATTGATCGTGGCAAAGGAGTCCAGGTCGTTGATGGGGAGGCCGAACTTCTCGATGTCGTAGTAGCTTGGGTCTTCCTTCACGAGGCTCATGATTCGGCGCCGAACGGCGGAGTGCAGCAGTCTCACTCGCACGGAGGCTATCTGTCCCTCGCCACCGGGGTTCATGCCGTCTGTCAGACGGTGCACCTGAAGCGTGTGCTGGGCTGTCTCTAGCAATCGTCGTCGCACGACGTGGTGGCTAAATCCGCCTGTCCGGGATAGGGTCTCTCCTACGCGGATTGCTCCCCTGGAGATTTGTCAGGATGGACATCAACGAATAGATTCCGGTGGAGTATACATACATGCCACCCAGTAAACTTTGGAAAGATAGCTGCCAGTAAGTCCACTATCAGCCCAGTCCTACACACAGCTCGAAGGATACATACCACGTTCGTGATCGGCACGAGATACCGCCAGAATATGTCCTGGCCCCGGTGGATCTGGTCCCAATCAACCCATTCCGGGACTGTGTTTATCTGCCTCCAGAGCTCATCGAGCGCCGGATGGCTCTCGTGGTGGTCTCGCAACAGCGCATATCGGTCTGCCCTCAGAGGCGTGCCACTGTCATCGGAGTCCGCGATGATCCTGTCCAACACTTCGCTACACTCATCCGCGAGAGTGTCGCAGGTCCGAGTCAACGGTTCAAATTCACTGTGTGGGAGATGCTCATCGGTCCACTCGAATTGATAGTCCCAGAAATCATATATAATTCGATTTCCGGTGGTGTTCTTCGTGTTCGTCATTTTGTTCCAATTGGGCGGACTAGTTGTCTTGCCGCGAGTGGGGCATTAAAACACTGAGGGGTTGTCTGGTTCACGTACGAGACCCTGGAGCCTGAGAACAGCAGATATACATTCTTTTGACGTCGCCATGATACTTCTCCAGACCCGCGGACCGGGATCCGTTGGCAAGAGGAGTTCCTTCAGGTTTCCCATGAATGAGGGCTCGACGGGATCGGTGAACCCTTCGAGCCGAGTGGTTTGCATGTGAAATGCGGACTTTACTAGCCTCATACCCGACGGGCCGTTCTCAGCGGATGGTGAATATGATGTCTTTCATGAGGTTATCTAGGGATGTTTAAGCAGCATGAAAGAGGGAGAAACTATCAATGGATATTTTTTTTCTGGGGTCTAAAACAGTCCATGATGAAGAAGACCCAGAATATAGTGGGTGGACCCAATAGACAGTGCGACCACGAGTCATTAATATTCCACTTGACCAAAGCCTTTTAAAAACAAACCCTACCAGAATTTGGCTGTCGCGATGGGCTGGGCCACAGCCTCAATAACATTATCTAGATGCGGTTCATCAATTCAGGAGCTCGATAAACTTAACAAATTGTTAGAAATCCAGAGGGTTGTCTGTTGCTTTATCGGCGTCTGGCTGATTTTGACGCTATTCCCACCTGGTTTAGCCCTGTTGAGAAACGATCTCATTGGAGATTAAGCGGTGCAGTCCCCACACCTGCCCCAGAGCACAATGCAGGGCCTGCCTTTTGACCAGCAAGACAATGAATATCATACGCTCATGATTATTTCTTTCCAGCGCCGATTCCCTGGAACACTACAACTGTGGGGATGTGAGACATACGAGGCATGGCAGAACCACTTGAAATCGGTCCAAATCTCCATTGTCTTGGGAGAATATATTGATTTTACGGCTCTCAGACCCCCATCAGCCAAGATTACAGCCGTCGGGCGTGCAACGTGGCCCTGAGGATCACTTATCGCCCCCCTGGCTGACAACGCTCGTATACGCAGATCATTTTTCATGACTCGATCCAGATAGAGGCTATACTAGTTCTATCAATTCAGTTGGAAGATGACGAGGCTTATTGGTCATGTTCTAGACTCGACTACAGGGGGCGGGGAAAGGAAGGAACATGAACTGCACGTGCAAAGATGATACGCAGAGCAATATAAGTATGAGTTGGCCCTGGAACCTAATATCGGGGTACATTAGTTTTCCCATATGCTGGGCTCCTGCCTCAAACGATCATCGTCGCAGTCAGACTATATATATAGCTTTCACTATGTGGGACCAATCCTGTAGGTTTAGCCCCCACTGTGCTGACCCTTCACCTGGCCTAGTCGCTGGATTTCACTATCAAAGTTGATCTCCATGGGGGAATAGTGTTTAGCTTTGTAGTTAGCCCTGTGCGTCATGTGATCTAGAGGGTCGCATTTCAGCTAGCCAGCTGTCAACTTGCAAATATGCGAGTGTCAGGATTTGGAGTAGTATGAGCATATAGATACGGTCGAGACCTTTCGCATACTTGCGTTTATCTCTGTAAGCCATGCAGCAATATGACTCTACTCACCTGCATGGAAATTCCTTCCGTCAATATGCCGAGTAGGTTTTCCATGTATATTTCTCGAGGTATGTCAACTGATAACAGGTCATTGATATTGGCATATCCAATCCGTCTAGCCCAGGAGCAGTTAAAGAGGATATATTTGGACAATTATTAATGGGCGTTCATAGTCGTCTTCTTGAGATGTGAGTACCGAGATACCACATAAAGGTAACTCAGCCACTCTGTATGGTATAGCCAGGAGAGTGGTATCGACTCAAAGAGCTTCAAGGCAGTAATACATTCCAGACAGACTTCTTCGACTGAGCAGTTAAAGACTCTCGTTTGTCCTGTATTCATATTATTATCTAAGCCCGTCATTCGAATGACTCCCTATGATCGGTTTCGGCCACTAGAACCTGTCATATTCTCACAATACAATGTCATGATGCAGGCAAGGTTCAGCAACGGAACCAATTACGGTACGTGCTCATCGCAGATCCTAATTAAATCGATGACAGACAGTGGAAGCCCGTCTATCTCCGAGTCAAAGTGGATACGAGGCTCTAGGCTAGTCGAAAGGATCGATCGCGACTATTAATGAGTGGAGAGGATCCTGTCGGGTAGTTAGGGGCAATATAATGGATCTCTGTGGCCAGGAACCATCGAACACAATAGATAGATTAATTTGCAGCTGTAATTTAAGGCTATTCAATAGTCTTGTGAGCTGAACCAGGTACTATATTTTGTCTCACATTCCGCCAGCATGTTGATATCGCTGTTGATAGCGACTCGGAATATGGTCCCGGGGAGTGTTGATAGCCGAGGTTACTGATAATGATTTATTCTGAATGTAAAGCAAATCAACTCGAAACGATCAAGAGACCAAGTTCACTTCACGTGTAGGGGATGGACGCACGTGTCGCCCCTAGCCCTATCTCACTCCACTTAATCCACCAATGCCTCAATTCACTCGCCCTTCCTCGGCCACGATGACGAATCCCATCCCTGGCCCAAGCGTGGGGCACGTAGCATTGTCGTGTTCGCGACGGACATGCCAAGACTAGGGTCTGCCCCCTGATGATCTCCGGTTCGTCTACTACTGAGTCGAGTATAGCTCCATCAGCCTGCAAGTCTACCCCTCTTCTCACGCTAACCCCGCAGATATGGTCCACTCCGAATCAATCCAGTGGCGCAGGTTCAGCTGAAAAAAAGCCGGCGTGCTCTGACGCTCTTGATCGCATGGCTTTTAAGCTTTCTTTCCCTCCCGAACCAGACTTTTGGTTCTACTTTTTTTGTTTTTTATTTATTTCTCCCCTTCTCTTGTTCTTCCCGTTCTATGCATATCACACACAAACCCTGCATGACCCAATATGCCAATGTCAGCGGAAAGTCTCACCGGCTACGTGGGGAATCTCGAACCCTGGCAGGAAGAGAAACTGCGCCAGTTCTGGGCGACTCTCATACAATTATGGGACGCCCACAGCAGCAGCCGTAGGACGCCGGAACACACACGGAGGGCATCCCTCTCATCAAACGACACCAATACCACTACCACCGCAAAATCACCCCGACGGGGGTTCTTCTCACTAACGCGACAAACCACCACCCAAGCAACAGACGACGACAGCCCTCCCTCCCCCGTCCCGCCCATGTTCCTCCCCATGCTCAAAACACTAGGCGCCACCCCATCAGACCTCAAAGCCGCGTATTCACTGCTCACAAAAATCTCCGGAGACCGGTTACAAACGGCATACCTGCGGGCGCTGAAACAAGAACACCCCGACGCACAGCTACTGCGGTTCCTCCGTGCCGAAAAGTGGAACGTGCCGCGCGCATGGATCAAGTTCGTGTCGGCGCTGCACTGGCGCACAAACGAGTACCGCATCGACGAGGAGGTCCTGTGCAAGGGCGAGAAGTATCATCTGGAAAGGTCGCGGCAGGAGGAGGACAGTGTGGAGAAGAGAGACGGCGAGAACTTTATGATGCAACTCCGCTCGGGGAAGGGATTCTTCCACGGCGCGGATCGGTATGGTCGTCCGATTTGTGTGATTAGGGCGCGCGCGCATACCCCGTCTGAGAAGGCTCTGGGGAGCTTGAGGGATTATATTGTGCATTGTATTGAGACGGTGCGGTTTTTGCAGGTGGCGCCTGTAGAGACTATGGTATGTGATGCCTTGGTTGAACACGGTGTATGTGTGGTGTCAAGGCTAATTTGTGGTTATAGACGATTCTGTTCGATCTTACGTCGTTTAGCTTGTCGAGTTGGGTAGGTCATTTCCTTGCTCCTCTACTTATACAATATGCTAACAAGTGGCCAGGACTTCCCCGCAGTCAAGTTCATCATTGAATGCTTTCAAGAAAATTACCCAGAGTCCCTAGGCGCCATAATCTTCTACAAAGCGCCATGGTTCTTCAGCGGTTCGTCCAACCAACACCACCACCCAATCCCCACCTACTAACTAACATTGTTGATTAGGATTATGGAAGCTAATCCAAGCCATCCTCGACCCCGTTGTAGCCGCCAAAGTCTACTTCATCGACGGCCCCAGAGACCTCGAGCGAATCGTGCCCCCCTCCCAAATCATCCGCGAGCTCGGAGGCCGGGAAAACTGGGAATACCGCTACCAGGAGCCGCTGCCATGCGAAGATGACCGGCTGCACGATACAGCCACTCGCGATTCTATCTTCGCTGAGCGCCGGGCGCTGGGCGAGGAACTGTTCGCCGTGACGGCGGAGTGGATTGCGGACCCCGAGAGCTACGGGTGGGTAGAGCCGCGTGAGCTGGCGATTATGAAGATGCATGATAATTACTGGACGTTGGATCCGTATGTGCGTGCCAGGACGCTGCTCGACCGTACGGGGGTTATTAAGGATGGGGGCATTGTGGACTTTTATCCTGCTAGGACGAATGTCCAGGTTTATGACGAGAAACCGGCTGTTGTGGGCGATTGGGTGATCGGGGTCCCAGTTATGGCGTAATGTTTGATGACATCTTCTATTTAGTTCTTTTCCTGTCTATTTTGGCTCGGTCGCATTTTGCTTGTACATAGTTGATGTGTAGATTAGCGATGGTTTAGGGTTTTTCTTTGTTGATATCATCTCGGCATGGGGTCATAATGGCATATATTTCCTGGCATACACTTCACTCCTTGACATTCATCCATACACCACGAGGGAACCAAACAGACAAATAAATCAATTAAATCACCACGTCCCACCGTTACCTCATATCATCATCATCATCATCCCTCGTCACCGCCAACCCAATCCGATTAAACGGCGTCGGCAACTCAACAGGCGGAACATAAACAGACGTATCCGCCAACTCATACACCGTATCATCAGCCTCAGCATCCGGCCCTAGCGTCAGCTGCTGGTACTCCTGCTGCATAAAAGATCTCGGCACCAAAGCCGCAGGACTATCTATGATCCGATGAGGCGGGCTAGGACTTAGCGCAAACGCTGAAGGCGTGTTGCTGCGATCGCCCGGAACTCTCAATTCGCCGTCGCCGCCATACAGACGATGGGAGTCTGGGTTGTGCACGCCTAGCGTGTCGCCCGGGTAGACGTAGGCTTGGTCGGTGAATTGGTCGATCGGGTTGGATGAGGTGATGTCTTCGTCTTGGGAGGTTTTGCGCCATGCGTCGCGGGGTCGGCTTTGGTAGGAGGAGCGGGAGCGGGTGAGGCGCGGGGTGAACTTTGCTTTGGATGGTGCTGTCATGTCTGTTAGCTTCTTTATTTGTACATGATTTTGTTGGTCGCTCGACGGAGAAAGGGTTGAGGGAAGAGTTGAGGGACATACAGGCTACTTCTTCATCGAGGAGACAGCGCGGGAACCCACTAATAGGGTAATAGGTCGGATGGCTGCGGTCACCTTCGGGACAGAAGAGGATCTCCGTTTCGGCCATTCTCTGCGTCAGACGGACTTCGACTTTGTTCATGGAGAAGGTCCCATGCTGCATCATGTCTGAGATAGTCTTGTGCTTGACGAGGTACATCTGGGCGTCTCGCTCGCGGCGCCTCTCGCGGATCAGGAAGTAAGGCTCATGGTCGCGGTGGCCGAGGTTGAACATACTACTGGAGCGTTGTTTGAACGCTTGGCCCAGGTAGAGGATCTGCTCCGAGTTGTTCGGGAACCGGCTAAGGATGTTCCCCTTGAGGGTGAACGAACCGTCGGGGTTTTCGACCGTGTTGGGCGGGGCGAGCGGCTCGAAGTAGAACGAGGAGGCGATGAGCCGGTCGGCGATCGAGCGAACGGTGTCGCGCTCCTTGGTAAAGCGGAACCGCGCCATCTCGCTGAGCTTGTTGAGCTCGCGGACGTCGTCCAGGTGCGGGGGATCCCCATCGAGGGCGAGGTTCACGCGGATGTAGCGGTCTGTGAACTGCGGCGGTGGCGGGCTCTTCTCGAGAAAGGTCTTCCATGTGCGCTCGCAATCGAGGCTGTTGTGGATGTGGTCAATTCCGATCCTGGTGAGTGATCTGACGTGCGAGATGACGCCTCGTGAGGATGGTTTGGGCGCCTGGTTGGGTTCCCGACTATCCGATTTAGGGTTGTATCCTGTGCCTACGGAGAGGACAATGTCAGGGTGAGTTTCCAACGCCTCGGGCCAAATGTGCCGCTGCTCGCCGACGGCGATCTCGACGGGGTTGTTGTGGTAGATGGCGCCGTCTTGGTAGCTCTGTCCGGATGGGCCGTGGAAGAAAGGCTTGAAGACGCGCGGCGCGGCGGACGTTGCGCGCGCTGCCTCCCAGATCTTCATCTCGCTGTCCGGTTTCTCAGAGCGGTTAAATCGGTATGACGAGTAACCCGGGGGGCTGCGTCGGTTGTAGTTGGCCAGGACGACGACCGAGGCAGCGGTCGTTGTCGCCGTCACGGCCACTTTGGTCAAGCGTCTCAACGACGTGGGCTGGAGATCATGGCGAGAGCCGCCGAACAAACGATCTTCTCCATAGAATCCTTGCAGCGCAGCTTCCAGCGGTCGCGTTTCGTACTTGCTGTGGTTGGATGCGGATATCAACCATTCCCATCCGGGGATCCCAATGCCCCTTCGTTTTGTGAAGGCCTTGGTGCACAGAGACCGGAATGACCGCGTGCAATCTTCTACGGAGTATCCCGCTGCACCCAAGCCGAGCGCGATAATGCCGCCAGTGCTTGTCCCCACGATAAGATCGAAGAAGTCCTGGATGTAGAGGCCGACGCCCAGCTCTCTCTCGATTTGCTGAAGGATCGTCAGCTCCACGATTCCCCGGATGCCTCCTCCGTCCAGACTCAGGATTCGTGTGCCTGCTTGCGGGGGTTTGATAAATATTGGCCATCCGGGCGGACAGTGTCCTTCTCTATACCAATCGTCAGCCACTGATCCCTGGAAAATAAAGTGAAAGAAGAAAGAAAGATGGAGAAGGATGTGCTCACGTCTCCTCGAAATGCAACGGACAAGCCGCAATCTCTACAGCATGCTTCCCCAGACTCGTCCCGAACGCACGCACACACAGCGTACAGAGAACATGACCACACGGCAACGCATGCTCCGGCGGCTCGACCAGACACGCATAGCAAGCCGTATGACTGATAAACATAGACGCCCCCCCTAGATGACGATAAAAATTCTTCAGCACCATATCGCGGTGGATGACGGCCGCCTCTTTCATTTCGCGATCGGCGGACCGCCCCGTGGCGGCGACGAGCTTCATCAGCAGGGCCGTCAGGTTCTTGAAGATCATAGACCGGAAGGTCTGCCGGAAGGCGTCGGCTGTGAAGGACGACTGGTACTCCTGCACGGCGAGCACGCGTCCGTCTTTCAGCTGGTGGCCTTTTGCTTGGTGCCCGCTGCGCACGTTGACGCACCGGCCTTCGGCACTGCGGTATTCGCAGGGCCAGTGGTGGTCGCAGAAGTCGTCGAGTGTGTCGTCGAAGTACTCGAGATATTCTTTGAAGACGCTTTCCGCGGGTCCTAGTATTGTGAGCGTCGCTGCATGGTAGCATGCTGTCTATGTTTGACAGGTCTACTAACCTAGGGTTCTGCGGCGAGCCGAGTCCAACATCACGCAGGAAGCAACTAGATAGCTCAACTCCTTGAAAATGGTTGGACCATCAATTCGGTCCTTCCACACATCCAGTATATCCCTCGCCAGTTTGAGGATGTTTCCACCGAAATCAGACGGAATGGGGCTGTTTGCAAACGACGCCTCCACAAAGTCAAACGGCAGGTCGAGTTCGCGAGAGAAATGGTCGAACGCGTATTGTAGATACGGCTGTAACTCGTCCGAGTTGAGAAGCATTCTCCACTACATGCACGTTAAACGGGGGTCTTATAAAAGTGGGAAAGTTGTTGCGCACTTGAGATTTAACCTGACGAGACCGCTTACACGCCGTCTTGATCTCCACGTAGAGTCGCTCGATCTGCTGGTCAATCAAATTGGGGCGTCCTTTCTTCGGTACGCGGACAACCCGAATGGTCGAGTAGTAGGATAGGAGCAGATCGCGAACGGAGGTTATGCGTCGTTGCTTGGGGGCCCAAAATGCAGCTCGCTATATAGGGTTAATGTTGGTCGTGGGTTTGGGAGGCTGTCACCTACCGCACGAAGGTTGTGATTCCTATCGATTGCCTCTTTGGTCGCTTCCATTAGATGTTCGGTCGATGCATCGACATCCCACAGTCGAGGGTCGGTGTTGTTCTCGGCCGCATTGAGGATAATGATGGCGTGTGGGAGAACAGGCTGATTCGATGACTTTTCGAGAGCGGCGGCCGCCCAGTCAATCAGTTGGTCTATGACATTCTCGATAACTCTGCATCAAATCAGTCAGTTTGCGTGTTCAACAAGATCCATCAATACCGTGTCCTACCGCGGATTCATCGTCACAAACACGATGGTATCAGAGAATGTATATAGCAGGCGGGGATACAGGTTCCGCACGATATACTCCCGGCTTTGGGTCTTCTCATTGATCGCCCAAAGCAAGTCGCGCTCGGACGCATTCTGACGGACCTTGACTTCCTGTGGCATGTTGTAGGTCTGGAGGTGCTTCTTCACCTTGCGGGACTTGACGCCCATGGGCTCACGCTCTCCGCCGTCCAGGCCCTCACAGTCAGCGTACAGGATTGGGGCATCGGTATCCGACGAGACGGGGTCCGAATACAGATGGACGTCTCCAGAGGTCGGCAGGTCCTGGTTCTTGACGGATCCGATGACGGGCACCTCGGCGTCCTGCTCGGTGCTCAGGCGCAGCTGACACACATACATCGCATGTTAGAAGACAGCGGATCACCAACTCGAGAGAAAGACACTATACTCACTTCGATGAGAAGCTTTATCAATGTACTCTTTCCCGCTCCTGTCTGACCCACAAACGATACCAACCCCGGATACCGCACCTGTCTTTTCCGCCCCGACATCTGCGCCATCAGGTTGGCGTATCTCCCATAGTCCTGGAACAACAGGTCACTCTCATCCCACACCGTGCCAAACCACGCTGAATCTTCATCCCGCATATGCAAATACGACTGCGTCTTCTCATCAACATCCGTCTCCAGCGTCTGTTCTATGATCCGCGCCAATTTGGGGTCGGTCTTCTCGTGCGGGATGCCGCCGCGCACTGGCGGTTTTCGATGCGGCGGCGACCGCGGCCAGCAGTCTGGGCAAAAGATGCAGTTGCAGGGGTAGCAGAAGAAGCATTGTCCGCCGTACGCGGGTAGGGTTTCACAGTCGCAGCGTTCTTCGTCGGGCGATTCGGAGTTGGACTGGTTGTCTTGCTCTTCCGGTCCGAAGGATAGGAGGGCGTTGCGCGTCGCGGACCTCTGTGAATGACGCCCCTGTACGGCCTCCATTTGTTCGCGGAAGACAGCTCTGGAGGTTATTGGGCGAGTTAGCCTTGATATGCGATTGCGGATGGAGGATGTAGGGCACGCACGGTATGTCGCTCGGATCGTCAACGTCGAGAAGGCTGAATTCCTGCGCTAGACGGAAGGCCATCTCTTGATCGCTGTATATATCTGAGATTAGCGGAGCGTTTTCTCTTTCTTTAGGAGTAGGGTTCGCACCGCTCGATGGGATTGGGTTGCGTTCGATAATCGCGTACGGGGGGAGCGCGATTGGGATGCGATGGGCGAACATGCTGCTCCATAAATAATTACTATCTCATTGCTCGTCCCTTTCAACCATTCTTTATCGTTCATCTTATATCAGCGTTTCATCAAACTCACCCTGGGACCCTCCGTGTCGCTCGCCGACAGATCAATCAACAACTCCTCCTGCGGCTCTTCAAAGACGGACAGCGAACCAAAGGCCGAGGGCGCTCGACTAATTGGTCCATCATGAGTAGGCCATAAACTGACAGGTGGAGGAGCATAATGACGAGGCTCCTGGCGAACAATCTCCGCCGCGGATTGTATTGCGTTGGCGCGTGCCTGTTGCTGGTCGACGACCTGTCCGGGCACCGGGCGACGCCTGATCGCACCTGTTCGCGGTCGTGGATCCTGGTCATTACTTGACCTCGCGATGGGACTCCGACTTTCTAATCCATCGTACGATGATCCTGGCTGATCTTGAGAGTGGGGAGGGTACCTCGCCTGTGACGAACTGGGTGGAAATGCGTTCCAGTCGCGATCCCCCATGTTGATGGTTCGCGCTCACAAAAGCTGGACAAAAACTCTGTAAATTGGCTGCACCATTGGCAATTGTGTTGTTTTGGGAATTGGAGCTAGGGTAAGGCTTTGACGTGGTGCTATTGTCTAGGAAATGAGGGGTTGGAGGCGTTGAGACTCCAGTCCTGCGGGGTCCATTATCTTATTATTCTGTCGCTGCGACCGATCTCTTCTTTTCTTCTTTTCATCGCAATTTTCTATTTGCAGCAGGAAAAAGAAAAAATTGTATCATACTTAAATTAAAAGCCAAAGGTAAGAGTCCAGAGCGGCGTCTATCAAGCACATTTCGCCCTCCTGACGCGTCAGGGAGTCGGATAGAACGATGGAAAGAGTCAAGCCCGCATGGCACACACACACCAAGTGGGAAAGGAAGCCAATGACAGATGGTAGGCTGGCATGGTTCCATGCGGCTTGATGCCCACGCCCGTGGTGCGACTGCATGATTGGTTTCTCCCGGCAAGTGTCAGCCTTGCGTCGTGCGAAATTCCTGGATTGTTCCTCTTCTTCGCCATTACGTTAGTGCTTCTCTTTATCAGGAAATATTAAGGACATCGGACCATCCTTGCTGATTCTGAGGCTGAGTGTTGACACAGCCCCTGGGGAGCGACGATCTCTTGTTCTTCGGGTTGGAGGCAACAGAGGGGGCCGATGACACCCTAGGGCTTAGTCGATACTTATAGGATGGTTTTATATTTACAGGATGGATTTTCCCATCTATGGAGTGGACAGGACTCTGAGATACTGGCTGTCAGAATCGATCGGTCGCACCTCGTGGTAGGGGCGACATTCCTGTTGACAAGTCTGTATTCGCATTGGATATAGGGCTACCAAAGGTATCATACCTTTCGTAGCCTAGGATAATCCCTCATATTTGCAACGACTATTATCACTCGCCAGAGGTCCTGCTTGTCGTACAAATTCGCAGATATTTACTGATAATGCAGACATTATGTGACTCAACGCCTTACGGGGCAGCTTATTCCATCCTATCCCAATCCATGCCTGGTGGATTCCAGGAGCATCGATCGACACCGTTTAGTGTATAATGCCAATGGCGAGATGAACCACTCCCTCCAGATCTGAAAAAAAAAATATAAAATATAAAAAAAAAAAAAAAAAAAAAAAAAACACCAAGATGAACCTGGGATGTGGCAGTGAATGCTCGATCCGTCACATGACCGGCGATCTTCTTCATGGCAGATTTGAAGCTTTTGAGAACATTATCGCATATTTCCCTACACTTCCTCTAAGATCAATATAATGCTGATTTTCCGCAATTATAATATAGGCGATGAGAGGGTCATGTAACTTTCGCGCACGTCCTGGAAATCAAAGCGATTGGGCCATGACATCCAACATCATGACAAGTGTATATTCCTCCCACGAATCAATCCCACTCCTGCCTGAGCCAACTCAAGTTAGGCTCACCAAACACGGTCATATTTCCCGAGAAGAGCCTCTTGGTGCCTAAGAATAGGGGAATTCAGACCCGAGAGATCACACCTCGATCCCTTTCTAAATCAAGGGCGGAGATTGCAGATACGAGCAGACCCCACCGGTTAGGAACAAAGCGGCTTAGGGCACCGCTGGAGAGGTCCCTCTCGTGACGAACGGGCGAATGAGACCAGTTTCCTCTTCCCCACGATCCTGAGTTGGCACGATGTCCAGCACTCGGTCATGTCTAGCGCTTGCTTTCAGCCTCAACGCCTCGTATTGAGGTTGTTTGGGGCGACGATGGTGTTTGCTTGGCCGGTGTATCGGGTGACCGAGCCAGCGATGAGAAACTTATAAAGCCGTCGCTGTCCGCGTCGTCTACTCAAAGCAATTCATCCCATCCATCCATCCATCTTCCAAACCAGTTCGTTTTTCCCACCAGACCACTACTGTTTCCCTCAACTTTACCACCCAATATCCATCATCATGCGTTTCCTCCCCATCGCTGTCGTGGGCCTCGCGTCCGTCGCCGCCGCCGCCGAACTCAAGAGCTGGGACGACATCATGGGCGATATCCCCACCTGCATCAAGAAGTGCATGAACAACTTTTACAAAGACGGTGGTTTGGAGAAGGAGTGCGGTGCCCCCGAAAAGGCCACCGCCGACTGTCTCTGCAAGCCGGCCAGCTACAAGATAATTTCCGACACCGTGAGCAGCGTGGACGAGCTGCAAGACTGTCTGAAGGAATCCTGCACCCAGTCCGAGCTCACGGATAACATCGACAAGATCAACGGTATGGGCGAACGAGCTCAAGATTTCCAGGACCAGTGTGAAGACAAGGGTAAGTTGTTGCTAGATCTTGTTTCCCGTCATGTGTGTTATGGACGCCGTGTCTGACTTGTGCTTGAACTTTAGCCGACTCCGACTCCAAGGACGACTCCAAAGACGATTCCAAGGACGATTCCAAGGACGACTCCGATTCCAATGACGATGCCGATTCCAACGGCGCTGGCTCCCTCCTGCCCGGTGTGAGCAAGACTATGCTTGCCGTTGGTGCTATCCTTCTCCCCGTTGTGCTTTAAATTGGAGGATACTCTGGGAGCATGGGTTTTTTCTTGTGGGGATTTGGGGCCTTTCTTCATAATCGATCCTTGGTTATTGCCGGGTTTTTGCATATAATGACTGCGATACATCGCCTATACCATTTTGTCAATTTTGTCCTACATTAATTCGTATACAAGTAAAGGTCGAATTCAGTTGCTCGATATACTTTGGTAAGCACAGATTGTTGGTTGATCTTTATCGGTCCACTCCAGCCCTATCCCAGCATGAGGGGAACGGCAGGGCGATCATTGCGTGATCCATCGTTATTGCGTCAATATACTGACTCAATATGCCAATGGCCATACCTTTATTTTCCATCGTTCAAGCGACTCACAGATGATAAATTTCTTGTTTCCAGACCTATTAACATAGCTGCTTGGCCAAAACGTTGACCAAGGCTTGGTATAGGGCTTAACCTGACTGATATGCCTAACAGGTTACCCCGGTCTATTGAATTCACTTTTATCTCCCAATAAGACTAAGCCGACAATGACTTCATCCTATTGATATTTATCATACTCAAATACTCAATTATTATCAATAAATCTATAAGGTATATACACATCCGTGTCCAAGGTATCTCATCGCATGGATAGCCAACAGAAAGAAAGAAAAGAAAAAAACGAAGGAAAACAGAATCAAACAAATGGATATCTACCGGCTCTAAACAAGTCCTAACTCACTCACGATCCACGCCGCGCACCAGGCACTTCAGCAGGCATTTCATAGACCGGGTTCACCTCCGCCGGCGCCTCAACAGCCACCGGCTCCGCAGGGACTTCCACCCGCCTATCCTTATCTTCGAGCTCTGCCGGCGCTGCCACCTCCTTGGCCGCTAGTTCCGACATCGCCACGCCGTTTCCACCTCCACTGCTTCCTGGGACGTACGCTGGCGGGTTCTCAGGCGACGTGACGGCGTTGCCGGCTTGCTGCTTGCGGCGGTAGAGGATGAAACCGATGGCTCCTGCGACGAGGGCCACGCCGACGACGACTCCGACGACGATGCCTGCAATGGCACCGCCCGAAAGACCGCCCGACTCCTTCTTGCTGGGCTTTTCACCCTCGTCGGGAGACGTCGTCTGCTTCGCTGCGTCCGGAGCGGCAGCCTCCGACTTGCATTCTGTGCCGGACGGCTGCACAGCGTGGTACTCCTCGTCGTCGGTGACCTTGTTCTGCCAGACGTGGAACTTGCTCTCGTCGTGGTTGACGAGCAGGTACGCGGCAGTCAAGAACGGCTGGCCAAGGTACCAGGTGTTCTCGTTAGCCTGGCCGTCCGTATAGCCGACGAGAATCTCGCGGGACGTGTCGCTGAAGCCTAGCTTGTCCTCGCTGACGTACGAGTCGGTCGTGACGAGCTGCTCGTTGGTGATGGTGATCTTGAGCTCCGTGTTCAGCGTGATGGTGATGTTGCCGCCGAAGACGGGCTCCTCAACATCGTACAGCAGGCCGTTGGGTCGCAGCCCCGTCGAGTTTCCGAAGTATTTGCCTCCGAAGGAGGACTTCATGCTCTTGATGGTGTCGGCATCGAAGGTCATCAGTCGGTTGGACGGGTCGATGCACATGTACCGCCCTTTGGAGAGGGCGTTGTACTCGGTTCCGTTGGGCATACCTACGTCGACGCTCGTCACGAAGGCATCGAGGCCTGTAGGGCAGTCGGATTCGAAGTTTACGTCGAAGGTCTGGCTGTCTCCTTGGGTCTTGGCTTTGTCGTAGCCGCCGAAGACGGCCACGCCGTTCATCTGGGCGGGTTTCGTGTAGCCGTTCAGCCCGAAGAAGAGGCCCCAGGATTTGGAGAGGATGGCGCCCTTCTCGGAGAGGTATTGCAAGAAGGTGGAGTCTGGGCCAAGGCCTAGCGAGTTGAAGGTCATGGCGCGTGTGGTGGTCGCGACGGGGAAGTCGTACAGGGCGTAGGTGTCGTTGATGTGGAGAGTGTCGGCGCCGCGGGGTGGGACGCCGACGAAGTCGAAGGCATCGGATGGGGAGTCGTGCGCTGTGATGTTGGGGCTGGCAGTGTCGGTCCAGCTCGTAGAGGGATCTGTCATGAAGACGCCGCCGCGGTTGAGGATACATGGATCATCGAGAGAGGCTCCACAGCCTTCGTGCCAGTCCCAAAGGAAGGTGTTGTTTGCGTATCTATCCGGAGGCATCATTAGTCTCGGTCAACATGTTGTCGGCGGTCGGGGGAGAGATATACCCGGCCATGTCGAACGCCAGTGCTTGTGGGGGCGTGCCCAACGAGATCTCGAGGCCTCGCTGCTGGGTGAGGCCGTTGACGGTGACATTGCGATAGGGCAAGGTGATCACGTTGCTGCCCTCGCAGTCGGCCGCGGCCTGGTGTGCCAGAGCCAGCAGCGCCAGACCCAACGTTCGGACGGTCATTATGTCCACAATTGAAGTCCACGATTTACCATCCAACAAGTTCAAAGGAGCGTGGCCCAATAAGCACCAACAGGGAAGGAAAATGAGCGTAGAAGTTGAATGGCAGGACGTTGTAAGACGCCCAGCAAGAACGAGGGATGACAATATGAATAATGCTTAGTTTTCGTCTCTTCTCCCTCCCAGTGGGGGCTTTGCTGCGGCTCAATCCCGGCCATTATTAGTGTGAGCATATAGTTTGATGGGGTGGGTTGGCTGTGTTAATTAGTTTGAAGCTGTCGCGCAATGATATTCCGCTGCGGTCGTAGTGTGGGTCCGACAGATTAGTCTCTGTTCCTTGCGAGTTTCCCTTCGGAGCAATCCCTACGATGATCGGCAAGGCTGTCCTACCCCTTTTCTATTGCTATTATTATACCCATGTCGGTGTAATGTTGGGGGTTTCTGCATATAGCTTAACCGGTGCTGAAGAATCTATTGTTTTTTAGAAGAAAAATCTGGATAGATGAAGCTTTCGGGTGCGAACACTGTCGTTTCTCTCAGTTGGTCTTTCCAGTTGGTCGGGAGGAACAACACGCAGTAGTGCTTATAGTGTTTCTGCTGGGCTCACGGGGGCCACAAACCTTTCACGGTAAGATTTCCGTCCTAGGATCACGATTGGCGTTTGCAGAACCCCTGGATTCCAGTCGTGTGGATAAGATGCAGCCTGATTGGCCTTGGCATATTAAGTTTTCTGCAATTGACCTGGATATTTCCTTTGGTCCACGCTGACTCGGGCTGTTCCGTCGGAATGTTGCGCTCTGTGGAGCTTGAGCACCGGCCTACACGATGAGACGTGACGTCTCACATATTAGTATTCACAGTACTCCATATATCATCAGCATTGCAGCCAAATAGATATAGAAAGAAGGAGGCCTCAAATAGGATGACCTGCCATTGATGTGATGGTCTTAGGGCTCAAGGGGGCATGTGATTCTGTTAGAGATACATTGATTAAACTACACCAGTCGTCCTCATAAAACAATCCAACGTCTATAGAAGCTTCTCATATAGATCAGACTTAGCAATATTTTCCGCTAGACCAAGCTACCAAACCTTCATAGCCAGGATCCGAGGCGATGCTGACGGCCGAGCGAAGCCGCCTCAATCCTTGCATCCTTGGCAGTTCCTTGCATATCAAACTCCCAAGCTGATGGTGAGATCGATGCGGAGTAAATTCCACACGATTCAAGTAATTCGCATTGAACTCTACTTCAGTAAGTCATAAGGTTCCTGGAGTAACTGTTGTTGTGATCTCATAGGTGGTGTTGAAATACTGCAGGAATTAATTCCCAGGTTGCGTGGCGTCCTTGTAAGACTCCAAAATACGGAGTATATGGATAAGAAATCAATGGAACTGGAAATGCACGACTAGACATAAATGAAATAGATCTTACATTGGCATACATTGTATTTCCCCAAATACTGCACATTGTTTAGTGGCCAGAGACGGATAAAAATGCTTGGGTGTGTTGGCATTGCCGAGTCTTTACGATATATATATACTACATTCTTGGCAGATAAACGATGGTGGTTGGAATGACACGGCTTTGAATTCTGTCTAGAAAAGGAGAAGAACTATTGACAGTATCATCTCACACAAATCCTGCATGATCTTTTCAAGACGTTTGACCCTGGATTTGTTTGATCACCTGACTCTAACACTGAGTGTCTGCTTTTTTGACCGCAGATGCAGATCTTGAGTTTCCAACGCTCTTCTCAACACCTGTTTACTAGAACGATCTCTTCAATCTTCATTAATCACCCTCCTATTGATTCCATAAATTTGTTACTAACCTCTTCCAGCATTACGAGGAGGATGGAGAGCAAAGGCAGACATTATACTCCTCGTATCGGATTAGTGCGGGGTCCAGCCTCGCAGCTGACGAGGTTGGCGGCATCCTTTATTCCAGTCGCTATGCCAGACAGATATCTATGATCTCGATGACATGGCACAACCCGACTCCTACACACGAGCAAAATCATCGCCATGACTTCGCAAAGAGACTGGACTGGACCCAAGCGGTGCATCGGATCCGCCGAGCGCAGGCCACCCTGCGAGAAAGCTGGACGTCAGGCGCGGTGCCTGTCGAGGAAGAGATCGCGATGCGCGCCAAATTCGCCGAACTGCTTTCCAATGCATTTGAAGTCCTGGGAGATATGGCAGACCTCACTGATTGCATCGAACACCTCGAGACCATTGTGAGACGGCTTGGCCCACCATCTCCCGCCCGCGCAGAGTATCTCGACAAGCTAGCCTATATGAAAATGTCCGCGTTCAAGACCACAAGCTCCGTGCGAGACCTCGAGGAATCGATCAGATACGATCAGCAGGCAAAAGACGAGGTTGACCCCGCTGATCGCGCACTCCTGTGTCGCATATACCACAATCTCGGATACAACTTGTCGCACCGGGCGCAGCTGGGTCCCGCGCGCCCATCCGATATCGACGAGGCTATTACTTGTGGGCAGATGGTGCTGAAATTGGCTGCCACGGATAGCGAGGAGTATGCAGCCACTTTGATGAATTTGGTATCGCGCTTTCAGGTGCGGTTCGAGAGGGACAACCGCGAGGAGGACAGACAGAGTGCCCTCGAGCTGATCCAACTGCGGCTGAAGCTCGACACCCCAGAGACGCTCTCGTACGCGTATACTCGCCTTGCGCAAGGCAGACTGGCACACCTCGGTTCCGATGATATAGATGGCATTGATGACGGGATCGCCCGAGCTAAAGACGTCCTGCGTCTGATGCCACTGAAACACGAGGGTCGCATTGACGTGCTCAAAGAAATCCTGGTGAAGTATGAGCGTAGGTATAAGAAGTTAAACGAGCGATCCGACCTCATTGCCGCCGTGGAGTACTCTGATTTCATCCTTGAGGCTGTCCCGCCCGGATACCCGAGCCGACTCGATTGGGCCGTCCAACACTTGGCTCTGATTGCAGAGCTAGCTGTGTCTAGTCAATCGATAGACGAACTTGATACTATCATCGAACAGGCATGCCGACTACGAGAGGAAATTCCGACCAGCCACGCGAAACGGCACCCAAGTGGGCTGGCGGTTGGAGCGATCATCGCACAGAAGTACCTCCTCTCGAAACACCTTGACAGCTTCCACATGCTAGTCAGCCACGCGATTAGTATCTGTAGCGATTTGAACGAAAAGGCAGACAAGTCGATATTTGTCAACACTACCCCCCTGTGGCAGCTCTCTAGGTCTATACGCAAATTAAGTGAAGGGCCCCAACCCAGTCCTGTCCGTGTTCAAGCTACCGAGAAAGTATACACATATTTCGCAGCGGCTTACCGGGAAAGGAAGCTCTTGAAAGGATTGACTTCGATGCAGATGGACCATGGATCAGAAATCGAAATACTGTCAACACACATCAATGCGACCGAGCCACTCTCCAACATTGGTCTCAACAGCGCGCTTCCGAAAAAAGCAGATGAAACAAACATGAAGCTCTCACCACGGCAAAAAGATCTCGGTCACAGACTACGCAATGATTACCACGACCAGTTAACAGGCCTTAGGAACCTGGCTATTGACAAAACCTCAGGCAGAATCATCATGTCAATGGAGGAAATCGTGAAGGATATGATGGGATACACAGAGACAGATGAGCCCCGATCTTGGACCGAACATGCCGAACGAGAGAGCAGACTTGAGCACGAGTTTCTTCAACGTGAACAACAGGAGGGAAAGCACCCGAATCTGAATCTTTGTCGTGTCTGTCGAGCTATTAACATTATCGTCGGACCAACATCGCCTGACGAGGGGTATTCGTGGAATTCGAAGCTTTTTCTACCTCATGGAAACTGGTCGCAACTGCAGTGCCGACGGCATTGTGGGATATGCCGCCTTGTCATTTCACTCATTACCACCGCACAAGGAACGCTCCATCCACGCTTGGCTGAGCTGGATCGGGAAATTCAGGGCGTACAGTTTCACCTGCGGAAGTTGCCTTCGGAGGAGTTGATGTTGGGCGTGGAATATGGGCTCAAGACAGTTGGGGGTATTCGACTTCTGACACCAGTGAGCCAGGATGCACTGCGTCAGAGCTATCCGGAAGACATGGGAAAGCAGCTCGCAAATACGGCTAAACTGCGGCAATGGCTCAACAGCTGTGACTACAACCATGGTCGAATTTGCAACGGTGTTCTGAGTGATTCCCGTTTCAGCCAAGACATCAACCTAATACTCGTCGATGTCCGGGACCGCTGTCTGGTTCGGGCAACTTCTGCGGACAAGTATTTTGCCCTTAGTTATGTCTGGGGTGAAGTGCAGATGCCTTCTTCACGGCGAAGCACTCTTGAAGTGCGACTTCAACCTCAGTCCCTGAACGAGAAGGGGCTGGACCTACCCACTACAGTGGTAGACGCCATGCTACTCGTGGAGTCACTAGGAGAGCGCTATCTCTGGGTTGATGGGCTGTGCATCATCGAAGACGAGGAGGGTGACAAGACAAACAACGTCAACACCATGGATATCATTTACGGCAAGTCGTTCGCGACGATCATGGCTATACACGGGACAGATGCCAACGCCGGACTACCTGGTGTGCGGCCAAATTCTAGGGCGCCGCAACATACGGAGTCCATTGTGGTGTCTAGCAGATATCGAGACCACCTGGGATATGAGGCCGGTCCGCCTGGTGATACTACGGAGAACATAACCGTCGTCGCCACACCAGCGCCACTAAAGCTAGCCTTGGAGGCCTCTACCTGGAAATCGCGCGGTTGGATCTTGCAAGAAGCACTGCTCTCCCGTCGACGTCTATACTTTACTAAAGATTGGGTGTACTTCCAATGCAACAAAGAAACCCAGTGCGAGGCTCCTCTTGCTGAATCAGAACAAGCTGAGTTCCTCAATCGACCAGTGCCACTTGCGTCTTCGACGCGATCTAAGAACCCTCTGATGGAGCTCAAAGAGATCACACCATCTACAGCAGAGACAGACCTCCGCCGAATATTCGGGATATACAAGGAACTTGTGGAAATGTACACGCCGCGGAGGATTTCCCTCGCCAACGACATCATCCGGGCATTTTCGGGCATCCTATCAGTCATGGCCGAGTCCACGAATTAGCGATTTGAAAACGGTCTCCCAACCAGCCTGTTCGACCTCGCCCTCTTCTGGTGCCCCGCCGAACCACTCTTCCGCCGGCCCTCCTCCGAAGCCAGCTACCGCACGAACCTCGAGACGGTCGCCTCCCTAATTGAAATGTCTCGGAAGCACGGTATCAAATACAGACTGACACCAGCCCAGAACGAGCCGCCCTCGTTATTCCCCAGCTGGTCATGGGCAGGATGGGTCGGCCCTATCGAGTACCGGCTTACCAACCTTGAAAACGAGCCGCTGCCGACCCCCTCAGTCGACACATTTTCGATCTACCACTAAGGCCGCCACCTCGAGATCCACACTCACCGAGCCAGCACCTCCCAAACCACATCCACATCGACGACACACCCGCCTATATCAGCCCCAGACCTCGGCCCACACACGCTCCAATTCTGGGCTGGCACCGTGCACGCATCCCTCTACTTCCGCCTCCAACGTCACTTTCGCCCCGACTATCTCAGCATCCGCCAAAACCAGATCCACGGCGAAGGCCAGCAACTGATACTCCGCATCTACGATTGCCAAAACCGCCACTGCGGGATATGGTACGCAATCTTGAAAGACGACAGGCTGCTGGGGACGGAACTCAACCTTGATATGGTCGAGATATCTCGTCTCAGTGACGTGTATAAGCGACGGGAGGGCCCTAGTCGCGTGGAGGGCGAGATTGATTTGTTTGATAAAGGCTCTTTTCCAAGTACGGGGCCTGGGAGTGGCTTGGTTAATGTTGTTGTTGTGCGATGGGATCATGAGCTTGCGGAGAGGTATACTGTGGCGCAGGTTCATGTCGCGGCTTGGGAGGAGGCTGGGCCTGTCAGGAGACATGTTCGGTTAGCGTGATGGACGTTCTCCCAGCGAGGGATATTCACATGTTCAATTTTATTGCTAATGGTCAAGGCCGAGTGGTTCAGAGCTTGGCTCCCTTTGCACTTTCTGTTCTTCTCGCTATTACACCGTATTTACCTTGGGGGTCTAGCGGTTATCGCTACGTGCTGATGTTAGGCTTAGAGCTTCGCCGGTATGGTATGATGTCTGAAAAGTGGGTCGGATTAATCTGTAAGCACTATGGTCACCAAAATCATGATGATAAGTCCGGTTAGATTCACTATAGAACCATCTGCCACTTGACCCGCTTCTCCCTGATCATAGCTAACACTCCCATGGGCAAGAACTTCTGATCCACAATATCCAAGGTCCCGAAGTCCCTCAATAGACTCTCAGCGTAAAGCTCCAGAGTCCAACGGCCCTCTTCTTCCATTCCAGCCATGTTCACCCGTTCTCTCACACCATTAGCCGCTGCCAGCACCTTATCCGTCCAGTCCACAGTATACTTGGACGGGACCTGGCTCAAATTATCATAGCACTGCCGAAGGAGATCACTCGTGCTATCACGGAACTGACACCACTCATCGAAGAACATGAAGTTGCGCTGCTCTGACCACCGCACGACAGGTGGCTTGCTCGAGCCTTGAGGTGGGTTCACCAGCTGCAGGCGTGCATTGATCGTGCGTTCTGACAACGCGGCAAATTCCCGAGATGCGTTGTTGTACGCATCGGTGTCCTGTTTCTCGAACTCATCAACAAACTGCGCCGGTCGCTGGGGGAGGCTATCGCGGACGAGCAGCATCGGGATGAACGGGTTGCGGAGACCCAGCCCGCCGAGCTCCACGGGCATGAAGAAGAACGAGTCTGGGACATCTGGAACGTCTGGGAAGTGCGTTTTGATCATGTGGCGCAGGTGCGACGTGACGGTCGGCGTGTCTGTCTTGCCGAAGACCGTGTCGTACATCTTCTGGTATGTCGCCAGAATTGAGTCGACGTGTGGCTGGCCAAAGCAGTGAGCGGGCTGTCCGAAGGTGTTGCGGAAGAAGAGGCCGATGCAACTGTTCCAGGTGCGAATCCACGAAATGACGCTATCGCAGTGGCTCAGCTGCGTTTGGAGCTGCTGGACGTGTGCGTCAACCTGTGGTTGGTCGATTACCCAATCGCCGGAGGTGCTGTCGAGTTTCAGGAAGCCAAATGTGACGGGCCCTTCGGGAAGTTGGGATGCGATGGCTTTGTCTGGCGAGTCAGATAGGTAAACCGAGCCCGTTTTATGGTGGTTGAACTCGAGCTTGGTTACTTCTGCGTATTCGTGCATCACTTCCCATGCGCGGGCGCACTTGTCTGGATGACCGCAAAGCCAGATGTCGTCGTGGAGTCGGTACAGGAGCATGCCTGTTTCGCGGTTGACCGCTAGGTCCATGAAGAAGAGGACCAGCTCTCCTGTCAGCTTCTCCGACGCATGAGCCATGGGGACACCCTTTCTGCGGATCCGCGACCCCTTAGGCTCTCGTCCTTCGGAGGATTGGTCCATATTGAGGGGCGACTCGAGATACTTTTTGAAAAAGGTTATCCAGTTCTCGGAGAATCCGATAAAGCGCATGACAGCAAAGATGGTGCTGTGCGAGAGGCAAGTTGCAAACCACTTAAGGTCCGTCTGGATGACTGCCGCCTCGCCGTACAACTGCCGATGAACCAGTGCCTCCGTGGCGATCTTTCTCAGGATCTTCTGCTTCACGTTTCTGCCTTCTTTTTTTGCTTCTCCCGACGCGGACTCCTCGTCATCGTCGTTATCGTATGATCCCATGCCCCGTTCAGACCAAGCTTCCTGCGTCCCCGGCAGTTGGCACAAGAAGTACGTGTGCACAAATTCATTTTTGCGCTTTTCTTCCAGGCTCACTATTTCCTGCTGCGACCCGAGAAAGAATGTCCGGCGTAGGTGATCTCTTGTCGTCATTGTAGGACGCGTCGACCACTTCCAGAGCTTTGAATGGTCCACAAAATCCCGCAGAACAAGCTTAACTCGATTGCATAGCCGGCTGCCGATGTATTGTACGAAGAGCGTCTGCAGCACATCCTCGTCCATCCAGATACGATATTTGCCGTTCAGCTGTGGTCGCGGCAAAACGGGAATCCCCTCTTCCCCCGCGTGCCAGTCCCACTGATCAAGGTCTGCGTAGCGGAAGTTCAGCACATCCGCAATCTCGTTCAATGCCACCCGGTTCTTCAGGAATGACTTGAGCAAGGCACGCTTTTCTTCGCTCACGAGATCCTCCGATAGAAGACCCTTGATACACAGCGACAGCGAATGCTCGTTGAAGGGCTCTGGCGTCTTCCACTGGCTTGTGGTTTCCTCCTTGATCTGTTCCCGGAGGTTCTTCAACGCAGCACTGCCTTCTTCTCCTGGAAACAGCCCATCTAGAAAAGCAAAAATCCTATCCTGATCGGCATCCAGCGGCTCAAATACTGTCGCCTCAAATTGGTCGCACAGCTGCTGCAGTCGTTGCTTTTGCCTCTCGTCCACAAGTTCGTAATCGTCCTCCGAGGAGCCAGACTCTGAAGCCGCGGCGTTGTTGGAGTGTGGATGCACCCACTCTGTTAGGAGCCGAGAGTACAAATCTGCCATAGCTAGTTTGGCACTGCGCCTATCCAGTCGTCTCAGGAGCTCTTTCTCGAACCCTAGAAGCATTTCCTCCGGGATGGTAGAGTCGTACCGCGCCTGCTGCAGCCAGCTCGCCATGTTGCTGACCGTGGCATCATCTGTCATTTGCGGTTGAAATTTTTCTATACTGACCAGGAGGGACTCGACGCGGCTCCGAGGGTCCGAGCACTGTTCCGAGGCCGATATCATGGTTGCTTTGCGGGTCTCGTATGCATCGCGCTGTTTCTGCAGTTCACGGATTTTGCTCTGGGTAAGCGAGAGCAGGGTTTGAGACAGGGCCGCATCCACGGGTGCCATCGTCACTAATAGAAATATGATATGTCTGGTGCGGAGGAGGACAAAACGTATATCTCAGTGAGCGTGGTTTTCTCACAGCGTTAGGCGGGGTGCGCAAGGGTTCATATAGTCAGGCTCCGCTTCGTTGGGCCATTCCAGGCTCCATTGGAGCCTTGTCTGATCGGCATAGACCCTTTCAAGGCACATGTTTGCCTAGCCAACCTCGTCCTTCGTATGTCACCGCTTCTGTGGAAAGTGCAGCTGTGGTGATTTGATTCGACAGCGATATGCCCACTAATCCGGTGTCTGCCTGGTGGTGTTCCCCGAAATGCATTAAGCCAATTGGGGGCGGGAAGGTGCAGGATGAGACAAAAGTAATCAATCTATTGATGCATGCTATAGTATTGATCCCAGGTTACCATAGCGCGCACACAGCTAACTATCACTACCCACCGCCCAACAGGCATAATACACTTTAAGAAGCTCCTTCATGGGTTTCAGACCCAAAAGCTTAGGGTTATCGGATAGTGCGCGGCGAAGGTTGCTGGTGTCGTAACGCGACATGTGCTCAAAAGCAGCCCATGACAGCATGTGCTGAGAAAGCTGCCCGACAACCAAGGGCGTTGTTACATTCCAGCTTGCGTCGCTGAACTTGGTAAATTCGCCCACCCATTCCGTATTTGAGAGACTTCGTAACGGAGCCGGCGCATGTTGACTCAGAATTTGGAATACCTCCGCGAGGGTGATGACCTTTTCTTGGTCGGGCTGGAGCACGTTGAATGCGTGGCCAATGTTGGAGTTATTTACCGATATGTGCGATATTACAGAAGTAACGAAGTCCACTGGGACAACCTGCCATCGCTGTGGCGGAGGTCGAGGGTAGCAGCCTAGTCGTATACAGTTGGTCATGAGACGATTTACCATGTCGTCTTTTCTGCACGCGCCTGTCATACTGTGCCCGGTGACGATGGCTGGACGATATATAGTGACGGGGAATCCATTGTCTTTCGCATCCCAGAAGATACTCTCCGCCACGAACTTGCTTTGCGTGTAGCCGAGTGTTTCCCTCATCGTGTGCGCCTCAAGAGTCGGTCTCACGTCTTCCGCAATTTCTGTCTCAGCGTCTTTCGCAAGACCGCAGGCAGACATACTGGAACAATACTGTATAGATTTTAGACGCTCGCTATTCGCGAAACGAAGAATCTCGAGTATTCCCAATACATTGGTGCTGCGATGAATTGCATAGGGTAGCGTGTAATTCGAATACCCAGCAAAGTGGTAGATGACACTCGCCCATTGTGCTAGTTCTTTGTATCGCTTTTCTTCTATACCCAAGCCCTTCGCAGATACCTCTCCAAGAACGACTGTAATTTTGGATTCAAATTCCATTGGCGTGCCATACATGGCAAATGTCTCTCTAATCCGAGCCATCCCCGCCTCGGGGGATTCAGCCCGGACCAAGCAAGCAACGGCCTTAACTTGCGGCAAGCATAGAAGCCGAGCCAGAAGAGATGATCCGAGGAAACCAGTCGCCCCGGTAAAAAATATCTTTCCTTCGGATTCTGAAGTCCAGTCGACAAACTCCCGGGAGATAGGCCGCATAGCTCTGCCCAATGCCAGATCTTCCTGGAAGTCAAGATTTTCATCTAGCACTGGCGGCAGAGTATCCGCTTGAGTGTTCGGACCCGCAGGGTGGCCGTATCTCTCTCGCAGCTTTTGTAAGGCGATCTTACTCAACCCTCCCACCCGGCCAGCGGATGAGACCTCTACCAGTGTAATTTCAATGCCAGCGTTTCGACGGAACCACGTTCGTATCTCAAACGTCATCAAAGAATCAATTGCGATGTCGGCGAGATCTTGTCCGCTGAGATCGTCTGGTCGCGACGTGTAGGAAGCGATCAGTTTTCCCAGCTCGGAGGTCAGACGTTGCTCTGTCTTGGGATCATCCAAGATTGCAGGGTTGTTTTTAATTGCGTCCATTTGCTCCCTGAGTTCATCAGTTCGCGATTCTGATGGGCCATCAGCGACGTTTGATAGCATGTTATTCCATGCACTGAACCGGACTTCGCGCATCCACGACCATGCCATTTCGTCAGTGGTTGTATGTCTTGTCGTCCCAAGGCCCACAATCAGCTGACTAGGAAGGTGGTATCGCTGGGAAAAGATGGCGATTCCCAACGCTTGTAGTAAATGATGTTCCTCTAGCAGCTGTAAGGCACCAGAGCGTGCAACTTCCATAGTTCCAGGATGTGACATCTCAGATACATATCCAATTCCTAGTACAAGCCCCAGGTCGATTACACTTGCGACAAGGCCTTTAGACCGGCGGTATTCGGCAAAGGCATCCAGGAATGAGTTGGCCCCTGCATAGTTCGTCTGACCGGGCCATCCGCTGATGCCGGCAACAGATCCAAGAAGCACGAAGAAATCGAGAGGTTTATTTTCGAACACAAGATGAAGATTCCACGTACCCTGCACCTTGGGGGTGAGGGCTTCGGTCCATTCATCGTGCGACATGTTGCGGAAACCTTGGTCCTAGGGAGCGGGTCAGTGAGTCACGGCGACCACTCGGATTTAGAGGATTCGGAAAATACATACTCTAAGCACCATAGCCAAATGAATGATACCCGCAATGGGTGTTGGCGATGCGTTTTCAGCCCGGCGGACATCTTCAATATTCGCTACATCCCCAGCAACTGTAGTGACGCTGCAACCTTGCTCCTGGAGGTCGCGAATGACACTTTCAGCTCTGGCAGTACTGGACCCTGATCGGCAGAGGATAACCAGGCGACGGGCGCCCTTTTCTACCATCCAATTCACGACGGCACGGCCGAGTCCACCAAATCCACCCACTACCAGATACGACGCCTCGGCAGAGAAGTAAGGCGTCGTTTCATGAGCCCGGGTCACCGCAAGGGTCGAAGGCTCTTCGGGCATTTTGATCACAATCTTCCCCATATGCTGGCCACTTTGCATATATCGGAATGCCTTCTCGACATCGCCAGCCTCGTACACGGTGATGGGTTTGATAGGCTGCGCTTTGCCTTCGTTGAAATATGCCAGCATCTGATTGGTTAAGTCGCGCAGGTCCTCGGTATTGTCGTTGATGAGCTGCAGGACATCAACTCCAACAAAGGCCCTGTTCCCAGCGAACAAATCCATGTCTAGTTTACCGTGGCCTAGAAAGTCCCGCTTGCCCAGTTCCAGCATTTTTCCGAATTGCGCAACGCATTTCCACGACGCATGGAGCAACTCACCCGACAGCGAGTTCAAGACTATATCTACACCGCGATTGTTCGTCATTTTCATGACGCCCGGGAGGAAAGACGCGCTCCGGGAGTCGAATATGTGGTTTGCTGGGATTCCTAGTTTCTGGAGATGCTGGATCTTTTCCGGCGACCCCACAGTTGCGAAGATCTCAGCCCCAACTGCTCGACATATTTGGATAGCCGCCAGACCTACGCCGCCACATGCGGAATGGATCAAGACCGACTGCCCTTTTCGAAGATTCCCCACGGTCAGTAGGGAGTACATGACGGTCACGTAGACGCAAATAACGGTGGCAGCTTCCTCCAGAGGAAGCTCGGGTGGAATGGGAACGCATCGATCTGCGGGTAGTATCTTGCGTGTGCACATGAGCCCTGTGCCTGCTAACATCACTTTATCGCCGACTCGGAGGCTCGTGACTCCAGGACCGACTCGACGGATGATTCCACTGCCTTCGATACCAATTTCGCCCGTGTGTGACATGAAACCCATCGCAATCATTACATCCTATTGTGGTTAGCAACATCCACTGCGGTCTATTGAAGCAAGCCTTACCCTAAAGTTCAGCCCAACGTATTTCACATCCACTTCAACATCGCCTTCCTCGACCTTAGCCGGAACAAGATCCGCTAATGTCCACATGAAGGAACTAAGCATCGCGTAGGTCCCAATATCTAGCATGCGCGTTCCCGCGATTCCCTCTGCCCGCTCCAGTGGCTGCTCAAGAGACTTCCACTCATATCGACCAGCCTGGATTACACCATTTTGCACGACAAACTCACACTCGGGGTTCGCATCCGGGTCCTCTATCTGTGATAGGAATGTTTCATATGCCCTAATGATCGGCTGTAGAGCCCTCGAGTCAGCATTGTCAAGCTCCAACGTGACGAAATTCTGCGTAACTTCGTGTCGTAGAGTTCGGGCAACTCCCAAGATCAGCCCATACCGAGGGTCTCTGCATCCCAGCTGGATCGACTGCGTTACCCAGAAAAGACGGCTGGTTGTACAGCTTGATAACCAACCGCGGAACCGCTCAAAATCTTCCTTCGTCAAATCGAAGAAAAATGGGCCCTCCAAATCCATCAAGGATATAATATGAGAGCCTGGCGGTGGTGGCTGGTCAAGTGTCGAATAAGACACCTCATAGCCAGCCATCTCAAGCTGGTGCCCCAGTTCTCGCGCCCAATCCGTGGTCCTGTACCTGCAAAGCAGGAATAATTCGCCCTTTTCCAGTTTCGGTGGCAGTAGTCTTGAGACCATGTGCGCGCTGAGCTGATACGGGGCTTCGTTGTCGTATCGACAGCATTCGACGCCCGTAAATCCCGCTTTCACTAGCTCACTATGCCACCGTTGAGTCGAGACGTATGGGCGATCTGCTCGACCATCTTCTTCCCCAAGCCACCAGCCAGGGAGCAGACCCATTATGTAGTCAACCTTGAAGACATCACCGGCCAGCTCGATAAGAAACAACCGACCGCCCCGAGTCAAGAGCTTCCTAACATTGCCCAGAGACTCAGAAAGCCTCGGAGTCGCATGGAGAACATTGGAAGATATCACCAGATCATAGCTTTCAGCCTCGAACCCCTGCTCAATGGGGTCGCGCGTTATGTCCAAGGTGGCGAAGTTCATATCCGGGTAAGACTTGAATCGGTCCTTAGCTTCAGCCAAGAACCCCGGCGATATATCCGTGAATGTGTATTTGGAATATAACCTATTACCACTGGCTGGCACGAGACCCTTGAGCGCGGTGGAGGTGTCCCCACCAGTGCCACCTCCGATCTCTAGGATCCGGAGAGCGGGCTTAGAATGGCCTAGCATTTCGAAGAACTCGTGCCACGAGGAAATTTGGGAGCTAATTGAGTATAAACCTTTCAAGCCGCCATCCTTGATGAGAAGCTCGATTGGCTGTATCTCGCCTGCGAAAATCCCATGGATGGACTCGTGCACCCTTTTACCTAGGATATACATGGGATACTCGGTTGCCTCGGGGGACAGGTTTGAGTACTCGTCTATTGCCTTCCTGCGGCTACTCTCGTCTAAAATCCATGATTCCCACACTTCTGGCACCATATTGGCGTGATTCGTGCATATGAGGTCGTGTTGAGATTGGAGCCACGACTGATACTTTTTGAGATGAGGCTCCACTGGGTCCAAGAACTTGGTTTGATGGTATGTATCGCACGTAAACAGGCTGAACATCCTGACCATCGTCTTCCCGAAGGTGAGGCGCGTCTGCGTGCCAGGGATTTGTTCCCTTGGGGGAATAAAGTCGATGTGTGGTCTGTAGCGGAGACTTGACAACAGCGGCAGATTTGTCTTGCCAACGTCCGGATCCTGCGTGGAGAAAAAGTGGCCGTTTTGGAGACGCAATGCGGTACCAGATCCATAGTTGAGGGTTGCATCCCCAGACATAGTGCCACCAGCGCCATCGCAAGAGACAGCTAGTGCCATTGAACCTCTTCCGAAGTTGACGTGCAGACTCTCCAGCCCAATCGGGATGCATAACCTCGTCATGCGGCGCGGAATGCCATTTGTTGCAGCCACACTGAGCAATTGCAACGCCTGGTCGATGAGAATAGGATGAAGTGCGTATCGACTGCCGTAAAATGATTCCTCATCCTGGACAGTGGCCGCAGCCTCATACGCCAGCGGATGCGCCGATATTTCACGCAGCCGGCGAAACTGGGGCCCGTATGACATTCCTCGCTTGTCCAACGCGTTGTACCACTTTTCTGAATCGACGGACCGCGAGTATTGCTGGATGTTTTCCGTTTCGTACGGTCTATCTGGTCCTGGCCTTACCTGGCCCATGCAGTGTTTCCTCCAACTGCCATTTTGATAGGCACTTATTGTAAACTCATACCATACTGAATCGATATTGTCCGCGAGTTTAGCTGGTCTGAGATTGGTTGATAGCTCTGTTGTACTTGAGGAATCGAGTATCATGGCAGTCCGCATGAACAGGTTTCTAATAGAGTAGTCCTCTACGCCAGTCATTTGCCGAATAGCCTCACCAGCCATTGCGACGTAGGCTGCACACGGGAAGACAATATCCCTACCAATCCTGTGATCGGCTAACCAGGGCACATAGTCTAGATGTAGAAGACATCTCCATGATGGCTCCACGTCGGAGGATTCTAGTCCTCGAGAGCCTAAGAGTTCATGGTGCGGGTTCTTGCGGAACTTTCACCCATGCACCATGCGGGTCTCGGCCCAGAATGACTCGCCGTGTGTCCAGGAATATGACGGTAGATCGGTTAGTACTCTTCCTCTAGGAACCAGTCTCGATAACTGAATAGAGGTGCCATGAGAATATAATTGCCCAGCAGTCTCTAGCAGAGTGTGCCATTGGGCGGAATTTCTCTGCAACGTGGCAACGTACGCCCATCTTTTGCCTTTGTTCTTGCTAGAGTGCATAATTTGGCGAATAGGCGAATGGAGTGCGGAATGTGGCCCGACCTCCAGGAGTAGCTTGGGGGTCTTGTCAGCGTCGAGTGCTTTTTGAACTGCGGTACTAAACAGCACTTGACACTGCAGATTCTGCGCCCAGTATACCGTATCCAGCTCTCGCGGCTCATTTATGCGCGCCGCAATGACAGATGAGTAGAAAGGAATCATGTATTCATCGTGAGATATTAGAGGACGTATTGCGTCCTCGTATTCTTCTGCCACGTCTTTCATGTGGTGAGAATGGTAGGCGACATTCACAGCCAGGCGTCGGCAAAAGATATCAGGGTGTTCTTCCCGTACCTGCTCGAGAGCAGCATCAAGGACACCCTTATCTCCTGATAATGTCACACTGACCGGGCTATTTTCGCACGCGGTCATAATCCCTTCCCGTAAATACGGCCTCACCTGCTCCGGACCCAGCCCCACAGCAGCCATTGCGCCGGAACGGCTGGATGCGAGTTTCTTGGCTGCTTGTCCACGGAAGTATGCAATGATTATCGCAACAGAAGCTGGTAGAGCCCCGGATGCATAAGCTGCGGCGATCTCTCCACTCGAATGGCCCACTACCGACTCTGGCATAATGCCCCAGCCGTGCAGGAGATTGACCAGAGCAATCTGGATCGCAGTAGTTAAAGGCTGGGCGAATTCGGGCTCTCCGACGCGACTCGTGATGTTGGACTTTGAAAGTTCCTCTACTGCCAGTAAGCATACATCAACCTCGGCGGTTTGTAGAGGACATGCCTTCAATGGTCCAAGGGGGAGGGTTGATCAGGCGCTTGAGTGCTTGATCCATTGCTTGGATGTCGCTTCTGAAGCTGGGCAATTGCGCTATAAGCTCGCTTCCCATCGACGACCATTGCGATCCTTGCCCGGTAAACACGAAAATCACAGACGGCGATATCGTCCTGGCTCTCTGAAACGGGGCAAGATGGCCGTCAAATCCCACTATCGAGAAGGCGCGGTGTGTGAGGTGCTCACGCCGTTGAGCTAGGGAATAAGACAGGCTGTGCACTGATAAGGGATTGGACTCTAGGTAGTCGGTGACGCCCTGTATTTGGCCATCTAGTGACTCTTTGCTATTCGCCGAGACCACCAATAAGTGGCGGTTTTTGGCGCTGCTGGCTTTTGATCTTGCAGGGACATCATTGTGGCGTAACAACGGGGCGGAATCAAGTATGAGCTGGGCTGTTAGCAACGATTTATTCAGGTAGATATGAGATCATACATGTGCATTCGTTCCACCGATCCCAAACGAATTGACGCTGATCCTCTCTCTTTTGTGTAGTGGCCATGGTTGAGGCTCGACCGGGACTTGGAGCTTTGCAGCCTCGAACGGAACTATCACAGATCAGCATACAAGCTACTGACTAAAGTCTCTCATTTGATGCGGAAAAATCCAGGGGAAGCAGCATACTCCGTGGATTGGGGTCTTTGAAGTGAACGTTGGGAGGAATCGTCCGGTTCTCCAGCGCGAGAACGCACTTGATCACGCTGGTGATGCCTGAGGCGCCCTCCGAGTGACCGACGTTCGGCTTAACCTGTTAGGGTCAACACCTGAGGCATCTGGCCTGACTTCACTAGGATTTGTTCATCTTCATCTTCAACTTTAACTTCATTTCCCACGAAATACTTACCGCACCAATATATATCCCATCCTCGCCAAATATGTTCGCAACGACAGACGCTTCCGCCGTGTCCCCCGCGATCGTCCCAGTGCCATGACACTCAAAGAACGCAGTCTTCCCGATCTCCTCATCAGGAATGCCCGCTCGTCCATACGCTCTCCGGACGAGCCTTTCCTGTGCTTCAGACCCTGGCGTAGTGATACTAGGGGTCTTCCCATCGCAATTAACAGCGGTAGACCGGATAATCGCACGGATGGGATCCCTATTCTCCAACGCATCCTTCAACGGCTTGATATAGATGACATTAATTGCCTCTCCCCTCCCATAGCCATCCGCAGCGGCATCAAACGTCCTGCAAACCCCACTCTGCGACAGCACCATATTCTCCGACATGGAGACCGTCATAGTCGGGCTCATAATCAGGTTCACCCCCGCGACCAGCGCAGAGGAGCAATCCCCAGCATACAACGCCTGGCAAGCATCATGCAACCCGACCATACTCGACGAGCACCCCGTCCTTACAGCAACACTCGGACCCCGCAAATCATACTCATACGAGACGCGATTCGCGAGCGCAAAGTCCCCCGCGCTCATCACCCGGTACCGGTCGAAATGCTGCGTATCCTTCGCCAGCAGATCCAGCCAGTCCTCGCCGAAGCTGCCCACGTACAGCCCGATGTTGGTGCCCCGCCAGTCCGTCTGGCCGCCGTTCTCCATGCACTCCCACACGACCTCGAGTAGGTGTCTCTGCTGGGGGTCCAGCTTCTCCGCCTCCAGCTTGCTCATCGCGAAGAAGGACGCGTCGAGCTGGCTGATGTCGCGCTGCAGGAAGTAGCCGTGTTTGGTGCGCACGGCGCCGGGACGCAGCTCGTCGTAGAACGCGTCCACGTTGTATCGCGACTCGGGGACCCGGCACAGCCCGTCGCGCTTGTTGACGAGGAAGTCCCAGAAGTCGGTGTCGGAGTTGACGCCGCCGGGCAGCCTCATGGCCATGCCTACGATGGCGACGGGAAACGGGACGGGGTCGTCGCTGCCATTGCCTTGGCTGTCCACTTCTTGTCTGTCTGACGCGGTGGTCGGTGTGTCCTTGGTGGGGGGGTGGAAGAGGATGTTTCCTGGACTGGCGGCTTCGAAAAGTGTCTCTTTAAAGGCGCGGCTGTCGAGAACCCGAGCCATTATTGGGAAGTAACTAGCTGGTTCGAACGGTGGATGATCGAGTGTAGACTGGGACGGGAACAGAGTGACATGTAGGTCTGAACAAGGTATCGATTGCTTGCTACTGCATACCACAGAATATATCGTCCAGCATACATTCATCCACCGGATAGCGTTCACCAAACGCTTGCGGGCGATGGGTTCAGCATGCCAGACTGTTTAAAGGTATAGGTGAGATACGACGCGGTGGTCGTTCAAAGCCTGGCTTTTGGCGAGATCATGCTGCTGCCCGTCTACACACCCGGTGCTATGTGCTCAGATTGGCTCGTCCTCGATCTAGTCCTCGCCTGAAGCAGCTTGGGTTACAGCGTGCGCCGTGGGTGTTTGACAGATGATCTAGCCTCCTCGACAGTTGCCTCGAGGCTAGGTCTAATGCCAACCGCATCATATATTTACACATGTGAGCCATTCTTCTACTCCGTTGTTCAAACAAGCCATCTATCTATCCATCATTTCAGCCGTCCCCAAATCCTCAAAGACGAAGACCACGACTACTACCGCCATCTACCATTCCAAACCGTAAACCCAACCTCCAGAAACTAAATATCAAATATCCATCACGCAACGCAAAACATACATACATGCATACATGTATACACGCCCCCACCCCCTTCACACGTTACACATCACCAGCCCCAACCCAGCCAACCCAACCCCAAAACCATACATACATACATACACATGGTTAGTACCCATGTATATACGTAGCACAGCCCGGCCCGCCTCGCATCCCGTCCCACCAGCCTCATAACCCGAACAAACTCAGCATAAAATAAGAGTACCTGCTGATGACGATCATAAAGACCCGACTTCAGCCCTGCCTATATGATTGGAGAATAGACCCATCCACATTCTGCGGCGTAAAGTGTCCTTACCTGTCTGTCTGTCTGTCTGTCTGTCTGGCAGATGTCCAAGGCCGGTTGTTTATAACCCGCTAAAGACACGGACGGGATTCAGTCTACGGGGGGTTTTCAGTTTTCATTTCGGTTTCTGGGATCTGGGTGGGGTATCGTCATGTGCCATTTAACATTGTCTTTGCTTCTTTTTTCTTACTTTCTGTGTTGAGACAGCGGGGAGTTTTATCGGGTTGGGAATGATGTAGGTAGTCAGTTCTGTCCCGTCTTGTTGGAGGGAAGATATTCAAGATATGCTCTATGCACGTATGTAGTAGGTGGGTATGGAAAATAGTATCACATGAGTCACAGAAGATGGTAGTTTGTTCTATTACAGCCAATAAAATGTCTTCAGCGGTATATTTACAAGAATAGTAGTAGTAGTAGTAGTGGGTAGACACCCCTTTCCCATCCTCCTTCCATCAACTCAACCTCAACAACATCCATCATAGCAAAGCAAGAGTTCAAGCAAACAAGCACATATACACACACACATACACGCAAATCACATCAAATCAAAGAGAATAACTATGAAAAACCCTCTCTAGCAAACACGCCACGCAAAAGGAAAGAGTCAGGGTAGGTCATGTCGAATGATGATACGTTTAAAGTAGGTAAAAGAAACAGAAGGTAAGGAAAAGGCATGGCGTAAAATCAAGGATTAAAAAAATGAGATGGCAAATTCAAAACAAAGCTAAGTCTATAACGAAATCTCGTCGGGTCGTGCCTCGACGCCCAGGTCCGCGTCGAATTTGTAATGCGTGCTGTCGGAGTCCGGATGCACGTCTTTGATGGGGTGGAAGAGGATGGATGGGAGGACGACGCGCCCGTGGGTGTTTTCGTACTGGAGTCTTGTTAGCTAGATCGTTGTAGGGAGTGCAGAGAATGAATGGATGTACCTTCTGGCCCCCTGTCCCCTCTTTCTTCCAGCCGAGGAAGTTCCAATACAACAGACCAGGCAGGTTGGCGCGGTAGTACCACGATACCCACTCGAAGCGCGACTCGCGGCCCCAGGAGAAGGGACTGTCGCGGTTGTTGCCAGCCTTGCCGTCGACGCCGGAGTTGAACCACCGGTCGGCGCGCTTGCCGGGCATCTTCTGGTCGGAGAAGATGGGGTGGGGAACGGAGACGCCCTTGAAGCCGTGGAGCAGCGCGGTCGATGCGGGGAAGATCTCCGAGCCCATGTGGCGGCCCTGGAGGTTCTCCTCGTCCATGGCCATGAGAAGGCGTCGGGAGAGGCGGGAGTGGGTGATGAGGGTCGCGCGGCGCGGGGTGTCCTCGCCCAGGTAGCCGTAGACCTGGTTGCGGATGACCCAGTCGGTGAAGCGGGGGTTGAATGCCGGGAGGAAGCCCATGTAGTCTGCGTCTTCGCCGACGCCCCACTCAAACTGATCGTCGGCCTCGTCGTTGACGGGAGGCCACGGGCCCATGGGCTGCACCTTGCCGCCCTCAAAGTCCGCAATCGGCATGGGGCCCCAGATGCCTGGGGTGGCTTGGGTGGAGACGAGCTGGCGGAACTTGGTGTCGTAGTCGCCGTGGTATTCGGGTACGTAGAATCGTTCGTTGCGCTCCCAGATGCCCTTGCGCGGTTGCTTGCGTCCGAATGCTGCGACTTGCTCGGTGAACTCGTAATGATGGCCGGTCATGCGGCTGTCGATTTCCCAGTTCCAGAAGTATTCGAATTGCTGATTGTCGAGCATGAAATGCTGCACGGAGAGCCACTGCGAGAAGTGGACACTATTTACTATTAGTATCGTACCACCGGAGTAAAAGGGATTGGAGTAAAAAAAAAAAAAAAGGCATACTCAATGACACCAGGATCCAGCAGCGGGTAGCGAGCAGAAACGGTCGGCACATTCCAAAACTCGGTGATCCCCCAGAATTCCCGGGGAATGTTCTCTTCGAGCAGAGTCTGCAGCGTGTCATCCGAATCGAGGGCGACGTCCCAATCTTTCACATGGACGAAAAGGACGACCTCGTATTCGCCGCCGGACTGGAGTCCCAGCTCGGTGATCATGGCGCGGATGGACTGCTTCTCATTTTCGGTGTACTCGTGGCCGGTGTAGGTGCGGATCAGTACGACGGAGCGCGGCAGCGGGGCGAGCTCGGCGTTCTTGGGGGTCGTGGGTTTGCTGGACTCTTGATACAGCGACTCCAGGCCGAACCGGTCGGAATTATGGCCGATGCACTCCAGTTGCAGCCGCCCCCAATCGACATTCTCCCAGTCCACGGGTTCCGGTCGGACCCAGTTCTTCACGTTTTCATCCTTTTCGCCCAGACCGTAGGGACCGTATCTCAAGTAGCGATCGTAGGAAATGCGACCGTCGATACCGAGGAGCTCGTAGGAGCCGAACTGGGGCTGCGGGAATCCTGCAAAAGGGTTAGCTCCAGGGGGTAGGATCCGCAGGAGTAATTCCTACACATACCATTGGGAAGTCCAGCGTAGACGCCAACCTGGTCGTCCATACTCTCGTTCAACAATTTCCCACGGGGGCCCATACAGGCAGTGAATTCACCGCGATGCTTATTCTGGTAATCGAGGCTCTCATAGTCGGGGTAGGGGAGGAAGATTTTGGGGGTAGGACCGGTGCCATGTTTTTGGTAACGGGGGTCGTCGTAGACCTTGGGATTGTCAAAGTCTTCGAAGGTTTTTAAGCGGTCTAACGTGGAATGGAAGCCTTGGAATTGTCTGGATGGGTGAGCAGTGAACTTTCTCGACTTGGACGGCAAGTCAGTCGCTTACCTAGGGAAAGTTTGGGTTTCTTCGCGGTAGGCGACTTGAGGATCTGGGAGGGACTGGAGGAGATTAGCTGTTTGATTCTCTTCTTTTCCCTTCTTTTTGTCTTCATTTTCTCTTCATTTTCTCGTCATTTTCTCGTCATTTTTCTTTCTTCGACTTCTGTCCCCCCTTTTCCTTCGTATCTTTCCATCGATAGCATTTATGACAGACCGACAAGACAACGAGAGAAAAGAAAGGACGAAAAGCAGGAAAGACACCTCAAGGACTTCACCGGACGACCACAAAAAAACACAGAAGAAGGAAAAAACTCACCTGAGTGGCAACCGGGTGGGGACGCGACAGCATCACCAGCGCCCAAAAGACAGCAGCCGAAGCCAACATGATCGCCAGCAAGCGCGTATATCTGCGATTGGACCTGACCTTGCGCGCCCACAAAGGCAAGGGAAGAAAATCGTGGGAACCCTTTATTGACATGGTTAGGGGCAGAGATAAAAGGGCAAGGCCACAGATATACTGGACAGGCTGTAGGGACCCATGGGCAGGACGACGGAGACGGGGGGGGGAAGAGACTAATTGGAGTGGTGGGTTTGAGTGGTGGGTTTCAGATGGTGGGTCTTGGAATGGCGAATGGAAGAGGGATTCAGTTTAGGTAGGTTTTATAGGACCCAAACTGGGAGCCCAGGGAATGGATTATGGGTGTGGGATTGTAAGATGGAAAATGTGGCTCAAGTCGCCACGGTTAAAGTACGGAGGACTTACTGAGGAGAAGGGAAAAAGAAGGGATTGAAAGCGTTGGTATGTAATTTGACAGCTGAAGGCGGTATGATCGTCTAAAGGACGGTCGAGTAAGCTGATAACAGCAGAATGGACTGAGTTCAGATGTGGACAGTCATGGATGATATAATGCTTTTTTTCTTTATTCTGTACTATTTAGGATTGAGAATTAATTATTTCTTAGTATTCATGGATGATTCCTTGAATCACAGAGGTTGGACAAGATATTCAAGACCGCATGCAGTGAAGAATGGCCGGTATTCCTGACAGCAAATAATACAGGGCTGAATTGGTGGAATCTTACGGAAATCGGCTGACGCGTTCCTACACAGTCGAATCTGGCCAGACTGATCCGTTACATTACACACCCATACAGTATCAGGTACTGTCCCAACTCAGCCAGATCTACTCCAGAGTAGGTTTGGTACGGTAAGATAGGGGATTCCTTCTATCACAGACACAGTAACTGGAGGTAGAATCCTCCTCATCAACTAAGAGAGATATAATACCTGAGATACTTATAACCTGCATCTCGTCAGGAGACCGCACGGATTCCGTTCTACTACATCCCTTCCTCTATCATCCATGCAAACACAATCACCATCAATCAATACATGATGACGAATAACAACCCCCCGGTCCCTGCATCTCTCGCGTCATTCATTCAATAGATCTTCATCCTGCAGCTCCTGCCTCAGTCACTACTAGAACTGGACCAACTAACTCCTGGATTCGATTGATGCAAAAATATCCAGAAACAAGGAGAAGGAAAGCGTTTCATCCCCGCAACCAGCTACGCAGCCTCAGGCTCAACCAGCCATTTCCTCCCGGGAAGCATGGATGCCAGCCTGCATAAGAAGGTTGCAGGAACGCGGATTCCTGCCGCACACGGAGTCCCTCCCTCTACGGAGTACAGGAGGTTCAGGGTACGGAGTATAGGTAATAGGGAAAGTATCATCTCTGCCGCAAATAGAGTGTGATCGTCCGGCCCTGCAAATTACGCACGTCTCAAGATTGGCTTTCGAATGCGGTGGTGGTTGTGCTTGTGGTAATCTTCCGTCCGACCCAGCCGGGTTTAGTTAGAGGTAGGTAAGGGTCGGACTTTTTTGGGACTCGGAGACCGGTCGGGTTTGGTTTTTTCCAGCATAATAATATTATTATTATTTATCTTTCATTACTTGTATTATTCAAGATGCTTTGATTCTCTCTCTCTTTCCATCACTATATAGGGATCTAACTATGATTTCCTTCCAGTCATCTCACCCATTACATTGAGAGGAAGTGAAACATAATTCCAAAAATATCAGATGAATAAAATTGCTGTACTGTACAATCCCCACCGCCGAACCATAACCAAATTAGTATGACACCCACTTTTCCCTCCCGCCCAAGCTTTCCCTTCCATTCCATCCATCCATCCATCCATCCTGGATCCGTTTTTTCCCTTCCCGTTCCGGTAGCTGGTCCCGTGACACTACCCAGTTGAACAATGCTTTGCACAATGGCATTGCATCGCACAATGGTCCACTGGATTGAATGCTGAGTAAGATCTATCTGTAAATATAACTACTGTGGCCTCTGCTAATTGCAGCGAGCTCATCCGGATAAGGGACAGTTGAATATGTTATACCATCAATACGAATTATGTAATTTGAAATATTCATGTAATGCCAACCCCGGGATGCACCAGGCCGTCCCTAGGGCCTTGGCTGACTATGCAGGGAAATATCCCCCCTAACTAAGACTAGTAAAAACGATATATACGGCATAAGCAGAGTAAGGAGATTGAAGGAATGTAAGGGAATGGAACACGTCAAATTCACGGGGAATCGTCCTCGTCCGGAACATGCTGGTAGATCTTCTTCGATCGACGCGATCGCACCATCCACACGATTCCCGCCACCGCACCCCCCATCGAGCACAGCACCAGGAGGCCGATGAGGACCCCGCCGACCCCATTGAGCGACTCGTACGCCCGCATCATGGCGTCGGCGAGCTGCTGCGCTGTGGCAGATGCTTCACCCGCCGCGGTGGCGTCGGCTTTAGTGGCCTCTGCGTCCGCCGTCGTGGCGGGGGGTTTATCCTCGACGGGTGCGGGAGCGTCGGTGGGGTAGCGCACGGCGGGGTCGTCCGGCGCGGGTCCGCTGCTGTTCTGGCCGTGGTAGCCCAGCGCGGGCCAGTCGGTGGTGACGGGCTTGGAGCGGATGATGTCCGAGACGGTGATGACGTTGCCGTCGCGGTCGAGCGCGTCCGCCGAGATCCAGTCCATGTAGCCGCTGGCGATGAACATGGTCTCGAAGTCCCGCTTGGGGACGTTGCCCATCAGGTGGCGAGGGTGCTCCTCGCCGGCCTGGGCGTAGAAGTTCCACGACGCGATGTCCGTGGCGCCGTTCCAGCTGATGTGGATTGTCGTCAGCACGCTGGCCTCGTCGGCTGCATAAACGGAGGCCACCAGCGAGGGGGCGTAGGCGGGGCGCCCGACGAAGTCGTACTTGTACGCGCGGTAGGTGTTCAGACGGCCGGAGGCGAACCGCGCCGAGACTAGGTTGTCGCCTTCGGGGGAGAACTCGCTCTGGTAGCCGCGCTCGCTCCAGCCGACGAAGATGTTGCCGTTGGGCAGCCGCTGCACGCTGCCGCGGAGCAGCGTCATCAGGCCGTCGGGGCGGGGGTACCGCTGTTGCAGTTTGGCGGTCATGGCCTCGGTGTCCAACTCGACGATCAGAGCCGACGAGACTTCCTCCTCCTGCTGGTTCTCGTCACCGGCGTTGTTCAGCAGCGAGATGACGTGGCGCGTCCCGCTGGACTCGAGGAACTTCGCGTCGTGTTGCTTGGAGAAGATAAAGTCCTGGGCGAAATCGGACTCCTGGCCGCCCAGCCGCCAGATGACGTGGCCGTCCTTGCCGGAGATGAGATAGAGGGTGTTGGTGAAGCGCATGGAAATGAGATAGTCGCCGTCAGCGTTCTTGTCAACCGCGTTCATGTGCACGTAGTCCCAGCCCGGGGGCCCACCGGCGGGGTTGTCCGGGTTGAATTTGACCGACTCGTGGATGGCCAGGTGGTCGCTCGAATCCCAGGCGAAGACGATTTCTTTGGTGGTCAAGTCCCACTCGACAAAGCCGCCAGTCATGAAGAAGGAGGTCACGCCGGGGCGACCGACATCGTCCAGCGGCAGTTCCTTAGTACGGTAGACGCAGGCCAGCGCGGACTTGCCTCCGTCGAGGACGTTGAACTCGTGGATGTTGAACTCGTAATTGTCCTCCAGTCTCATGATCTCCTGCTCGATCTCGTAGTGGCTGTTCAGGATCGACGCGCGACCTCGCGTTCTGTCATCATAATCCCGCTGCGCGATCAGCGATAAGTGCGTCTCGTTCTGCGAGTCGGTGAACGCCTTGAAGTCGAAGACATTACGGTCGTAGAAGATGGGAGGGCCAGCCCAGATGAGAACCTGTGATGCGACCGCGTCAGTTCAACCTGCTACTCAGTTGCGGTTGACATGGACATGTCGAGATCGGTATGCATACCCCGTCGCCGTCATAGATGTAAGGTCCAACCTGGTAGGGCTGAAATTTCTGGGTGGGTGTCTCCGGCACAATCTTGCCGTAGGGCGCCACAAACCAGTAGCCCGGGCTAACGCGCTCCCGATCATGGTAGACGACCTCCCATTTCAATGCACGGATCTCAGGGAGCTGGAAAGTCAATCAGGATAAAGCTTTTCTTATTTTCCAGAAGAACGATGTCAAGGCGTACCGTCACAAAGGACATTAAGTCATCATCGCGGCGGGCAATCACGCCATGCAGCAACGACAACGCTAATAGGACGAACAATATCATGGTCTAAAAAGAGTGTCGCGAGTGGGACTCGGGTATAAAACAAATTAAGCCAAAAGAAAAAGAAACCAGCAAATTAAAAGCAAACAAGAAAAGAATGTACGAGGTGATGACATGCAATTAGAGGTTCATGTCACCCCCAGCAAGAATGATCATTGAATACGGGGAAGAAGAACAAAAGCAGGAGGAGGTTCGCAGGCCGCTACAAAAGAGTCGGAGAATGGATGATAGGTCTTAGGGCTTTGACAGGCTAAGTGCCAGGGGGTCCCGGAATAGTGGAGATGCGGGTGGTCATTACATGGTGTTAGTCATGTAGGTGTTTCTTTTTTGATCCTGTTCGCCCATTTCCTAGACTGTTTGGTGGTCATGGAGAGCCCATCGGTGGCAGCAGGGAGAAAAAGCGGACGGAAAGCGGACTCCGTAGGGGAGGAAATGCTTGGCCCGATTACTCTCGGCCAAACACAGTACGATAAAAGTGCTTGGCATCCTCCACAGGGCCAGGTCATTGGCAAGATAGCCCAGACTTGCCGGAAATTTGGCCGTGGAAACGGGGATTCTTTCGGGATCCCCTCACCCATGACCTCCATGACACTGTAAATGAACCCACCAGCAACCATCTTTCATTGGCGATTGCGCATCCTCTCCACGCTGCGTCCGGATCTTCTCTAACCGGTGGGTCCACGGAATAGGAGACCAGAAAGTCATTCCGACCCCAAAGCTGCAAGTCGAGCGGACTCCGTGTATCACACGAACTCAGTACGGCGCAGATTCGATGCATTGAAAACACCGGACGAAACTCTCCCCATCAGGTGCTGGTCTTTTTCTAGGGGCCATGTGTCCTCTGTAGTTTCAGCCGAGTGGTCCACTAGGCGTGAATAGTGGATCGTTCTCCGTGTTCTATTTCTAACGCCAAGACGGCCCGAGAGCGAATTTGGACTCGATTCTGCCATCACGGCCACTGTCATTGATTATCATACGATGTGGGATCGCCTGTCCTTTTACTGCGTGATCAGATATTGATAAAGCTTTCTTAGCTGCTTCAATCATATTAATCCTCGAGATGAGAGGGGTCAATAAGATTGACAGAAAGATCGGGGGAAATGATGAATAGACAAGCCTGTCGATGAGAGATGTAATGTGAGATGTTTGTCTAGAGAAACTGAAGCATTCAGACTACTTCCCAATCAGGTGATCGGCTAGTATTTGACTAAGACTTTCTGCCATTATGCAATGGAACTGTTCATAATAAAAATCTCCCATGAATCTTACAGACGCATAACAACATTGCTGATAACTATGGATGTTAATATATACTAATAAAACATATACTCAAGATTAACCCTGACTAACTGTTGTATACAGAGCATACTTGAGGTTTGCAGAAACCATGCATGCAGCCTAGCATACCGCCACCATCTCACCAATATATATTTCAGATCAAGCGGCAAATAAGCATTGTGATTTATAGCCACACTCAAATATACACCTAAATCTGCTCACATCCCTGTTGCAAATCCTACCAATGGGACTACAGAAGAATTGTACAGTTACTAGAAGGGGAATATAAAATAAACTAAGTTATGTCAGTTGCACAGTTCCGGTCAGCATGACCCTAGATTGAACTCTTATACCGTCCCGCTTGTATATAGTCCCGCCATCTATTTGTAAAGTTTATATTTCATCCTGGTTGCAAGGAATGTACGATTATGGCCTGACCACTGGATTTCCTTTCTTGATGCGCATACTATACTGCAACACAACACAGTCAACCTACGCCTAGTCTCGTTTCGCCAACCCCGATGGAGAGAGCGCGTGCATCATGTTGTGTACAAAACCCGGCTTGACCGCTCCTATAGCATCGTTGGTCGAAAAGTCAATGCCAGGAGGTCACAATGAAAACCACGCGGGTGGATGGAATGGTACGTAAGGGGTTGCCTTTGTCGGAGGGTTTGGGCGCGTGACAAAATACTGCTCAGCACATTGTATGGTTGTGATCGATGAGTGCCAAGTACCGTATTGAATATATGATCGCCATCGAGGAATCTAGTACTAACACAAGGACTGAACAGGAATGTTCTACTCCGGACGAGACAATTATACATACTCCCATCTGACACGTGACCGCACTGACCTTTTGTATGCATCTGAGAAGACTTCAATGCATCCCACCACTGCCGCTACAAAATTAATATCTCTAAGCAGATAGACTGCAGCCATCAGTAAGGTACATGTAAACTCTCCAGACTATTTACCCATTGGACGCAGACCGACGGAGACAATGTCTGACAGGCGTTCTGGCCAGCTCGTATCCTCATGCAAATAAGCAACGAAGCTACAGACAGGAGCCACTGATGTGCAGGAAAGCCCGTATGAATTTAAGGGGCAAGCGTGCCATTGGCCTTCTGGCGGATCAAGTGGACAAAACGGGTTACATCACATCCGAAAATGCATCCTTCTCGTATGTGATGATAACTCAGTTTTGAGACCCTGCCTGCAGAGCTGAAGGTTGGTTGATTTCCCCGGCAGGAGCACTCATGTAAGCGGGAATTGAAGAGATATTTAACCCTTTCCTGTCCCCAGATTATGTTTGCGTCTCTCATCTCAACTCACCAAATCCTGCCCAAACTAGACGCTCGTCGCTTTATTGAACAGCTGTCTTCTCTTAAAACAACATATACCGGATACCTGAAAATGAATTTCAGGGATATCGTCTTTGTTGCCTTTGTTCTGGGCGTAGCAACAGCCCAGTCCAAGACCTGCAAGACAGAGGCAGACTGCCCTAAGGAATTCCCTGTTGTATGTTCACCCTTTTCCACTAAGAAACTGCAAATACTGGTGTACCAAGTGGCCAACGAGAGTAACAGTGCTGTGGGTTTATCCCTACCAACAAATACTGCCTGCCGAAAGGTACGGTCTGCTAGGGAATGCGGGTATAAAGGTCTGGTCGTTGGCACAGCAGGCTCTGTTGGGGTATTCAAATGTTAGAGGGGGTGTACTGATGGCTTGGATGTGATGCTGCATCTATGAGCTTTTGTTTAAGAAATTTGACTTGTTGCATAGAATGAGATATTGCAATGCTTTGATTGGAGTTTTGTAGAGCTATGGCTTCAAAGGGCCGGACGCCAGTTAAGCAATGTCCCGAGTAGAATCGAAGGTTAAGACCATGTATCTATATACAGAAGCGCATGGTTCACGATGACTGTCAGATCTAATGACCGTTTCTTATAAAAGACACCATGTGTCCATATATTGTTGAGCTACTGCAGGGAACTCATATATCTAATATAATCGTTGACACCTATCGAAACTTCATCCGTCCCGACGAATGGCTTCGGGAGACCGACCAAGGTCGAGTCAAACTGATCATGTAGAATTAAATACTGACCTATATCATAATCCGAGCATCTCTTTCGATCACATAGAACGAGAAGAGGAATATCTACATTTATGACATGCAGATGTCTTTGAAATCTTGCGACAGCATCTGCAAGAAGCTCAGACCTTGTGTACGAATTCCGTCAGTATCTGGCTACGTAGGTGATGGGAAGAATACATGCGCGTGTCGAAGCGGTGTGGGAATAGCTGGAACTACTTCTTCGTTGGACCAATGTCATACTATACTATACATCTCGGTTTGGATGAAGATGTATCATCGCGATGGAGTCTAGATAAATACACAGCCACGCCTGTTCAGGATTATCCAGTGAATATGTCGAATCAGGACGGACATTGAAAAAAAGCAAATTTTTCTTACAAGATTGATTGGGGGAATGATAACTCAATCATTGATGACTGTTGGGGGTGACTCCTAGCGCTTACTGTCCAGCCTTCGATATTCAGCCTTCGACACTTCAAGGACCTCGCCGCATATGTACGAATGCCTTCTGGACGTCAAGCCTAAGGCACCTACCCGAATACAAAAATTCTAGTCTACGACGCTCGTTTTGTTAAACTTGGACTTGAAACAAGAGTTACACAATGCGTTGAGCCGGGCCATTATCTAGTCTGCTGTCTTTGATATCAGCGGTCATATCCTGAGACGATGATGATGGGATACTATATATAAGTTACTGCGCTAATCTGATCTATGCCAGAATTGGTAACATAGGGCTCTTGTTACAAGGGCTGCCTACAATAGGTGAAAGTACTCCGTACATTTAGACTCAGAGTTACTTATAAAAGATCATATACACAAAGAATAAAAATAGATAAATAAACAAAAAAAGAAAAAGACAATGAACAACCATCTTCATACAACCAATGGATGCTTTTATCAATTCAAATACAATAGAAAAGTGGTGTCGTGGCGTGAGCTGAATTGTGTTTTAATTGCATCGTTGTCTCTTCAGGGGTTAGGCGACCTTAGACACGTGTATAAAGGCCCAAGCACAGATATATAGCATCCTGAACTTTGATTTGACTTATGTCATCATCATATCAATATTATTGCCTAAAATGATCATGGTAGGGACAGGGTAGGGTGAGATGTGTGTCTTTAATATTGGCATATAAGCTGACATTCACCATTCTGCTAGCATACTTGCTTATCACTCGATTCATATTGTTAAACAATCTACCACCAAGCACACCAAGACAGTCTTCCATTGAGATAGCAGCTAGATTCTACCTGGCTGACCCCAGAATGACCAAGCACACATCCCATCCCCCCCTCGTCGCAGACATGTCAAACCCCAAGCAGGCTCACCAAAAACAGAATTCAATAGCACCGTCCAGCCACAAACACCACTCCCTCAATCGCAAATGGTACATCACAACAATAGCAGCCCTCCTCACCAGCTGCTACGTGCTAATCTTCATATCCGGTACACCACGAGGCGGCCCAGCCGTCAAGCAGCGCGTCCTCTCCAACCCAGGCGGCTGGTCCCACATCCTCGGCGGCCTAATCTCAATGACCATCGGGCCTTTCCAGTTCCTCATCACCTTCAACAAGCAGTCCCCAGCCATCCACCGCTGGCTGGGGCGCGCCTACATGACAGCCGTGGCAGCCGGCGGGGTGGGGAGTCTCTCTCTGTGCGTAACAACCGTTGCGTATCCCGCCGGGGCGTGGGGGTTTGCGGCCCTGGGTACGGTGTGGCTGGCTACTGCGGCATTTGGTTGGCAGGCTGCGAGGCGGAAGGATTATGCTAGGCATCGCGAGTGGATGTTGAGGAATTTTGCCCTCACGTATGCGGCAGTTATGTTGCGATGGCAGCTGCCGCTGTTGCTGTGGTGGGGGTATTCAGTGGAGGAGGCGCTTACTATTACGGGTTTTTCGTGTTGGGCTCCGAATGTGGTGTTTATGGAGTGGTGGATTGGGCGGGGGGAGAAGGTGAGGATGGAGTAGTTGTTGATGCTGTATGGGTGCATTTGTCTGGGGTTTGGGTGTATATGGTTGGTGTGTATATGGTTGGTTTTGTTCATCTCGGAGGGTGAATCTATATACAGGGACTTCTGGACGACATCCATCTGGAGTAGTATGTGCCTCGTCGAGTGATACTGTTGGCGGACATCGTTAACCATGAGACTATTAGCTCTACTCTAGGGAAACAGTGATTGTCATAGACCTCTATTCATATTTTGATTGAACACTCATCCCGATATAGTCGAGACAAGGTAGTATCTTCACAGGAAACAAACCCATAACCACTAGAAAAAATTAAAAACGAAAAATCTGCTAGAATTTTCATGACACGACTCCCTCATAAATAAGGAAAAAGCAATCACAACGCCCATAAGATCAGGTATCAAACCAACGCAGTAGGAATCCACATTTTCCCGCCCCCTTCCACAACGAAAGGACCAACTCAATCCATATCCATATCCACATCGACACCGCCGTCGACTCTCGCACGCAGCTTCTGCTTCTGGGCACGGGCGACCTTGGCCGGCGCCGCAGTCTGGGTCGAGGTCTGGCCGTCGGTCTGGGCCGTGCTGCGCAGCTCGCGGGGCAGCAGGTTCTCGTGCTCGGCGACGAGCTTGAAGTTCTCCGCGTTCTCGCGGGCGCGCTTGCCGGCCATGCGCTTCTTGTAGAAGACGCGCTCGCGGCGGGTGCGGATCTCGGTGACGCGCTCCATGGCGTGCAGGGTCTGCGCCACGAGCTGGCGGTTGTACCGGGTGGGGACGTTGCGGCGGGCGGAGAACTGCAGCGTGCGGTCGACCGTCATCTCCTTGCCGGCTTGCTGGCGCGAGATCTTCGTCCACTTCACCTTACGGGCCTGGCGCTTCTTCGTGAAGGCCCGCTGGCACTTGGACCGGCAGAATCGGAATGCCTTGGCTGTGAGGGGTGTGGTTAGTGATTATATTCAAGAGGACAGATAACGATTTCGGGAGGACGGTACCATCGTTCCGCACAAAGGTGATGCCTTTGCTGGGGTATGTCGGGCGACTGGAAGTATCGTAGGTTAACTGGCTGCTCGGTGCGGACGGAGGAGTTTTCAGACTGGGTCGAGTACAAACCTGCAGAAAAAACAGTTTTCGATTCTATTACTGTCAGCATTTATGATATAGTAGGAAAGGATATAGGAACATGACATACCTCATGGTGATGGATAAAAGGACTGCAGTCCCTGTGAGCGGCGTATGATCGAGATCATCTGGAGCAAGTTGATGCCCAGCGATAAAAAAAAAAAAACTTCGATAAAAAGGCGGTGAGCAGTGGCATTTCAATAAAATTCCCGATTAGGTAAAGCGGCCCATGTGACGCGGGGGCGGATGAGTCAATGGTGACTAATCTTGATCTTTTCCATTCAGGCAACCAGGCATCCAGGCAACATATCCAACAACACTCAACGTATGGCTTCAGATTCCACACGACTGCTACAGTTGGTAGGTGTCTGATTGTTATATATTTAGATCTTTGTATTCAGTCTAGGACCTGTAGCTCTATTCGACATGATAATCGGAACTACTAGACATGGGTATTCACTACTATCCCATTGCCTGGCGCTCCCAGGTTGTTGCAAACGCCATCATGAGCCGTAGTTGCATATCCTTCCTTCCTTTTCATGGAACTAAAGCCACAGGATTGATCGGTCTCGGGACGCCAACCTATCATCGACGTGCAATCTTCGGGATCTCGGAGTGTATGTCGAATCAGACCCCCACTCGGGACTCCCCGCGGCTCTATATAATCGTGACTCAACCCCTCTATGAATCTTGAATACATTCCATCCCTCTACGTCCCTAAAATGGCAGCCTCTCCTACGATAGGCGAAATCGTATCCCTATCTCGAGCCCAATTGCCAAGCCCCAAGACAAGATTACAAGGCCGGACCGTGACTCTCGAGAGACTCGGCCTGCAACATGCCCCCGACCTCTTCGCCGTGATCGGCGGGACCGAGCCATCCAACACATCTCTATGGGACTTCATGCCCGATGGCCCATATCCCGACTACGAAGAATTCGCAGCTACTATATCGCTTCGCGCCGAAAGCACTGACCCATTATTCTTCGCCGTCATAGACACCAACAACACGACTGCCCACCGCGGCAAGGCAGTCGGCTATCTAACCCTGATGCGCATCACGCCCGACCATCTGTTCCTCGAAATCGGCCACGTGATGTTCTCCGCCGCGCTGCAGCGCACGACGGGCGTCACGGAAGCCGTCTATCTCCTGGCGGAGCACGCATTCCACGACCTCGGCTACCGCCGCGTGGAGTGGAAGTGCAATGCGCTGCATGTACGGTCGCGGCGTGCGGCGGAAAGGTTGGGCTTCGTGTATGAGGGCACGTTCAGGCAGCATATGGTTGTTAAGGGGCGGAATCGCGATACGGCTTGGTTGGCGATTCTGCGGGACGATTGGGAGAGGCGGGAGAAGGGCGTGTTGGAGAAGTGGTTGGATGAGGGGAATTTTGAACAAGGTGCGCAGAAGAAGAGCTTGGATGAGATGCGGGCGGATTGGGGTTCGTGATGTCTTTCACTTACTGCCAGCTCAGGATTGCTTGTTGCGTGGCGGGTTCGTCGCCCCTTTGGTTATGTCATGGAGCTGTACATTGTCATACTTACATGTCCACACATCTATATATTTACAGCGCAATAGAGCAGGTTATAACAACCCCCCACCAATCGCCCCCAAATGCTCCTCGTCCGTACCACAGCACCCCCCAACGACCTTCACGGCAGGCAACAACGCCAAAGCATCACGGAACCCATCCAAATAAGTCGGGATGTGGCCTCGATCCAGCGTATCAGTATTATCCAGCTCATCATGCGTCTTCTGGCTGGCATTGCCCCTGACCATACCAATACGCGCACGCACTTCACTCGACATCTCGCGCAGCGCAGCCGCAATCCTAGCCGGATGGGCACAGTTGACACCGAAATACGCCGCATAGCCACCCGTGGCCTCGTCGACCGCGCGGATGGCGTCCTCCAGGGAGTTCCCGCCCAGCAGACGGCCGTCGGTGCCAATGCTGAACGACACTACGATGGGGAGACCGACCTCGCGAGCGAGCTCAATGATAGCAATCGCCTCATTGAGATTCGAGATGGTGAATAGGCCGAGGAGGTCGACGCCTGCGTCGGCGAGCGTCTGCACCTGCGGTCTGTAGGCGTCGCGCGCGGTGTCGAGTGATATGGCCTGAGACGAGTCCTCGTAGGCGTCTTGGAGCGGGCCCATCGTGCCGCTGATGAGGACGGGGACGTTGGTGCTCGTGGCTCTGCTGTGTGTGCGGGCTGCTTTGGCGAGCTGGACGGCGTCGCGATTGGCGGCGAGGAGCTCGGCGGGGGTCATGTTCAAGGCGGAGGCCCAGGGCGTGGAGGCGCGCCAGGTGCGCGTGTCCAGGATGATTCCTGTGTTGTGGGCTGCTGCGATGGAGATATAGTTTGCGTATAGGGAGGAGATCAGGGCTCGGTGAGTGGGGTTGGTGAGGAGTGGTAGCGAGGAGAAACTTGGGAGGGCGATTTGATGTTTGTAGTAGAGGGTTGTTTCCATGCCGGGTTCGCTGAGGAAGGGCCTCTCGAGAGACGACTTGAGGTGAGGGAGAGACATCGTGGTGGGTTATTTGATGTTATTGAAGTGGACGGATTGGAATGGGGGGTGAGTTGAGTTGAAGTTGCATGATGGGGATCCACGCGGGTTATAAATATGGTCTGGTGGAGACTGCGAAGGAAATGTGGGGATTGTCCATTCCGGACCCGGTGGATTGCCGAATATATTTTGGTTGGACCTGACGGTTGATATTGGCTATCTATTAAATCTGTCTACAGTTGCTGGTTCATATTAAACATCGCGCATCCTGGTAATACACCACCCTCGGGATATCTCCCACAAACCCTACTTTCCGGATAGCTTCAACTACCGTCGCATCAACGCCCTCCACCAACTCCCCGGAAGTGACATCCACGATGCTCTCAGTGCTATCTCAATGTTTGAAAAGCACATACTCTCCCTGCACAGCCATCGCCAGCACATTCGCCCGGCCATCAGGCCCAGTATCCCGCACCGATCCGATGGCGCTGTATCCCGGGACAATGGCGAGAGTTATGATGCATGTTGCGTTTGTGGAGAGGGCTTTGGAGATGGGTTCGAGCATCTTGCCTGGTTGGTTCATCAGGTGGATCTTGATATATCTAGTAGGGAGTAGTTGAGTAGAATACTATTGGAAGAATGGGTTACTGGATGAGTAGTAGTACTCCAACATGGATCGTGTTTGTATGGTGAGATGCGCCTCATGTTGGCTGATGCCTTGTGTTGGAGACCGAGCGATCTGATTATTTATTAGCTTTTGGGTCTATAAATGCGGTATGTTCAGGGAGCTCAACTTTTGACTTTTATTTAGAACTATCTATCTGTTTTTTGGGTGCTTTGGGAGTATGATATTACAAGCATTGCTGATCGACGTCTATACATGGTTGATGCCTCAGTCGTGGATTGTACTGCTCTTGCATAGGAGCCATAATTCAACACAACGAAAGTGACAAGGATAGTTGACAGCAGAAGGATACATGAAGTAGAAGAGAATAAACAAGGATTATGAAAGATAAGTAAGCCTTGAATGTAATAATTGAAATTAGAAAATAAAGAAAAAGTCGGAAACACAGAAACAAGAAATGGGATAAAATGAAGAAAAAGAAAATAAAACAATTTACCCTAAGTCTGAACCGAAAATCCATGACCGGAATGATACTCCCCAGCTCCAGCTTTCAACCTGGCGAAAATCCTCCGCAGATAAGAGACACAACCTGTCAAAGGACCGACCAATGTAGAACGGATTTTTTCTTTTGAAAAAGGGCAAGAATATCAAATTGGCCGTGGCCATTTGGCGATTTTCATGCCTCTTGAGAGACATTGGACAGGGTGGTACGACCACGGAGACTTACTCGCCCTAGTTCGGCCTCTTCTTTCTTCAGGAAAATCTTGGAATGAATATAGTGTCACCATACAGGGGCCTGGTGATTGCTGGGGTAGGTTGTAAAGGGAAAGATACATCGGCATGTGGAAGTATACCAATAGGGATAGGCCATATGTAGTCATGACGATTGAAGGCACATATGTGTTCAGTACTAGATTGATGCCCTTAAGATAAAGAATAGAAATTAAAAAAATATAACTGACCAGATCAAGAGTAGCAGTAATGCAATATGTATGAAAAACGTATCGATTTAGGTGCTGATATGTTATAAACAAAGTTTAGGTCCAAGAAAAGGAAAGGGAGGGAAAGAGAGATAGACAATCAGACAGAGAGAGACAGAGAGAGACAAAGATAAGGATGTTCATAATATAGTGTCTTTTCAGAGGACATACAAGTATTTGACCCATTGCACTCCTGTCATTGACATCAGTTATAGGAAGTGTATATAATCAGACAGATTTAGCAAGGAGCATATACAACTTGGTATGATTGATTCACTGAGCTCGAGCACAACAAGTTACCATAATGATGAGTGATTGTCAGTGATTTCTCTATTACAGTGATATACTGTATGCTGCACGCGACATGACGCGGGGCGTACTTGCCAATATATGGTCTTGGTGGACCGTGGTTTCCAACAGTGACTGCAAATGGGCCCTCGACCTTCCAGTGAGGTTAGAAACTCGACCATAGGATTCAAATCTCTCTTGCCCACTACCTTGACTGCCACCACAACCAACTGGGCCAAGTCGAAAACCTTCACGATGGCTTTGAACGAAAAAGACATCGGCAGCATGTGTATGCATGGTGGTCTCCAGGACCCCGAGCAGCCTGAGCCTGTTCATCACTCCAGCAATGAGACAGGAGAGGCAAGCTCAGGATTTTCGGTTTGATTTTCCCTATCAGGAAATGCTGTCCATACTAACCTCGAGCAAGGCCGTCGCGGTTGGATATCGTGAGTATCGCGAGGGTCTGCACATGGAGGTGTCTCATGAAGACGTGAGTCTGTTCACAGCCAATCCTCAACCCTAGTTGACTTGAAGTAGAACAAAAAAGTTAGATGGAAGATCGATTTCGTCGTCCTTCCTATCTTCATGGTGACCCAGGCCCTGCAGTCTATGGACAAGACCGCTCTCAACTACGCGAACCTGCTGGGATACCAGGAATCATTGGGTCTGCGCGGCGAACAGTTCAACTTTCTCTCTGCTAGTGAGTGGCCCCGATTAGGCTGATGTTGACAGACATTGGGAGAAAAACGATTGACAATAAACAGTGGTGTACGCGGGATATTTTTTCGGTCAATATCCCAGTGGCTTGCTTATCGGTCGTTTCCCTGCTCAGCGCGTCCTCGGTATCAGTTGCTTTCTGTGGGGCATCACGGTCATTGTCATGACCCAGTGCCGTACGTATTCGAGCGCACTGGCGATTCGATTTATCATGGGTCTGTTTGAAGCTGCGGCAACCCCGGGCCTCACGCTGATGACGGGATTCTGGTATACTCGGAAGGAAATCCCCCTGAGGCAGTGCATTTGGTGTTCGTCTCTGGGCTGGGGCGGTATCGTCGTTTCCTATGTTTGCTACGGTATTTCTAATCTTCCCGCCACTTTCAAGCCGGACCGCTGGGCGCTGTTGTTCTACATCCTTGGGGGCACAACCTGTCTCTGGGCGCTGGTCATCTGGTTCGTTCTGCCTGATTCTCCTTCGGATGCCTTCTTCTTGACCCGGACCGAGAGGGTCATCGCGGTCAAGCGTGTGTCTACCAACGAGACGGGCATCAAGAATCGTGTCTTCAACCGGAAGCAAGTGATGACATGCCTCAAAGATCCCAAAGCAACCCTGCTGTTCATTTCGATTTTCGCGGGTTCCGTTCCCAGTGGCGTCCTGAATTGCTTTTCCACCGTCATCATCAAAGACATGGGATTCTCGGTGACCAAAACGACGCAACTGAAATCTGTCGGTGATGCGGTGCAGATTGTGGCCCTTCTGATTGGAGGCACCATCACTCTCAAGGCTCCCAACTCCCGTCTTCTGACTGTCACGGCGTCCAATGTCATTTGCACCGTCGCTGCGGCGTGCATGGCCTATATCCCCCGACGTGAGACCTGGGCGCGACTGGCTTCGTTCTGGCTCGTCAACGTCCAATCTATTGCATCCGCTGTACTATTGGTCACTGTCTCCTCGAATATGGCGGGTTATACCCATCGGGCGATTGCCAACACCATCGTGTTGTATGTACATCTTGGCTGATTTGCTAGCGCCATGCTAAATGGGGGTAGCACGGCATACTGTTCGGGCCACTACGCCAGCCCATTTGTGGTCAAGCCATCGCAGGCGCCGGCTTTCAAGGGTGCAGCCATTGGACTTTTGGTGGGATTCACCATCAAAGCCGCTTGCGACTTGTGTCTCTTGTGTAGGTGCCTGCCATCATTTCTTTAGAGATAATCCACTGACGGGTTGGCAGCGTACATGTATTCCGTGAATCGAGGCCGAGACAAGAAATATGGCCCAGCGGACAAGGCTCTCAGCGACGAGGCGGGCATGAAGGACCAGACCGAATTTGAGAACAAGAATTTCCGATATGTTCTATGATCGCTTCGGCCGGGAACGTGAACTCCACAAATGGTCATTTAGAAGACAGACTGGGCATGTCTTGTATTTCTTTGTCTCTATGCGTATGGAGTGTTCGCATGTCCACGCAGCGTTACGTACCTGCAGGTTGTCGTATCTTAGGGAAATATGATTGATGTCATCTTTCAAGAACATCCATAGAAGTGTATGTCGTAGTATGTTGTTACACCAAACGTAAGTCAGAGTTTGTTCGGATCGATAGTCTGTTTTGTTTAACGTGTTGCAACAGCGTGGTCCACCGGGTAGGTGGGCATCATCTGCATGGAGACTATTTCGGTATGAGGTAGAAAAGAGCGATGTATCAAATGTGATAGAACGGTTTTAGAACCTATAATTCAAAGCCGAATCGAGACTTTCCAAAGGGGGAGTGCGAGCTGTTGGACGAACATTCTTGAAGGAGTAGGAATGGTACAGGGAGAGAGGGTAGTTAGGCCTCGAGGCTTCAAAACGTCTTTAGTACTCTCCTGGGATGGTGAAGGCATATTATAAAACTCAGTCTGCAATAATGGCTCCAAATTATGCGAGAGTTTGAAAGAGTTTCTATTTCCAAGTAGAAGGCAACAACGAGCGCCCCTGCCCAGAAACTCAAATTAGGTCTCGAATTTCTTCATTCCAAGCATCTTCGCGCCAGGGGAGGCTACCAAATGACGTCAGCGATATCCCTCGAAGCCTCACGCCCAGCCCTGCATTAACCTGATGACGTTGTCTGCTGGGCTTTCCTTCTGCATTAGGGCTAACCGGTGAACAAAAGCCCTATAAAAGTCAACAAACGGTGACCCCTCTCGTACGAGAGGGTTCGTTCCTGGCTGCTTGCTTGCTTGGCCCTCTGGAGCTGAGATGGACCTGATCCTCATGGGCAAAGTCCATGTCTCGACCTTTTCGATACTTACCCTATTTAGACAACCCGGGTTGATGTGTATCAGCGATGCAGATTATAGGCAAGTGATGGTGGACCCATCATCCACATATTTGTGGGGAGGGCTCGGGTATCCCGCAAAGGGTAATCCGGGTCTGGACCGACCGATGTCTACTGAAGGAGGTGGTAAGTAGCCCCTACTGATGGTTGGTATTCTTCATGTGCAGAGTGCTTGAATTGTATGATTATAGTTGGATTTGTTATCTTTTGGATAGCTACGTGTGAGTTGATTTCTTGTTATTGGTGAGTGTTACCCTAGACTCGGTGAATGTTCGGGATCGGCGCCGTTTTCGATATAAGCTTATTCGAGACTGGACTTAACTTACATGACGAAATTTATTGGTGTTGGCCACAGAGTCTATGACATGGGTTGTTTATTTTTATTTTATTCTATTTATTTTTCATCTCGATGCCCCTTCTCAAAGCTTTTCCCCGATAACTAGAAAGGAAGGGGGGTAAACGAACGGACCTCATCCCTCCGCCTCATCCCCGAATCCGGCCAACGTCCCAATCCAGTCCCTGAGATGATGAAATCAGACCGAATCCGGCCCACACGGCTCGGGGCGGACTGGGCGCATGGTGGCTGTAAGGTTGTACGCCGCCGATCCGTGCAATTTGCCCCTCGTCTGCATTTTTATGCGCCGCTGGATGCGCGGGTACGCCCTGGTGGTCTGGCTTCTTCATTCCGGAGCACAGCAGCCCATGCGTCCAGAATATGCTTCATGGAGGGTTGAGGATTGAGACGGTGGCACCGAGACCCACCTAAACAACAACGGACTTGGACGTGTTATCCCATTCCTCGTGCAGAGATCGCCTCAGGATCTAGGGATATGACGTTGTTGGACGATGTGTTGGGCACGTCCCCTTTGGCGGTCTCCAGTCTTTGCGGTCTCGATGGCTCTTTTACGGGGGTCTGGATGATGAGGAATTATGGGTCGGATCCATCTCCGGGACTGCTGCTTCTGGGAACAGATCTGCGTGGGAGGGAGTATATCTTGCTGGGTTGCGCCTGTGTTTTCTGAATTACAGAGCAAGATCAACGACTCGGAGATTGACACTAGAGACAAATTGACGAACCGACTGTCTGACTACCTGCCTACCCATTCGCCCGCAACTCCTACCACAGCCCATCACCATGCCTCGCTTCGATGACGCCGACTTTGGCGTCGAGGCCGTTCCTCAACTCCACGTCAATGAGGCCAACGCTCCCACCAAGCCAACAGGCTCGGTCAACAACATCGAGATCCCCGCCACGCGCAACCCCGTCAGCGATGCCTCCGCCCTAATGCACCATCTCAGCCTGTCGCCCTCGATGAAGGAGCGACGCGGCTCGCGCAACTCCATCGGGACATCGCTGCCCATCCCGCGCTCCCCACGGCCCTCGCGCCTCTCTTCAACCACCAAGCCGCGCATAGACGCGCGCAGCATCCTCGCCGCCCAAGTGCAAGGCATGTCAACGGAGAAAGTCGCCGCCGTCAAAAACATGGCCTTCGCATTCGACATCGACGGTGTCCTCGCGCACGGCAACGAAGCCATCGAAGAAGCCAAAGTGGCCCTGAAGATCCTCAACGGCGACAACGAGCTCGGCATCACCTTCCCGTACATCCTCCTCACCAACGGCGGTGGCAAGACCGAAGAAGCCCGCTGCGCCCAGCTCACCTCCGTCCTCGGCCACGAGGTCCCCACCGCCCAGTTCATCCAGTCCCACACCCCCATGCAAGCCCTCGCCGAGTACTACGACACCGTGCTTGTCTGCGGCGGTGAAGGCTTCCAAGCGCGCGAAGCCGCCGAAGCCTACGGCTTCAAGAACGTCGTCCACCCGAAGGATGTCCTCGCATGGGACCCGACCATCTCCCCCTGCAGGGTGTTCACAGACGAAGACCGCGCAGGCGCCCGCCCGCGCGACTTCTCGCAGATCAAGTTCGACGCTATCCTCTGCTTTGCTGAAACCCGCGATAGCATGACAGACTGCCAGATCATCGCCGACCTGCTCCTCTCGGAAGACGGGCAGCTGCTGACGCAGGCGGCCGACCCCTCCAACCACATCCCCATCTACTTCTCGCAGGGCGACCTCCTGTGCCCGACAGAGCACAAGGGACCCCCGCGACTCAACCTCGGAGCGTTCCGCATCGCCGTCGAAGCGCAGTATAAGGCGCTGACGGGGCTGGATCTTGAGCGAGTCGTGTACGGCAAGCCCGAGCGGGCGACGTATGTCTGTGCGGATGAAGTCCTCCGTTCATGGATGCAGGAGATCCACAACGAGAAGCGGCTGCCGCAGAATATTTATATGGTCGGGGATAATCCCCAGAGTGATATCATTGGCGGGAACCTCTACGGGTGGAATACGTGCCTGGTGCGGACGGGCGTGTTCCAGGGGCCGAAGGGGTCGAATGATCCTCATAATCCGGCGAATTTTGGCGTCTTTGATAACGTGTTGGAGGTGGTAAAGGCTGTTATAAGCAAGGAGTTGGGGTCGGATTTCAAGCTCAGTTGGAATCCGAATGTGAATCCTGTGACGCAGGAGGATCAGTTCTCGGCGATTGAGTAGATTTCTCTCTTTTTTATTTCTTCTTGCTATAGATTTTTTCTTTTCCCTTTTCTCTTCCTGTTTGGATTTGATGGTTATTTTGTGTCACGCTTATGAGTATGAATATCCCCTCGAGGGGATTAGAGAATGGGTGGGTTTTAATAGATTCCTGCCATGCTAGACGTTAATGACTACACCTCATTATTCAACAGTTAACCTAACGCAGATATCTTCAATGAAGCTAGGTAGCTATTGTATCGTCTCTACTATGTAGATTGTTCTATTAACTCTACGCGCTAGATCACGCTATCAAACCCATCTTTATACTACTCAACTCGGAGGATCTAGTTAGGGTTACCACCACCACGTGGCCACAACATCAATCAATTCATTCATTGTGAGCAGTAAATCTGTCTCTGTCTGACAGTGAATATATTAAAAAATGGGTAAAGTTTACATCTACCCCAGTCACGCTAAGACGACCGGCCAGTCCTCTAGCCAGTCCAACCCTTGCAGATCCTCTACCGCAAAGCAAGCTGGACCAACCAGCTGCAGCCAGTTCGCCCTTATCTGCCGCCAAATGCTGACACTGAAATTAAACAACGCTGCAGAACCTACCCCCTCTTTTGCTCTCTCTTCTGTTTCTATTTCGATTTTTGCTGATGAGTCTGTGTGTCAAGATTGAGAACGATACGGAAGGAAAGAAACGAAATGCACAAGACAGGTAGTGTATCCGAAACGGGGGTCGAGATCGACCCCCACGCACAGGATGATCGCGACATGCAGCGTCTGGGCAAGGCGCAGCAGTTCAGGGTGTGTCATAGGCTGATATTCCGAGCACGGAGGACATGAGCTAACAGAATAGAGAAATTTCCGGTTCTATTCGATTTTGGGGTTCACCACTACGTTGATGGCGACGTGGGAGTCGATCTTACTGTATTGTTTGCCCGATGTAGACAATGTGAATGAATTGGTCTGACATGTGGTAGAACGAGTACATATGGATTGACTGATGGTGGTCGGGCTGGCATGCTCTATGTCTATCTCGGTTCGTTTGTGGGATTCTTTGCGTCTGTGGTGTCGATGGCGGAGATAGCCTCCATGTATGAATTTACTCCAATCAAGACGAAGAGAGAAGGAAGAAGAAAGAAAGAACAAGGACTAACTAAACAGTGCCCCCACATCTGGTGGACAGTACCATTGGGTCAGCGAATTTGCGTCTCCCCGATGGCAGCGCTTCCTCAGCTATCTCACGGGTGACTCCTCCCTCCAGATCCTATCGCTGCACATTCTATACTAAACCCAACAGGATGGCTCTCGGTCTTAGGATGGCAGGCTGCCCTAGCAAGTATCTGCTTTCTCTGCGGTACACTCATCCAAGGCCTCTTGGTCTTCAACTCCTCCCCCACTGGCTACATGTATGATTCGCAGCCCTGGCATGGCACGCTGTTCACCATGGCCATGGCCGTCCTCTGCACGCTGGTCAACACCTACGGCGCCCGGTTTCTCCCTGCGCTTGAACACCTCATTCTCGCCCTTCACCTGCTCGGCTTCATAGCTGTCCTAGTTCCTCTATGGGCGATGGGTCCTCCTCGTGCCCCCTCATCCGTCGTCTGGACCGAGTTCACCAATTCCGGGGGCTGGTCCAGCATAGGGCTTGCCTGTCTCGTTGGCCAGTTGACTCCGATTTTTTCGTGGGCGGGACCAGACGCCGCCACACATATGTGTATGTCTTCAGCCATATCTAGATATTAGCTTTAATACAGATACTAACACCCCCCAGCGGAAGAAATCCAACACGCGGCCTTCATCGTCCCCTGGTGCATGGTCTCCACAGCCCTCGTCAACGGCGCCCTCGGCTTCATCATGCTCGTCTCCCTCCTCTACACAATGGGTCCCATCACGGCCGTCCTCGACCCAGCATCAGGCTTCTCCTTCCTCCCCGCCGTCCACCACGCAACAGGCGGTTCCTTCCCGGCCACAAACGCCACCGCAGCAATCATCATCGCGCTCGAAACCTGCAGCGCAATCAGCATCCTCGCAACAGCCTCTAGACAAACCTTCGCTTTCGCGCGCGACCAAGCCCTCCCACTTAGCGACTTCTTCGCGCGTGTCTCCCGCCGCGCTCACACACCCATCCCCATCCCCGCCATATGCCTCTCAACGACTACTACCCTGCTCCTCTCGCTAATCAACCTCGGCTCCACAGCTGCGTTCAACGCCATCGCCGGCGTAATGATCGCCGCGCTCTTCACTACCTACATCGTATCGATCGGCGCCTTTATCCGTGCGCGCCTCGTCACCGGCGGCGACCTTCCCCCTGCGCGGTTCTCCCTCGGCCGTCTAGGTCTACCTGTGAATGTTTTGGCCGTGGCGTGGCTGTCGTTTGCTATCATTTTCTCGTTCTTCCCTACGGCGGATAACCCCGTTCCGGTTGATATGAACTGGTCGGTTGTTGTGCTGGCCGGTGTGTTGTCGTTTGCTATCGCTGCTTATTTTATTCATGGGAGGGGGGTATATCGTGCGCCTGTTACTGCTGTGCGGAGGGATTAAGCTACTATCTTACTCTATACCAATCATCCAAGTATTCATATATATATTGAACAAGAATACTACCAAATAAATCAAAGCAAATACTCCCCTCCCGTCTCCTTATAAATCACATCAAACAGCGGCTTCGCGCTGAACCAGCCCGCCTTCGGCGTCCCAACAGTCTTATAAGTGAACGCCGCATCAGCATCATCGATCTTGATCGTCGCGCCACCGCGTCCGGCCGCCGCCGCATCAGCCAGCAGCTGCGCGTGGCAGCACTTCTCGAGGCTGACGAACCAGAACACCGTCTCCTCGATGGTGGCGCCCACTGTGAGCAGGCCGTGATTCTGCAGGAGGGCGGCCTTGCGCGAGCCCAGCGCGGAGGCGATGTTGTTGCCTTCTTCGGCTGCTAGGACGACACCGTTGAATTGTTTGTAGAGGACGAGGTCCTGTCTCTAGCTTTAGTATTTGTTTCACGTGTATTCTCTCATTGTCGCAGATTACATCCCAGACGGACAATGGAGGTATCATCAAGGGAAAAGAGAGGACATACGTTGTAAAAAGCGCACGAATCCTGCGTGGTAATATCCAACTCTCTGCCCAGCGCACAAAACGCCCGTCCGTACAAGCTGTGACTATGCGCCGCGCAGAGCACATCCGGGCGCGCAGCGTGGATAGCAGAGTGGATCATGAACGCCGCCGCGTTGAGCAGTCTGCACGGTCCGCCGTCGATGACTTCGCCGTTGTGGTTGACGAGGATCAGGTCGGAGGATTTGATCAGCGAGAAGGCGACGCCGAAGGGGTTTACCCAGAAGGCGGAGGGGTCGACAGGGTCGCGGAGGGTGATGTGGCCTGCGACGCCTTATGAATTATATTGTTAGTATTCTCTTATGTTCCGGTGTTTCTTTTTGGTATATGGGGTGGGGGGGTAGAGGTGGAATACCTTCATCGTAACCGTTCTTGCCGAAAATCCTGAACGCAGCAGCCAGTCGGCCCTTGAGGTACTCCCGCTCTTTGTACTTGTCGTCGAAAGAGGGAGGCTTCATCTGGGAGATGGGCATCTTGATTTTGGAGCTTTCGGCGCTGGCTTGTTGGGTCTGTTGCGGCTGAACGCTGACGGGGTCTGTTGCTGTTGGGGGAGACATTTTCTTCTTTTGTTCTTTGTCTTGTGTTTGCTTCAGTTTGTCAGTCGTTAAGTATCTTTCGGCTTGTCAGTATATTGTTGGATAGATGGAAAATCCAAGATCTGGAGATGGAGCGGGGAATATGGAGGATATGACCGTGGGGAAGTGGGGTAATCGGGCCATAGCCGAATATCAACCCGAGGTGACTGGCTTAATTAGAAGGACTTGAATAATCAAAATAGATACAATATCATTGCTCAATCAGTCAACCAACCATACCCAAGACCACTTCTTTCAGACCCAACAACAGTACAAGAAGGAGCTCACATCATCCCCTCCACCCCCCGCACACTCCCAATCTCCCCCAGCCACCCGTCCCTCCTCCTGCAATAAATCTCCCCCCCCAACGTCTTACACCACTCGCGATGCTCATCGTCCAGCGTCCCCCACTTCACAATGATAATACTCGTATTGTCGCCGGGCTGAGATGTTAACGGCGTGCCGCAGTCGCCGCAGAACTCGCGGCGCACGGTGAGCTCTCTGTCGCTGGGGCAGAGGTGGATCTTGGGGGTGCCTTGGGTGTAGGTCATGCTTGGTTGGGGGAGGACGAGGTTGGAGGAGAAGCTGCTACCGGTGTAGCGTTTGCAGGAGGTGCAGTGGCAGAGGACGATCTTATCTTGATGTTAGTTTCGATGTCTTGCTTGTTGGGGGAGAGGGAAGGGGGATTACCTTAGGATCAGGCTCACCGGCAGGTAAATCAACCTGGTAAGTAATCTTCTCACACAGACATCGTCCGGTTAACTTTCTCTGCGCCATTATTCTATGGTAAGGTATCCTGGTCGTATTACTGTCTGGGACTGGTTGTCTAATCTGGCCTGGTTGTAGTGATTGTGGTATGCTAGCTGAGCTTGACTTGCCCAGGGCCAGGCCAGGGAGAGGCTTTTATATGTTGACGGGGGTGGAGACCCCGCACCAAGTGTTTGTGATTGATTAGTTCATACTAGGTGGTACTAAGTTACCTATCTCTGGTGAAGAACACGGTGCGATTTGTTGGGATATCACTCATGTTAAGCCCTATACTACGAAACCGTTGGCCAAGGGTTTGGCGTAGCGGCTATGATGGTTTGGTGTTGGTGGAGTTTGGACGGTTGAGGTTCTGGGTAGTGAAATGACGTAAGTACCTATGATTAGACAGGCACGGACAGACACAGGCTATAATCAAAATCGATAAGCACCGAGATGTAAAGAATTTCCCAACCGACTCGCTCACCCTGTATTGCATATTAAATGTCCATTTTATACTTCTATCTATCAACAATCAAGTATCATAGGATCCGGGATTGAAAGTATAGCTTAATACAGTACTGTATTGATTATATGCAAAACTATAGCTTATTAAAATAGCTAGTTCTCTGGGTAATAGAAATTACATGTGTATTTTTTGTATTTTATATTATCTACTTATTAAAAGAATATAATAAAGATTACTATCATGAAATTTTGATATATCACTTCTTTATAGCCAACATAAGCTACTATAGAAGTATTAGTTCTTGAAATCTCCTTATTGTTGAGGTATATAAGTAAAAGAATAGATATCTTACGTACTATAAGTACGCTGGATACAAGGTGAGCAACTCGGTTGGGAAATACGTTATATCTAGTATATCAGCTACAATGGTAGCTGTCGACCCAATAGTCCAATCTCCATCAATGCATCCCACGTCTCCTCCGCTGAGGATGATGTTTCTATATGTGCAGGCCCCAACATAGGCTCGACATCTCCCGCGCAGGTCGTTCCAGGCGGTGGTAACTCTCCAGTTTGGAAATAATGGCGAATAAAGCCGGCAGTGCAGAGCGAAGGGGCCGCAGCAGTGGTGTGCTAACCAGTCAGCGCAAGCCCAACAAAACAACCCAAGGAACGAACTCACTCCCTCCGAGTCCTGCTCCAGCACGACCGACCCCGGGAATTTACTCGACATTTTCCGCGCACTATCACTTAGCTTAATTCGTGTCCACAATAAGAGGACAGCCTACCTGCGCATTGGCGTCACCGGATCCAGCCGCATGCTGACCAACAGCAACGGATGCGACGTGTTCCCCGTACAAGGCCCTAATCTCGTTAAAATCCCCCACCCAATATTCAAAACAGAGAAAAACACACCCGGCAATATCCACCGCGGTCTCACCTCCCACCCGGCACAGCCCAACTCAATCGACGACCAATAATCCCCCAACATCGCGCTATCCCGCTGCATTGCGGCCCACGCCTCCGCGAACGCCAGCTCATCTCGGCCCTGCATGTAGAGCGCATCGGTGCACAGGATGGCCGACGAGACGTACAGCTCGTTCTGCCCCGGTGTCTGACACTCCGCAGACCAGGGGCCCGTCCGGAGACACTCCGCTGTCGGACAGGAGGGCGTCCGCGCCCGGTGCTTGAAGTCCGCCAAGGTGGAGCCGTCCCCCCGGTGCAGAAGGTCGCTGGCGAGCTGGGCTAGGAGCGGGAAGCCGATAATCGGTTGGTACAGGGAGACGCGGAGGACGATCTTGAGGTCCGTCCAGGTGACGACCTCGGGGCCGCGGGTGTTCGACGCTGGGACTGCCACAGAGGCGTTGTATAACTCTGCTTCGAGGCGGCGGTACACGGCTGCGATGGCGTCGCGTCCGCCGGGGGTGTAGAGTGGGCAGTTGTCGGGGCCAGCGCGGTCGCAGTACTCCGTGAACCGGTCGAAGATGGCGTCTGCGTCTACGATCGCGTTGTGCCCCTTGTCGAGGTAGTATTTGTTTGTGTCGACGACGCCGTCTAAAACCATGCGCTCGATGCGATCGGGGAACATGCTCGCGAACGTCGCCCCTAGCGCCGTGCCGTAGGATCTACCCCAGTACAGGAGCTTCTCACCGCCGCGGCGCCACCGCGTGCGCTGGATAATGCGCTGCGCCGAGTCGTAACCGTGGAGCTGGTCGCTCCGCTGTTGTTCCGTCCGTCCCTGTTGCTCCCGCCACTCCGCATGCCGCTCCACGAGCTCTAGCATATCCCTCGCCACAGGCGGCGTGTTGATGTGCTCGCCCAGCGCCTCTGCGCCGACCTTGGGCGGTGTAGACAGACTGCGTGCGCAGCCTACATTGAGCGCCCGTGTACGCTGCCAGTTGCGCATGAGCGAGTCGCGCGAGCTGCCCAGCATGCCGTCTGCCTCTGCCTGCAGCTCCCAGTTCCGCTGGGCAAACGTGTTTGGGAAGCAGCTAAAGCCAGGAGTGGTATTGTTGACGCCACGGGGATCGAACCCGATGATATCGAAGTAGCGGGCTGTTCCAGTGGTGTTGTGGCCGGGGTTGGATTTGGCATCGACGATTGTTTGTAGACCGCGACCGGCGACGAGGGCTTGAAAGACGCCCGACCCGCCGGGTCCGCCTGGCGGGGTTAGACATGGCCGTCTTCAGGAGAGAATGCAGTCAGTACCAGGGTTGATGAGAACCGCGCCGCCGTAGCGGGGATCGGTTACGGGCACTTCAGCGGGGAGGCGAATGATCGCGATCGCGACGCGACGTCCCAGACCATCGGCGCGGTGGTAGTCCATGGGGACATCGAGGCGGGCGCATTGATAGCCATCGAAGCAGGGTTTGTATTGAAGGGTGGGCTCAGGGGTGAGCTGATTGAATTAGTATGTGGTATGTATGAGAATGCAATGATCACACCTCTGCCCAGGTAAATGGTGCCTCCGTCGCGAGGGACGGGCGTGCAGGAATGGAACTGGTGCAAACGCGCGAAATGTGCCACCACGCAACCAGGACGATCAAAACCAGCGCCACGGGTCGCCATGATGTCGATCTGGGATCCGAAGATCTTTTTCTTTCCGGATCGTTGAGAAACCCCATGGGCCGTGGTCGATCTAGTACGACTATTGTTACCCCACGGAGCAAAGACTTTGATTATTCTCGCGGGGGATGGGGGAAGTGCAAGTCAATCAGGTGTCGCATCACGATATATCCTTCTGCAAGGCGAAGTCACTAGTGGAAAGAAACAGACGTATCACGCTGCATGTCCAATAGAAGGGGAGATATTAGGAAGAGCGTGATCGGTTAGGGAAAAATAGATACAATTCAAACACAATTCAAACACGAGCTCGGACCACGCGTCAGATGGCGTCCAATGATAACACTACAACATGGTTCACCCCGGACTTCATTGGCTTTCTGACTCGAGGAATTCCAAGCCAAAGATGAAAAATTATAGGGTAAAGAGTGGATGCCGAGTCTAGCCTGGTTGGATGATTGACACCATCATTGGGTCAAGATAGGACGAGACCATGGATCGACGGCGGACCTGGCCAGCATGGCCTATCTCTTCTGAGGATGCTGTGCGAGTTGATGTCTTGCCCTTCGATACATCGATTAATGTGTGGGTACCGATTGAACGTTCTCTGGTTGCTCTTCAAATTCGAGGGGTGATCTCTGGCATCTCGAGGGGAACCCAGATCAGCCGATCAAAAGATCTACTCAGCCTTCCTCTTGTCGCATAGAAAACAACTCTTCTCTACCATTCGAACATCAAGGACATTGTGCTTAATCAGTGGTGGGTCATTCAACCAAGGAACCCCGCCTCGAACCCTTGCTGAAGAGTCGATCTTGCGGGGTTCACAGGGGGGGGTGTACCGCGATGCGGTGAGAGAGGGGTGAGTTGATGTAAATCATTGAGCTGCAGGATGCTGTCAGTTAGCCTTGGATGTATTGATGAGATTCACCTTCCAGCCATGAAAGATAATCCAGAGGGAGATAGACATGTCACGTGGGAAGATCCCCGTCGCTGCCTGGGGCAAACATGCCTGGCCCACGATGCCTCAGGAACACCACGAGGGTCACAACGGATATGATGGATAAGATGGATAAGACGAGCATAAGAGTCGATCAAGATAAGATTCGTCTTTTCTATCATCACTTTTATCCTCCTTCTATCCTCACTTCGGTCCTCACTTCTGTCCTCACTTCTGTCCTTCACTTCTATACTTTATGGATACTTCGGTCCCCCAAGTGGATCAATGATAAAGACGGATGGATGTAACCATGACGATCAAATTTTCATTCTTCATGCACCCCGTCTAGCAAGGTGACCACTTCGACATTAGTCCACCATCTATCCCATTCATCATGCGATAACTTGTCGATCCTCTCCATCCCAACTGTAAGTGGCTTGACTTTGCCCCTCTGATTGGCACGAGAATCTCTCCCCCCCACTCCTGCACCGTCCGCCGTCTCCTCGCTTCCCCGCTGATCCTGATTCCCTCCAGTCTCCCGGCTTCTTACGCCCTCCGGGATCGGTCGCTGCGTGGCCAATCCTCGGCTGTCTAGCCCTCCACAGCCTAAAACAGGGCGATTTTCTCCCCGCCAACAAGCACAGACCGGTTTCAATGCCCCGTATATCATTATCGTAAATCTCGAACCGGTGGGAAAGAAAAGAAACAAACGTCGACTGTGCCGTTTCGTTCGACCATCCGAGCGGTCCGTTCTCCTTGCGCCTCCGCTTTTGCGGAGTTGGTCGTTTTTTAATCTATCTGTCTCCGCACGGATCAACGGGCCCTGCTGCGCTCGTCATCCACTCCCCATGGCGCTCTGGCGCCGCTTCTTTGTCTCCCAGAGGGGTGAAGAGCGTCCCGCCAATTCGCCCATGGAGTATGACGAGAAACAGGTCGGGATCGAGGTCGAAGTGGCCGAGGAGCCCGTCCCTGAGGCCAGCGGGATCGCGAAAATTGAAGCTGTCGAGGCGGTCGGCGGGCGCAAAGGACGCTATTTCCTATACGCTGGGTAGGTGATGCGACAGCGACGATGGTGATGTCACGGCTAACTCCGACAGATTGGCGATGATTATGATGATTTAGTAGGTGTGGTGAATCCCATTTCACCGGATCAAGTATGCTAATGGTGCAGCGAACTGGACAATTCGACCGTGGGCACGTATCGCAACTTCGCGTCGTCCGCGTTCAACCAGCTGGGCTCGCTGGCCACCCTAAACACGGCGGCCAGCATCATCTCCGCCATCAGCAAGCCCCCGATCGCCAAGGTGTCCGATGTGTTGGGACGCGGCGAGGCCTACATCTTCACGGTCACCTGCTACATCGTGTCCTACACCCTCTGCGCCTCGTCCAAGACGTTCAACATGTACGCCGGTGGGTATGTCTTGTACTCGGTGGGCCAGGCCGGCACGTCCATTCTCAACTCGATTATCGTCTCGGACTTGTCCTCGATGCGCTCCCGCGGCTTTTTCTACAACGTCATGTACATCCCCTTTCTGATCACCCCCTGGGTGTCCGCGTTCATCATCGACAGCGTCGTCAACGGCATCGGCTGGCGCTGGGGAATCGGCATGTTTGCCATCCTCATGCCCATTTGCGCCTGCTGGATCGTCATCACCCTGCTGTTCTACCAGCGCCGCGCCCGGCAGTCGGGCCTCATCCTCACCGAGCGACTCAGCGTGCCCGAATTCTGCTCGCGCATCGACCTCGGTGGCGTCCTACTGCTAAGCAGCGGTTTCGCCCTAGTTCTCATCCCCATCACCCTGGCCGCTGACACCCCCAGCCTCTGGAGCACCCCCTGGGTAGACGCGCTGATCGCCATCGGCGGCGTGGTGCTGCTCTGCCTCTACCCGTACGAGAAATACTTCGCCCGCCATCCGGTGGTCCCCGTGCGCTACTTCCGCACCCTCTCCGTCGTCGTCTCGGTCGCGCTGGCCTGCGTCGACAACATCGGCTTCGGCTGCAACCACACCTACCTCTACGTCTGGTCGATGGTCTCGCACAACTTCTCCGCCCGCGATGCCCAGTTCCTCAACTACACCAACTCGGTCATGCAGGCGGCCGCCGGCATCGCCACGGGCCTTCTGATGTACCGCATGCGCACGTACAAGTGGATCGGCGTCGTCGGCGCCGTCATCCGCATGGTCGGCTACGGCGTCATGGTGCGCTTCCGCACCAACGACAGCTCCGTCGCGGAGCTTTTCATCGTCCAGCTGGTGCAGGGCATGGGCAGCGGCATCATTGAGACGGTGCTCATGGTGGCCGCGCAGATCGCCGTGTCTCACGCGGAACTGGCGCAGGTCACTTCGCTCGTCATGCTAGGCTCGTACCTAGGTAATGGGATTGGATCTGCCATCGCCGGCGCCATCTACACCTCGCGACTGCGCCCGCGGCTTCGTCTGCACATGGGTCCGGGTGCGGATGAATATGAAGTGGACAAACTGTACAAGTCGATCACGGGGACGCTGCCTGCGTGGGGGACTCCTGCTCGCACGGCGGTCAATCAAGCAGTACGCCCCCTCCCCTCGCCCGACTCATATAACTTGCTAACATGCGTAGTACTCGGATGTCATGGGCTACATCACCATCGCCGCTCTCGCCTTTTCCGCCCCGATAATAATCCTTTCTATCTTCATGCCGAACCAAAAGCTAGGGTATGCTTATATCACAACCTCATTTCCTTCATCTTACTTTCTCCACTCTCCCCTTCCCTTGCTGACGATATCAAACAGAGACGGACACAATCTCGTCCAAAAACCACCCTCACCAGAACCCTCATCCTCATCCTCACCCTCCCCCGAACCCGAACCCGAACCCGAAAAACCACCCGAGTCCGGCTCCGAAGCGACCCTGACCCCAGTAATGGACGAGAAGCGTTTACAGAGGAAAATCGAAGACTGGTTAGACGGGCATACTGGTGATGAACCAGATGTTCAATGATACCATTTTCTTCTATTTGATTTCAACTATTGGTTGATGTGTTTTATTCTTCTTATTAATATTATCCCTGCATGCAGAATGGTTGGCTGGATTTGATACCATTAATTGATAGTATATAATATGACTCAAACGGATCTTGTGTATTATGGCGCATATTCCACAATCTCTCAGACAATCAAGAATAGGTCCCTCTACAGATTGAGCTGACTATATTTCCGGATTAAGTCAACTGCCTTGGCATCAGGTATTGTGGGTCGAAGAAGGCGATACTCGGTGTTTGACTGCAGGATATATAGATAGAAATGACACTCACGCTGTTGCATTTGAGCAGTAAATGACCTTGGATGCTGATACTATGGAAGGGTCATGATTTATCTTGCCCTTATACTTACCTGCTTACGTCCTGGGATAACCAGGACATCTGACAATTTTTATGGAGTTCAAAATACTGAGATTAGACTCGAAATATCTCTCCGCCTTTTATGTACAACCCCAGAACAAAACCACCACACAAGTTCCCAACCATCTCAGCAAATCATTCAAAACTACCCCGTATCCATTCCACCTACTCCAACCCACCTTTAGGCTATTTCCCTCTCCCCCCTCCAGCAGAAAGCAAACCCCAACTGTCCACCCCACGCCAAGAAACCCTACCTCTAATAACGAGCGGGGTCCGGCACATACCACGGAGTACCAAGGTATCGATGTATGTACCCCCCCACGCGCTACCAGCCCGTGCAGCACGTTGTTCATCTTCCCCGGATTTTCTCCCCAGTCGCTTACCGGTTCCTGTTTGAGTTTGGGTTGCCGTTCTTTGTCTTTGGATGGCGTGCTTTCGTCTCGCTGGGGCTGGTCTGGGGGAGTCACACGGGACGATATACGGACGGGATATCAGGTGCGTGACTTGCGGGGAGCTTTCGTTTGTACCTATATAAGGGATGCTTTGGCCTGGATGGCACACGCGGGGTAATACCGGCCATTCTCTTTTCTGTCCCCAGCTCGTTTATTTCTTATTTACCTTCGTCGGGGGTATACAATCGTTGAGTAGTGTTCTGTTTATATGGATATACATCCTTATATGAATATACGTCCCGTGGATATCAGGCTCACCGCGCTTTCCAAAACTCATCATGGCCGCAAATGCAATAACAGACACCGAGGCCATGGGCAAAGCGGCCAAAATGACAAACGAGGAAGTCACGCAGTTGGCGCAGCTCACGCCTGAAGAGAAAGCTATCGAGAAGCGTCTCCGTCTCCGCATCGACTGTATCGTTATGCCGTTGGTGATTCTGGTTTATCTGATGAATTATATTGATCGGTAACCCCCCTCCCCCATACTGCTTTCCCGTCTGTGGAGAGTCCTCAAGTTACCCCGTGCGGGGAGCGAGGATGAATGAGTGAAGAATGAACCAAAGGCTGAAGAAGACGATAGAAACAACTACGCGGCTGCAAAAGTGCAAGGTATCATGGGAGACCTCGGTCTCAACGACGCGGAGTACCAAACCGGGCTGTCGATTCTGTTCGTAGCATACATCCTCATGCAAGTCCCGTCGAACCTGCTGCTGAACTACATGGGCAAGCCGTCTGTGTACCTTGGTTTTTTCACAACGGCATGGGGGCTTGTGTCTACACTGACGAGCCAGGTGACTGGCTACGGGGGCATCGTCGCATGTCGGTTTATTCTGGGTCTGGTGGAGGCGCCGTTTTTCGCGGGCGTGCTGTTTTACCTCTCCAAGTGGTATACGAAGAGGGAGTTGGCGTTTCGGATGAGTATCTTTTATTCGGGGTCGTTGTTGTCTGGTGGGTTGGCTCTGTTGTTGGTGTCTGGGCTGGGCTAACGGGTGTCTAGGTGCGTTTGGCAATCTCATCGCTGCGGGTATTCTGTCAGGCATGCAGGGGAAACGAGGCCTGTCGTCGTGGCAGTGGCTGTATGTGATCGAGGGCGCCATCACCATGTTTGTCGGCATTGCGGTCGTCTTCCTGCTGCCTGACTTCCCCGACACATGGCACATGCTGACGCCCGAGATGAAGCATGTTGCTAACCGGCGGATGGCCATCGAGGCGGCAGAGGCGGATATCGACGAGGCGGGCAAGATGAGTCAGGTTAGGGGGTTGAAACTGGCGTTCACGGATATCAAGACGTACGCGCTGGCTATCGCGTACATGTCCATCACGGGCGCGAGTGGGTTCCAGAATTACTTCCCAACATTGACTGGCACACTCGGCTATGACGATACCATCTCGCTGGTGCTGGTGGCGCCGCCGTACCTCTTCATGGTCGTGTACAGCCTGACACACTCGTTCCTGTCGGACCGCGTGGGCAACCGCTTCTGGTTCTTCGTGTATCCCATCCCCATCACCATCGTGGGCTTTATCATTTTCATGACGACTGATGCATTTGGGCCTCGCTATTTTTCCTTCTTCCTGATGATGTTCGTGTTCGCGCAGAACGGCACCGTGTACTCGTGGATTGCGAACGCCATCCCTCGCCCGCCTGCCAAGCGCGCAGCGGCATACGCCTTTATCAATTCAGTCGGCAACTCGGCTAGCATCTGGACGCCGTACACGTATCGCCAAAAGGACAACCCGCACTATGTGACGGCGATGGTCGTGTGCATCGCGCTGCAGGTGCTCGGGTTCCTGATGGCCGTGTTCATGTATTTCCACCTCCGGTCGCTGAACACGCGGCTGGAGCGGCTCGAGAACGCCGACGTGACCCTGACGGAGAAAGAGCTCCGGCGGTTACAGCATACGGCCGAGGTGGAGGGCATCGACATCGCTGCCGCGCGACGCCTGCAGAAGGGATTCCGGTACATGACCTGATGACGGTGGGGCGTGTACCGTAGTACTGGGCTGGGATCCAAAGGATCAGAATCAAATCTACTCCTGAGTCGATGAACGGGTCTACGCTCTCTCACTCTGTAGTGCGGTAGACGGGTCATGACATCAGACCCACATAGACACGACTCCACTGCGGCGCCCTGATAACCGTCATCAGTAGACCCACGCGCGTTCGTCGACCGCTTGCGGATGGATAATCCGTATTGTGGACTGCATAATGAGCATAGTCGGCTGCTGACGAAGATTTGGCCTGGCTCGACGTGTTCGTGACCCTGAAGTGCAGTTGTTGGCGACATCGGTTTGCTGTGGAATGCTTGCATGCAGCTAGACCCGATCGGGACCGACACGGTTGTGACCTGTCAATCTGGGGAAGTTCATCATTCATCCGTTCATCTGCGAGGCATTGAACGTGGTAGGTTGTGGAGGAGCTACGGAGGAGCTACGTCGTTATGAGACGAATGTCCATCGTCGGTCGCTCAATTGGAGCGTCTGATCGTAATCGCTGGGACAACGATTTTAAGCCCTGGTTCATATGGCCTGGCTCATATGGACGACACCCCCTGGATTGCTCTGCTTAAGCCATTTTAACTTTCTCCAGTCCATTTGGTTGGCGAGTGGAGTGTGCGGCGAGCGAATTATGACCAGCTAGACAAGACAAACAAAAAGCCCTCATCATATTAAGTAATGCGTTATGACGCTATGGCGGCTGTCTCGAATTCCAACCGGCCGGAGGACGGGTGTCCGTTCAGGCTGGAAGCCAAGGAAGTTGAAGGAACCTGATCCAGTCACAAAGGGAGATGGATTCTTTATGATATCATCCCACATGGTGAGTCGCGGTCCTCCAACCAGGACGGCCAGCTATGACCCCTTGCATGCATAATCCTGGCCGAATTCCCATGGATAGCACCACTCTTTGCGGAGATCAGCGCGCCGATCCGGGGAGGGGAAGAGTGTGGCAGTGACGGAAGGGAGTCGTCCGACGCCCAATGATCCAACAAGATCGCTGCGTTGCATCGCGGTCACCTGACCGGGGGGGGAGGCGATGGGTGTTCATGCCCACGCCTATATAGTCGCCTGGTTCCCACAGGTCGAGCTGGCTTCCAGTTATTCAACAACTTCCCCAGATTTCCCGTTGCATTATCACGCTAGGGTCCATCCGAGATATCCACTGCTCATCCTCCCATCTGCCAAACACACTGTCGATCATCTCCACCATGTCGCATCTCCATGCATCTCGCTCCTTGGTACGTGCCGCCGGCGGCCACCCAACCCCCAAGCGATCCTTCTCCATCGCCATCCCGGCTCGTAGGGAAGGCGAAATGGCATATCCCAAGCCTCGGGGCTTTCTAGCCGAGTACGTGGAATCCCGCCCGAGCCCGTTCCTGGGATATCAATGCATGACGTCATGTCACGAGGGTCGTTCGCGTGCTGACTTGTCGCAGAAAGGGTCCGTTCACCCACCGGGATGTTGCCCGTGAGGGCAAGTTTGCTCGCAACCAGGAGGCCGAACAGATGCGGGCCCTGCGGCAAAGGTTGTCGGAACAGCGAGGACGCATTGACGAGTTGGAGAACTACATGTATGTGACTGCGAGACCGGAACACGAGGGTTTGGTTGCTAACGAGTTGATGGACAGGTCCCAATCGAGAATTCGCTAGACCAGGCACAGTGGACCACCGCTAAGAGCGCTAGGCCCGGCAGCCACATCACCATTCGCTCATTCGCGCGCCATTCGCGCCCCGATTCTCCTTTTCGCATATTTTTCTGTCTGATACCTCCGTCTTTATTTCGGTTATTGGTTGCATACTCGAAAAGCAACCCATCTCTGGGAGGGATTCAATGAACCCTCACCACGGTCAGGGATTTCGGGTTGGATCTCACGCTGACGACGCCACGGAATCGCACCTGGCCCCCATCATTCCCCGCGCCGACTGTCCAGCAGGACTGATGAGAGTGGCGGAAGGGGGACCTCGAGCATTGCATGTATATGTATATAAGAATTGCATGTGTAGTTATAGAATGAGACATGAACTTGAAATATATCCGTCGTATCTACATATCTCGCAGCGTAAGCTGTCCCGAAGTTGAAGCCTGAGGCTGACTCGGCTGACGATGGTGTGCCTGGGCCATGATGTTGGGTAAGCATCAGTCATGATGACAGCGAATGACGTGAGAAACAAAGAACGCCCGATGAGTCAGTTCGAGGCACACATAGGAAGAATCAGCGGTGACCCTGGTACAGCCCATTGTAGTCGACATCATCTGAAACAGCCGATGGATCACATTGTGTAGCCGCAGTCACCGGTTGGGAGGGAATGGGATAGATCCGACTCGGGGATGGTATTATCTCCGATCAGCAACTACCGGGGAGTCTGCATGTGACACGACAGATACAGCGGAAAGAGATCCATGACGAGGCAGTTCGACGAAGCTCACTCTTGGGGAGTGCATGTCAGCTGACCTGCAAGGCATCTTCGACCCTCTTTGGCAATCTGTGTTTGAATCATTCTTACAACATTCTGCAACCTTCTCATAGGACAGATATCTTTAATTCCATCCATTCTGACTGTTTTCACGGCGTATGCCCACAACTTGGTCAGATCAGCCACCCACGCTCAAAATATATACGTCGGACGGGCGGCACCCACCCACGTGGTTCTAGTTCTTCCCTGACGTGGCTCTAACAAAGTAAGGGCCGAAATAGGCAGCCAGATATCTGCAGTCATTCAGATTAAGGATCAACACCGAGACCGGTCTGTTGTCCGTGCATAGTTGACCGTATAGTTGGTGTAAAGTGTATAAACTGCATATTTGGTGATAAATATCGGGGAATCCCGTGATGAGTTTCTGACTCAGCGGAGATAAAAGTGCCTCGGCTTTGGTCCCCCCCGACCGCTCAGAATATCCGCCTGTTTGATTTGTCTATCTGGGATGACTCAGCGGAGGCGGAGGAAAACCGCCACGTCCCGAAGCCGATCGGGGCGTGTTTGCCCCGCCGCCCGACTGACCGCCCCACTTTTGCCATCTTTTTTCTTCCTTTCTTCTTCTCCTGATCCACTCTTTCATCCTTCTTGTTGATGGTTTGGTCTCATTCCCTCCAGTCATTCGTTGGATTGGTTTTGCTGCTCCACCGCATCAGAGCCTCGACCCAATTTAGAGCCATTGATTGTCGAATTTGCACCATGCTTTTTCTTGTCAACCGCCGCCTGGGTTGGTTGATTACCGCGAAGCGACTCCCACGGCTCCACTTCGAAACAACGCGAACTCATATCCGCCTGTCATCATGGATGCATATCGAGGGACTATCCTCTCTTGAGCTTCGCCCCCTGATCAATAAGCGGATTTCCAGTCATTCCGCTGGTCCCTGAATGCGTGGTTGATTGATAACAAAGGTGATTAAGTGGATCCCGTCTCGGCCTCTCGGACTCGGACATAGCTGGGTTTGCTTCCTCCGTTTCCTTTCTAGGCTCCACTCTCATCATGATCCGGCCTTATAACGCTGGGGCTAGCTGCTGGTCGTAACGAGCATCGAGAGAGAATTTTCTGACCCTTTTCTTTTCTACCTCCCACTTGGGTTGATGTTTGATCTCCCATCCCCCTATTGAAGGAGATCTCACCGCATTTTCCCCCTGTTCGTCCTCGCGACTGTCTGCCCGCCATGGAGGGCCAATTCCTGCGGCCGGATATTATTCGGGATGACACCGATAGTACCGCTACGGTGTTGGGGGATGATGCATCCACACGCAAAGAGGTCAATGTCGACCAGAACAAAGAATGGAGCCTCTTACCCGTGGTGAAGCGGCAGCACCAGCGCGACCTCGACTCTGGATTCAAACCGCGAGAGCTGGGTGTCACATGGAAGGACTTGAGTGTCGAGGTCGTTAGTGCCGAAGCCGCCGTCAACGAAAACTTTCTCTCCCAGTTCAACATTCCGCAACAAATCAAAGAGTCCCGCAATAAACCGCCCCTTCGACGAATCCTCGACAGCAGCCATGGTTGTGTCAAGCCCGGGGAGATGCTCCTGGTCTTGGGTCGTCCCGGGTCCGGGTGTACCACCCTCCTCAAGATGTTGTCCAACCGTCGGGGTGGGTATCGGTCCGTTGAAGGGGATGTCCGCTATGGGTCTCTGTCCGCCAAAGAGGTAGGGAGCTACCGCGGCCAGATCGTCATGAACACCGAGGAGGAACTCTTCTTTCCCTCCCTGACCGTCGGCCAAACCATGGACTTTGCCACCCGCCTGAAGATCCCCTTCAACCTCCCCAAGGGGGTCGAGTCACACGAGGCCTTTCGCCAGGAGATCAAGGACTTCCTGCTCGAGTCGATGGGCATCTCCCATACCACCGACACCAAGGTCGGCAACGAGTACGTGCGCGGTGTGTCGGGTGGTGAGCGCAAGCGTGTCTCCATCATCGAGTGCCTGGCCACGCGGGGTTCCCTCTTCTGTTGGGACAACAGCACCCGGGGTCTGGACGCCAGTACGGCCCTGGAATGGACCAAGGCCATGCGTGCCATGACCGACGTCTTGGGCCTGTCCACCGTTGCCACCCTGTACCAGGCGGGCAATGGAATTTACGAACAGTTTGACAAGGTGTTAGTCCTGGACGAGGGCAAGGAGATCTACTACGGCCCTATAGCCGAGGCACGGCCCTTCATGGAAGAACTGGGCTTCGTGTGTGGCGATGGCTCCAACGTGGGGGATTACCTGACGGGCGTCACGGTGCCGACGGAGCGCAAGATCCGCCCCGGCTACGAGGGCCGTTTCCCCCGCAATGGCGCCGAGGTGTTGGCGGCCTATGAGAAGTCCGCCATTCGGGATCGGATGGCGACAGAATACGACTATCCCGACTCGGAATTGGCCAAGACGCGAACCGAGGACTTCAAACTGTCCGTGGCGGGGGAGAAATCGAAGCGCCTTCCCAATCAGAGCCTCTTCACCGTGGATTTTCTCGACCAGGTCAAGGCCTGCGTGGCCCGACAGTATCAGATCCTGTGGGGCGACAAGGCGACCTTCTTCATCAAACAGCTGTCGACGCTCATTCAAGCCCTGATCGCGGGTTCCCTCTTCTACATGGCCCCGGAACACTCCGGCGGCCTCTTCGTCAAATCCGGTGCCTTGTTCTTCTCGCTGCTCTACAACAGTCTGTTGGCCATGTCTGAAGTGACTGAATCCTTCAGCGGCCGCCCGGTCCTGATCAAGCATAAAAGTTTCGCGTTTTTCCACCCCGCCGCATTTTGCATCGCGCAGATCGCGGCCGACATCCCCGTGCTTCTGTTTCAAATTAGCGTCTTTTCTGTCGTCGTCTACTTCATGTCGGGTCTGACATTGTCGGCGAGCGGTTTCTTCACGTACTGGTTTTTGGTATTCACCGCCACTATGGTGAGTCAGATTCATCCCCGTTCCCCCATTCGCAGTTCGAACCGTTTCTAACCCGCACCGATCCGTAGGCTATGACCGCGCTATTCCGTGCTGTCGGCGCGCTATTTAGCACCTTTGACGGTGCGTCGAAGGTGTCCGGTTTCCTCATCTCCGCCCTGATTATGTATACCGGATACATGATCCAGAAACCGCAGATGCATCCCTGGTTTGGTTGGATCTTTTGGATCAACCCGATGGCCTACGGTTTCGACGCCCTGTTGTCCAACGAGTTTCACGGGAAGACGATCCCCTGTGCTGGTCCGAACCTGATTCCGAGCGGCCCTGGTTACACGGATCCTGCCCACCAAGCCTGTGCGGGTGTGGGAGGTGCCCTTCCGGGCCAGAATTACGTGACTGGCGAACAATATCTATCGTCTCTCTCCTACAGCCACACCCACGTGTGGCGCAACCTCGGTATCCTGTGGGCCTGGTGGGCTCTCTTTGCCGGCGTTACCATCGTCGCCACGTCGCGCTGGAAGGCCGCATCGGAGAACGGTAGTCTGCTGTTGATTCCCCGTGAGCGTCTTGACAAGCACCGTCAGGTGGCCCACCTGGACGAGGAGTCTCAGGACGAGAAGGGTGCCAAAACCCCGCAGGACTCCAGCTCCCAGACGGAGGACGACATCGACAAGCAGTTGGTTCGTAACACTTCGGTGTTCACCTGGAAAAACTTGACCTATACCGTGAAGACCCCCACTGGCGACCGTGTTCTTCTCAACGATGTGTACGGCTGGGTGAAGCCCGGTATGCTGGGTGCCCTCATGGGCTCCTCAGGCGCGGGCAAGACAACCCTGTTGGATGTCCTGGCCCAGCGCAAAACGACAGGCACCATCAACGGTTCGATTTTGGTCGACGGCCGCCCGCTGCCCGTCTCGTTCCAGCGTTCCGCCGGTTACTGCGAGCAGCTTGATGTCCACGAACCGTTCGCGACCGTCCGTGAGGCCCTCGAGTTCTCTGCCCTCCTCCGCCAGTCCCGCGACACCCCCCGCGAGGAGAAGTTGAAATACGTGGACACCATCATTGACCTGCTGGAGTTGCACGACATTGCCGATACGCTCATCGGACGTGTCGGGTCCGGCCTCAGTGTCGAACAGCGCAAGCGTGTGACCATCGGCGTCGAGCTGGTATCCAAGCCGAGCATCCTGATTTTCCTGGACGAACCCACCTCCGGTCTTGACGGCCAGTCCGCCTACAACACGGTCCGCTTCCTGCGCAAACTGGCTGACGTCGGCCAAGCGGTCCTCGTCACCATCCACCAGCCCTCCGCGCAACTGTTCGCCGAATTCGACACCCTTCTTCTGCTCGCCAAGGGCGGCAAGACCGTCTATTTCGGCGACATCGGTAACAACGGCCAGACCGTCAAGGACTACTTTTCCCGCTACGGCGCTCCCTGCCCGGCCAACGCTAACCCCGCCGAACACATGATTGACGTCGTCTCCGGCGTCCTCTCCCAGGGCCGCGATTGGAACCAAGTCTGGCTCGAGTCCCCCGAGAATGCCCGCGCCTCCAAGGAACTGGACGAGATCGTCTCGGACGCCGCGTCTAAGCCCCCCGGCACTCTCGACGACGGCCACGAGTTCGCCCTGCCCCTGTGGCAACAGACCAAGATCGTCTCCCAGCGCATGTCTCTCGCCATCTTCCGCAACAACGACTACACTAACAACAAGATGGCGCTGCATATCGGCTCCGCCCTCTTCAACGGCTTCTCGTTCTGGATGATTGGAGACTCGGTCGGATCAATGCAGCTGCGACTTTTCACGGTGTTCAACTTCATCTTCGTAGCGCCCGGTGTCATCAACCAGCTGCAACCCCTCTTCCTGGAACGACGAGACATCTACGATGCGCGCGAAAAGAAATCCAAGATGTACTCGTGGGTGGCATTCGTGACCGCCTTGATCGTCTCCGAGATCCCGTACCTGTGTCTCTGTGCCGTGCTGTACTTCGCCTGCTGGTACTACACCGTCGGGTTCCCGACCGACTCCGACGCCGCCGGCGCCGTCTTCTTCGTCATGCTGATGTACGAATTCGTCTACACGGGCATCGGGCAATTCGTCTCCGCCTACGCCCCCAACGCCATCTTCGCCTCGCTCATCAACCCCCTCATCATCGGAACCCTCGCCTCCTTCTGCGGTGTGCTCGTGCCCTACGAGCAGATTCAGGCCTTCTGGCGCTACTGGATCTACTGGATGAACCCGTTCAACTACCTCATGGGCTCGATTCTAACCTTCACCATCTACAACGTCGACGTCCACTGCGATGAGTCCGAATTCGCCCTGTTCAATCCCCCCAACGGCACAACCTGCGGCGAGTACCTTTCTGACTTCATGCACGGCATGGGCGCCAACATGAACCTCGTTGATCCTTCGGCTACGTCCGACTGCCGCGTCTGCCAGTACTCAAGCGGCAGCGACTACCTGGCGACTATCAACCTGAAGGACTACTACTACGGGTGGCGCGACGCGGCCGTGGTAGCCATCTTCGCTATCTCGTCGTATGCGCTTGTGTACGTGTTGATGAAGCTGCGGACCAAGGCGTCGAAGAAGGCAGAGTAATCAATCGATTACTCAACATACCTCACCATATCCTCTTTCATTTCTTTTTTCCCCCTTTCTCCTTTATTCCTCATCCAGTCCACCCCTATGGACATGGAGACTATTCAAAATCCTAATATCGCATTATCATGTTCTATTCCCGCTCACACCTATTTTTACCCACCCACCCGACCAGCACAGCTAGCGTCGCCAGACGACGACTATTCACTCACCCACTCAATCGCATTGTGGAGTTTGTTTTCTTCTTGTTTCATGGCCTGGCTTACCATGTTAGATAGATATTGATGATAATAGACGGTTGTTGATTTTGGTGATATTGGCGAGGAGTGGGTACATAATTTTGTTGAAATACTATGCCTTTTTAACATATGAGTATGTTGCATTATGGCTATTCTTGTGCTGTTTTGTAGTTTTATTTATCGGTGCTTAAGACGACTGGGTAGGTAAGATAGGTAGGATATGGCAATGTTCAAAATCGACATCTCAATTTCAATTTAGGCCATAGCTAAAGCAGCATTACAGATATAAAAAGCATAATAACAATAAAAGTAGTAAAGAAAAGACAACTGGCAATCTGTAATCTCCCAGCCTCTCTCCACATTCATCAATATCTCCCAATCTCATGTCACCCCGGCCTTAACCCCGTGTCCCAACCATTATTCCACACTGACAAGTCCCGACTTCCCCGCAACCCTACCAGCCAACTCCATCAACGAAGTACTTCCCAGAATCTCCAGGATCGACACTGTGCTGTCCGTAGTGCGGGCGATCCACTTGCGCAGCTCAACCGCCACATGCGAATCAATGCCGTACTCCGCAATCGGGGCAGTCGGGCTGATGGCGTCCGTTGGAATTGACAGGTTTGCTGCTATCTTTGCGCAGAGAGCCGCGTAGACGATAGCGACTGCGTCGTCGATGGACGGGGCGGAGGAGAGGTCCGCGCGGAGGGTATCTCTTGCTCGTAGAGGCCCTGTTTTGCCGTTTCGTGCGTCGGCTGCGGAGAAGATGTGACGGAAGTGTGAGAAGAGGGGGCTTTCGGAGAGGATGGGAAGGGATTCGTCTTCGCGGTAGTCGCCTAGGCCGGTTATAATCTGCGCTGAGGGGCCATGGTGTTGCTGGGTTGGGGTGAGGGCCGTTGAAATCAGGGTTAGGAGGGTGGGTGTGTCTGTGCCGTGGAACCCTTGCTGGGCCATGCGGGACGCGAGGTCGCGGTTTTCGGCGAGGTAGCCTACGTCTGTGATGACGCCTAGGTCGAGAGACACGGCGGGTAGGCCTAGGGTTCGTCTGTGAGCGGCGAAGGCGTCCATGAAGGTTGAGCCTGCGGCGTAGGCCGCTTGTGTGGCGTTGCCGATTATACCGCTTATGGAAGATAGCATGAGGAAGAAGTCGAGGTCTTGGGGGAGGTAGCGGTGGAGGTTCCATGTTCCAGTGGTTTTGGGTCGGAGGACGGTGAGGTAGTCGTCCAAGGTCATTTTCTCGATATGCGAATCCTGGATGGGTCAGTGTCTTGTCTTTTTGCGGGATATTGTTTCATTACCTTTACTACCATTGCTGCGTGAATGAGACCTCGGATAGGCGGAGCTGTGTCTTTGAGCTCTCTCATTATTTTGGAGACTTGGTCACTGTCGGATACATCGCAGGCGCGCACAATTACACGTACGCCCTTTTCTTTCAAAGCTCGAGCGGCAGCTTTGGATGATTCCTGTGATAGACCGCTTCTATTCAGGAATACTAATGTGCGCGCTCCATTTTCAGCCATCCAAATAGATGTTGCTCGACCGATACCACCTAACCCCCCAACAAGCACGTACGATGTATTGGGTCGGAAAAGAGAAGAAGGCTCTTTCGGCGTAAGTGTCTTTGAGGGTCAGCGTATTATTTACCTCTGCGGGAATAAAAATACCTTAACGACATCATTTTCACCAATCGTGACAAGAATAGACTGCACCCGAGGGTCCGATTCGAGGGCGTCCAGTCCATCGGCAAGGTTGGATACATTGTATCTCGGTGGTAGCGGAATCTCGTGAAGATCGCCATCTCGCAAGTGAGATGCAACATTACTCCAAATCCCGTGCACAAGATTGGAATCGCGCATGAGTAAGTCAGTAAAGTCACACGTCGCAAACCGACAATCGCCCTCGAGACGCGGCACTTCCCACACAGGCCGTGCCGACGACTCCAGACCGATGAGTTGGATAAATCGACCCCCTGCACTCATGCAACTCCACAATGAATGAACTGAGCTTATCGGTTCCATGCAGTTGACAATTATATCCACCTGACTGTCACCGGTTAATTTCTTGAGCTCTTTGGCTGTCGTAGAGCCATGTCGCAGTATCCCATCTCCAGGCACTGCGGGAAAAGAGGTAGCCGAAGTTTCCTCACCACCTCCACTTATAAGAAACGTTTGACCCTTAGCATGGTTGATAACTTCTGCGAAAGCATGTCCTAGCGTTTTGTCCTCACACACCACCAGAGCGCGATCCCCAATTACAACATGCGCAAGATGATGCACAGCGTAAAAGGCCATACAGTAAGCCAATGGTAGAATGGCTGCCGTATCAAAATCCAGGCCAGATGGAATTTTCTGGAATGCGGACTGCTTGCCCTGACACAAGCTGGCTACAGTTCCTAATCCGAGACAGGCCACGCGATCATTAGGGGCAAAGTTGGACACCTTATCTCCAACGGCTTGCACGACTCCGCTGCATGCCGAGCCTAATTTAAGCCGTCCACCATTACGAGACAAATCAGGCTTGAGACCTTGCTTTGTTGTGCTGACTGCGTGGACTGCAATGCGGATGCAGTCTTCTGGGAGGGTTTCGACATCAGGATCATTCTCAAAATGAACGCCCCCCGGCCCAATATCAGCGTCGATGACTGCTCGGAGAGGCCGAACAGATGAGGAGACTATTTCATCACTTATGACATATGACTGCTTCGATGTTGCTAATGTCCGGTTGAGCCGATTGTCTTCAACCAGCCGCGGGATGAAGACTGTCCCTCGTCTTTCGGCATACTCGGTGTCACGATCGTCCTTGTCTCCCGCTGAGGCGTGCTGTCGTATGATATCATATATGATTTCGGCGACCCGAGTTTGTGACGATGGCGACTCGCTATCTAAGTCAAGCGTGATGATGGGCCCAGCACCGGATTCCGAGCGGGCAGTTCGCGCAAATCCAGCAGGAATTCCAGCATTCGGATTGGACGGGTTTATTGTTCCCCCTGTAGTCACCCACAGAACCCCAGCTGATTCGAGAAATATTTGCTTGACTGTAGAGAATACCATCTGGTTGGGATTCGACAATACAGAGCTGCCAATATCATTGAAGACAATACAAAACTTCCCTCGCGGCATGGCGCTGGTCAAGTCTGCCACGCTCACAATCTTGGTTTCTAAAGCTAGAAGAGCCCTCAAATGCCGAACAGTGTCATCGTAGGCATCCTTGCCCGTGACTATGAGTGTTTCACCATAAGGAGTGGACAGCTCTTTTGAGGGCCTTGAAAGAACCATGGTATAGCCATCGGGGGACTGTGTTGTAGCAGCAATTCCACAAAAGCCAGCCTCTTTCAGACCAGTGTCCATGTCAAATTTTTGGCTGTCGGTAGTCCCGTGCTGCAGTCCCTCATTCGACCCGAGAACACCACAAGATCGCAGAGAATCGCCAATTTGCTGATGACTAGTAGGCGGGTCAACGAGAACCAAGTGGCCTCCTTTTCGAAGTAGAGCATGCATGTTTTTCAAAGCTTGCTGCTTGTGTTTCACTGTGTGGATACCACGAGGTGCAATAACCACATCATAGAGATGATCCCCGGATGACTGTGGGTTCAAGTCACCTTCTATATCGAGAGAAACAAAACCCAACCAGTCCTGCCACTGGGAAAGTTTAGGTTTGGCTTTATCGAGCAGATCCTGTTTTGAGTGTGCCAAAGTGTACTCAATACATCGAGGCTTAGATTCACCCATCAGCCGCTGTAACAATGTGCGTGACATGTCGCCGGACCCTGATTCTAGTTCTAGGACTGAAATCATTGGGTTTTTACGACTGACAAGGTCTATATAGACAGCTGCCCACTGATATATTTGATCTTTATAGGCATTGGTCCAGTATGCTTCGAGAATCGCTGCGTCATCCGCCAGACTGTGGAGATTGGCACTCCCTGCCATGATGTCTGACAACCGCCCCCCTAGAGTTGGTAAGAGATTCTGTATCATGTTGGAGTTCTGCAACCCGGCGATGTTAACGTTCACAGCATCGGCGAACGAGCCTAGCGACTCCATCTTTGTTGCTATATCTGTGAGAAACCCTAGACGCTCGTCGATGGTGGGCAGACGTTCAGGCGACTCGGTCAGGGGGATTGCATCTTTGTTAGGTTCACCACCTTTGGTATCCCAGAAATGCTTCTGGGTATCGTCTCCCCGTTTTTCAAGGACGTCCCGAAAGTTTTGCTGAACAAGGAAGCCGGGATCAGGACTCCACTCTAGTCGGTATGCTAGTCGAGCTTCCTTGGATACAGTATCCATCGAACTTTGCTGTATGTTTCTGCACTGCAGACCCGCAATAGAAATTGCAGGGGATCCATTATTATCAAGGACAGAAATAGACGCAAGAAGATCCCCCTTTCTACTCTTTCTGACTTTTGTACAAGTGTCCAACGCGGTACCTGCTGTTCTTGGCGTCTTCATGGACATGATCATCTGCTTTATGTACACAGGGACAGCAGGATTCTCTTTCATGTCCATGTTGATGAAAATAGTCTGTATTATACTATCGAGGGTGCATGGGTGTATCAAATGCGGGTATTCGAACCCTTCTGGCATAACTGATGCGGTGTCCGGGATGGATATTTGGGCTATTGAGGTGTCAGATGTGAAGTGAGCGTGCTTTATGTTGGTGAATGTGGGTCCGTATTCGAGTCCAATATCAGAGAGCATTGTGTAGAATTTATCAAGGTCAAAATCGTCAGAAAGAGGGCTTGTGGGGTATTCAAAGCTCTCCATTTCTTCGGTGCTATCAGAATCCGTTGCTTGGAGGCATATGACCCCTTGGCAATGTTCGGTCCAGTTGCTTTCTTCTGTCACCGAGTATATGCGGAATCTGTGATAGCCTGTTGTTGTAGCGTCCTGGAGCGATTGAAGCGAGATCATGACCTCCACTGCAAGTGTTTCATTTATGATGATCGGTGTCTTGATTGAAACATCCTGCAGGCATACAGTGGCAAAATTATTGGTATCCTTGCTGTTCACGGCATGCTGGACCACCGCCTCTATAGCCATGGCAACATATCCCGCTGCTGGATACACAATATTGGACTGAATTTTGTGATCGGCTAACCACGGGTCTTCCGAGACACGGAGGAAGTTCTTCCAACGGGGCTCGAAGGGGCATGACCCACGATCAACCACTCCAAGAAGGTTTGTTCGAGGATGTTTGCGGCTACGGAATGCTTTGCTAATCCTCGGTTCCGCCCAGTACGACCTTGAATGATTCCAGCTATACGTTGGCAAGTCCACAAGAACGCTAGGATTCTTAGACGGCGACGGGTCGTTAATCGCTTGGAAATTGACCGGGTATCCGGAACATGCCAGGGAGGCAGCCATATCCAGTGTCGTTGCTGTCGCATCCCTCGTGCGAGACAGGGCAGAATAATAACGAATGTTCGCTTCGCTGAGCTTCTTATTGTGTTGCAAGATTTGTCTTATGGGCGCTGCGAGGGCTGAATGAGGCCCTATTTCTAGAAGGCAGTCGATACTTACCTTCCGTGCGGCACCCAGGCGCCTTGTTCTTTTTGTATCCGGAACTGTGGAGGAACCTTTGATGACGCTTGTTTCAAAACATTGTGCACAAACAGCATCGGCGAACTTCACCTGACCCAACAGGTTCTCGACCCAATACGTGGGGCCTAGTTCAGCTGTAGTCACTTCCGCCCCAACGACAGATGAAAAGAAGCGCACCCGGCTCTTCTTAGTCCGGTTCGAGGAGCTTTGTGAGGAGCATGAGCCTAGTGTAGATATTGAAGATAAGTATGCATCTCCAACAGTCTTCATATGATGGGAATGGTAGGCGACTCCAACGGCCAGCCGACGGCAAAAAATATCTTGCTTGCGGACAGTCGATTCCAACTCGTCAATGGCTGGGCTGTCACCGGATACGGTAATGCTTGTTGGGCTATTGACGCAAGCCACTACTGCCGAGCCTAACGTCAGAGATTCTAGGTAGGGTTGAGCATCGCCAGGTGATAATCCTAGAGCTAGCATACCGCCAGCTTGGTATCCCTTTGAAGGTAATTTACTGGCAACTACTCCACGGTAATATGCTACCATCATAGCATCCCCCATAGTTAAAGCGCCCGCTGCGTAGGCGGCAGCAATTTCGCCGCTAGAATGACCACTTACCGAGTCTGGATAGACTCCCCATGACGCAAGTAAATCGACCAAAGCAATTTGTAGAGCAGAACATATAGGCTGGCTCAAAAGCGGGTGGTCCAGCTGCGCATCTTCTCCTTCGGAGGTCAACTCGTCTATTCAGAATAAAACAGCCTGCCCGTCAGTATTAGAGACTTAGGCATGTAAGCTTGAGAGGGAAGGAGAACAGACCTAAGATGCAGAATGGCGCTCCCATTTGTGCCAGATGACAATCTATCCGTTGAATGGATTGCCGAAACACGGGGTAGATTTCCAGTAGTTCCTTTCCCATCCCGCGCCATTGCGCACCCTGTCCTGTGAAAACAAATCCGACAGCAGGTCTGCGAGGGGCCTTTTGGATTTTGACACCTTCTGATAATGCGGTCGCAACGGCCACTGGAGAATCCCCGATAACCGCGGCCCTAAAAAGATAATTTGTGCGTCGCTCATTTAGAGTGAACGCTAGGTCACGCATTAGATCATCTGTGTTAATCGACGCTTTTGAGTCGAGATATGCACGCAATCTGTGAAGTTGTTCAACAAGGGAGCTCTCCTCAAATGCAGAGACCATGAAGATGCGGCGTTGTTTAAAGTTCTCAGAGAAATTGCAGTGAGAGCTATCTGTTAGTGTGGGACTTCGTATTACAAATGCTAAGTCCCGCTGAGAGAGATATCCCATGGCATCTTCCACTATGACGTGTGCATTGCTACCCCCGTAACCGAAGCTGTTGACAGAGACGCGGTGAGGACCCGCTGACCTCCAGGTCTCGGGACTGAGTTGTATCTAATGTTGCTTGTCATTAGAGGAGAACAACGCTCGTGAGAGCAACCACTTACCTTGACTTTCCAGTCGTCAAGCAGTATTCGCGGGTTCAATGACTTGAAGCCCCGACTGGGAAGGAATGTACAGTTCTCTAACATCAATATCGCTTTGATTACTCCAGCAACGCCACTTGTTCCTTCGAGATGCCCGACATTGGTTTTTATCGAGCCCACTCGCAGTGGTTGCGTTGGATCCCGGTCTTGACAGAACACTTTTGCCAGGGCACCGGTTTCTATCGGGTCACCAGCTTGAGTGCCAGTCCCGTGAGCTTCGACAAACTCCGTTTCCGCTGGGTCTAAACCTGCAGTCTTATATACATGGCGTATCAGTGCCCCCTGTGCGACGCCGCTAGGCAGCGTGATACCTGGAGTCCTTCCATCCTGATTTGTACCCGAGCCTCGAATTATGGCTCGAATTGGGTCGTGATCCCGAATTGCATCTTTAAGTGGCTTAAGTATTAACGAACCAATGGCTTCGCCACGCGCGTACCCATTAGCGTTTTGGTCGAAAGTATGGCAGCGGCCTTCGGGAGAAAGGAACCTGGTCATTGATAAGCTACGGCCGTAAGATCTGTGGCCTGTACGTACTTCATCATAGTCATAGTTGACATGAACTCATGGCTGAGGATAATATTGACACCCGCAGCAACCGCCATGGTGGCGTCCCCTGTCCGCAAACTTTGACATGCCAGGTGAAGGGCCACCAGACTTCCCGAGCAAGCCGTATCAACCGTGACACTTGGTCCTTTTAAGTCGAAAAAATATGAGATGCGATTTGCTGTCATAGCACGCGACTGTCCGGCATTGGTGCACTGGTACATGGGGACACACTCCGGGTCGCGGAGAAGAAGATCCGTATAATCCGCGTTGAAGGAACCAACGAAACAGGCGGTTTGGCTGCCCATTATCTTTGGGAGTGGAATCCCAGCTACAGATAATCAGCCCCAGTATGTATTTTCAGTCGGGCTAGCGCACCGCTCTCGAGCCCTTCGTATGTAACCTCCAACAAGAGCCTTTGCTGAGGGTCCATTGCCTGTATAGTCTCAATAATTCACCTGATACTTATGTGACTTTGTGATGCTTACAGCTGCCTCGTCACTGCTCATATTAAAGAAGGGAGCATCGAAAAAAGAGGGGTGCTCCTCGAGAAAGTGGCCACCTTCCACATTGATCTGTCGGTTTTCAGATAATCTTACAAAACTGCTCGCACTGAGGGAACATATATTGATCAAAGCTTACGGTTCCATGTCTCGCGTAGTCTGGATGATGGAAACTTTCAACCTTCCACCTGGAGTCCGGTATTCTGCTCCAAGTCTCTCGGCCTTCAATGATCAGATCCCATAGTTTCTGGACGTTCACGGCATCCCCTGGACCTCGGAATCCCATGCCCACAATGGCGATGGGAAGAGACGCGTCCTCTGACAAGATTGAGAGATCATCGTGTTGCAGTGACTGAGAATCGGTAGTGGGAGTATCTGATGGAGTAGGAACGGAAGTAGGTGAGGTCGGAGGGGGCGGAGGATGAGGGCGGTTGGCAGTCATGGCGAGGTAGCGTCACGTGCATTCGGACAACAAAGTCACAAGGTCGATTGACGACGTACATCAACGTTGCAGTATCTATCAATACTAGTAAGGCCCAGCACCAGCAGACAGAATTATAGCCATATGCGCTGCGTTGGTTAATGCCCGACATGTCAACTACGCAAAAGACCAAAATACCCCGAGATTCTGCGGTGAGTTTACGCGTTGCCATGTACAGTGCAATAGAAGTACTAATATTATAGTAGATGTGGTGATTAGACTATGTGAGTCAAATTGATCTACAAGATAATCGAACATCTATTCCATAACGTGACGCGTGCATCACCATATTGTCAAGGCCTGTACAGATAACTTGCGTACGGCGCTTGCTATAGCTGACAAATTCTTCTTGTCCCCCGGGATGTCATGCCCACGGCTGTGAACGACCCACGACGATCGGGATGGATCACACAAGCGATGTAAGGCGAGCGAATACTCGAGCCACGGGTCTTGGGCGCCACCGATGTGGACAGTGGGGATGTTGATGTACCCTTCGACATCCGGGTCAATGACAGGATTGGTGCCGGGATCCATGCGAAATGGCGCCAAAGCATTGATAAAAATGGCGCAACGAAACAGTGGTGATTCCTTGGGGTACAACTTGGCATGGTGGATGAGAAAGCTGGCCGCCAATGTCCCACCATGTGAAAAGCCCAGGACGCCGTCAAAGGGCCCTTCCTCGTCGATCGCCTCGTATAGCCGATCATATGCATCTAGTATGGATGCCCCCTCGGGGTCTGGACTGCTCAACGGTCGAGGGAACTGGTGGTAACTGTAGTAGGGACCATCGTAGAAGCCTGCGATGCCGGGGCCCGGGACCGAGTCTATGTCGCCCTCGAGAAAGTGGAATGTCGCCGTGTGGTCGTGGCGCAAATTGGCCATCAGACCGCCTGAATGGTTAGGTGGGTTGAACGGATCGAGGGCGGGTGCCACGTACTCAGCTGAGACCGGAGAATCTACCCGGGTGGGTGTCAGTGTGACGCTTGAGGTCGGGGGTGGGCTTATCGCGAGGCTCACCTTGACGTTCGTCCCCCAGCCGTGAAGGCATAATAATTTCAAAGGCATTGTCGCTGACGTGTGATATGAAAACTAAGCACCGCGGTTGCTGCACGCAACTAGTTTATATATCGCATAGCCAAGGATGCTATCAATTTTTGAGATAACAGCATAGTGCAAAGGGCGGTCTATTCCAAAAGTTCCCGTGCCACGCCGGGTCATTTGTCCCAGCAACGGCTGAATCCATCACGTTGGAGAAGTTTCTTGTTTATTGTGCACCATTGTCGGAAGGCTGCCTAGACGGATTAGACAAGGTCTAACACCATTGGGGTGTGTATGGCCCTGGAGCAAGTTATGCGGTTATATCAGTATTCGGAAGCGCACAGCATCGACTGTAGCATTGGAGACCTATGGAAGATATAGGGTTAGGCTTCCCGGGTCAATTGGTCCCAGCCCCTATCATCACATGAATCATGGTGTCTATACTGCATGGCAAAGCCTACGGCTCAATTGGATGTCTGGAAATTCAATCCCAGCCAAAAAATTGCATCGTATGATGCGAGACGGGGGAGATCGACAGCAGGTAGTTATGACCCCACAGCCAGCGACTCTGACAATCACATGCTTCGTCCAATTTTCAAGTGTCCCACATGTTCAAGTCAATTGAGTTTGCAAGTGTTAGCACCAGTGGGTAACAATAGTATGCTGTAAGGAGTAGACAACTGTGCGTATAAGAACATTCAATTCTATACATAATGAAATAATAGAGAATAAAACTAAAGGAAACTGTGCTTGGTCAAAATTTCAATCGGGAATTGCGCTAAATTGACTATAACTGACTGCAGTTCTTTGAGATACAAGGAGCGGTGGTCTTTGCATTATTTCTTCCAAGAGATGAATTTTTGGGTATGTCAGTCAGGTTAAGCCGTATACCAATCGTTGGTCAACATTTTGGCGTAGCGGCCATGGTGATTCAAAATCCCATAATACCTGCGAGGCATGTTATAGTACATAAGCCGTGTCTACGTGGCGATTGTTTGATCAAGACATACTGCAATCAGGAATCAGGGTCAACAATACTCAGCATCACGTCTAAGCCACCGCGCGAAGAAGTCCATCGGAAGCTTGAGAGGGCTTGGGCCGATTGATATCTCGAACATTACACATCCATGTCATGAAGATTCTGACTCTCTGGGGATATATCTGCAAGCATACCTGTCCATCCTGAAGATGTTTTTTCCAGTTCCTGGCTTTTTCTGACTTGCTATTCTTCGCAGTCAGGATGCGTTCTCTCCAATGTGCATGTTTACTACTCGTGAACAAGTGAACAAAGCAATAGGCATCTTTGACCCTGCAACAATCTCGGCCCTTTTAGTACAAACAATCCAATGGCCAATCCAATCCAACCCACAGTATCATCCAAAGAGCATAACTAAAAACCAAGACGCCCGCCCAACACCAGCTCGCTAAATACATCATATCATCCAAACCCCTCGCTATCACCCACACCCAAACAACAGCAAACTATACTAGTGTCAGCCATCTCTAATACCGCGATGATTCGTCGGGCGTATCTAATAGAACAACAACAACGTCAGCCCAATCCCGCACCGCACAGCAATATCATTATCATCCCAGAAAGCATACACGCAGACTCCACGTCTCTCTGCCCCGGAGGTGCAGAATCCCGATGGAACACTCCCCAATTCTTCAGACGCACAGACCGCATGTACCGTTCCTGCTCGGGGGGATAGTTTCTGAGGCCCTGGGGCTGGGTGGGATTCAGCTGTTTGGTGAGGGCGGCGCCGAGGGAGACGGCTGCGAGACAGGCGATGATGACGATGACAATTATGGCTGCTGTGGTGAGTTTGGCCATTTCCACCTTATTTTGGCGTGTATTTTGATGGTTATCGATGATATTGGTGTCGTTCGGTCGATATGAACTACTTGAGTGGATCGATGTGAGGTGCCGCTGATACGGCTCGGATCGTCGCCGTATGTGTGGTTATATGGTTAGTACTGGTGGGTGCGCTTCGCAGCAACAGTCACCAGTTAATGCATGATGATTCGTAGAATATCAATGTGTAGATCGATGAGATGGAGCAGAAGATGGATGTATACCACCGTAGAGACCGTAGAGAGGTACAGTAAGACGAGACAGGAGGAAATGCCGCGGTTCGTCAGCGACCCCGCCATGTTTATTTATAACCCTGTGCAGATTGACACCTGAAACAGCACATTCACCACCTTCTACTACCACCCAATCCTTTGCATCCTTGAACCATGGCGTGCCTTTCAGCTGCCATTGGCCAGCTCAACTTGTTGGGGGCCTTCTGAACCGATTGGTGGAGCGTGGTGGGACCCGCCAGCGAGACGCGCAGTGTCGAATGAACTGGATAGTCCGATTATCAATGGATGGTTCAACGAGGGTTTGCTGTAGGCCATGGGGTGTACTTTTCCATCATCAAACATCTAACAAGATAGCATTGATAAATAGTGGTTTTTTTCTGTACAAAACAAGCAAGCAACAAGAAGAAAAACGGCTTCGTGATAGTTCACCCCAACCCTAACCCTAACGTCCTACACAAGCTGACGTGTTTTCGCTGCGATCCTGATCCCCAGTGACGCGTCGACCTTTGCATTGCAATGCGAAGCTCAGTTCAATTTGAATCCTACTTCCGCTGGTTGAATACCAAATTCAGTTCACCCCAGTAAATAACGAAACTATCCCTCGAGTCCTTGAAGGTCTTCTCCCCTGTCTCACCCGGCGCCAGCTGGATATCGAAGTCGGTGACCAGCCGGGCCAGGGTGGTGCGCAGGTTGAGCAGGGCCACGGGGCGCCCGATGCAATTGTACTCGCCTATCACGTCATGGTTAGTTGATCCTTCCCCCATTTATCATAGTATATCCTCAATGAACTAGTGATGTCGCGGTTTTAGACTCACCGATCGTGAACGGGGCGAAGGCTTCTTTATGCTTGATCAGCTCGGGATTTTTGTACCATCGCTCTGGGATGAAATCGTTCGGTTTCTCGTAGTTCATTTCAGCTGCTCCAATTAGCATCCTGCATTTATTGCTTTTTCCTTTCCTGCAGAGTTCTCGTTGCGCCCTCCCTTGTCTAGGGGAACTTACATCTTCCCATGGGATACATAGGGCACGACACTGTCACGTTACCCGGGATGTGCATGCCATCGATGTCGATGCCCTCAGGCGGCGTCATGCGAGGCAGTACCCCCGACACAGGCGGATACATCCGGAGCGTCTCATTGATAACACCGTTGAGATGGTCGAGGTTCGCTATATCTGAATTCAGGAAGTGACCGCTGGCGTCGCGGAACGGCTCTAGCTCGGCGCGTAGCTTCTCCAGCTCAGCGGGATGCTTCAGCAACGTATGAAGCATGATCACGAAGGTTCCTGCGGTCGTATCGCTGTCACTGTTGTTAGAAGCTCCCCTGTGGTAGAACCGTCTCCGTGTCCTGGTCAGCACTCACCTCCCAGCAACGACAATCAACCGCGAGTCTCCAGTCAACAGATCCCAGTCGTCCTTAGTGGGCTTCTTATCCCCCAAAGCAGCGATCAACGTAGAGCTGATATCCTGGATTTCCAATTTATTCTATCACTCCACATTAGCCCACACAAAGAAAGATAACCACCACGGGCGCTCCCGACAGGGGCGACTTGAGAGAAAAACAGGGGGGCACCTACGCTCATCCGTTCTTGGAAACGCTCCGAACACCAGGCTAAAAGCCGCCACCAATCCGACGACAACCCCGGGATGTTAGTGAACACACGCATCAGCCAGGTCGGCAGGAACAGCCCGAAGGAATCCATCGTGCCTATAATGGTCGAAACCACCCAGTGCTCTTCACCAGCTTCCATGCTCCCAAACCCCTTGCCAAACGCCAGATCACCCATGACGTCAAAGCTATACAGATTAGACCACTTGCGCCAGTCCACCGGCTGTCCATTCATGCTAGCCAGGTGGGCTATAAGCTTATCTTGGTACACGCGCACACGCTGCTCATACCCGCGAATTAGCTTATCGCTGAAGGCGGTGCTCCAGACGCGGCGCCGACGGTGGTGGCTGTCGTAGTCGCGGTACGTCTGCAGGGAGAAATTTGGAGCGGCAAAGTCGTAGAATTCAGCCTTAGAGCAGCGAGACTTTGGCCCGTAGATGGCTTCGACGGCCTTGGGGTGAACGATGGAGAGATCGGAAGACCCATTCCGTACAATCGGTCCGTACTTGTGGTGCAGTTTGACGAGATTCTGGGTGTTCTGGTGACGATATTGAATCGAGTACAGGGAGGATATCCGGGCGCCCACTGGGCCCGGGAAATGGCTCAGCGGGTGCAGGAACAGCCGGTAAAAGATGAGATGGCCGTATACGCCGGCGAGGTATGAGCCAAAGATCTGGGCAACGGTGCTAGTCGCCTCGCTCCATTCAGCATTTTGGGTATAATGCAGCGCTGAGATGGCAGCTGTGACCCCCACCCAAGCAGTCTTAAAGTATGCGCTGCCATAGAGCTGGTGCTCGCCTCTGCTGAAGTAAAGAATATGGGAGAGGGCTCCTGCGACGGCCGCAGTGACCAGTGATGAACCAGCGGTATAAGCTGCCATTGTGCTCACTAGGAAAGGTGAAGCACGTTAAGTCCCTGCCCCTCTTCAAGGCGTGGATGAGGGATGTCTCTTTATTTATCCATGCCCTGTTGGCGCCTAGTAAACTAGTAATTTCTTTTCAGCCTCGTCTCGAGCGGGGTTATATAGCTCGCATGAGTAAAATCTCTGTTCCCTTTCTGTTCCAGTGTTTCTGGCGGAACAAGTGATGATCAAAGGACAACGGCGTCGACCGTTGGCATACTAGCAGGGATGTGCCAAAAGAGGGGCTACGACTCGCCCGGTGACAGCCATTACAATTCTGCAGCCTGTTTGACCAGTACATGATATTAATGAGCTTGGCCAGTTGGGAAATCAGGACCGGCATGGCTGCATATACTGGCTGTTTCACTAACCTAAACCAGTATGCTAGTCCGAAGGCTGCATTTCTTAGCAGCTTGATGACAGCATCTGTAGCAGGACTTGATGGTCCCTGTTATTGGAGTCAGCAAATGATCTGTCTTATACACTGAAACGGGGTTATAATCTAATGCGAGGCTCTCGGAGTGGACCCGTCTATTATACACTATAATAGCCAAGGAGTTAGGGTTATGGGCCGCACACGCATCCCAGCAAGAGCGTCCATTGGCAGATTCAACCCCAATCACTTATATACAGAAGTCCAACCCCATGCAACGACCACTAAGCCCTCCTCGTTCACCACCATTTACAAAGCGATCAGCGCATTGTATGCCTCCTTAGGCTGGTAGCTGGCGTCAAAGAGCAGGGGGCTCTCATCCGACCGCCACGAATCCTTCAACGCACCACCCATTAGCTTTTCTGCACTTTACTCTCAAAGAGGACTTGCTCACCTTGTCAGAGATTCCCCAGACGGTGATACCGACACAGGTCTCGATCTCGATGCAGGCGTTGAAGGCCTAGAAAAAGAACATCAGTGACGTCCCAGGTTCCAAGAGAAGATCACTCACGTTGACATAGGCATCGGGAGCGGCACCAGCAATGTCAAGCTCGGTGATGGCCACTTCGGAGACGCCGGTGCTGGCAAGAGCCTCCAGAGCTGTATAGCCACGTCAGCTTTGTTGTCCAATCCATTGGGTAGTTCGGGGAGACTTATCCCTTGACACCCTCCGAGTTACCAAATCCTTCGGCGCTGTATCCTGGAGTTAGTCGATGTTCTCGTCTGCAACCAAGCGAGCAGCCCTACCTCAGATGGCTTTGAGACCCTAGAGTTCTTCACGTCAGCATCCTATCCATCCTTTCGCACGGGCAGTCGATGAACTAACCAATTCCATCAATGGGCACACCAGCATCCAGCCACTTCTTGACGGATTCGACCATCCCCTGCGTCTTGGCGTAATCCGCCGAGTCCAAGCTAAGCAACAAACGTCAGTAACCCCGCAGCGGAGTTTTAATTCTCCCAATTGACAAAAAATACGGGACACCCACTTATAATCGTTGATGTACAGCTTGGCATCAGGGTCCACCTCACGCGCCGTTTCAAACGCGATGCGGACAAAGTCCTCGCCCAGGACACGGGAGAAGACGCTGTCACGGAGCCCGCCCTCTTCAGCAAAGATCTCGTTGACCACATCCTAGTACCCTTGTCAGCGGTCGCTTTGCAGACTTGTTTAAACGGGGGCCTCACCCAAGCATAGATCTTGCCCTTGTAGTGCTCCATCACGGCCGTGACGTGATCCTTGATCACCTGGGTCAAGGTCTCCTTGTCGCTGATGGCCTCAACCCATTCAGGGAGCTGCGAGTGCCAGACTACATGCAGCGATTGCAATTAGCAACTGGCATGAATGTTGTGGTGCTTCTTCCTGATACGAACCGAGAGTGTGACCGCGGACGAGCTTCTCGTTCGCCGTCGCGTACTCCATCTGGATTCCGTTAGCTTGACACTACTTCTTTCGATAATTGCACGCAGTGATACATACCACAGCGTCACCGCCGTCGAAGTTGAAGGCGCCTTGGGTCGCTACAGAAAGCACGGGGCCTGTCAGCTTGCGATCTCGTGCATGCTTGTTATCGTCAAGTCAAGGAAGGCTCACGCTCAGTGGCATCCCACTTCATGCTGTTCTCGGCGGTCAACTGTCCGAAGTCCGCCTTGAGAATGGGCTCGTTGTCGCCATTCGTCAGTAGGGCTCCGTCGGCGCAAGTTCCCACATACTTCTTCCCCTTGGCCACCAGGGCGTCATTCAGGGAAGAGGCTCCCTGGCGAACGCCGATGACGGACGAAGCAGCCAGAGAGGCGAAGAGGGCACTGCCGGTGAGAGCCTTGAGGTAGACCATGTTGCTAAAGCTGGGTTTTATAACCTAAAAATTGGTGGAAAATGAGTGTTTTGTAGTTGGTGGTTACGGATTCCATTCCAGCTGGTGGTAGGAATACGCTCCATTTATAACATGGAAATGACTTCATACACAGCACTGTCAATTCACGGGATATCTTTAGGCTAATCTACAACAGTGGTTCAGTGCCTCGGACGATCGGAGAAGGTTCAAGTTTCAGTCTGTTTCAGCCAGAGTCTAGGTCAATTAGAGACATTTCGCGCTGGGGTAGTTCCGGCTATTTTGCATCCAGGTACGGCGAGCACCGAAATAGATCGAGGGCGTCCTATGCTGTGTTTCGTCCATCGTGCCCTAAGGCTTAATGGGTCGGTGGGGCTCCTTTTGGCCTCTTATTACCGTCTTCAACGATCTGGAAATGGGCCTGTAGAGGTCAGTCGCGGCAAATGTCGCTCCCGATTTTACAAGAATAATTAATTTCCGTCTATATCTGGCCATAGTCAAGATGGTGGATAAAGCATATAAGTCGGATCATCTGCCAGAGAACCCCTGTGTGAGGAGAAACAGGTGTTTAAGCGTGTGTCAACGGAGAAATTCTAGATCGAAAAAGTGATGAATTGATTAATGATCGGCAGCGCAGATCTCCACATTTGTTAGTTCTGGTGAGTCTCCGTGTTTGACTAGGTATCTGTGTTGGGACCAGGATTATTCACGGCTTTGCTGGCAGCTTCAACTACCGATTTGCTTCAGGCTGAATTGAATACAAGGTTCATTCTAAATAGCATCACATGGTCGGGGACACGGTTAAACAGGAGAATTTTATCTTGGCTGTCTACCACTCCACCAGGTCCTTGTTTTGTCACATTGACCACTCAGTAAAAACAGAGTTAGAAACATAGTATCTGAGTCCATCACGACTTCTCCTTTTCTCTACTCCAACAACTGGACAACTGTACAGATATTACGGCAAACTTGCGCTGTCAGCTAGGGACATTATGTCTTTCCAAAATATCATAACATCATATCACTGAGCTTTCCGACAGCTACTTTCTAGGTGCTACGTCACTATCTCCGCATCGCTTGTTCCCAATTATACGAAATCTAAAGATCCAAGTTCTCATGGCCAAAGCCATCGAAATAAACATCCACCTAATGATCAGTGTGCGAGCGAATGCCATTGCAGCCTACACAAATGGATACTCCCGCATCATACCTAGCTATGGCTTTTTCTCCTTATTCAAGTACTAAACACCAAAGATATCTTAGCTCTCGCCTCTTTCCATTATTCACATCATTTACTATGCCTTCCAGCAAAAAGGTTACAACAGCATGCGGACTCGCCTGTTTCCAGACTCTCAACGATTATGAATAATTATACGTCAAGATCTACATTATCCACTAATCTAGTACATCTACTTACTTAATATGCGTAGGTTTTTCAAGATCGGAGAGTGATGGTGGCTAGTCGACATAGAGGACCCTCATTGTCTCTGCAGCAAGACCTGTCAAATCCCTGCTAGGGAGCGAATGGCCTAGTGACACAGTTTGAATGTTCTCCAAATGCTTTGCTAGATCATAGTGTGAATATATTACTGATATGCTATGTTATATGGGGAATACATGTACACCGTGGAGAATGTGTGCTTGGGACATCTGACCAAGTCTAAGGAAAGTCAGCAATCATGCTATTCGTTTGGAGGAACGGTGACAGCGTATATAGTAGTCGCTACAGTCGTAAACATAGAATCATTGGGGCGTACAATACATGTTATTTCTTGCGTCTCGATGGTTATTGTTCAGTCTACTTGCCAGAACTGTGAGGAGCTGGCTGTAGGCCCTAATAAGGGCCTTTTTATTGACGTCAAATTCAATAGGGATGTTTATATTCAAGTCTCTAAAGCTTCCTATCATTCAAAATTTACCTTTCTCTTTCATCTCATTTCATTTTCGAATTTCTGATGCCCGCGGTTTTTCCTATAGCTTTTATCAATAGGTCTACTATGTATCGCCATTCTAGTATGTTTTCGGTTGTCTCTCCTAGGAGATATATGATAATGCAAAGATAGACAACTAGTATTTATATTTCATTTGATGAGTGAATTTGATTTATTGATTTTTTGATTCTTTCTGAATGTGACTGATTGTCCTTGATTCCTTGAGTAACGCGTATAGTACCCCTATATATATCTTTATAACATATCTCTACCGATAGTAGTACCAACATGAATTTCTATCAACAGCGAATTTAAAAAAACTTCTATAATATTCCACCACATTGATCAATAAGATCACCTGAATATAAAACATTCAGTCATTATTACCGAACTTGGTATTGGACAGACATGCCAGCTCATCTGATCACATTGGCAGCCACAAGGCGGTGAAGCGACGCTGGATTGTCCCCGCAACTTCATCTATCCCAGCTGTCAACTTTCCCCGACGTCACCTACTCCCGTCCATCCATTTCGCACCACCCGCTCAAAATGAAGCTCGTCTACATCGGAGTACGCTCTCACACCCCCACCAATATACGACGACCGGATCGATTAAGTTTCCACCACTAACTCTTACCAGGTCCTGCAAAATGCGCAAACCCCGGCGGTCGAGCTCTGCGCCGAACGCGATCTGAGCAGCTATTCGCGCTTCACCAGAAACAGCATCTCCGAGTTCACCACCATGTTCAGCAAGACTGTGGCCGAACGCACGAAACAGGGCCAGAGACAGGATATCCAGGAACAAGGCAAGTTGAGATGTCGACCCTGGATGGAGGTTCACCCCTGACCCCCTTTTGCCTCTCGCAGATTTCACCTTCCACGTCTACGCTCGCACCCAGGGGATTGCCGGCGTCATCATCAGCGACAATGAATACCCCTCCCTGGCCGCCCATCAGATCCTGTCCAAGATGCTCGACGAGTTCCTCGCCCAGCACCCCAACGCGGGGGCCTCACGTGACCCCGTCTCCTTCCCGGCGCTCAAGACCTACATTACCTCCTACCAGGACCCGCACCAGGTGGATAGCATCATGAAGATCCAGAAGGAGCTGGATGAGACCAAGATTGTGCTCCATAAGACCATCGAGAGTGTATGTGTGGGAGGACCCCATTGCGACCGGCGGCTGCTGACCCGACCGACTAGGTATTGGAACGAGGCGAGAAGATCGATGATCTGGTGTCGAAGAGTGAGGGGCTGAGCGCGCAGAGCAAGATGTTCTACACATCGGCCAAGAAACAGAATTCGTGCTGGTACGTGGATCTTCACCCTGTATCCCTTGTGTGGTAAGCTGGACGTCATCTAACCGCCGCAGCGTGATCATGTGATTTCGTATTCCGTGTCCCCTCATTCCCACTGCGATTTTTGTCTTTGAACATCTGTCTGGTTCTTGCACGCAGCCTACGCCAGCTGTCTTTTCTTTTTTATATCTTTTTCTTTTTCCTTATTTTATTTTATTTTATTTTATTTTCTTCTCTTTTCTTTTATCTTGTTCCCCCTTTTTTTTTTCTTGAATCTTTCTCCAGAGCGTTTTCTTGCCAGTCCATGCTTGGCATTCGTCTCGTCCATTGCAAGGGAGGTACACTTAGTTGGAGGGGAGGTTCCGAGTAGATCTTTGCTAGGATGATCCGGCCACCATAGCCGCCAGATTTTAATGCGACCATTTCCTGATCACGTGCTTTATCACACTTGTGCACCCTCCAGAAAGAAGTTCACTGTAAGAAGCAACCGACGTATTGCCCGGTGGTATTGTTTCGGCGATGAGGGCGCTCGGCGTTGAGTGGACCTCCGCTAGCCTTCCCCACAGGAGCGCAGGTAGGAAGAGATAGGAATGACGGCAGCCTCACCTCGACAGGATCTTAGTCAACCGGTGGGAAATATTATAACTAAGCCTTGCCGGAGACAGCATGCTGTACAACACAAAGCCAACAGCGATTTTGAGGCCAGGTGTTGGCTACGTTGCAGGCTGAGGGCAAATGACAGGGAGGCCACGTTGAACGTCCTTACGGCGGGCCCTGCCGAGTGACCGGTGGTTCTCTCCGATCCAACCGCAGAGATCTCGCCTGCACAAAATCGCTCAAGAGGCGGTATTGAGCGAAGGCTGCAGACTTCAACCCGATTTCACCCATGAAACCCCCCCGGCAAGACGGTGGTAGATCATGCGGAGATCAGGGCTCAGCGAGTCAACAACTTAGGGCAGGGTCTGCCTCCTTCAGTTTGGGGCAACTCCACCCGGCACAAATCAACACTTCTAGAACCCGGTCCACCAGGAACTCCCGCTGGCCATCGAAGCTTAAGTTCCCACTTTTCCTGTACCATTGGCATTATTGTTCGATATTCAGTCTCTTAGTCCATTTTATTACTCATGGTTTCGGCCTGGGGTCGCCTATAATGGGCGCCCGAGGGTACCCGGGTTGCCGGCCCGGTTGGGCTGTGATTGGTGGGCCGCGCCGAGAGCCAGCGGACTCAAGTGCCAGCTCTATACCGTTTCTTGGGGATTTGGGGGTGGGAGAGGGGCGATGAATCGTGACTATTCAGGGCTGTGGGATGGTTGGGCATCGTGGACTGACGTGATCTTGCTATTTATCTCCTGTCTGCCCCTCTTTGTTGGTCTGGTCTGCTGTTCTTGCCCTATATAACTATACATACCCCTTATCCGTCTCCTGACTAGATACACGCACGTACGTCACTCGCAGCCCTAATCGTCCCCAGCCGATCCACGGTATACACGTCTTTGTTTCTTTCCAGTCCCCCAATCTCTTTTCTTCGACTTTTCTCCCCCCCGTTGAATATACGATAGAGGAGCCTCTAGAACTGGTCGACCGCCCCGCGTACTGTTAGCCTGAACAGTCAAATCATGGCACAAGATCTACACCCTCATCATGGCCTGTCGTTCGAAATTCAGCGAAGGAGCCGCCTAGTGGAATGTCTCACTGCAGATGCCCTCGTTGCTGCCGGTTCAGCAACGCTGGTGACGCCCGCCGTCATGATTCTCGACAGGTACTAGGCCCTTTCTGCCATCTCCACGACGCATCCCCAGACTGACAGACCACCAGACTGGTCGTTGAGAAATCGTCCCACAATCAACCACTCCTCCCGGCATTTCGTCGACACCTCTGGCTGTCCATCACGCAGCCCGCCACCTTTCTCACCTCCCGACCAAGTCTGCTCGTCTGGGGCCTCTACACGGCAACCTTTGCAACGGCCAACGCAACAGACACGGTCTTATCACAGGTCTACCCACACATGGACCAGGCGATCGCCGGCCTGACGACCTTCCTCTCCACCTTCGTCGTCAACTCCTCCGTCGGGATCTGGAAAGACGTGAAATTCGCCCAGCTCTTCGGCCAACCGCACAACCCACCAGTGACGGCTTCCCCAACGCCCACTCCAACGCCCCAGGCCGGAGCACCACGCACAACCAACCCGCCAGCGCCAAAAAGCGCAATCCTCCGCGCAATGCCCCGGTCCAAGATCCCCCTAGCCACCTATTCAGCCTTCCTCCTCCGCGACGGCCTCACCATCTTCGGGTCCTTCAACCTGCCCTCCATCATCTCCCCCTACATCCCCGACGAGGTAGCGTCGGGCGAGTTCTCCAAGATCCTGATCGCGCAAATGGCCATCCCAGCCTCAATCCAGTTAATCAGCACCCCAATCCACCTCTTCGGCCTGGACCTATACAACCGGCCGCACCCGCTGTCCGCCCGCGACCGCATGGCGCGCGTTAGCCGCGACTGGATCGGAGCTAGTCTGACGCGCATGTGCCGCATTATCCCCGCGTTCGGGATCGGCGGGTTCGCCAACAGTGAAGGCCGGGCATTGCTGCATGGCCAGCTGCGCGCATGGGACGGGGAATGAACCCTAGGCGTCTTTTGCATCAGCAGCATCAAGTATGCCTATTGTGCAAAAAGTGCCCCTCTGGATCGTCCCGTGGGCGCCAACTGGCGTGGCCGAGTAGGTGGGTCCTGGTGATCCACCAGACCGGCCATCCCACCACGGTTCCCTCTCTCTCTTCCATCTGCCTTACCGCTCTGCGTGGGCTCGGTGGGATCCGGTTTCTGCAGTGGCCCGGGTATCATCTCCGGTGGACGCGAGCGTGGGTGCAGCAGAGAAATTTTGCACTCTGCAGGTTGGCTGGCCGCGTCCCCGTCCCCGACAGGCACTGACCGGGCCGGTCAGGTCGCGGTCGCGGTTATAGGCGGTGGCCACGTCAAACTTTTTCATTCATTTTCCACCTTTCATTCCTTTTTATTTCCTTTTCTTTTTATTTATGATTATTGTATTTATGGATATATATAGATGTGTGGGTGGGTGTGTTTTTTTCTTTGTGGACTGCTGGATCAGAACTAGGGATTTCATTGATTCTCTTGGTGTCCATGATGCGGGGACCCGGGTGTGTGCTGTGTCACTGCCGGTGGTTAGCCCTACTTACTGCCTGCTTGTTGATAAATGGGAGTCGAGGCCGAATGACTTCTGGATCTTCGGGGATATAGAATTAGAGATAATATAGTTACTTGCTTTACTTAGACTTGGTAGTAATGTTATTGTAGGTTGTGCATGTTATATATATCATTGTGTCGTGGTATAATATGTAAAAAGGTCACCAAGGACAAATGTGTCATAGTATCCTTTATAGCTGGGTGGTAATTACTTCCAACACATCATCATCATATAACGTTGGGATACCAAATATATCAAACCGGACTGAAATGCTGTTGGGTATTTTGGTATAGTGACAGATTTACTGCCAGTGGCATAGTGTTCCAAGTCACTGCCCGCTAGTGCATGCTCTATCAAATGATGTCATATTTGTAGAAGTCACATATAGATATGGAAGGGATTCCAAACATTCATTTATCTATTGCATTGTCTCACTATCATCAGAAGAAGATCAAGTGAATACAGGCCAGCTAACGCAGCCTATATAAAGACTACACAATGCTTGAAACTGCTCATCTACACATTCCATCCTCCCTCCTCCAACCTTCATACCCTATCTTTCATTATCTATCCTCCATCGTCCATAATCTACAGCACGCCTCCATCAAGAGGGACCCCAAACCACCATAGCAATGTCGAGAGCCAATCGCACCACCATCACCCTGGATAGTAAAATCCACGCTGGACTGAACAGGTAGGCCTCTTCATCCTCCGAGTACCCCTAGAGCCTTATACCAGAGCGAGACTAACTCATGAAGCATCTACCAAGCGGGCAAGCTCACCGACTTTACCATCCACGTGGAAGACAAGGAGTTCAAGGTCTCCAAGATCATTCTCGCCTCGCAGTCCATGTACTTTCGTCACATGTTCTTGGGAGACTGGAAGGCAAACCACCCCCCCCAGCCCAAACACAAGAATGAATGAAGCACAGCTTACGGAAGGACTAAACAGGAAGCACAAACCACAAACGTCAGACTCGTCGACGAAGACCCAACCACCATCTCCGACATGCTACAGTACCTGTACAGCGGAATCTACAAACCCACCATCCCCGGTACCCCACCCCCACCACCAGCACCCACAGGAATCACAACTGTAGCAACCACAGCGGCGACCATCCCGGACACTAGTAGCAGCAGCAGTATCGAATGGCAGAAAGCAGCCATCGCCGCTCACATTGCGCAGTACACCGCCGGAGACATGTTCTTCATCCCACCGCTGCAGCACGCCGCGGAACTGTGGTTCAGCGTGACGCTGGAGAAGGTGTGCGATAATACCTTGCTGCTGGATGTGCTGCAGGAGGTGTACACGAGCTTGCCGGGTCTGCGGGCTGTGACAGCGAGGTGCATGGCGCGGCATATTGAGGCCTTGCTGCAGGATGAGCGCTTCAAGAAGATGATGGTCGATGTGGAGAATCTGGCGGTGGATGTGTGTTCTGCTGTTTTGAGCAATGGTGCGGCTATGAGAATGCGCATGGAGTGGGATTGAGATGTGGTGACATTGAGATGTTGGTTTGTGGGGCGGCTGATGTGAGATGTTGGTGTGGCTGCCGTGGGTCTGCTAGGACGGCGCAGTGACTTCGTTGTCTTTCACTGGTATTGGCTTGCTTTCGATTTTTCTATTGGGGTTGTTGGAATGGTCTGGTCTTGAGGAGTGCTGGGATGGTTTTGGATATGGTGAGGTATGGGTAAATTGTGTATTATTGGATGTGGTGGGATTAAGATTCATGGTTGTGGCAGATTGTCCAATATGTTGATTATGATTATGTATTTCAGAGTTGAGTCGCCAATATCAGATCAAGATACCAGATATCAGTCTCTAGAAGTAGCACCACCCAATAACGATGACTCTATACCACCCTCCCCCTCCATTCCATCCACAACCCAAGACACAGGCCCAGCACCCCCGAAACCCACGCCCATATCCAAGTCCACATCAACGTCCACGTCCAAGTCTAAGTCCAAATCCAGAAAATCCAAATTTAACGGACTAACCCCATCACCCTGCCCATCCCCACCCTGTCCCACACCAACCAAACCAGCACACGCCATCCCAACAGGCGACACACTCCCTGAACCAGAGTCCCTCCCAACCTGCCTTCGACTAGAGTCACCATCCCCATTCAACAACCGTCCCTCCCGCGAGAGCGTAGGAGCCTTCCCACCCTCATCTTGAACAGAATCCGTACGGAACCCCCCAGTCGACAAACACATCTGCACGGTAGCGACGCCCATGCGGGCCAGCGCATCGCGACAGGCTTCCGCGTGCGGGTATTTGTCGATCATATCCGTGAGGACGGACGTTCCTGCCAGGAGAGTGTAGTCTATTTCGTCGAGGGTCTGGACGGGATTAGTTACACCTTATATTACATGGGCTATGGTGGGAGGGATAATACCAGGCGACTGCGCACGAGAGGCGAGTTCCATATTGTGAAGAGAAAAAAGCTGCCTATAGACAAGAGACTCATTAGAAATAAATGCATAGAGAAAAAGTGAGAGAAGGACATACCAGCCATGAAAATACTGTGCGTCGCCAGATAAGTATAGTTGACCAGCCGCACATGATGCATCATGCGGTATATCTGGAGTACTTTCTGACTTGCTTCCGCCACTTCAATAGACACATTCTCATCCCCCTCGTCCTCACTTTCATCCCCATTTTCATCAACCCTAGGACGACCACCCAAGCCCAAACCGAATCCCAAGTCTGAATCCCAAGCCAACCCCCCCGGCACGCGCACACTCCCCCGGTACAGCAAATTCACCGTCAACCAGTAGTCCAGCTCCAACAACGCAGCAGGAAACCACGCACCGGGACGTCTGACGACAGGTACGCGCGCCCGCCAGGCGTCTAATCGCGTGCGGACATTGCCTACCCACTCGCTAAACGAGCGGACTCCTAGCTTTTTCAAAAAGCGGGCCGCATTGGTCCTGTGACTATCGCTATCATCTCCTGTGGGTGGAGACGGAAACGAGGCAGCAGCAGCAGCTACATCACCAGAAGAAGCTGCAGCAGCAGAAGAAGAAGAAGAAGCAGAAAAGGAAGAAGAATCCCTCCCCCTAGCCGCACAATACCCCAGCACCCCCTCATGCACCTCCGACTGCAACACCCTCAGCTGAAAATAATGTCTCGCGATATACTTCGAGCAAGGCACGCACCCGGCCTGACGAATCGCCTGGTCCGCAGGGATGGCAGGGAACCCGGTGGAGATGACCTGGTCCGCGATGCCAAAAGGGCGGCCTGTGCAGGGCGCGATGAGTCGGTCGAGGCTGTAGACGCACCACCAGAGACGGCGGCGCTGGTCGAGGGGCGTCCAGCATGTGGATTTCGCTGATTTTGCCACTGCTTTAGAAGTAGTGGGGTGGGGGTCATCGTGACGGTCCATGTACAGACCCATGTCGATTGCGGTGCGCAGGGCGAGGCCAGCTGTGTGAGCGGGTCCTGGGGCGACAGGACGGAGGAGGGCGAAGTGCGCGAGGAGGATGACGGCTTGGAGGGATTCGAGGCGGGTGAAGTCGGTAATTGATGAGGAAGATGAGTGGAGGTGGGAGATTGCAGTCGCATGGTATGCTTCTGGTTGGCTTTTTGTTGGTTTAGCGCGCTCGTTTGCATCCTCGCGACGGTCTTCGAAGACGATGCCGGCGCCGATGGCGAAGACGATGAAGAGGAAGAAGAGAGTGCGCTGGGGCCGGGCGGTGTCCGGCGTGGCGTATGTTGCGGCTATTAGGTCGGTGAATTCTCCTCGGTGAAGCACGGGGAGTTGCGGGTTGGCGTGCTCGAAGTAGAGCTGGACTAGACGGTCGGCGAGGTCGCGGTCTGGGAGGGAGGAGCGCGTGGGAGAGAGGGCTCGGTTGCTAGGGATGGACTCGAGGAGGGCGCTGTCGGTGTTGGTGGTGGCGCTGCGCAAGATGTTGTTGCCGCTGCTGTGGCTGTTGTTGTTGTCCTTGTCTACGGGCTGTTCAACGGCGCTGGGCTCTATATTGGAAGTGTTCTCCGCATCCGAATCGAAAACAGGCTGTGCCTCAGTAGCCGGCAACGTTGTTATCACAATCTGTTTCTCGTCGAAAGCGGCCTCCGGCTCAAACGGAACATCATGCCTCACCAGCACGCTCTGCAGATAGGCGATGCGGGTCTCAAGAAAGTAGACATAGCTGCGCGGAAACTCGCGGCGCGTGATCGGATCATAACTGATACAGCGCGCGCCGACCTTCTCGCAAGGCCGACATCGAGGAAGACGCTGATCGCAGCGACCTTTGCGCAGACGACACCGTCGGCAGGAGGAGACGTTGCGAAAGGCTGATGGCTGATTTAGGGCTGGGTCGGGAGGATCCAATTTTCTTCTCTTCGCAGAGATGTCGACCATTTTGCTGGTTAGATGTTATACAAACATCACTGTCACCGTTGACAATATTGTAAACGGATACAATACTATGACATGAGTCACAAACAGACTACAGCTGGACTGATATCGCAACCCCTCGTTGAAGACTACCGGCACTCTCACCCGAGACACAACCAGCAGGTTCTTACCCGATCGCAACTGCAGTGGATTGCGGGGAATATAATCTGGAACCGAGCAGCCAATCGAGCCGTCAGACTGGGCAGTTTAGGTCGGGGATTACTCGATAGAAATGACAGCGATGGGGTAATTCGACAGACTTTCCGCGGTAAAGATGCGATGTGGATCGGGGAAGCGGGGGCTAGCCCTAATCGAGGGGTGTATAGGTGGCCTCGTCGATCTTAATTAACGATGGAAATACGGGGATGGAGGAAGACAGGGTATGCGGGCTGTATCTACTACGTGCATAGACGGAGCATATATGATTGATTGGATTTAATTATGGGAGGGTGGCAAGGGTGAGTTGGACGTACTGGTACGGCCCACTTTTCCGGTGTCGTTGGCGATACGAAGTTTGGAACATGGCTTGTCTTGTACACCTCGAAAGCCAATACAACAGCAGGGAATATAATCCATTGATTTCATCTATATCAATGTATAGTCCAGTTATAATGAACCCTGCCACACTCCGCATTGAATGCACAAAACGCCGAGGGAATGTCGCCACATCACAAAACTTAAACAATAACTCCAACGCAAAAACCCCGCACAATGATACTAAGCATCAGCCTTTCCCTGTTCCGGCGTCCAATGCTGGAATCCCCTTGTAGGCAGTCTTAGCGCGAACATCTTATCCAACTCTGCCGCAGACCGTCCACGCATCTCGGGAATGTACAGCCAGACGAGTGCCAAGCTGATCAAACACAGCGCGGTATACACAAACCCCGTCTTGACGCCGATATTGCCCTGGTCGGTGTTGTAGATGTACGGTAGGATGACGGCGAACACACACGCCGTGATGCTGTGTATGACCCAGCCCAGTGCCTGCGTCGGACCCCGCAGTCGCAGGGAGGACGTCTCCCCTGCGGCGAGGACTGACGCTGGCCAGATGCCGTTCCCTGCGACGAAAATGATGCAGATCATGCAGGCGGCGGTGACCCTGTATTCAAGTTAGACATAGACTCCATAGACTGTGATGCGTGACTGAGTTTTAAAAGAACCTACCAAATAGTCGCGCTCAAGGTTGGGAACCACCCCGAGATCCCAATCAGCGTCCACAGCACAAAACAAATCCCCAACGTAACCAGCATAAGTGGTCGACGACGCGCCACTGACATGGTCCAGACAGAGATGATATTGGCAATCAACCCGACTGCAATCCCCGCCATCAGGATCAACACGCTGAGATTCGCCTTCATGCCGATCGTCTGGGCGAAGTAGCTCGCGTTGGACATCAGTCCTAGTCCAAAAAACTGCGGCATGAGGTGCGCGATCATGACGATAGCCGTGCGTCGCAAATCAGTGCCTTTGAAGCAATCCGCGAAGGTGATGCTCGATCCAGCCGTCGCATGGCTATTCTGCCGCTCCTGCTCCAGCAGCAGCAAGAGCTTATCGACTTGCGCGTCTGTATCCACGCTCTTCTCATGTAGTCGTCGCTGCGACCGGCGCGCGGCGCCGATCTTCCCCTTGCGCAGCAAGTACGGTGGGCTCTCAGGGATAAACACAGTCGTGACGACCAGCAGCAGCGACAGCGCCCACTGCGACGCGAGCGCAATCAGATACCCCCATCGCCCGGGTACTGACAGACACCCGAAAACCACAAGACCACCAATTAACTGCCCCAACATCGTCATGACGGGGATAAGCGCCTGTGTCGAACCCCGCAAACTGAGCGGGGCGATCTCCGACGAATACGTCTGCGCCGTGCAGATCACCTGCCCCGCCGCGACTCCCTCGATCAATTTCCCCAGCAGGAAGATCCCGCGCCTCGTGTCTGGGTCGGGTGAAAAGGCCGAGCAGAAACAAGCGGCAATGCCCAGCGCGGACTCGAGCGAGCCTAGATGCAGCGAGAACCGCCGTCCCCAATTGTCGTATACCCAGCCTGCGACGCCCGCGCCGAGGATATTGCCGATGCTGGGCGCCGCTGTCCACACGCCTAGCCACGACGAGGGCAGGATGTATTTGTCGCCGTACTGGACGCCGTAGTCTTCTCTGTCGTTCACCTTGTTAAGTATACATACTCTTTACCGATCAAGACCAGGACCACTCACTGGAACCCCGGCATGGCAGTTAACGTGCTAACAATAACCATGTCGAACCCGAACAACAGAATAGCAGGACACACAGCGAAGATGTACGCGACAATCCGCGGAAACTTCCTCACAGCAGCCAGCAGGTTCAGCGTCGTCTGGCTGTCCTCGCCATCCAGGACGACGGTAGCTCCAAGTCCATCTTTGTGGCCCATTTCGTCGCCGATTCGTAAAACACGCCGAGCGCCGTTTTACATTCTTCTGTCTCGAAGAAGTCGAAGACAGTAACAAAAAGAAAGAAGAAGAAAAGGCAACAGCCAGACAACACAGTTCTTATCTCGTCCGCACCCACGAAGCCAAGACCGCAGATCCAGAAATGCGGGGTTCGCTTCGAGAAAGGCCTCTCATTGCTGGGATGGATGGCCCACGGCGTTGGCGTGGACTTGTCACGCTGGGTTCTTGGACTGGTTTGTCCGATCCCTGCGACAGATTTAGGCCGTGCCGTGTCGGTTTTTTAGTATAGTTCGTTTGGTTGCTTGGTGGGTAACCTGGTAGATCATGACGGGGTGCTGGGTGGGTTCGATCGACTGGGATGGGTCGTTTGGGAGCGCTATTGTGGGGATTATGATATGTGTCTGCTGCTTATTCTTCAGCAATGGGAGTACTGTGTAGTCCATGTGAAAGGATTGCACCGAGGTGTTTCCTGCTTGTTGCGTAGACTAGGGTGTTTGTGGCGGTGATGGGGAGTATTGGCGGGCTGAATTAGACACGCGTTGGGGTTGGTTTAGTGATTAGTTTGGTAGTGAAAATGCGGGGAAGTTTCGGGAATAGTAGTCATATTGGGTAAACTCTTGCGCAGACAAATGAGGTTGAACTGACGTCGGTGACTTCCTTCTTGCATCTAAATGTCGGTCTGCAATATGATATCAAGTAGACGCAGTGACCACTGTTATGTCATCTAGGAGTGAAAATCTGGCAGCCATTTTTTTTCCTATTTACTAAGCACATCAATAGCCAAGGTACAACTGTTTTATATTCCCACCGAAGCGTTGTATGTAAGGAACATGCATCAACTGCAGTGTGTCATTGAATATGATTCAGATGGGAGGATGATATGTAAGACACACCCAATGATGTCAACAAGCAAGAAGACACAATTTATTGACAAGACTACCAATGTAAACAGCCAATAAACAGGCATGTAGAAATGCAGAAGGTTCTATCCGTATGAACCATCCCATGACCACCAGAGTTCAGTCAAGACCACCACATGAAGGTATGCAAGATGTGTCATTTAAGCATCTCTATCACACGGGCGAGATTATAATTTTCAATCTTATCAAACTTTCTGTAGAGTGGCTATAGTAGAACCCATTAGACCCATCCAACCACGACGAGTGCCATCTACGACGTGCCATATCGCTGCATCGAACAGAACAAAGCATATTTCAGGCAATCCGATTTGACAACAGAATAAACATCCACAAGAATTGTTCCTCACAGTAACTCCTCCAAGCGACCATGCTATTAGAACATAGCGTGAGCCCTCGCTGTCGCTACCGTCTTCCCAAGAGCCGTACATGGCCCCAAAATGGAAGGACAGGACGACCAACACGCCCTCCGGCCGTCTCGAAAATGAATTGCACGACGACACATAAATCAACGACCTGGATAAACTTGGTATCTGACGACAAATGTTTGGACATGACCATAAACATTAATTTGACGGAGAGGGAGATCGGCGAGTGGCGCTCCCGATTATGGCCTATTGAGATGTTTGAGCGGGGACTGATACTTTGAAGGAAATAGACAAGAGGACTAACGAACTTATCATTCAACAAAAGGTGTATACAATGCTAGTAGGGAGCCAAGGAGATGTTGCAGCATTTGGATTTATGGACTTTAACCAGTAAGTGTCATCTTAACCCAATACAAAGCCACATAGACACGGTAAGGGACTGCATTAGCCATGTCTATGGGATAATCACCACTCCCAGCTAGACACCTCCGTTTGGGTGTCATGAGAATCTGACAGCTTAATAGCAGGCTAGACTATGCGAGAACTGACACAAGGGTAGTCACTAAGGGCGAACTAGTATATTACCACACGTTTCACATCAGTTAATATAGCTTCAGTCTAATGATAAATCTGGAGCACTAAGTATTTATCATGCTTTATTACAGGCGCACGGGCGATGAAGCCCCTCGTGCCAGCCATTGCTGTAGAATAACAAAACCATAACAACCCGGACATACGCATGGTTGATCCAGAGTGTCGATTCAATCGCTGTATCAGAGAGGAAAGTAGATATCACTACTGGCATTTGTCTTTGTCCTTCCATAGCAGACCGTACCATAAGTGACTAGTTCTATTATGTTTCCTCCCCAGCTGATCTTAATCTTAACAGTCATTTGAATTGGATGTTTTACATCACCGTTGTTAGTGTAGATGGAATTTGGCCGTTAGATGCATGTTGCACTCGGTTGTCCAAACGAGGGCTCAAATTCTCTGTACGAAATTTCTGCACTGGGAGTTTTTACGGCTTACTGCGCTCCTGACATGTTGTGACATAAAGTAGAGGGTGATAGATGTGCCAGGCAGGGGGCACCGTCTGCGACAAGGCTGTAAGGTGCGGAGAACACCCGCGCAGTCGACCAATTGGAGCTGCACAATTCTGACACTGGTCTCTGTCTGGTCGATGGCGTCGAGAACTAGGGGTGTGTTTAAGGAGGGTGCTTGTCGTTACCCTCGCGGCATGGTTGGGAAGGGTATAGGTCGCCAGACTGGTAGAGATTCGGGTCCGTCATGGTGAGCCATAGAGTGGGATAATGGTGTCGATGATGAAGACGGCAGAGCATGGCCATATACGGATAGTAGGATATTATGGCACGCATACAGGATGTTGATCCCTGCAGGTCATGCTAAGTTTATAATAACACTACTCAAGTCGGCAAAAGAATGGTATGGACGCCGCTGGATCTTGGAATGTTCAACAGATCGACATTCTTCATAACCCTAGATCAGAGTTGACTGGATTGTCTTATATCGTTAAGATATATTCTCATCGACATTACTTGACGATTGCAGTTGGGTTATAGATACAATTATTGCTGCTAACGCACACACCATCTCCAGCGATAATATTAAACCACAGTGTAAAATATAGAACGATTCCATAAGCTCTTCCCATTCGTCACCTATAATTATAAGAAAAGCTAAATCTAATAAATATGAATGATACATTGACCGATAACCCATATATACATCAAACAAAAAAAAAAAAAATCACGCTTAAAGCTTCAATTGAGAGACCGGCGGCTTCCGGGCAACCACCACAAACCGAGGAATACACAAAGCAGCGCCTCGCTGCCCCTCCGCAGCCGACTCATGCACAAAGCGATAGAAGCGGTTCGCGCCGTCTTTCTCCCCAACAGAAACCAATCGGTCGCCAAACTCCTCCATCGTACACAGATGCTGGTCGCCAAACGGCCGGATCAGATCATCCTCGTCATCGTTCAGCTCCATCTTCGCATCAGCGAACCCGATCTCCCCTAGCAGCGCCGGCAGATCCAGCATCCAGTCGTGGCGACCTTCCGCCCAGCACGCCAGACGCAGCTGATCTAGCGCGGGCGTCTCCATGTTCGGGTCAATCTTCTTGACGCGCGTCCGCACCGAGTCCATGTCGTCCCACTGCAGGTAGCCACCGGGCTTGAGCAGACGGTAGAAGTTGGTCATGGCGCGCGTGCGATCCTCGTTGGTCAGGACCATGATGACCAGACGCACGTGCACAAAGTCGTACTTGCCGACCATCTCCTCGGGCACATCGTCGAACAGACTCCAGTGCTGGAGTTTGATGTTCTTGGGCATCCATGGGCTTGGCGGACACTGGGTAAGGTTGATGTCGAGCCCGTCCAGCTGCGCATTGGGGTACTTCTTGGCTACGTCGATGAGCCACATGCCCGTGCCAAAGGCGATATCCGCGATGGCCACCTGGGCGTCGCTGGCCTTGGGGAGCGAGATGGAGGGGTGGACGATGTAGCCCAGGGCCTCGCGCCAGAGGTAGTGCTGGAGGTTGAGGCGCGAGGCAGCGCGGAAGTGGCTGTCCAGCATGTAGCCATGGCCGTTGGCCAGGTTGAAGTCGGCGTCGGGTTTGGGAGCCATTGTGAGAAGATGTGTAGGGAGTTTGATGTGGTTGGAAGTGGGGATGTCAGGATCATGGCCATGCTTAAATACCACCACGGGTGGAGCACCACCACCTACGGGACGGAGATGCGGTAGGAGAGGGATAAGCCGTCCGAACCAGACCCAATCCGTCCAAAGTACGAGCTGGCTACGATGCCGACCCGGCGCTGATTCGCGGTGCATGGTCGGGTGTGGCCCATGGACCCCATTCCCACCACGACGATCCTTGGGTTTCTCGGGGCGACAGCACGCTAGTCCATCTCTAGGCGTGCAGCTAGGCTAGGGCAAACGGTTCACGTTCCGCAGGACGCTGTCCTCCCACCGGGCCTGGCTTGACAGGTCCTATCTGGTCAACCATTGGTGGGCGGACACAGGTGTGGGAAGCTCCAGATAACCCCTCCTTCTACTTTTTTCAAACCGTCAAACGCCAGCATGTCGATCAGCACCGAAGGGAAAAATAACACCGCGCAACGGGTCCCTCCCCACTTGCCAGAGACTTCCGTCCCCCAATCACGATCCCGTGTCGTCTGCATCTTGCCCCGGATCCGTACCATTGACACCCCTCCTCCCTTCTCCTCCTGTCATCCGCTACTGGAGCTAATGGCATGGCGTCCATGCTCGGAGACTGCATCGAGGTCCTGTGCCGCAAGCCTCGGTCCTGTCGGGGGGAAATCCGGTTTGTGAATGGGGCCAATCTCGGTTAGGGTTAGGCTAACCGTGTACGAACCCCTATACTCTGTAGATGACCGATAGCCACGGAGGTAGGAGCGGAGATATTTCCTCGACCACCATGTGAACAGTAGAATGCAACTGTGGATAGGTAGCACGTTTTCCACAGCCCAACGCTGTGGTGAATGGGACGTCCTGCCCATGGTGGGGTTCTCGTGACAGCCGGTGTCAGGGGGGGCTGTCAGAGAATATGCAGACCCCGGTCAACGTGGTCTGATCTGACCCTCCTGTCTCTGATTGTCCCCTGGGATTTCCGAGGACCAATGGGACATGGTGTTTCCATCTCCATGCGAGACATCGTCGCATCCAGAAATAATAATGCAGGGTCGATAATGCAGGGGTTCATCCTAAGCGCTTAGTCATGTATACACTCCAGATATGGCCTAGCGCCGTGGCGTGCCAGTCGATCGCTGCATGCTTACCTAATCCCAGCAGTCTCTGCTTTTTTTTTTTATCGATTTTTCTTCATTTTGTCGTCGATCAACACGATAGACTGAGGAAGAACATGACCGGCGTCCCTACATGAGCTGCACATCCTTTAACACCCCCCCTACCACCTAAACCCCCCGGAACTACCTTGATGAGTTCCTCCCCCGACAATGGCACCCCGCCATACGCCAGCATGGCCGGCAAGCTGGATCCCCAGCTGCTGAAAGCCATTGATGCGATGGGCTTCACGTCCATGACGCCGGTACAGCACCGCGTCCTGACTGAGCTCCCCACCTGGCGCAGCGACTGTCTCGTCCAGGCCAAGACCGGCACGGGCAAGACCCTGGCCTTCCTGCTCCCCGCGCTCCACAGCCTGCTGCACGGCCACGCGCCGCCCCCAGGCCAAGTCGGCATCCTCATCGTGACGCCGACGCGCGAGCTCGCCCAGCAGATCGCCGTGTCGTGCGACCAGCTCACCGCGATGCTCGCCCGCCGCCTGGAGTGCCACATCGCCGTCGGCGGCACCGCGCGCGCATCGGCCCTCTCGCGCTTCCTCAAGGGCTCGCCCTCCATCCTCGTCGCCACCCCCGGCCGTCTGAAGGACTACCTTTCCGAGGCAGCGCCCGCGCGCAAACTCGCCCACATCCAAACCCTCGTCCTCGACGAGGCCGACACCATGCTCGACAGCGGCTTCCTCGCCGACATCCGCGCCATCCTGCAGCTCATCCCCTCCAAGGCCACAGCCAAATGGCAAGGCATGTGCTTCTCGGCGACGGTGCCCCCGCGCGTCCGCGACGTCGTCAACGTCGTCCTCAACCCGGGCTACCACACCCTGTGCACAATCTCCAAGGACGAAGCGCCCACCCACGAGCGCGTCCCGCAATACCACATGCCAATCGACAGCGTCGCCTCGACCTTCACCACCCTCGCCGCCCTCCTCGAGCGCGAAGCCCGCACAAACGCCAAGATCATCGTCTTCGGCGTAACCGCCAACATCGTGGCTCTCATGGCCCGCGCCTTCTCCCAAGGCCTCACCACCCTCCCCGTCTTCGAGATCCACTCGCGCCTCAACCAGAGCGCGCGCACGCGCACAACCACCCAATTCAAGGACGCCCGCGCCGGCGTGCTCTTCGCATCCGACGTCATCGGCCGCGGCATGGACTTCCCGAACGTCGACCTCGTCATCCAAGTCGGCATCCCGGCCTCGGGCGAGCAATACGTGCACCGCGTGGGTCGCACAGCCCGCGCCGGCTCCGACGGCCGCGCCATCGTGCTCCTCACCGAGCCGGAATCCTTCTTCCTGCGCAACAACCGCCACCTGCCCATCAAGCCCTATCCTGAGGCAGACGCCGTGCACGCCACCGCGGCTACCCCCCAGGTCGCAAACGGTGTCGCGTCCGCCATGCACCGCGTCGACGAGTCGACCAAGCAGCGCGCGTACTCCTCCTACGTGGGCTTCCTGGCTGGCTCGGGTTTCCTCAAGCCACTGCGGCTGGATAAGCCCGGTCTGGTGCAGGTTGCGAACGAGCTCGCTGTGAAGGGTATGGCGTGTCCCGAGCCGCCTGTCATGGACAGGAAGGTTGTTGGCAAGATGGGCATGAAGGGCGTTCCTGGGTTCAACTACGGGAGTGGTGCGCGCGACTTGGACGGCGATGCTCCGGCTCCGCGGTCTGGTCGTGGCGGTGCGAGAAACAAGACGCGCGATGCGTTGAGCCCTGGTGCGGGGAGAGATGCGCGTGGTGGGATTGAGAAGTCTGGTGGTGGTCGTGGGCGTGGTGGTGGTCGGGGGAGAGGAGGCCGTGGCAGAGGACGTGGCGCGCCTCGCAGGGGGGCTTGAGTTATTGATAGCGCTTGAGTTGTGTTGTTTCTTATGACCCCTTAAACTTTCACGTTAGATAGATAGATATTAGACTGCGCCCTAGATAGATTTATACCCTGTCATACGATGTCGTCGCTCAAGAACCAGATTAGAAATTGAATAATGAATAGACTGCATTAGCAACGCTATACCCATCCTGATGTACACTTTAACTCCCAATGCCTCAAAAAATTGAAGTGTGCCACGACTAGTTGATCTTCACCTGAAACAAATACCGCTGTCGAATCTGCGCCACGTCATACACAATATACTCATTATAGTACAGCCCGCTGGGCCCCTGCCTAGCTGCAGTCGCGACCGACGAGTCAGGCATCTGCACCCCCCGCAAGCTCTCATGGACACGACCGGCGTCCGTCCACGCGCCGGGGATCGAGCTGCCGCGGCCGAGGGTAGCGTACTTGCCGGCCTTCTTGGCGTCGGAGCCGGCGTCGAAGTTGGCCCTGTCCAGCTCCAGCATGGGGTTGCCGAGCTCGACGTCGCACAGGAGCAGCAGGCCCGTGCCGCCGCTGTTGCAGGAGCAGGTGTACCCGGCGGACTTGCTCGACATGTCGGCGAAGTAGACGCCCTTGCCGAACATGTAGCCGCTGACGGGGGCTTCGGGGGGTGCGATCCGTAGGCCTTGGCTGAGGATGCCGCCGAAGTTGGTGCTGCGCGATCCGTGCCAGAGGAGGCTGCGGTTGCTGTTTTTGAGCTCGGCGTAGGGGGAGGATTCGAATCGCTCGTTTTCGCCTTGGCGTTCGATGCGAAAGATGTTGATGACCTAGTGTGGTTAGTTAAGATTTGCCGGATTGGAAAAATGTGTTAGATTGAAAAGTACCTTGTATCCCATGCGGTGCGTCGAGCCGCGCGATTGTTGGAGATAGTTGTGCAGCTCTTGGAATTCGGTGGTCTTGTGGTCCACTGTTAATGTTAGTACGGTCGGTTGCACCAGGGGTCGAGCCAACTTACACGCTGTCATCTCTTCCATGCCCAGGCTTTGGAACTGCCGGTCCAGCTCGTGGATGTTATCCTCCTGCTTGGACTCCATGATGGTATTCGCGACCTCCATCTCGGTCAGGGCCTCGAGCAACTCGATCTCTCTTTTTATTTGCGCGTCGGTGTTCAGCACGGGCGGTCGGTTGCGGCCGAAGACGTGCGGGATGGTAGTGAAGTACTGATCGCTGAGGTCTGCCATCGCCGTCGCACACGAACTGTTGTACTTTTGCGGCGCCAGCGCAGGGTTGCCGGCGAGCTCCGACAGGTCCTTCAATATTTGGAACCCGTTGCGGAGGGTGCGTTTGCTCAGCTTGCCCAGGGGGAGCTTTAGCGCATCGTACGACATGGACGCCATGACGGACAGGAAATGCTTCTTGTTGAAGATGAACGACATGAGGTCCTGGACGGGCGCGGTCAAGGTGCTTTGTACGGGCGGACGCTTTTCCTCCTCCTTCTTCTTCTTCTTCTTCCCCCCTGCCTCGTCATCTTCGTCGTCCGAGTCCTCTTCGTAGTTGCGCTCGATAAAAGTGTACTTTCCCTTCTTCGGGGGGTCCAGCCGCTTCTCCCATGACAGGCCCGACTTGGCTTTGAACTTCTTCTCGAATTCCCTCTTCGCCGTCTCCAGAGTGTTATCGCCTAGCAATGCGCTTTGACCGACTTCGCCGACGCGGCCCCAGCGCGTCCATGTTGAAAAGGTCTGTCCCGCAGGGTCCACTAGCAGCTGAAGGCGGTAGAACTTGTTGTTGTTGGCGGCTGCCACGGTCTGATTCAGCGCGGCATCCCAGATCAACCCCTCGTCGTCAATGTACACCGAGCGGTCTAGGCGCGAGATGCATTGTCAGCAACGTCCGGTGGCGGTGTTTCGTGTCAGTCAGGGGTAGTTACTGGTTAGAAAGCACGCCTCGTCCACGGAGATCTTCAACTTCTTGGAGCCGACTGTCTGAGCGTCCTTGGCTCGCTTGCAGGCGCCATCCTCATCACCGTCTGCGCCTTCATCCTCGTGAAGGACCTCTTCGAGCGTGCGCTTCTTCTTTGGGCTTTCCTTCGTCCCGTTCGCCTTGTTTTTCCCGTCGACCTTGTCCTTGCTGATCCCCAACACGTAGTCGTCCACGGCCAAAGGCTTGCCCTCCTTTTGAGACTCGATCAGCCAGTCGATGGCAACAATCTCACAATTGTAGACCTTGATCGCTTTGATGTCTAGGGCCGTCAGTATGCTTGCTTCCGGGGCGAGAGCTGAACACTGATGGGCCACCCACACTTGGAGTTCTTCCGGTCGACCTCTCTCTGGTTGGTGATGAAATGGGTACAGTCATCCTCGACCCCGTGGAAGTATGATCCGCCCAGATCCTCGATAATTTTCGAAATCTTCGCTGTCTCAGGTTAGCTCAGCCTGTGGGTCTTTGCTGTGTATCGTATCAACCTTGGGTATATCCGGGGAAAGACCCGCTCGCGGTGACGCGGATGTCTTTGAAGCTGGACGACATCATGTCGGTGGGATTGTAACAAAGCAAAGGCCTATTTGGAGCAAATTGAGTCTGTGCGAGCAGAGAGAAGCCGCCGGAGAAGACGACATGGTGTTCGTATAAATACTCGTGACTGCCGCTTGTTGAGTTCGTGCCTGGGCCTGAGCGATTAGGCCCCCCATGTCGGTGCCTGCCTGCTCGCCGCGCCGTGATTGGCCCGTCACATCCCCGAGTCAGGCACCAGACCACGTGACATGTGCTGCCTAGAATGCTGAAAGAGGACTAGCGTGTTATCTCCTCTCCATGGTCTGATAGATCTTTAGGATGAGAAGGTCTGCAATCGTTGGCTATGGTCGAAAGGATTGATCGTGCCATGGATAAAGGGAAGGTGAAACGGCCCGTTCCGAGAGCAAGGGGGCCTATCTGGGACGGGACGGCATCTGTCTGGGCTTGGGTATTCGAGGGCATCAACCCTTGATCACAGCATGCGTCTTACGCTATTCTGGACGGATGAAGAACTGTCTCGGGGACATTGATAAAAACGAACACAATGTTCAGGTACGTTCGTCGACACCGGAGTGAAGGCAGGTGGTATCCTCACCGAAGCGGACGAGCGATGGTCTGGCGCTGTCGACCTACAATTGCATCATCTTCAGATTAACGGCATTAGGTAGCTTCAGATAACGATAATTGGAGCTTAGCCAGTTCAGGGACCATGTCAACACTTTGTACTTCGTTGACACCCACCCACATCTAGACAACGTTTCTGACCGGCGGGAAAATACACATGACCAGGTGTCCTTCACCGTGAAGAGTGAAATCTTATTGGCATCCAACATGAACCAGGAGCGGTTCAAAACTTCCCTGCTGAACATCCCCTAACGAAAGGTTGGCTTTATCTCCTAGTCATGCCCGAGATGGTGGACCCAATCCCCGCGAAACCGCCATTACTGAGTACACACTGCGAAGTGGTCATCTATGGAACGGGACATGCATACTGATCAACAATCAGCTCCTTGCATGCTGATATGGGATTTGAATCTGTCACGGGTATGTTGATCGCGGGGGTGAACAACGCATGTAAATTGGCTCACGCGACTAAACACGACGTGACTCCACATTCCCTGAAGGATGCGAACAGGGGTATGAAACACATGGGAGCCCTCGTTAGAGAGCATGGCAAATGATTGGACATGCCGGACCGGAGAGTCGTGCGCTGTTAAGTCCACCAGGACGGAGATTAGGCCAAAAAGATATCTAATTGGCACGTACATGGATCCTGTCAGGGGGTACTGCATCCATAGCGCTGTTGGACCATATTAACCTTGTTATCTGTTCCTGGCCAAATTCCTACACCAGCGGGCTGCGACACCAGAAGGAGAGCCCCGGACCGGTCGTGGGGGCTAAGCCGTGGATAACAATCGTGGCTTGTTACGGCAGCCGAGCCAAACATAAACCAAGCATGAAATTAATCCTCCAAATCATGAATGGAATCCATCTTTCTGCTGACATGATTGAGCCACATAATAGGGTACTCTGGAGCTTGCCCCTGTCACAGCCTATCAACAAGGCTGCGGGTAATGGTTTTTCTAGAAGGATTGCTAGTCCCTACAGGAATGGAGGCTTAGCTAGCGGGCGCCTCCTGTCGGTATACTTCTCGATCCGACAACCGACCTCGCGCATTCCTTACTTCGTCCACACCTTATCTAATTATAGTGCTCTGACTGTGGTTCGAAACTCTAGCAAACACGGATTGTAAATATTTCCGACAGGCAGCTGGCCACTCAAGTCCTTGAAGCCCTACCCTGCCATTCACTAATGCTGCTTGCCAAGATGGAGCGGATTCTTGTCGATCACGATCCATATTTCCGCCAAGGCGTCCTGTTTACAGCCTCCCGGCGGGGCGACTATCATTCACCAAATGGGGTTTCTATCCTGCAGAGTCCGCTGCCATTCCTTTCTTCGCAAGGCTAGGATGTCGATCGTATACGAATTGGAATGAGTAGGAAGGCTGCAGTGGGGTCTTATCCTTTGATAAACCGTGCAAAATCCGAGGTAGTAAATACTATATATGACCCGTCTGTCACCTCTCGCGACGAAATTATCCCTCGTCCATCACTCACCCCAACACCGGTAGCTCAACACACGAAAAGACAGGAGAATATCTATATCCATCCACTATGAAACCCAGCGCCTTCCTCCTCGTGGCAACAGCCCTAGCGCACGCCGAAGCACGCTTCGCCCCCGGAAGCACCACCGACACAATCACCATCCCGGAACCCGATACCCTAGATGACAGCATAGTGGTCACCACACCAGAAAACGCCCCCAACGCAATCGACCCCAACAGAGGCGACACCAAGAAACCCCCCTTTTATCTGCTTGTCGGCGACTCCACTGTCGCCTCCAACACCGGCTGGGGCGACGGCCTGCTCGAGCTGACGTCTCACCCCGACAACGGCATCAACTGGGGCAAGGGCGGCGCGACGACCGTCTCCTACCGTGAGGAGGGTCTGTGGGACCAGGTGATCTCTAACACGACCGAGTTCAAGCTTGACCACGAGCCCATCGTAACCATCCAGTTTGGTCACAATGACCATAAGGTTGATTCGGGTATCTCGCTGCATGGGTTCGAGGAGAATCTGAAGAAGATGGCGCTGGATGTTAAGAAGGCTGGGGGGACGCCGGTACATCTTCCTCTTTCATTCTTCTCTCTTTCAGCCTTCTACTCCACTTGACCCAACACTAGATCAATAACGCTAATCAAACATATATAGATCCTCATAACCCCCCTCGCAGTCCGCTCCTTCGAAAAAGACATCCTAGTCGACAGCCTCGCCCAGCAGCGCGAGAAAGCCATCGCAGCCGCCAAGGCCGCCGGCGTGGATTTCATCGACCTGAACACCGCCAGCAGGAAGTACGTCCAGAAGATCGGCAAGGAAGGATCCGCCAGCTACGACCTCGAATCGGGTGATAAAGTCCATCTGAACCCCACCGGGCGGGCGGTGTTTGCCCGTATGGTGGCCGACTTGTTGGTCAAGGCGCGGCCTGACCTGGAGAAGTCATTGAAGCCGAAGGATAAGGTTAGTGAGAAGATTGCTGCGGGGGAGGTTGCTACTGTTGATCAGGAGAATTAGCAGTAGGATGGGGGGTTTGCTTATCTGGATTGAGTTCAATGGAATTTGATGGCGATTGATGGATTCGTTGGGATATAGAATTTGATGCGTTATATTGTTCTATGTATATTTGTGAGAGACTAGTATTATTTATGATCTGATAATATGCGATGATAAACGAGAAAATGCTCATAGCACGCTATTTCCCCCCTCCCCCACCCCCTCAAGCAGCCATGCCAGATTGTACGAAACCCAAATCCAGAATTATTGTTTGGTGAACCTCTGCCGCAAGCGCTTCCCGTAAATATAAAACACAAACGGAATCAGCACCATGGCCAGAGAAATAAACGCCAGCAGCCACGAGGCCCACTGCAGCCCCAGCTTCTTATACATCTGAGTAGTAAAGAGCGGGAAAGCGGCGCCGCCACCCGAGCGGAGAAAGACCTTGGCCGCGAGAGCAGACGCCGCGTATTTGTGGTAAGCGTCGATGATGTAGTTATTAACGCCGTAATAACAAAGCACCATGCCGAAGCCGAAGGCGATACCGGAGGAGGAAGGTCCCACCCAAATGATATGCTTGAAGGAGGTGGCGCCGAGGATGAACAGGGCGATGGGAATGAAAGGGGCGCCGACAAGGGCGCCGATAAGGCGATCTTCGGGGGTGGGGTCGCGGCGAGCGCAGATGGTGCGGAATTGGCGCTCGATGAGCGGGGTGACGAGGAGGGCGAAGGCTGCGCCGATGAGAATGGGGATGAACATTAGTCCGATGAGGCCGTCGTTGTAGTTGTGGAGCTCGCCGAAGATGACGGGGTAGGCGAAGAAGAAGGCGTAGAGGAGGGCGTAAATGAGCATGATGTACATGCACATGAGGTCGAGGACGGGCTCCGTGAGGATCATGGTGATGGGGCGGATGAGGCTGGTGCGGACGATGTCGCGGAAGGTGAGTTTCTGGGTTTCTTGCTCCGTAATGATGTTCGGGTCGCCGGTTTCTTTGCGCATGCGTGCTGCGCGCCGTTTGAGGATGACGGGGGCGTAGGTCTCCGGGATGGCGCCTACGAGGATGAGGACCACGCCCGCGAAGGCCATGTTGACCCAGAAGAAGAGGTCGAGACGGCCTGAGCCAATGTTGATCCAGCCGCAGACGATGGGGCCGACGACAGGCCCGCAGTAAGGGGCGGCGGCGAAGTACGCGATGGCCATACCGCGGTCTTGGATGCTCCAGACGTCGGCGATGGTGCCGCCGGCGAGGGAGAGGCCGGAGCTGGAGAAGACGCCGCAGAGGAAGCGGCAGACTAGGAGACCACCTATGTTGGGCGCGAGCGCGCAGGGGATGTTGAAGATGACGTACAGGCCGAGCGAGATGATATAGACGGGTTGGCGGCCGATGATTTCAGAGAGAGGGGACCAGAGTAGCGGTCCCACGGCGAAGCCGCAGACCATAATGGAGCAAGTCAGGATGGCCACTTCTTCAGACACGCCGTATTTGTCCTCAATGAGACCAAGGCCGCCGGTGACGATAGAAGAGCCGTATGCGACGCAGACCACCAGGCCCGATGCTACCATCGTTACGTACCATCGGTACAATCTCGACCAGTTGAGCGGGTTTCCGGGGTCGTTGGTGGTGAAGGTGACAAACTCGGCATCCTCCGGGATCTTTTCTATATCAGACGGACGGCGCGTGGGCACGCGGCTGCGGATCTCCGTGAGCGTGCGTTCCGGCACAAGGCCTGTGTCGGTCTCGAGAGTATATTCCTCGGGGAAGATAGGATAGTCATCGCGACCAGCTTCGGGGTAGTTGAAGTCTAAAGGAGGAGGGGTTGCGGGCACGCCTTTTTCGCTGAGAGTTGCTCGAGTTTCGGTGCGATGTAAACGCAGGACACGGGAGTCCACAGAACCCCGGCGGTCCTCCATGGGGTTCGACATGTTTACTGTAGGATAGGATATTTCAATTGTTGACAAGAGTTTTTTACGCGGACGCAAGGCTTCTTAAAGAGGGACCGAACTCTTAACGTCATTGTTAACTCTATATCAATGCCGAGATATGCCGGGTTTTCGCCGCAGCCCCATGCTTGATTTAACTTGTATCTCCCTGTACATGCTGGAATGGAGTCCAGAGCCATCCATTCACCCCTACCGAAATGCCTCATCAGAACCGGTTTTCCGGGGCGTGATGGAAACTTCCTCCGTTGGGTCACCTTGTTGTCCCGCTTCGGCACATTCGGGATTGAATTCTCATTGAAATGGCATCGCCAGTGGATTGGAACAAGCGCAGCGATGGTCGAAATTCAAGAGCCCTGAGCATATGAACTCATCGTAGATAAATTTATTTATTCAGTCAATAACCCGGAACCAATGGCCAAAACGCTGGTCAAGGCAAAGATCAGGATAACACCGGAACCTCGTGGATAAGCCATCGCCATATGTCAATGATGTAATCGATGGGACAACATATTTCTATCCTTGGGCAACAATTGGGTTTGGCAGAACGATCTATCCACGGTCCTGATGTCACGGCCCGAGCGGCAGCTGGGTGAAACTCGGCAGGAACTCGGCGATAGCCTGTTCTTGAGATATTATGAAATCGGTCAATTGATGTTCGAATAGATGGAAGTCATGGAATCTAGACCGTGCGAGGAGAAAAGTTATGAATCTGTTGAATGTGTCATTAGTGTGGGTGAGTCATATAACATGGTTGATTGCCGGCCCGTCTTAGACTCAAAGCCCTAATTGTTCACACCCCCCCACCCAGCACTCCTTGGATAACCCCTCTGAACCGGGACTTCCTTTGTGTATATGTTTTCATGTTCGACTAGGTTGTCAAATGAAAGAAGTATACACTAATTAGTTCCAGCGATCCAGCACGACATAATACCATAGCCTACATCGCTACTACCTCGCTCCTACAATGGAATCGTACCAATGAAAAATGATGTGATATTGTCAAAGACCAGCTATCTAACTAGAAGACTGCCCAAACCCACAGGGACGTCTCGACTACCACGAAAAAACGAGCCCGAAGGCGGTCGAAAAACAACATCGGTAACAAAAGACCCATCAGTCAAAGCCAGCAATCAGAGCCAACCGACAACGGACCAAAAAGGATCGGCGGACTAATATCCAAGCATGAGATTCATATTCACACCGACAGGGCAACCATAGGTGGCATGGTCATCGTTGGGCTTGTGGTAGACGCCGGGGCAGTCATCAGAGTTGCATTCAACCATGGGACAGTTGCTCTCATCATCCGGGATGAGGGCGAATTTATGGCGGACGAACTCCGATCCAGGACGCAGGTTGATGGTCGACATGTCACGGAAGACTTTGTCGTTGGTGCGGGTGTACTCGAACTGCAGCACGTTGTTGATGTCGGGGGTACCGGCAGCGATTTTGATGGACACGCCGCCGTTGGGGTCGGGGCTGAAGCGGTAGGATTCCTTGTGGGCGCCCCACATAGGTTCGAGGGTGATCATTGGGCCCTGGTGGGTGTCCACGGACCAGAGGTAGACGGGGACGCGGAGGTGGTTTATGATGGTAACGGCGCCAGGGGCGGCTTCGACTTTGCTCACGTCGCCGGCCTTGATTTCGGCGTCGATGAGCTCGGCCATGGCAGAGTTATGGTCGGCAACAGGGGAGGCTAGGGCTAGAGAGAGGAAGGCCAGGAGGAAGATGATGAAGTCGTGGATGAACTTCATGTTGGAGGTTGGGTGGTTAAAGGTTTTGGTTTTAGCTTGGAGAAGGAGACGCTTGTTGGAGCAGAGGATGATTGTCAAAGAGATATGGGATGAGGAAGAAGAGGGTTAAGATGGGAGTTAAGAGAGCAAGTGGACAAGAGAGGGAAGATGGGGGATTTTATAGGCAAAGAAATGATTGAATTCATGGTTGTAGTTATACAGTGATCGTGGTTTATCACCGGTCGAGTCTGCTGAGATAAAGTGAATTATGGACATGTGTGGACTCACCTGGTGGGGCATGTCAAGACAGTGATATAGGATAGTAGGTATCCGTCGAGATGAGCTATGCTAATATCGAGTGACTGGGAGAACAACGACAGGCATCTGTCCGTTAACAACACTAATCTAGTGATCAGACTTCCATGACTGGGCACTGGCAGACAGGGACTGGGCTTCAGAATTAATATCACTCCAATAATGACAACAGTGTCATGATTGGACTCCAGTGGGAAACATTTCAATAAGTAACACAATTACAGTGAGTTGAAATCTAGTAAAGACATGGGATTAGACCCAGAGCGCTGGGGGTACCCACTCTATCTAGCTGGAAGCCTGATAGAGTCTAATCAGTACTCCAGTGATGTATCCTCTCAATATGATTTCAGAATTTTGTTAATGCATTCTGACATCTTTGATCTAGATAGTACTACAGTGTCACTTGAACTATCATAAGTGAACAGCAATCGAGATATATTTGTAATTGACATTCAGCCCACTTTGAAAGAAGTGGACCATATTAAGACAGAACTCGTAGCTACAGAAGGCTTCTAATCAGAACTTGCAGAACTAAATTGCTGGGAGACATCCCTATTCTACAAAAGAGGACTTTGCATAGGCATAGAGAGATAAAAGCGACAAAATAGGGTTGTGAGACTTCCGATCAATCATCATTATAAATACATCCTGTTCCTGACACCTTTATGCAATAACTCCAACAAACTTCAGAATACCATCAAGCCCACCAATATCACACATTCCCATCATCACAGAATGTACTAGGCCTCTTGCGCACGAATGTCGCCCGGACTGGATCTCCTTCATGACGAAATGGCTTCCACTCCCCAATACCATATTCTTCCGGTGCGCGCTTCACACCCCTCCCCCCACCACCGACAATAACATTCCCAGGCCGATAGGTAGGATCTCGTTCCATTCGCTGGATGACAGAGATATGGATCTGGGCATCATCTGGGATATCCCGCACCTCACCTCGTGGAAGCGGCCACGAAATCGGCTCCCACGAGCCATCTGGCCGGAGATCCATGCGCCGAAAGGGGAGAAACTCCATGAGTCGCCATATGAAGGTCGAGAACCTCGACAGGCCACCGCCGTAGGAGAGACTATCATGCACGATGCCCCGCGCCATTGTCTCATGGAGGACCTCGTGGAATCCGTGTCCGGGGCGTTTGCTCCGCTTGTGGTCGTCGACCGACTCCTGACAATCGAACCGTTTTAACTTGACGGGGTCAAACTCGACGCCTGCTGCCTGCGCCTCTTTCACCATCCACACGAGCGGAATATGGCTCAACGGCCACGGGTCGTTGGAATCGACCCCCCATCCCCCTCCAACATCAGCGTGTTCCCCAGCGAACCACACCTCCTGGATATCCTGCCTCTGGGGGAATGTTTGTTCAGGCGTCGGCATGCTCAGAGGCATGAAAATTTGGTCCGTCAGAGTCGACTGACAAGGGGTCTTGACAATAGACGAATCAGTCCAAAGCCGCAAGCTAGAACGAGTCGATGACCGCCCCCGCGACGCGCGATATGTCGTCTCGTCATCCTCCGACGAAGAATCACCCGACTTCTGCCCCCTATCCTCCTCCTCCTCCTCCTCATCATCATCATCATCATTCCCATTCAGCAACCTCTCGCACTCACCATTCAACGCCTCCTCCTCATGCCAAAGCCGCGACGAAAAAGTCCGCTCAAACCCCCGCGGTCGTCCTTGCGACACCAAGTCCTGCCGAAACTTCGCCCTCCGCTCATTGATAGCCACCGCATGGCGCACAACCTTCGCCTTGCTGCGCGAACTGTACGGGAACTGACTGCGGCCCATCCACGGGCCCTCAAACATCGGCACACTATTCACCGTGTCGAACAGCCCCATAAACCTCACCGGCTCAACCGGCCAGCTGAACGTCTCCCGAAACGCCTTCATGTACTCGAACAGCCTGCGCGTCTCCTCATCATCATCGCTCCTCCGCCGCAACTGCCAGCGCGAGAACTTTCTCCACGCAAACGCAATCAGCTCCTCGTTCCCCGGCTGCAGCAGCCCAATGTGGTCGAGCATCTCGGATAGGAACCGCGCCGTGTACGCTCCGCGACTAAAGCCGAACATGTGGATCTCGTCACCGGGTGTGTAGTGGTGCATTAGGAAGCGGTATCCGCCCAGGACATGCTTGTCGAAGGACGACCCGAGCGCGGCGTCTGCCGCTTTGCGACAGGAGGCTTTGAAGCGCTGGAAGAGGTTGGGATCGCTGTCGAGGTTGTCGGCGTTGACGTAGGTGCCGATGCCGGGCTGGTAGTAGTGGTATTGGTGGCTTTTGGTGCGGTCGAGCATCTAAACAGTTAGTATTTTCCCTCCCCCATTATACTTGTGGAAAGGGACAAAAAAGAGACACAGATAACTTACACGATAGATCTTTAGCAAATTGGTATCAGACTCATCCCCCGCGAACTTATTCCCCGTGCCATCGAAGCACAGGATAAACCGATGCCTCGGCGGCAGAGGGCCAAACGGATCCATATTCATCGCTTGAGGTTATATCTCCAGGTTACACCCAAAAGCAGGAACATAAACGTAGTAAGCATAGACCCATCGTTCACGAAAGCTGGATCCCACCATCTATATAGCCTCCCCGCGCGGCGTGGCTTAGACTATATGCAAGTGACAGAAAAATACGAAGGGGGCATGTTGCGGCTGGACCTGGGGATTTTCTTTCCCCCTTATTGGACACGGTGGTGGTTTTGCGGGCGCAGCCTTGTGAAGGGCCTTAAGGCTGACGATCTGACTAGTCGTCCCTGATGCAGGGGCTGGTTGGACGGCGGTTAGTCTGGGCGAGCGAATGTGGTTCTGCGCCTTGTGGGCGGGCGCCTGGTGTGGGGGGGGTTTTGGACCTGTCAGGTAGTGGGATTTATCTCGTATGCCGGTTGATTGTTCGGTGAGGATGTGGACTATTGGCTTGGCTGCTGGTGGGGGGGATAGGTTTAGTCTCGGTTGCAACGTTGATGCTAGTCAGACGAATGTGAATCATGCATGAGTTTGTCTTGGGTCGCGTCAATGGGCTTTTTGTCTGATTTTATGGCTCGGGGTCATGATGTTAGGCAACCCATGTTTTAGATGGTGGTTGAATGTGTTGTTTACTATTTGTTACTGTCTTCGCTATGCCACCTGAAATACAACATGAGGCGGGTAAGGGAGTAAACAATCAAGAACTGGATACAAACAATCATCAACTAATTTCGTGCTTGGCCCGTAGTATTCGAGTCTAAATTTAATGATTTCCGATCTATACCCCAGAGTATGAATTTTCCGATCTGAGTGTAAGCTCTGAGCCACGTTGCTAATTAATTCCCGGGCCCCGTGACGCAATACATATATTTAGTAGTTTCTGAGCTGAGGCCAAGACATGTATTAGATTTTGTCATCGGTATGTATGTCGCTAAAATGTCTGGTGTATACAGTTCTAGGAGTGTTGTCCATGATTGGTAGTTAAATCTATTATAAGATATTCTTGCCGAAACTGTCCTCCAGCAATGGTACATGCTACCATTGAAAAAACGAGGGGGCGGAAGGAAGATAGATCGACCATAGCCTACCCCTAATATGAAGCCTAGCCTGTAGGTATTCCAACCTGCTTTTGCGAATCATGTCGGACTACATATTAACATAAGACTGGTAGTCATTTTATGGCACAGTAATAGTATGCACAATTGGAGCAATAAGTATTGAAGTAAGCAAGAGCCAAGAGAAATGTGGACAACCTATCACCGTAGTTAATTTCAAGCTATTGATGCATTGCCGTGTTCAAGCATGGTCATACTGTGCTTTATTCATACATACAATGTTCAGATACTTAGCAATGGCATGCGAGTGACTTGACCTAAACTTTTCCCATAATTTGTAATCGGAGGTACGAATAGTAGTATGTAAAATCGTGTGGACACCTTTGCGGCCTGATTTTTCGGATTTTTATAAACAATAATTATACCGGTTTGTTTTGGCTGGACCATGCAACCGAAAGCGAAAATAGAAAAGCGAGAGAGTGAGAGAGAACGTTCAATTGTGATAATAGTTCTAATGTGATAAAAGTAGACAGTCAAAACAAGGAAGTATTCTGAGATAAACATGACTATCAGAGCTATACATGTAAGAACCATCCTGACTATCAGCACTACATCCTTCCTCACCGATCACAATCAAACAAAACTCTACTCACCATCATATAGTCAACACAGACCGTAAGATGATCATCACCAGCAGGTAAACCATTCTCAACCTACGCAACAGGAAAAAACTATAAGTACCCGTCTGATTCCAACAATCTTCTCCTATAACCATCCCAAGAAACACCCCATACACACACACTCAAACCAAAAAGATCCACCATCATGAAGACCACTCTCCTAACAGCCTTCCTCTCCACCTTCCTGCTCGTCTCCGCCAAACACCGCTGCGAAAAGTACACCTACACGAACGAGGTGTCCGACGGCTCCCCCAAAACATCCGACTGCAAGACCCTCGCAGACAACATCTCCGGTAGCGGAGACTGGACCAGCTCGGGGGCCTCGCAGCGCGAATTGGCCAAGAATGGAGGCTGCGCGTTCGGCACTGAAGAGGCGGACGGCGAGGGTTCCGCGCTCTACTACGTGGGCAACGAGGACATCATCGATGTGATTAATGAGATGATCAAGAGGTTTGATCCTGAGGGGAACGGCAGACTGGGGGGGTCGGGTGAGTTCCATTGCGATGTGCCTGCGGCGAATGGCGGTAAGGCTGCGAAGATTAAGTGGGGGATTTATTAGGGGGGGGGGAGCCATCTAGCGGTGATCGTTAGTGAAATATGCTGGTTGTTGTCTGTTTTGTACGTGTTTTATTTGGGAGTTGACTGGCAGAGATAGGGCATGTGAGTTATCACTGTCTGTCTGCTGATAAGGGTGTGGAGACAGATGTAGTGGAAGCATGCTCGCAATGATGGATTTCTATGATTTTGCTCTTTGCTTACTATTATCAAACATGGGTGCAGCAATGCGCTATTATGGGCAACTTACTAGGAAACAGTCAAACTATAGTTCCAGACCAAATTGCAGATCAGTTACATGTTATATTGATGGGATTCATCACTGTGTATTAACATAGAGATTATGTTGTTAACTTGGTCAGACATCGGGCAAGTCCATAAATAGTGCTTACCAGCCCCCAACCTAGATCTTAGTGATTACTCTACCGCTTCACTCCATGTAAGATATTATAAATCCTGCTGAACATCTGATCTGGCGAAGTGAACAGTGCGGTGGCGTAGCATATATTTTTATATATTATCGGTGACTTTGTCTGTCAAGTCTTCTATTTCCCTGAAAACAAGACTATTGTTATATAAATACCGTGAAGATCATGCGCATACTAGGATAACCCCGGAACCATCTGCAGACAGATTACCCAGCATGATATCACTCCATGTTAGTGAGTACTTCACCAATTCATTGATCTATACAAGCCACTGGAAACTACATCGCATGTGTTCGTGGGGTGCTTCTAGATCAAGTACAGTACTACATTTGCAAATCTCCACAGGCGTAGTGTCCGGTGGGTGGGCTCGTTGAACATCTATTCTGTGATGAACCGATGATTTTACTGAATCTGGGATGGGAACAATGGCTAAACTTGTGGTTAGTTCGGGTGTCGAGTATATGGCATGTCCAGGTGATGGAGGATTCCAAACCCCGCATAAGTTTGACTAAACGCGCCTATCCACTGATCGTGCCTTGGATATTAGGGATCGCCGACTTGTATGTCTATTTGCAGTGCCCCACATGGGGCCAAAATAGAAGAGATCTAAATGCAGTGTTTTTTGATAAAGCGTGACTATCACAGCTAGGGAATTTCGTGATATGTTAAGTGGACCGACGAAGACATATCACACTGACTGATACAGAACAGGAAACTCAAAGAAACTTACCATGTCAAGCCTCTCGTTCGCGCGAGTACGGTTCTGGAGACGGAATATTCCGGAGCATGGGGGTGGCTTGATTTTTCGAAGAATCCCTCCCTCATTGGGTGGACCGTATATTTCCTATATACTCGCCGATTGATATCCCCGGTTGAAGGGCCGATGTATGTCCTAACAGGACTCACGCGTCGACCGCTTTCCAAAACAAGGGGTTGGACCCTGGGACAACCATCTCGAAGTAGTATCGAAAAGTCAATCCCACATGCACCAGAGTGGATGATTTCGCCCCGAGCAGCTGCTATGGGCAATTGGCACTACTTGATATAGTTATAGTTAAGTAGGGACATGACCTCACTGGGCCGTCCATATGCCAAGCCCGACCTCGGATGACCCGATCGGGTAATGATTCTTGCAACATCGCCGATTGACGCCCGAACGCTGAGTCAGCCGGATGGCAAATCGGGCAAATCATGCAAATCATGCAATTGTGCAGCAAGCTCAAGAAGCTTAAATGCTTTTTCTTTCCCTCCACATCGACTCGTTTTTGATCCCATCCCTGTTTGGTGTGTTTTCTACCTTGTTTTTTGTCTCTTAGAACAGGAGACTCATTCAGTTCCAATGTTTCGTCGTTCCGTCACCTCCACAGCTGCCCCCGCTGTGCGGTCGGCCCTCAAGGCCCAAAGGGGCTTTGCGTCGGCCTCGCCAGTGAGCACGGCCGCCCGAAACCACAAAGTCGTCGTGATCGGCGGGGGCACCGCTGGTCTCACGATCAGTCACCAGCTCCTCCGGTCGGGGAAGTTCGCCCAGGATGACATCGCGGTCGTCGACCCCGCCGAGTTCCACCACTACCAGCCCGGCTGGACGCTAGTCGGTGGCGGCCTCAAGACTAAGCAAGAGCTCCAGAGCCAACTGAAGGGCCTGCTCGACCCCAAGCTCAAGTTCTACAACACCAATGTGGGCAAGTTCGCCCCGGAGAAGAACGCCATCACGCTCGGCAACGGCGACACCCTCGGCTACGAGCAGCTCGTCGTCGTGCCCGGCATCACCATCAATTACGACGCCATCAAGGGTCTCCCCGAGGCCCTCGCCAACCCGGACGCCCCCGTGTCCTCCATCTTCGGCTACGAGACGGTTGACAAGGTCTGGGATAACATTAGCAAGATGAACAAGGGGGATGCGATCTTCACGCAACCCGCGGGTGTGATCAAGTGTGCCGGCGCGCCCCAGAAGATCATGTGGCTTGCGCTGGACCACTGGAAGAAGCAGGGCCTGTACAAGGCGCACTCTCCCGAGTCGCCTATCAAGATCAGCTTCGCCACGGGGACGCCGGCCATGTTCGCGGTGCCCAAGTACAGCGCGACGCTGGAGGCCCTGCGCAAGGAGCGTGGTGTTGAGGGTCTGTTCCAGCACGACCTGGTCTCCATCGACGGTAACAACGCGACTTTCGCGCGCGCCGAGACCAAGGATCAGGTTACGAAGCGCTTCGATCTGATGCACGTGGTGCCCAAGATGGGTCCCCACGGGTTCGTCAAGAACAGCCCGCTGGCCAACGAGGCCGGCTTCGTCGACGTCGACGACTTCACCACCCGTCACAAGAAGTTCGGTAACGTGTGGTCGGCCGGCGATGCGTCCAGTCTTCCCTGCTCCAAGACCGCTGCGGCCATCACCGCCGAGGCTCCCGTGCTGGTGGGCAACCTGATGCTCGCCATGGAGGGCAAGGCGCCCGACGCCGAGTACGACGGCTATGCGTCGTGCCCGCTGCTGACGGAGTACGGCAAGGTTCTGCTGGCAGAATTCAAGTACGGTGGACAGCCCAAGGAGACGTTCGGCAACCTGTTTGGTATCGACCAGGCGGTTCCACGTCGCGCCTTCTATCACCTGAAGAAGGACTTCTTCCCGTGGGTGTACTATAACTCGATGGTGAAGGGGACGTGGGGAGGCCCTAAGGGGTGGCTGTGAATGTATTATAATTAAATAGATAATATTCTTCTCTTCTTTTTTTTTCTTTTCTTACTTTCTCTCCTTCTGTCTTTCTTGGTTTTTCTTTGCATAAATGTTGGATGTAACTACCGAGGTCACCTGACCTGGAGAGAGCTATAGTGGGTCTGTGCCTAATCGCGATATCCACTCTGTCTCTCCACTCCATCCATACTAGATCTCATCAATACGATCCATCATCGTGACCCCTCACCCGTGGGACCTCCGTTTAACCTGCGGTCAAGGCCACCGATCCCGTCGTGGCGTCAAGACTATTCCCAAAGTAGCCGTCCCCGCACGCCTTCTACCCCCCTGTCGACGCAAGGACTAAGGTCATGGCGTGCTCGATGTCAGCATTTGCGTGCTGTCGGAACCAGTCATATCGCAGCAGTCGAGCCGTGTTGGCATCAGGTGGATGGACGGTTTGCAATGGGGCTTTTGTTTGAGCATGCCGTGCGCCCGCCAAGAGGAATGCTGTGCCGTGCTTGATTCCTCGAATTTAAACTATTTCTTGTCCAACTTCTGCGCGGGGCATAGGGATAGATAAGCTTGACGCGCTGTCGTGGGAATCACATCCCTTGAATCGGATGGGATAAACACTGGCCATGGGACTGAAAGGCACTCCGCTCGGGATCTTCCGAGCTTACTTCTTTGGATTCTTTGTCTGTACGGCTGGATTCTTGTTCGGATATGATACGGGCATCGTGGGTGCGTCTCTCCCCCCTCTATCCATCTCTCAAAACAAGTCTGCTAATACTTGGGTGTTGCAGGAGGCATCCTCACCTTCAAATCCTACCAAGATGACTTCGGATACGGCGACCAAACGACCGTCAACGCCGTCATGGTCAGCCTCCAAAACGTCGGCGCCTTCATCGCCGCGCTGGGCATCTTCCCCGTCTCGGAGCGCTACGGTCGCAAGATAACCGTCCAGGTCGCCATGACGCTCTTCTGCATCGGCGTGATCCTCCAGGTCGTGCCCTCGCACTCCCTTGTCTGCTTCTACATCGGTCGCGTGGTGTCGGGACTGGGCCTGGGCGCCGGCACCGCCGTCGTCCCCGCTTATAATGCCGAGATGGCGCCTAAGGAGATCCGCGGTATGCTGGGCTCCGGTATGCAGTGGCTGTTTGCGCTGGGCGTCATGGTGAGCTACTGGATTGACTATGGTGTTAAGGTCGGTCTGCCCGTGTCGTCGAAGCAGTGGCAGATCCCCGTCGGGCTGCAGCTGGTACCGGCTGCCGTGCTGGGGCTGGGACTGATCACCCAGCCGGAGAGTGTGCGGTGGCTGGTCAAGAAGGAGCGGTATGATGAAGCGTGGGCGAGTTTAACGTGGATGCGGGCGGACGATGGTACCACCCCTTCCCCCTTGGACAAACACAGTCCATGCTAACATAACCAGGCGACGCCGTCAAAGCCGAATTCAACGAAATCCGCGTCGGCCTCGCCGAAGAACTCCGCGCGACAGATGGCCTCCGCAAGCGCGAGCTCCTCGAGAAATCCAACATCTACCGGCTCGTCCTTGTCTTCGGGATCTTCCTCGGCCAGCAATGCACCGGCATGACAGCGCTCGCCTACTTCGGCCCCCAATTCTTCAAGCTCATCGTCGGCGACGACACGAACCAGTCCCTGCTGATCACAGGGCTCTTCGGCGCGGAGAAGTTCGTCATGGTCGGGATCTACATCCTCTTCTTCTCCGAGAAGTGGGGCCGCAAGCCTACCCTATGGATCTCAGCCCTGCTCATGGCAAGCTGCTTCATCATCGTCAACGTCGTCACAGAGACAACCCCCAAGCCGGAAGGCGAAACCACTTCCGCAGGGATCGGCACAGTCGCCATGATCTTCCTCACGAACTCAGTTTACCAGTTCTCATGGGGCCCTCTGCCGTGGCCGTACACAGCTGAGATCTTCCCGTCGCGAATCCGCGAGGTCGGAACGTCGGTGGCGGTGTCGACGCAGTGGCTGTTTAACTTTTTGTTTTCGCTGGTGACGCCGTATATGATTGCTTCGTGGGGCAGCTACACGTTTACCTTTTATGCGGTGTTGGATGTGATTATGGCGATTATGGTGTTTTTCTTTGCGAAGGAGACGAAGGGGAAGAGTTTGGAGGAGATGGAGACGCTATTTGAGAGTAGGGCTGCTTTTGATGTTGAGGCTGTTAGGAATAAGGCGTTGTCTGTTTATAGGGAGGGGGCTGTAGAGGGAGAGAGGGATGGGGAGGGAGAGGGAGAGGGGGTGGAAAGGGTGGATGTCAAGGCGAGTAAGGCCGTGCCGTGATGATCTCTGGTTTGTTGGGATTGATATTTTTGCATGATGCACATCAAGATCTCTAGTTATACCACCATGATGAAACTTTTAGGATAATATGAGTCCTTCCTCCTGTAGTATAGCAGCATAAGCTATTATATACTATTCCCAAACATGATCTTTCCCACGCCACTCTTGAAGAGATCAGCCGCACACACGGCCTCATCTTTCTTTGCTTCTTATTTGCGAATAGCCTTCCCTTTTCTATTGGCACGATATTGGCATATCATAGCGTGAGAAAGCTTGTCATATGAAACCCAGGCAGGCACCAATAAAGCTGGAGGCTGTTTTGATGTTGTCAGCTAGGGGCACGATTTCTAACCAGGGAAGAGGCTGTGTCAGGGCGTACCACTCTCTACAGACAATTGATCAACTATCGTTCTATCTCTGCACGTAATTATGGGAGAGACCCTGTCCTCTGGGGTTGGCTTCTTATCTAGTCACCATATCCACACTCATGCGAGGTTATCCTTCTTCTGACTTCTTGCTTGCTATTCATTTTGATTTAGATCTAGTGACAGTCTTTTGAAGATCGGGCGTGGTTCTTTTATCCAGAAGCACGGGTCCCCCGGGACTTGTATGGCCTCTCGATCCCTCCGTCCTCGTCGCTTTCACTCATCATCATGCGACGAATAGTATTCTGGTACAGCAAATATCCCGCGCTCGGAGACCAAGTTCTGTCCAGATCACTCTATCAAGCATCCCATGGAAGGGATAGCGCAAGCCATAAAGCAGAGCCACAGTACCCATAAATGCCAGTTGACACTTGCCCTCGCTATAGCATTTCATCCTGGCCAAATGGACTCAATTGCAGTTGAACGCCCTCCGCCCGTGTGGATGACAGGCTGGGCGATCGGGGTAATCCTTTGACACAGCCAAGGCGCTGGATATGTGTAAACAGCGGTGAGCTGATTTCAGTGGGAGTTGGGATAGGCATCATTGCAGCAGCCAGTACTCTACTGGTTAATAAATATCTCTATAAGTTAGAACTCTAAGAATATTTAAGATAATCAATTATAAGTATTTTTTCTATACCACGGTCAGGTATAAATAGAGAGTCTAAGCTGACTAGTTCCTAGCGGTCAGGTTAAGATGAGGGTCCTTAACCTGGCCTGACCTAGTCATTACCTACTCTAGATATAAAGATAGATGATTATAAGAATAAAAAGATATAAAGAAGAAGATATAGAGACATAAGTTCTAGGGGTTCAAATGCCTTATTTTTGGCCGCCCTAGGCTGGTACTTACAGGCACGATAATATCCCTATGACCCTCCTGCTGTGGTGCCCGGTCTGTTGACCCCCTGTCACCCGCTAGTTGGTTGGGCAGCACCAGTCAGCAGACACGCTACAAATCACATCGTCTATCTGACGGGCTACGACCGTCAGCAATAGAAGAGTCATCTCCTCCTGCATCAGTCTCTTAGACACACCTGAGGTATTCGCCCCAGTCTGTTTTAGCCAATGAATTCTCTGAGAGTTTGGTTGAACTTCTCAACTTTCTACAGCCCCGTCTAGATCTTCTGCGATTTCCAATACGATATGCCAATTGACAGCAAAGGATGTGGTATGCTGTGTGAAGCCTGCCAGGAAATCTTTCGCGGGCAGCAGATCCTGAGTACTTTTCGGACGACATCTGACGACCAGTCGTCCGATTGGAAGCCCCAGACCCATCACTCCTCTCTGCAGTCCTTTGTCAATGCCTCGGACTCGGGTTGTCCTGTCTGTTATGAGTTCCGGTCTTCAATAGGAGAAAACCGTTTAGAGATATTCTCAGGTTTTTCCACATCGGACGAGTTCTCGTATTGGACATTTGAACATCGAGAAGGTGGTGGATATAACCTTAGCCTTGATCTTCATGCGGACTACGACAACCTCATCGAAGAGTGCTTGCGCCTGCACCTCCAAGTCTTTCCACTTCAAAGTATGTTGATCGAGAAAATGTCTTCTGGGTTTGGTAGAGGTACTTATAACGCTTTTTAGTCTATGATGGACCAACGGAAAACAACTCCCTACTTGTAGGTGATAGCACCGCTTCAGATGCCGCATTTACTCAAGCATTCAAATGGTACAAAGATTGTCTTTCCATGCATACGGCGTGTAATTCCAGTAGCCATTACCTGCCTTCAAGACTTCTCAGTCTCTCTGAGACCGACGCAGAGACTATTAGATTGATTACTACGGAAACCGAAAGAAAGGTTATAGGGTGCTACGCAACACTCAGTCACTCTTGGGGCGATTCAAACATCCCCACTCTTCTGTCTTCAACGCTTGATTCGTTCAAGCAGAACATCTCCCTCGAGTTACTGCCAAGAACCTTTATAGAGGCAATTGCCGTCTGTCGCCGGTTTTCAATACCTTATCTGTGGATTGACTCCCTCTGCATCATCCAAGACTCTGTAGCCGATTGGCGCGCCGAAGCCGCGTCGATGGAAGGCGTCTACAGCAACAGCAGGCTCAATATCATGGCCACTGCTTCTCGAAACAGCCACGAGGGGCTCTTCCGATCACGCGACCCGAGACATCTCGCACTTTGCATCGTCGAGTCGGAATGGACCGATGCCGGGAATGATCGATTCATTATTGTGCAAGATGAGATGTGGCAAATGGAGATGACGGACGCGCCTCTCAACCAGCGAGGCTGGGTCCTCCAGGAACGCATCCTACCGCCGCGCGCCCTGCACTATGGCGAGCACCAGCTACTCTGGGAATGCCGAGAGCTAGACGCATGCGAGAAATATCCAACAGGCCTGCCAAAAGTCTTGCGTAATATCTTTACGGGAGTCAAGATCACCGATCCAGTGGCCTACCGAATTTACGAACACGGCTGGAAAACTAGAAATAGGGACAGTGTTGACCAAGAGAAACGCTTGGAGACGGCGATAGACTCTGCGTACGAGCTTTGGAGGCGCTGGATCTGCACGTACAGCAGCATGCGGTTCACTCGGTACTCGGACCGGCTCATCGCCTTCAGCGGGCTCGCCAGTCGCATGCGGGCCATCCTCCGAGACGAATATGTCGCAGGATTATGGCGGTCCAGGCTCATTGACGAGCTGCTATGGTTTACCTTCGGCCATGGCTCGATTGAGTACGAGCTCAAGCCTTACCGGCCGCCCGACGGCGGTGCACCTAGCTGGTCATGGGCGTCTCTCACCGGAGAAATCATCACTAGCAATGTCGATCAGTTTACCAGCAAGGTCTATCACCTTGATCTGAAATCGGTCAATGTGACGCCAGTTTTCGGGAGAGAGGACGATGCTAACAACAATAATACAGGCGCCATATTGGACGGCCAGATCCGGATAAAAGGATTTCTCAAGCGAGCAACCCTACTCAAAACAGTATATCACATGCCAGAAGAAGACTATGAGGCTCCTGCGACGATATATAGTGTTGAAATTGATGGGATGCAACCATGCAACCCATATGTCGACGAGCACATGGCAAATCGGGACTCAATGGGGATTGTCGTCCTGCCTGTGCTTACAAATTGGGAGGACTCGGATTCGGATCCGAAGAACAAAGAACTGCATGTATTGCTGCTTCGGAGGCCAGCCGAATTGCCTAGAGGGTTCTATGCGAGGGTAGGCTATGTGTCCGGGCCAGAAAAGAAGTTCTCTGGCAGCCAGTTGGGTGACTTTTTTTGCAACCACCAGACTGCTGTCTCAGCGCAAGGAAATGGAGGAGGCGGTACGGGGTTTCGAAATACGCTGCGAAAGCTGGTCAAGGCAAAAGAGCCGAGTAGATCAGGAGGCTCATGGCCAAAACTTGGGGACGAAAAGCTGTACCTTCCAGGTGCCTATGGGGAGTTCATCCTTGTTTAAAGATCGTCTGAAAGAAGAGCTCTGAATATTATCAATAATTTTATGATGCAGAATGTTCAACGAGTCACTTGTCAAAAACGTGCGCAAGCATGTTCCATTATCAACCTTTACCATCTACGCAACATGGTTTTAGCCTGGAACAAGGTTACGCTATCCGAAGATAATCGCACTTGTCACTCCCCGAAAATCGGAAGACAAGGAAAACCTTCTCAGGCATATGTGAGCAGGAAAAACCCAGACTACAAAGAAGGTGGATATGACGCCCAGCAGGATACGCTTTTTCATAGTAAATTGGTAAAGGCTGACAAAGATGGAACAAGTTAGGTTCTACCCAGAGAGAATCCGCACTAATCCACACCAAATGACACTCTGACACCAATCTTCCCTTGGGTCCCATACAACTGTTCCAACACAGCCATATATCGTGAATTATTTCGTTTATATAATGTTCAAAAGGAAGTTCCACGTGACCCAACCACTGCACGAAGTAAGGGTTACACTTACCTCGTATTTCCAGGTATAAAGCAGAAGAAACCTCCTCATCATATTCTCCCAGATTATCTCCAGTAGACCAACTATCTACACATCCCCACCATCAAGTCTATAGTCAACAAAATGCAAATCACCATCCTCCCCGCCTCCTCCAAAACCGCCCAAGCAACCATCCGCTCCCTCCTCTCCACCCCCACCAACACTAACCTCCACATCCGCGGCCTCTACCGCGATCCCACCCGCGCCCCACCCGAGTTCACCTCCCACCCTAACTTCCACGCCACCCACGGCGACATCCGCGATGCGAGCACCCTAGATTTGGCTGGCACAGACGCCCTCTTCGCCATGACGCCCCCGAATTATAGCGTGGATGATATCTTCCAGTGGGCGAGGGATGCGTCGGAGAATACGAAGGCTGCTATTGTGCGTAGTTCGGTGAAGAGGGTTGTGTTATTGTCGAGTGTGGGGGCGGAGTTTGAGGCTGGAACAGTTAGTTTATTCGTTATACATATACATACATTATTCCTTGGAAAGGGAAGAAGCAAGGCAAAGCTAATGATGACAGGGCGAAATCCGAACAAACCACATCGCGGAGCAAGTCCTACGCGATGCAGCACCGGAAGTGGTCATTGTACGCGCAGCGTATTTTATGGAGAATTGGGCGGGAGGAGTCAGTTCTGTTAAGGATCAAGAGAACCCGTATTTCGAGTCGGCTATTACGCCGGTTGAGTATGAAATACCAATGGTGTGTACTGACTTACCTTCTTATGCGCTGTTGAAGTTGCTTTTGTTTTCTTCCACGCGGTTCCTAGAGCAAAGGGTATATCTAACTCCGACAGGTCGCCGCCAAAGATATCGGAGAAGCATGCGCAACTCATCTCCTTGGCCCATCTCTCCCAGAGAGCCCGTATATCTTCGAACTGCACGGGCCAAAAACATACAGTGTCCTCGATGTGCAGCGTGCGTTTCAAGACGCCACTGGCAAAGATGTAGCCGTCAGGCCTGTGGAGAAGCAAGACCTCTCTGCTTTCTTTGGACGGTTTCTACCCCCCGCGCTGGTGGGGCCGTTTGTGGAGATGACGGTGGGGTTTCTTCCTGGGGGCGTGATGGTTCAAGGTAATGCCGGTGTGGAGAAGAGGGTGAAGAAGGGGAGGATGGGTTTGGGGGAGGTTATTGGGGGATGGTTTGAGGGTTCGACTTGATACTGAGCTGTTATGCTGATACTCGTGGAGGTGGGTTGTTAAAAGTGCAGTCATATCAAGACAGCCTTAGCCTATTACCTATCACTATATCTCGCTTGGATCAATACAAACCACAAGATCAACCCGAATCACAATAAGAAAGACAAAAGTCAGTAGTCAAGAGTTAAATAAAGGTAGCAGAAAAGAATGTGTGACATCAAGAAGCACAGGTTAAGCCCACTGCTTCCCACTCCAAATCCCCCCCACCATCCACATCCAATAATCCCTCCCCTTCATCAACCACACCACAAACCCCGGAACCTTATACCCCATCAAAGCCCCCACACCCTTACTCTTCCCAATCGGCACAAGCTGACCCTCGCGTGTATCCTCCTTGAAGATCTTATCGCCCCCCACCGTGCTTTCATCCCTCCCACAAGCGATCAGCAGATCGTGCCGCACGTTCGCCCCTAACACAGGCACCGCAGCAACAATGTTGTGCACCGCCGGTCGGGCATACGTCGAGCAGTCGCCGATGGCGTAGACTCTTGTGCCGGCTCGTTCGACGCGTAGTGTAGAGGGGTTGGTTTCGACTCGTCTGTCGTCGGCGCGTAGGAGTGACGCGTCTAGAAAGCCTGTGTTTGGGGTTGTTCCTGTGGCGGGGATGTACAGGTCTGCGGTGAGGGTGCGGCCGTCGTCGAGAGTGACTGTTGTTGGCACTGTCAGATGGGTGTCTGCTGCGCCCGCGGCGGGGGGGTCAATGGACACCACGCGCGTGTTAGTCAAGACGGTCACGCCGAGTTTGGCGAGGAGGGACTGTGCGCGCGCGGCGAGAGACGGCCGCAGATGGGGCAGCAGATGCGGGCCAGACGTCACCAGCGTGATGCGCACTTTGGCGGTGGCAGGGGAGGAAGAGCGGCCGTTGAGGTGCTCGCCTAGTTCGCCGGCTGTTTCGACGCCTGCGGGCCCGCCGCCGGCGATGAGGATTGTTTTGGTGTTGGGGAGGGCTTGGCGCAGGGCGGTCCAGCTTTGGCGGAGGAAGGGGGTGTCGCTTGTGAGGCCTAGGAGGGGGGAGGGGGTGGAGGCGCCTGTTGCGACGATGAGGGCGTAGTAGGTGAGAGTGTTGGTTTCGTTGGTGACGAGGGAGATGGTTATCTGGCGGTTCGTGTGGTCTAGGTGCGTGGCTGTGCCGTGGAGGAAGAGGAAGTTCTCTGATGGGTATTGGGCGAAGGATTTGGGGATGGAGACGAAGAGCTTGTCTTGGGGGAACATGTCGTCTGAGATTAGGGCTCGCGGGCAGGCTGGGCGGTTGACGACTTCGGTGGACGGGCTGACGAGAATGACCTGGTAGGTTGATTTGTCGGGGAGTTGGGGAATGGTGTGTTTGAGGATGTGGTGGGCGCTGGAAATGCCCCCGTAGGAGCCTCCTACGACGACGATGTTTTTCTTGTCGGTGGACATGGTGGTCAGTTAACACGCGACGTTGGTGGTTGGAAGTTGATCGGCAGGAGGATGATCTACGTATGGTCGACCCGAGTATTTATTCCTAAACACACACGCCAACCTTCTTTGTTTCATTCCCGACCAAGCTGCACGGACAACTGCGCTGACCAAGCTTGACAAACGAACCGACTGAACGGGTCGATGCTTTGTTTGAGGCATGAGATAGCTGGCGCCACGTCCCAAGCGGGTTAGGGCTTACGGTCTCAAGGGAAACTTTGGCAGCAGCAGCACGAAGATCTATGGACCGGCACCATCAAAGCCCGAGCCCCGAAGAATGACCAATCTGTTGTCTCTCAATGAACAGGATCGACCACAGGGACCAAGTTCTTGTGCTGGAGTCTGATGAAACAGGCACGACACGAGCACGGGGATCATTTCGGCTGGGGTGCACCGTCTACGCCGGTCTGACGAGGTGGTTGAACTGGGGGCAGGTCGCACAGAATGTTCCAGTCTGCAGAAACAAGATGTTATTTTTGGGGAAAATGTGTCACAAGCACGGCGAACGGAGATGAAGACTGTCGTGTCATGTCTTGATTCGGTAATCGTGCATGGGTCAATCTATGGTGCCTGTCCTGGGTTATGAAAACCGATCCCAGCCCAGGATGGTTCTCTCTGAAGAACACGCGACAAACTTGCACACAATCAAGAATCGTCTCAAGAATCCACCGACGTCTTCCGCAACACAATCGCCAGTTTGCCCTTATCCACCGGCTTTCCCAGACCCAAGCCATCTTCGCCATAATAATACACCCGCCACAACCCTAAGACCACCTCATCGTCCGGCCCCTCCTCCTGCATGTGGGGCTCCGAATCGCTCACCCGCATCACGATCCATTTGAAGCTCCCGTCCAGTATGATCGACTCCTCGTCGTCGGCTGCCAGATCAAACGGCCCGCTCAAATTCGCCTCGCGCTCCTCGCGACTCCCCCATTTCAGCTCCCGCGTCTGCGCATCCACATACACCCATCGCACCTGCGGCGGCTGCTCGTTACTGACTGTCACCAACCCAGCCAGATTGTCGTCTTCGAAGTCCGGGTTCTTGAAGAAGTGCCCGTTGAAGGGGGTCATAGACGGGGACGGTCGCTTCGTGACGTACATCTACATGGACAGCGTCAGCTGGGCTGGAAGCTAGCTAGCAAGCAATCTAGCTAGTAATGTGGACCGGGCAGCGAAACCTTATGGTCCGAGCCAAGATACAGGCGTGCATTGTGCACCTGGGCCCGTTCGTCCTCCTTTCCCGCCAAGAGGTCGCAAGTGGACTGGATGTGGAAAGGGGTCTTGCGGGCAGTGTCCTTGCGCTTCTGCTCCGAGTCCTGCGCGCCACGACTCGCTTCATTCAGGCCGTAGATCGTCGGGATCATGGCTGACATCATGGCGACTCCGATGACCATATTGGCGTTGTTTTGCGTACCACGGTTCGTATGGGGTTTGAGAGGGAAAAGGATGGATCATTGACACCACGAGCTTTCTTGACACTGGGAGAACTGTCACCATTTAATACCCACTCTGGTGTGACGGCTGGTCGACAATCCGCGTTCGGTTAGGGCTGCGCGGGAGATACGACTTACCGCACCGGTTGCTTGGAGATGGACCAACGCGGAAGGTGACATCGCGGCTGTCTCAAGATTCTGTGAATCATCTACTGTCTTCTTTCCGATTCGACCCTACCTATATCTATAAGCGGACTGCGCTCGCACCACACTGCACCGCACCCAGCACACACCGCAGACTGCCAATTCCCCTCCTTCAACCACACCCCCTCCGACTCCCAGTCAACCTACACAATGCCCGATACCGCCACCGTCAAAGATCCCAAGTACGTACTATCCACTTTCTACCCCCCATCATCACCCCGGGCAGGTCTAACCCAGTGACTCCAGCCAAGCGGCCGACGCCGGCGGTGAAGGCGGCGATGAGGGCATCGACGACGACATTGGACCCTTCCCCGTCGGACCCTGGGGCGACCGTGGCGTCACGTCCCCCAAGGCTGGCACCAAAAAGCCCAAGGCCAAGGAGTCGAGTCTCAACGTGCGGATCAATCTCGATTTGAGAGCTGATGTGGCTTTGGAACTGCATGCCGTGATTCAGGGTGATATTACTATTGGGTTGTTTTAGTGGTATCTTGGGCTGTTTGGTAGAGGTGCTCTGGTTTACGTATTTAACAAGGTCTTACTTGTCTCTTGTAGAATACCTACCATGGCTGTTTCCCTTGGTTGAAGAGGGTTGAAGCAGCCTCGGCAATATATATATTCGACCCGGTGTCTGTTGTTATCCATTGTGGGCCTCAGATGATTACAATTGATAGTGTAGCTGGGATCAGCATTCCACAGACATACCAGAAGTAATCCGAGGACGATCATTGTATGAATAACATTCAATTAATCCCCACGCCTTCGTGGTAGACATGATATAGACACCTCAGGCTACATATTCCCGTTTGCGGAAACCCCATATTTCAGTCACCAACAACCAATGAAACGTGACAACACAAGGCGGTCAGTCAGCTGCAACCATCACAAGAGACATTCTGCCGCCTTATCGACACATTCCTGACACCTTCATCAACCCTTCCATTTGACAGAACATCTGGCATCATTTCGATTGTTACTTTTTGAGTAGTATATCTATCGATAGTTTATATCAGTCAATTATTTGAAGACGTATAGCTGGAGGGTGCTGACTGTTGACCATATCGATCATTCTATGACGTCGTCGCCTGATCGATAAGCGCAACGCCATGGCCCGCTCGCTGGACGAACTCCATGAGCGAACACGCAAACTTAATCTTCGAGATACATCGAGCGCCGAGGAATCTTCATCGGAAGATACGACGCGGGAATGCAAGTGTCAGCAGTCTTCTTCCACGGGACGGTGCGCACAATGTCCCCGCCACCCTACGCCACAGCATGATGCACCATCAGACACGAAGGATACAGCCGAGGAGCCAAAACCAACAGGCTCTCATGTAGACCCGTCATGTCGATGTATTGAATGCAAGGTCGACAGGGATGAAACGGAACCGGAACAGCCACCTGGGACCGAATCCGCGCCACCAGACGAAGGAGGCACTGCGCTGGACGAGGGGGACGAAAAAGAGGCAGAGAAAGAAGACGAAAAGGAAGACGAAGAGGAACGAACAATAACGTTAGAAGAGCTGTTAGAGTACCGGGAGAAGCAAGGTCTGAACCCCGGCGATTATCTGCTCGAGTTCGGATTTGCGTTCCCTGAGGAGAGGGAGGTGGATCTGAATGTGCAGATCGAGGGGGACTTTTCGGTGACTGTGTTGTGAGTTTATCCTGAATTCTTTTCTTCTTGTTTTGGTTTGCGTACTGACTTTTGGCAGGATGTGAGTGGCTGGTAGGTTCTGCGAGGGACTGCATGGGATTAAAGGTGCGTGGCGAGGGATATAGCTGGTTTGTAAATATGGGATTTAAGATACCAGAGTTCAATTGTGCATATGCTTATGGATGTTCTAGCTATTTTAAGTGACTGGCTTCAGTTAAAGCAAATAAGTCGACTTCGCTAGGGATCGCGGTTTTGCAATGAAGGGATATACATGATAACACTCGGTATTTTCGATAGAAACTACATGCTGCAGACATTATGACTTATAGAATGACACCCTTGGGCTTCGTAAGTTATTTATATTTAATACAACACTATACATATATCCGTCTTAGTATACAACAGCTACTACACCAAATTGGTGACCAGCACGTTGGGGGGCTTGAACTGACTTCTACATCAACACTTTACTCTAGATCATCAAGATCCTGAGGGGGATCCCCGTCTCGATCGACCCATATCTCAATGCTTTCGACCTCCCACGTCACCTGCCTCGTCCCCCATGGCACAGTCCGATAAACCTCTTGATCATCGCCCCCCACGTCTTGTGTAAATACCCCCATCGAAAGACACTCGTCGAGCACCAGGGCAGCGCCATGCCCCGGCTCCCCAAATACTAAATCCCCGTCACGGACGCTCCAGCCCGGCCGGCCCAGAATCCCGTCAAACCGCCGGACCACAGGCGACAACTGAAACAGCAGAGTGCTTTTCTCCACGGGCTCGTCGCCGTACGGTTCCTGCGCCGGAGTGATCGCCCTACCATCCTCAACAGGGTCAAGTACAAATACCCCAAAAACGACCCTGTCGCCCGTTGACGGATCTGTCCCGGAAACGAGGAAAACGCCCTGACGGGGCTCCCCCCGTATCATGCGCTCTAACCCAGTGGCATCCAGGCCCTCCATCTGGTTGACATCCCAACTATACTCATCGCGCAGGGTGAAGCGGCCGAAATACATGTCGCGCAAGAGCATCATGGTCAGCAAGCCGAACACCGGCGCCGTCAATATGCGTCCAAAATGGGGAACGACCCGCCGCGGAAAATCGTGATCATCGGAGTCCGCCACCACGTCCAACAGAACGCGGTCCAAGGCGTAGAAAGCGGTAGGCTACACAAGGACAATTTCCAAAATCAGCCACTCCACTCAGACCTAAAAATCACAAAGAAAACAGCCCAAACTCACCAGCATCGCGCAACCATCCTCGAACATCTCATACGTGATGCCAGCCCTCGCATCGCGACAGAACGTCCGCACCACACACTCCGCCACCTCATCGAGCCCACGCAGTCGCTCCTCCTCCCCAATACCTGTTACCACCACATGCGAAAAGACCAGCCACCGCGCCAGCGCTCGAAAATCCGCCTGATCAATACTCAGATGGTGCAGCCGCACCTCATCCCCATGCAGCTCGCGCGCCAACGGGATGAACTTCTCCATATTCGGCTGCGCAAAAGGGATATAGTCGTCCCAATCCCAGGGCATACAGAAGCCGAGGACCTCGAGCAGATGGTGGAACATCTCGTCGCCCTCGTCGTCGCGATTACACTGCGCGTAGTCTAGCTCGCTCTTGCGCCACCAGGGGAGTTCGAAGGCGCGCTGCATCGCGCGCCGCCGGGCCTCGTCCTCGTCGTGGGGCAGTCTCTTCCCGTCTGTCCCCCGCGCTAGACTCTGGAAGAGGACCCGTCGCTCGTCGGCTGGCGTGCGCGCCCGGCAGCGGCTGCCCATGGGGTACACCAGGTACTTGTCACTTGGGAGAAGCCAGCCGAGTGCGCGCCGGAACTGCGCTAGTGTTAGAGGAGGGCTAGGCTCGTCCTGCGGGCCTAGTAGGAAGTTGTGGAAGGGGATCCCCGCGGCGTAGAGTAGACTGCGGTATAGGATTGGGGTGACCTCAGGGAAGAGCGTGAGTGGGGAGTCTGAGGCTGCGAAGAGCGCTGGGAGGGCCGACTGCGGTAGGGTATTTGGTTCGGTGGTCGTATCGCTGTAGCGGTTGAAGTGGTGCATTATAATTTCCCTTGTGCTGTCGGAGTCACCTCGCATGCAATCGGTGAGACGCTTTAGGATGATGTCGGGTGTCATGAGCCCGTCGCGGGCCCAGGCGTCCACGTCGAACATGTATTCCCAGTCGTTGGGCATGCTGGGTGCTGGTGTTGTTTCTGGTATTGAATGTTGGGTGGGAAGAAGAAAGATGTTGCTGTTAAATGTGGCTCAAGCTGTTTCTTTTGAGCTGACTCTTAGTGATAGGGAGGCCTTGGTGGTGACGATCATGGAGCTTGATTGGTGAATTCGTCAGAGGGTGGATGGCATAGCCTGGTACGTGGGTCCACGTCAGCCGCACGTATCGGTTAGATGCCGGGAATGGCTGTGCATGGTTCCGTAGTGGAGGATTTCCTTTTATAGAAAAGATGAGGCTGAGATTGGCTATCGGCGACTGTAATGGGCTCCGGATAGGACAATGTTTTGTATTTCTCAATGTAGCTAAGGCGACGTTGAGTTAGGGCTTGGGATGTCACTGACGGCCACATATTTTCCTGCCGTGCAAAATCCATCTACATCATGCATTGTTGTCTGCCAATTTAGCACCAGGAAAACTACTCATTTATTATAGATCGCAGGGATTAGGTATCAACTTCCGGGGAACTTCGCCCGACGCCAACTCATCATCTGCCGATAGTCTATAGTTGAGTGCATACATGAGCTCATGAGCCATTCACATCAACAAAGCGTTGGCCTACCGTCTACTCTGGCAATCCGGCTATAAACCCCCCAACTGGAACCCTGAACTGTCAACTCAAACGGACCGAGGTTATCAGATTCGAGACGCGGAGGTCTTTCCCCTACAGGCAAGACACACGAGTCCTCAACCAGGTTCATCCCATGCACGCCCGCGGATTAACCATCCTCGACCATGCGTACAACCAGAGTATCGGGTACGTGCCAAGCAAGTCAACCAAGAATTGCATGCCAACGAGCAAATCATAGTGAACCCAAAACCACGGTTCAGTATTGCACGGTTCAACCACCCCATCATCAGATCTTCCCATCAGTTTATCTGGCACCTCGGCTAGCTCTCCCGGCCAACATATCGGCCGATATTTCGCAAGGCGCAACCGAGCTGGTGAGTTGGAGTTGAACTCTATTCCTAGCTTTATCTGGAGCTCATTGGAGCTCCCCTGCCATTTAGCGAAACAAACCTGGTCATGATGTCAGTCGTCCGGCCCCAGCTAAAGTTTAACCCAATGGCCGCTCTCATCTACGCTCGTCCGGAGGTCGTGCGAGAAGATCTAGCCGAGGCTGGATGAATATGAAGATGTGGCAGAAACATAAATACTTAATCCTGTGTCGATCAGAACGATTCTATCTGCATGACTTTCCTATCATCCACACCAGACTGATCCAACCACATCAACACCACCACATCATCACCACCACATCAAACCACCTCTGTGACAAAACCACATATAAAGACGGGAATAAATTATACAAGATGCCCGTCCCTCGCCCCTCCGCCCTCATCCTCCTCTACCCAGGCTTCAACACCCTCGACATCAACGGCCCCTCCGAAATCTTTTACAACGCTGGCATCACCACGACCCTCGCCGCGCAAGATGACCTGACCACCTCCCAAGAGCAAATCACCATCAAGCGCACCATCGACCTCACCGAAGCCCACCGTCGCCTCGATGAATTCGACCTCCTCGTTATCCCTGGCTCCCGCACCCTAGACACAAGCACACACAACTCCGACATCCTCGACATCCTGTCCGCCTTTTCCCGCCTCGCCCGCAAGACCACCTCCTCCTCCCCACTCGCCTCCCCCGTCTCCTCCCCACTCCCCTCGCCATCCGACTCTAGCTCCTCCTCTCCCTCCCCCACCCGGTCCAACGAGCGCTCCATCCTAACAGGCGCCAACGCATCCCACCTCCTGGCAGAATCAGGCTTGCTAGACGGCCTCTCCGCAACAGCACACAGGCTCGCCCTACCACAGCTGCGCGGCGCCGTCGACGACTACCAGGAGCGGAACTGCGGTGCGAGCGGCACGACAGTCCTGCCGGGGCGGGGGTCCTCAGAAAAGTTGCTTTACGTGGATGGGGGCCTCACGGCTGGGGGGGTGCGCGTGCTGACTACGACAGGGCCGTCTGGGATGCTCGATGCGGCGCTTTATATGGTGATGAGGGTGTTGGGGAAGGCTGAGGCGGAGGAGGCGTCTGTGTTTATGGGGCATCCTTGGCAGGTGGATGTTTAGTTTTCTTTTCTTTTTTTGCCTTTGTCGTATGTTATTATGTGATACCAGATTTTATATGCATCAGTTATATCCAATGTTCACTTTGAGATTTGTCCATGGATTGTGTGTGTAAAGGCATAAGTAGATGGTTGAATGTAGGAGAACGGCTCTGTAAGGACAACGTAATGTTGCCCTCAATTTGCCATACTGTTGTATAGGTCGGGCACATGCTGTACTAATCGTCGCGAAAGAAGCCGGATCTATCTACTCGACGAGGGTTCGAAGGTCGATATTGACACGCTGGGTAATATAAGATGCGATGATCGTGGCGTAATTGTACTTCCTGACTGGCACGGTAATTCTAAGTCTACCCGGCCTCAATAATGGGTAAATATGTTACAATATTCTTCAAATCCAAGAATGATACTATCCGTGTAACTATCCCCACCGCTCAATAATAGTATGTCTAATATCGTACCAACATGCCCATTTGAAATCAACGATAATACCCCCAAATCCAAACTCCTAAACCATTCGCCTCCACGGTCCTAACTAAACGAACGCCGCATTCCCAACCGTTCTAGGCAAGCAAATCACCCGATACGTCTCCACCTGCACGCCCCCACCACCTCTCGAACACACCTCAAACAGCTCTTTCGGATCAATCTCTGTATCATCCACCCCAGCAAGCACACACTCGCACCACGTCTCCCCCATCGCAAGCCATCGAAGCGGCTGGACGCCACCATCCCCGGCTAGAACGAGCCTGCGATTCGCGGCGAACATCTCCTTCGCGAGCTCGAGCATGTCCACACCTGGCAAGACGAGCCCGTTCAACTCCATCGTCGTGAGTCGTTGCATTCTTGGAATGACAGTGTGGCGGATGAAAGGGAGGTGTCCTGCTTCGATAGGTAGGGTCAGACGCTCGAGGTCGTCACACTGCAGGATGGCTTCGTTGAGGAGAGTCTGCGTCGCGTCGGTGCAGCCCGCGCAGGGGCGGACGTGGCCGATGTTGATGGCGCGCCAGTGGGTGCCTGTTGCTTGGAAGGGGTTTGTCCCGCGGCGGTGGGTTGGAGTTTCTTCGTCGTCGCCGTCATCGTCGAATTCTTCCTCGTTCGCGGGTTGGAGATGGGCGCCGCCGTTGCCAGCGTGGTCGACTTTAGAGGGTACGCACGTGGCCATGTCCACTGTGAGGGAGCTGAGGTTTCTGTGAGGCGCGAGCTGTCTGATCAGCTGTGTGACATCGTCAGTGAGGATCTCGACGCTGAGACTCTCGATGTTGGTTGTGTTATTGAAGAGCTCCACGTCGACAGGGCCTCCACGGTTGTTTGCGAACGCGACGTGTTGTAGTTTAGACGGATCGAGGAGCTTTGTTAGATCGATTTTCCTGGATCTGGTGCGGCCCGGTAGTGGGAGGAAGCCGTTCCCAAGACGCAGGGTCGTCAAAGCTAAGCGATCACCGTCGTGAAGCCGGCGTTTCTCGTCGAACAGGTCGATCAGTTTGCCCAGGGAGGTGGCAGTTTTTGAGATAAGGCGTCTTTCGACGGAGATTGTCAGGTCTTCCAGGTCGGGCGAGGTGGCCAACATTTCAGCGATACTGGGAAGTCGGCTCGTCGCCATTGTGTACGGGAGATTCTCGAGGTGTAGTTTCTGCATGCCGCGCCGGTTGGGAAGGACCCAGTCGATCTCGGCTGGGATACCGTTCTTGACCATGGTGTGTAAGACGACTGAGAGGGATTGCATGTGTGGGATTTGCTCGAGCTGGTTGGTGAGGATGGTGTTGTATTCGGACTGGTCTTGGGTTGATGGCTCCCTTTGAGCGGAATCTCGAGTTCTCGGTTTATCTTCGATTACTGGGATGCACATACTGGAAAAACAAAGTTAGTAAGTATTTATGAAGAATATATAGTTAGTTGGGAACATACTCTATTTCCCTCAGGTTTGACATCTTCTCCAAAGCGGCGGAGAAATCCACCCATTCCTGCGTCACATAGCGTCGGGCCTCCAGACAGGCGATGTTGAGTGTGCGAGTGTAGCGCACATATGGCGACTGGGACAGACGTTTGAGGTGGCGTTTGTGGATTGCAAAGAGGGAGACGTGTCGGTATAGAAGCGGCGTGAAGATGTTGCAAAATTGCGTGGATACCAGACACAGGGCATGGAGGGTGGAAAGGTTGTATTGCAGCTGGTCGCCGACCATAAGCCAGATGTGGTCTCCTACGAACGGCATGATGTAGATGGGCTCAAAGACTTGGATTGTTTGGAGAGAAGGAAAGAAGATAGACGGTAGTGGAAGGAATTGGAGATGGTTTTGTTCGTGAGGACCTGGGGGGTTATCAGGCGCATCGCGTCATCAAGGTCCGCAAATGGAGTCATTGCTCTTTTGAATAGATGGATGTCTATCACTATATTTTAAATATTCACTCACCACAATATTATCTTTAATTTGTCAATTGTGAAGTATGAGGAGTGAATTTCATGATGGTAGCTTCCATATCCAGCCAAGTTGCAGATTCCACCGCCTGGTTTTGGTAACCCCCTTAGATACCACTAGATGAAGTGAAAGGCCCGTGTCTAGGCTGTATTAACTTTGAATCATATGATAAAATTGATTCTATCATACCAACATTAGAAAAATGTATATTAAAGCCCAAGTAACATATACACATTCCGTTGACCTTACAATGCAGCCCCGCCGATCATTCCCCGGACAGGCTCCAAACCAGGAAATGATGGTGCAGATCTCGGGTGGCAGTGATAGATGAAAAGCACCCTGATACTGCATGGTCTGGAGTTACCATCATATGTGGTGCAATAGACATGGGGAATCTCTGGGCTTATTATACTCACAGTGATAATGTCACACCAACAGCCTTCTTGTCACGGTGGACTAGCCATAAAATTTAACGGAGGGCAAGATACAGCAATAATAGCACAAGCGAGCTGTGCTCATGACATACGGATACGCTTTTCCAATGTTTATAAACTAGGTAACGAGGTATCTCATGACCAGGCCTAAGGCAGTAGTACGCTTAGGGCATATCCTGTCACATGTTTTGACAATATCAAACATATGCTACCCTATAGATACTTCCAAGCAACCCAACTAATCATCCAAAATCTGCACCTTGATCGCCCCAGATCGCGGGTTACTCGCCGTCTCAAACGCCTCTACCCCCTCTTCCAGCCGATACCGATGCGACACCAACGGCTTAAGATTGACCAACCCCGCCGCAACTAGACTGATCGACTTGGGATAGATATCATGATACCGATACTGGAACTTCAAGTCGATCTCCTTGGCCGACATGTGCATAAATGGGATATTCTGGAAGTCTTTCCCAACACCGATCACAAAAACGGTGCCACCGAATCGAGTTGCCTGTCATCACTTATTAACTTTCATCCATATAATGAGAACGAGGTAGACCAAGTCCAGCCTTTCCTAGAATAAAAGGGGGGAAGAAACTCACATAAATACCGGAATGCACACTACTCTCCACCCCAGTACACTCCATAACAAGCTTCGCCTCCTGCCCCAACGCATCCACAATCCTCTTCCCCACATCGACAGCGCTTTCCCCGCGCTGCACGGCAATGGGCCTCACACGCGGAACCAGTTCCTTGGCCTTCGCAAGCCGGCCCTCATCCAGATCCGTAATAACGATTGGTTCCGCGCCGGCCGCGTTCGCCGCCAGCAGCGTCACCAACCCGATGGGGCCCGCGCCACAGATGACGAGCGGGTCGGCAAGCCGCAGACCCGAGCGGTCGATGCCCGCCAGCGCGACGGTCAGCGGCTCCAGCAGCGAGCCTTCCTCAAAAGACACGTTATCGGGGATCTTATGCAGCCAGGCTTCCGGGTGCGCGTGGTACCGTCGGAGGGTGCCGTGGTGGGGAGGCGTTGAGAAGAATACGACGTCTGGGCATGCGTGGTAGCGACCTGTGCGGCAGAAGTCGCAGGTAGCTTTGGAGCAGGGTACGCCGCATTCCATGGCCACGCGGTCGCCTGGAAATTGTTAACTTGGGCTTTAGAAGGCAGTTATAGAAGGAGGGTTGGAAAGAGGCATGGAAATACCAGGCTTAAAGCGCGTAACTGACTCTCCCACATCGATGACAACTCCCGCACTCTCGTGTCCCAGTCCGTTATCCCCCGTCACGATCATGGGTCCGATATGGCCATGTTTCCAGAAATGCACGTCGGAGCCGCAGATACCTGTGGCGCGGACGTGCACGAGACACTGGTCCGCGGCGAGCTTGGGGATCTCACATTCTACCAGCCGGAGGTCGTGGGCGGGGTTGGTGTGGATGGCATGGTTGATGGGTTTCTGGGTGCGGATGTCCATTTTGAATATTTTGGACGTTGGTTATGGACGGTCAAGGGCGATCGATGGTGTCGCTGAGTACTTATATGTATAGTGAACTGGCATAACCCCGCCGTCAATCAGGTGGGATACTGTACAGGGATGAGGTGAAGGCCAATAAGGGTACAGCGGGTTGATGTGCCAATAACGATCGATATATGGGCTGATGATGAGACGCTGCAGTGGAACGTGCGGAGGTGTCCCCGCTGCCAATCAGACCAGCTCTGTGCGGAGTAGGATTTATATCTTGGCTTCTTGTCACTAAGCCCATCACACTGTGTTGTAGTGGTTGCTTGCTAGTTTACATATGAATCTGGTAGCGATTGGAAAGTGCGTTCTGGTAGATATGGCAAGTTCGAACAGACACAATGCTATGCCACAATACTGTCATAGAATCAGATCATCAGCATTCGTTAAATAGAGACATCCTACTAAGAGTCCAAGACAGTATTGATGTTAACTTCTATCACACATATTCGCTCGACAGATATATGTACATGTTTGTAGAACAGAAAGACCAAACCGTTCCCGAACGGCCACTGTATATACACCACCATGACACCATCTACACCCTGGAGCAGTAATAAAAGTACATACCACTACATACAACGAGATCAAGATACAAATCAAAGCAAAGGCCCGATAAACTCAGTCATATACTCCACCTTCCCCAACGGCACACCCTCCTTCCTCAAAATGCCATAAGCCGTAACAAGATGGAAATAAATATTCGGCAGATTAAACACCCTCGCATACTCCGCGCCACTGATCTCCACCTCCTTCGGGCCAAGAGGAGTAGACTTAATCTCTTCCGCTTTGGCGTTAACGTCCCCAGCGGGCACTGCGTCGAGAATGTCCTGGACGGTCTTGATGCGCTCTTGCATGCTGTCGATGGTGGTGAGGTTGTTTTCGAGGGGCGCTGGGGGATCTTGAAGCGTGAGACGCGCGGCGAGCTTCATTGACATGAATGTTGCGATGTGGACTTGGAACGAGAGGGGTTGCATGTCTGGGTGGAGGCGGGCGGAGGGGAGAGAGGCGGGGTCGGGGTGGGATTTTTCGGCGGTTTTGAGGATGTGGGAGAGGGTTGAGAGGGCTTGTTGCGCCGTGCGGATTGAGTCGTAGGTGGTTGTCATTTTGACGGATATTTATTTATTTTTTTTTATTTGGATTTGGTGGGATTGGATATGTTGTTTTGGATGATGGGTTGGGAAAAGTAAGTGGAAGACGCTGCGTTTTATACTACTCCGCACTGACTCGGCCTCGGACAGATCGTTGCTTCTTATCCCCGCAGCTTAATAATTAATTATATTCATGTTTGTTGTTGAACTACGGAGTAGTGGCTGACGTGATACCAACACGCGCAGGATTCATACCCCAACCATACACGGCTTGAAGTGGAGATGCTGAGCGGTACGCTGGGGGCGTCATAGGTGGAGCCGAATTGGACCAATTTGAGCTTTCAAGATGTATTCCTATATGTCTGGTCTGTGACATGTCTAATAGATGCTAACCAGTTCCACGCCCACTACCCAATAGATTGAGCGATCAACGACTCTCCCAAAACTGTGCATCAATCGCCACCAACCGATTGAACAGCTGATTCCGGGACCTCATCCCCGTCAAATGGAACGAGCGCTCCGGCTCCGTGCCAGAAACAATCAGTCCATCAGCCGCTTCCTTGCTACCAGCCGTGAGCTCAACAATCATCTTGCTCTTCCACCCCAGCCCCTCCGTCTTCTTGAGCTCCCGGATCTCCGTAACCGGCATCTGGAACAGCACGGAGCTCTCCTTGCGGCTCTCCAGACGCAGGTCATCGTCGAGCTTGCCCGACGCCGTTGTGGTAAAGTACAGCACGGGCGGCTCCAGCGTCGAATCGATGACAGCCGCGCCGCGCTTGCGCTCGAACTTGGCCTCGAACTTGAGCGGCCCGTGAGGGGCCGACACCCACCCTCGCTTCTGCAGCATGCCGATGAGGTTGCGCGTGTGCGCGTTTCCTGCGATCGTCATGGCGCGGTCGAACGCCATGTGGCCTTTGATGGCGGTTGAGATGGTGCGGCGCACGAAGCGGAGGATCTTGCTGATGAGGCGGCGTTTTTGCTTGGGGGGAGTGGTGGACGCGGTAGACTCGGCAGTCTGCGTTCGCTGGAGGTCGGTGCTGGATGTGCGGTCCAGACTGGTGGTCTTGTCTAAGCTGGTGGTGCTAGCACTGGATGGTAGTGCCTTGGGCTTCTTCTTCTTGAGGGGCCACTCGAGCTCCCCGTCTTGCGGGCTGGGTGGGGGTGGAAGGGGGGATCCGTTCAGTTCCCCGATGCGTAGCAGGGTCAGCGTGAGCTGGGCGTTGTTGGGGACGCCCTTCAACAGGGTTCTACATGGTGTTAGCGTGAGGAAGGTAAATTGGTTCGTGGAACACACTTCTGCAGGTCCAGCTGCTCCTTCCAGCTGGGGTAAATAGCGTTCAAAAAGCCTAAAGTTCGCGCGAAAATTGGGTCGCCAAAGAAGCCGAGCCCGGCGGCAAAGGCGCCCCCTTTGACGATCATATGGCCTGATGCCATCCGCGATGCCATCAGGACAGCCACCAAAATCCCTACCAAACGCATACGGGCTGTGATCATGGTGAAGGGCGGGGTCGGCGAAAAAACGCTGTTTCGTCAGTACAACCCGCGAGTACTCAGTATGGGACAACTCACTTGGCGAACTTCTCGTAGATATCGGTGATATCGCTAAGAATGCGCATCGTCTGGTCGGTCCCGTTGGCAATCTTCTTTTTCATCGGCTTTTTCGTCTTGTCCACAGGCGCCCCGTTCTCACCAGGCGTCTCGGGCGTGGTCGGCTCCGGGATAGGAGGTTCAGGCGGGGAGGGCTCCTCGGGAGTTGATTCCATCACAGCCTGGCCGTATTTCGCGGCCGCACTTTCCATGGCAATATTGGCAACACTATTCACAAAGTTTTTGGCCTCCTGTTCGGCAGCCTCGCCCTTGTGAGCCTCCGGGGCGCCGGTAATGCTGTCGTGGAGCTGGTTCTGATTATCACCATCGTCGGAAGCGGGATCGAGCGGCGGGGCGGGAGGAAGCGGGAAAAGAATCGGTCGGACTGATCGGGACAGGGCCAATGCGATCAGTGTGCTGACGATCACTGGGACCAGGCAGTCCAGGAACAACGCGGCGAAATACACCTGCGATGGTCAGCTTTCGAGTTGCGCGAACGTGGGTTTTGAGTAAATCATACTCCGCAAAAGGTGGCCGTCCGCCGGGGTTCCTTCCACGAGCGCAGTCGCGCGATATGGCTGAACAAGGCTGTAATCCCCACAATGACCGAAGTGTAGAACCGCTCCAGGGTTATGCGGAGTTTCTGGGGCGGAAATTGTTCGTCCTCCGCGCGGTTGAGATCCAGGTCCAGCCCGGCAGGGTTGTCAGCGGCTTTGACATAGTAGATTTGCTGGGGGAGTCAGTAATCATTTCGATCTGTTGTTCAACCTGAGAGTAGGCACCTTGTTAAATCGGCGAATCAGCATCCACACATCCTCGTTGGACAGTCCAGCTGCCAGACTCTCATCCACCGTCCGGGACGCCTGTCTGTAGGCTACATCCTGGGTCTTCCTGCTACTGGTAGTGCTGGTGGTGGAAACCTTCTGGAGCGGGCCAGATTCCTCCGGATCTACCTGCACAAAATCATTGTTGTCGGTATCATCCAAACCTCCGGGGATGTGTTCGTCGCTCATCGTGTGGCTGGGATAGGTACAAGAGAAGAGCGTGCGGAGAGAATGAAACGGGCCGCGTCAACCAGGGGTACCCAGTGAAGGTTGAGACCTGGCTACGTCATCGGTCGATACATCAATGTAATTGGTGGAGTGCGGGATTCCCGTCGGGCTGGCGGATGACATGTCACGTGGTAGCTCAACATGGTTAGCGCGTTGTTTATCGATAATCTATCTTATCGTGGTGTTATCTTACGTATTTCTTATCTTATCTCGTTGTTCAACAATTCTATCAATTCTATCTCATCATCGATTCTATACACCAGCAACATCTAATTTAATCGCTGCTCTTTGGTGAAAATGATAAACGGAGTGACAACGAGGAGAGACAGCATCGTCAGAACTATACCGTTAATTTAGTCTGCTGCACCCAAAAAGCTTGGGGGACTTACCCGGCACAAACTGATACCCATCATTGAAGCACGACCGGACAACCTGCTGCGTCACAGCGGGCAGAGTCCACAGATACTTCGAGTCTTTCAACACCTGGCCGATGATCTAGATTGGGTTAGCAATGTTTCTCTGGAGGATAGTACGTGAACCCGCAGCATCAAGAACATACCTCCCTTGCCGACTTCGCATCCATCCGGCCAAAGACGGACCTCTTGAACAAGGCATGTACCACCGCAGACGCCCCAGCCGTCCCGATGATCGATCCCAAGCGTTGAAAAAGATGATACGCGCCAATCGCCGATGTCGATGATCCCTGCTCTGACCGCGCGGTCATGCCGACGAACTGTGCCGAGCTGATGATCCCGTTGGCGATTCCCATCGGAATGACAACGAGGGAGCCCCAGGCGGACGTTCCTCGGCTCCAAACGAAACACAGAAGAACATTCAGTGGAATGCTAATCAGGATACTGACGACTGACATAGCGTGGTATCGTTTGTACCTGGAATCAGCAGTCAGTATAGCAGGTGGCCGTAGGGGCCGTCGTCAAACCGTTTCATGACCAGTCCAGATGCGATCCCTCCCATGGAGTTCCCCAAGCTCATGAACCCAATGTATAAAGATGCGAGTGTGGTGTCGAGATCGTGGACTTTGGTGAGATACGGGACGAGGTTGGCTCGTAACTGTCGCGAAAAAGATTAGCATCCATCTCTTCGAATACCGTCGTTCATCGCGATAAGGAAAAGGCATACCCCCTCGCGCCCCCCAAACGTAAACAACTGGGCCAGCCAAAACATCCCCACATCCTGAACCATTGTCAAGGGTATTAACGGCTTCTTTGCCCATGCCAGCTCCAACCAAACAAACAACACCGAAGTCGCGACACACACGACCGCAAAACCCACCCTCCACACGGAACCAACACCCCCATTGATAGCCAGCACAAGGGTCGCAATCGCGATAGACAGACACACAATCCCCGCGTAGTCGATATGTTTCAAGTCTTCGTACTTGCTGACGCCTTTGGTGCGGGGTGGGATATCGTCGCGGGTGTGTCGATTTGCTAGCCAGGCACATGCGACGACGATGGGCAGACGGCCTGCGAAGGCCCTAGTGCAGTATTAGCCCTCTGGGTGTCTCTTACTTCTCATGACAAGTGTAAACGGAACACTAACCATCGCCATCCCACCGTCTCGGTGATCAGACTTCCCAGCGGAGCTCCGAACCCTTGCCCTGCCATATTCAGCGACCGTTTGTAGCTCCGCAAGAGCGCCACCTCGCTGGACGGTACACTATCTGCTAGAGTTAGCTCTCTCGTCAGTCTGCAACTCAGGCTCGGAAATAGCACCTGTGATCAGCACCGACGTGAGGATCGTCATGCCTGCGCCGCCAACACCACTGATGATCCTGCCCACGATAAGCCACACCAGCTCGTTACTGACGGTACTATCACCACCATCAGTCATCTTCTCCCTAGTAATGATGAAGAACGGAGGACGATACCAAAACAAACACCCCAACCCAAAAATCAAATACGCGAAGAGAATCCCGCGTTTACAGCCAAAGACATCGCTCAGCGCACCATACTGCCGTTCCACATTACCATCATAACACCTGCATGACGCCCCAGGGGGGTAGAGGAGGTACCTACCAGCGGCACCGAAATGCAATAACCCAGCTTATACCCGATCAGCAGCCATATCCCCTGCGCTTGGCGATTGAAATCCGACGCGATGATTTCGTACGTTGCTGTGACGATGGAGTTGTCGGTGCTTGTCAGGAAGGCACCTTTGTTGACTTGTCAGCATTTCCTCTTTTCTTCTCCTTCAATTCAATCAATGTCAACAGGGTACGGATGAAATGGGAAAACCTACCAAGATAAGCCACATAAATAGCGACCCTATCTCCCCGCGCCTCATCGTCCGCTTTCTCCGGCGAGGGGTAAAGCGGCTGTTGCTGTTCATCCTCGATCTCAATCTCGAGCTGCTCTTGCATGGTCGCCGTTCCACAATCAGATGATCAATTAGTTAATTAGTATATATTATAATGTATGTAACTTCCAAGTAAAAAGTGGGATAAACGCAAACACAGCAGGAAAATAGTCAATCCCCAGCAGCCCTATCCTATCCCCGGCGGAGCACTCCTTTCATTCACCGGGGACACTTGCTCTTGTCTCTCTCTGTCTTTGGCTCTCTTCCTCCCTTGCATGCGATCCCTTCGCATTTTCCATCCATCCGCTTATCCCGCGCCGATAAATCTCGTTTTCTGTCGAGCTAAGCATTGGGTTGCGGAGCCGAGTAAATGTTTATATATTTCGAATCTACAGAACCCGTATCGGTGTAACCTACTAGCAAGGAAATTGGAACTCTGCACGTTATACCAGACACACCACCAACTGCCTGGTGTCATAGAACCACAGCTGTACATAGACTGAACATTTGTAACTAATCGCACACATTCATGCAGTCAGTCCCTGCAGCCTACCCACTACCTACCCAATCAGTCCCTACTTATTCCCCTTCCCCTTCCCATCTCATAGAACCTCGTCTCTTCTTTTCTCCAACCCATTTAACAAAACGACTACCTTTCAAACCACACTGCCCCACCCTCACAAGACAGTACCTACCCCCCCTGCGCACACAAAAGCACCCCATCCCCCGCCTACAAACAAACCAACCGGTGATGAAATCGACCCCCCTAGCCACATTCCACACCCCTCTGTTTCACATTGTATGCCAAACAGACTGTTCCAGATCTGCAATGATCGGCGCGGAATGTGCACCCCGGCGATGATGCCCCATATACCACATGACTACCCGGTTCTCATCTGATTTGACTCCTTGATACACGGACCTGGACTTGCGAAAATACATTGGAAATATTGGTTATGTTAAGCCCTGTACTAAGTGCTGGTCAGTATTCTTGGGTTTAGTAGCTGAGATAGTATATCTCGTGCGAAGTCCAAGCTTGGGAGAATTATTAGGTCGTGAATAGTTTGGGAAATATGCAAACCGCCTGACTGATTGTAGTCACTTTACAAGAGCAAGCTCGCTGCAGAATCGCTCTATGATGTCGCCGCGAGATATACCTTCCGACGCATCATGCAGGCACTGGTTGGTCGCGTCATATAATCCCATGACCGCTACGCCAAAACGTTGATCAATGTTTGGTATAGGGCTTAACCTGGCTGATATACCCAACATATAACCCATCGTACAAATAGGTTACATACTCACATCCACTACATCAATATACTCACGGGCACTTGGGCAGGGCTTGACCTGGCTAATAGCAGTAGTGGCCTCTATATACCCCTGATATTCCTAGTATATCCCCTCCACACCATTAGCACATGCACTGCCTACAATTCAACCAGAAAAATGTGATGAAACCAGACGAATCTGGTAATAGTAATATGCCCGCCCACCCGACCCGGTAATAGATATAGAGATAAGCCATACAGTCCTGTGAGACGCTGCAGGCACTGGGATAAAAAAATATCGATCTCAAACAAAAAAGTTCAAAACAAAATAAACCATACAGTCCTGTGAGATGCTGCAGGCACTGGGTTAAGAAATATCGATCTCAAACAAAACGAAAATCACAAAAATCCACAAACAAAGGAAACCCTCAACCACAATCTAACACGCCCTCCACCGACACCGATCACGAAACGCTCCTAGATCATGTTAGTTACTCTTTACCAACGTTTCTCATTCATGGAACCTACCGAAGAGGCCGTGCATCGGACCACCACTCTTCCATCTCCGACGACACCGATGACGCAGTCCATCAACTAACCAATTAGCCACGATCACCCTCGACTTGCATGGACACTACATACCAAGACGGTCTGGCACCGGGCCATCATGCTGCACCCTTCCGCCGATACCGACGACGTAGATCTTGCTAAAGGTCCCCAGTCAGCCACGACTAACAAACCACAAAGAAAAGACCTACTCAGAAACTCGTGCATCGGACCGTCAGACAGGGGCGTAGTCCAGTGAGCTCATCCTACACGTGCCCAGTCAGCCATTGTCAACCATGGTCAACCACCGGTCAACACTTACCTGAGATGGTGCTGGATCGCGCCAACAGTCTGGCTCCTCCGAAGGTCAGGCCGCAGCCACCGCCAGCCCCAAACCGCCATCCATCCAACTGCTCTGCCGGCGCTCTCGTAAGTCACGCCGACCGAAGGACAGGATCGTGCCATCTACCCCACTGGGGTCACGGATGGTTGCCAACGCCGCCGGAAAGGACTACGACTTATTGTGTGCGTCATTACCCTTTCGGAACCTCTCAACATTGGCTTCCTCTGCAAGCTCCATAGTCAGCACCACTCACCCCCGCGAAAAGAACATTGACATACCCTTGGTGCGAAGCGTCGCACCACCATTTCAGGCAGGAATACGTTGGCCCGCTCTATAAACCCGTCAGCCGAACCCGGGGTGGGAGCCTCGGCACCACCCAAGACGGGCACCACCCAGGTTCACCAAATGGAAGATTGGCCTGAGGCCAGATACAAAAGAGTGTGGGTACATGACGTAAGGAGCGGCAAGTGACCGGCGATCACCACCGTGTTGGCCTGAAAACATCCAACACGGGGATGATCCACCGATCAACTTTTACAACAGTAACCCTGTCGAAACGAACTCTCTTCTTCGGCTTCACCTCGCCGCCCACCTGGGTGGACTGCACGGGGGTCGGCTTGGGAGAAGAGCCCGCCACAGCAGGGGGGCAAGGAGCGACAGGAGGGGAACGAGTGGGAGAAGGAGAACGAGTGATACTCACGGAAGGAACGGACGGCTGCAAACGCTGCAGCCCCTTCAGACGCTCCAGCTCCTGCCGATGAGCGACCCTGCGCTTGGCCATGCGCTCAAGCACAGGGGGGCAGCCGAAGGAACGACGGACCGGAGTCGGCGGGGGCACGGGATGGCGGGCCAAAAGGCGGGCCGAACGAGAGACAGTGGCCTTGGCCGGGGTCGGCGAGGGCACGGGATGGCGAGCCACGGGGCGGGCCGAATGAGAGACGGTGGCCTTGGCCGGGGTCGGTGGGGGAGCCGGATGGCGGGCCAACAGCCGCGCCGAACGAGAGACGGCGGCTGGGGCTGGGGTCGGGGCCCGGGTCGGGGCACGAGCACGAGCCGGAATGGAACGAGAGACAGGCTCGGCATCGCGGACCGAAGGGCGGACGAGGAAACGAGGGGCAGGCCGCGGGGCTGGGGCCGCGGCCGGGGCACGGGCCGAACGAGTGGCGTGGACGGAGGAGGCCGCCGCCTGGGAGGGGCAGCGTGTCGACTGTTGGAGACGGGTCGACCGCTGGAACAAAAGAGGGGCAGGTATCGGACCTGGGAGGGGGGTGAAGAAACGAGTGGATGGCGCAGGCGCCGGAGGGCAAAGAGGAAAGCCGAGACGCGATCGTCGCGTGATGTCGGCAAAGGAGTGGACGCCAGGCTGGGTGGTGATGGCCGGCTGAAAAGAGGGACAAGGAGCCGAGGCGAACCCACGGTTGATCGCAAGCCGGGAAGTTAAACGAGTGACTGGCTGCGTCGACCGGGGAGCCCGACCCTTGGCGGAGGCGAGGAGGGAGGCAGCACCACGAGGAACAGTCAGGTACCGAGGCATCAAGACTGTTCCGGGTGGGCGGAGAAGAAAAAAAGGAAGAAAGGCAAGAGTGATGGTCTGGCTTGGTAAACGTAAAGTGTGTACACGATACTAACACAAGTGAGCATGCTCTGGGGAGAGAAGGGAGGAAGAAAATTTCCAGCGGGAGAGGGGGGATTGGGGTGTTTATATGGAGCGTTGTGTTGTCCAAAGGGCAGGTACGGGGACAGAGAAAGAGGGTGAGGATGAAGGGTTGTGAGGCAAGCATGGATAGCTGCTCCTGCCATCTTTACGGCACAGCAAGACATGGGATGCTGGCTTGGTGGATTGCATCAAGTATCAAGGTTTTAGATGCTATAGCCAGGTAGTAGGAGGATAGGAAGTTAGCCCTAACTGGAGATCTTTTTCACGCGCGCAAATCACTTGGTAGGTCGTATAGCATTGGGTAGTCAACGGATTAGCAGAAAAGCCCTTCGGTGAGGTTCTCTCCTGGGAAGCCACCCACCTTCCTCATCTTCAGCGATTTACCCACGGAGCACCTGCCTTCATCGCGGAACGCGGTGCTCTGCTGACGTCACACTGATCGAGCTGCTAGCAGAGGTAGACAGTGTAGAATAGAGAGATGGCGCTGTTGTATGCGCTTATTGGGAGTGTCATCCCTGCATGGGTGTCTAGTTGGGTTAGGTTGTCACATAGAAGGGGGCTATGTGGGAGGGTAGATGAGAACGGTCAAAATGTGGATGATGTTGATGACTCTTGAAGCTATAAAATCACATATAATTGCAATAATGCAAGAACACATGCAAAGCCAGAGTAACATTTCATGATGGCACACATCACAAGGCAGCTTATGCTGGGTGGTTATATATTCTACAACCCCGCAAATTATATATAAATATTGCGGTTCATCGAGACGACATCCTGAGGATAGGGAGATGGTCAAACTGTTGGCTATATCTTTTGTGAATCCTATCAGATTAGAGACAGTAATTTGCACATATTCATATTAAGCTGATTCTGATAAATCACTAGCATGGAAAGCTCTGTCGATGGCATTCGATCTCCCTAGTCTATCTTTCCTGTTGTTGAAAAGTGACATGTAAACACAGCCAACATGCCAGCTGGCTCACAGAACTTTCTCGTAAAGACTGTATTTGGTATGTTGAATCTATCTGCAACCTTCTTTTACTCCTATCACTCATCGAAGTCATAAATATCTTGGCTGTTTTCGTCGGTCCTCCCACATCCGTGAGGCCCTGTTGTTATGCCGCGTGCCGACCATACCACTAGTCTAAAAGACCAAATATAACAAGCTTCCCTGTTTGATATCTATAGACATCTTGATGTATATCACTATTCGCTCTGCCTGCGCCCCCTAGGTTCTTCGTTAGGCCGCGCCCTGGGCTGCGGTCCTAACAGCCGTCATAATCGGATGTGGACTAGCTTAGGGCTTGTTCTATGGATGGCACAGCTTTGTTCTATCTAACCTTGTATCTAGTAAAATGAAAGCTGGAATAGTGGGGGCAAAGTGTGATTCCCATCTCTACTCACCAGTCGTTCTCTACCAGTACTAACCAGATACACAGGACAACAGGAAAGTGCAGCCTCAGGCATAAATGTCGCATTGATGACTGATTTATGTCATGCATACTTATGCACCATTATGCAACATCTGACAGCGGAGGGTAACACGTGACTCCGTCCAAGATTTCCGCATGTTGAAGCCATAAAATTCCGAGATGTCACCTCTCATTCCACGGCAGCATCACACGTGGCATGGCATGATGGACGATATGATGACTGTCACGAGGCTCGGACCACATCTTACGAGCTGCCAATCGCCCCATCCATGGGATGGCTGAACCAGACCGTTGTTACCACTTAAATCCATCACGCGACTCATCCATGCAGTCACTAGTGTTCCTTATTCCATGCTATCTTTCAACCTTGGGCTGCATCAGCTGAGGGTCATGTATAAGTACAGCATGCCACCCAGGTACAATAATGCACACGCGGCGGGCATAAGTCGACTGTACGCCAGACCCTTGTCTTGTCCACAAAGATGGTACCCAACAGAGAGTGGGCCCCTGAATCAACGGTGCCACCCGCCAGGGATTATCCCCTGGGCTGTTTGGTGCCAGTCAGGGACCAAAGTGGAGCACTGAATCAGTGCCGCTCCCCCTTTTCCAGTCTCCGCATTTGATACACCGTGCATAACGGATTTTATGCACCTTTCTTGTCGACTCACTGTTCAGGGATCATGGTCGAGAATAAGCAAGAAAGCCGATTTGATCACGGATCCTGCATCAATCTTACGCAAACATGCTCATAGCAAACAAACTAACCCCCCTCTGATTGTCTGGTTAAATCACAAACGGAGTGATTGCTGGAAGGTGGAAGACGGTGTAATTCGCACAAGTTATGAACAGGCCCATCGGCCGAACCGAATGATATGCCCGCCTTGGCCAACGAACGACGTAGATCGGGTACAACTTCAGCTTCGGGTCTCTGATCCCGAGAGGCTTGGCTGCTTTTGGGTCGTTCTTAATTTTCTTCGCTTTGTCCTGTTTTCTTATTTATATCTGCGTTCCTCTTCCCTGTCCCGGCAATCGGTACTTCATCTCTAGACTTGGCGCGGACAACACCCTACTTTCTGACCTCATTATACCCCTACATGTTGTTTCAATATACCGATTAATTCCACGACCTTAGTTTTGAACCCATCCATTGCAAAATGGATCCTCCCACAGACCAGGAGGACAAACGGTCCAGCACCTACAGCGAACGACCCCAGCCTCGCGACGAAGAAGCCGCTATCTCCCACCAACCCACCAAAGAAGAAGCCACCAAGGAGCGTGCCTCCCTGTACCGTTCGACCACGCACGTATTCCCTGAGACAGATCTTGACCGCGGCATTGTAGGCTGGGACGGTCAAGATGACCCCGCCAACCCGCAGAACTTCTCCGACGCCAAGAAATGGAGCCTCCTCGCGCTCATCAGCGCCTTCACGTTCGTCTCGCCCTTGGCGTCCAGTATGTTCTCGCCGGCGGCTGAATACGTGGCCATGGACCTAGGAGTGAGAGATGAGATGTTGCTGTCGTTTAGTATCAGTATCTATCTACTGGGTTATGCGGTACGTCCTTGAGCAAACGGACCAGCATGCACACAAAAGAAAGGAATAAGTCACTAACATATGCCAACACAGTTCGGGCCCCTTCTCCTTGCCCCCCTGAGTGAAATCTATGGCCGTCGCATCGTCCTCTCAGTCGCCAACTGGTTCTTCGCTGTCTGGCAGATCGGCTGCGCCCTAGCGCCCAACATGGCCAGCTTGATCGTCTTCCGGCTCCTCGCCGGCATCGGCGGATCCGCCTGCATCACGCTCGGCGCCGGCGTCATCGCCGACTTGTTCCCCGTCGAGAAGCGCGGCACTGCCACCTCCATCTGGGGCGTGGGGCCCCTCCTTGGGCCCGTCGTGGGCCCCATCGCCGGCGGCTTCCTCGGCGAGGCCGTCAGCTGGCGGTGGATCTTCTGGGTGATCCTCATCGCAGGCGGAGTGACGCAGGCGGCCATCGAGGTGCTAAACCGCGAGACGTACGCGTCGGTGCTCATCCGGTGGAAGACGCAGCGACTGAGTCGCGAGCTGGGGCGGACGGACCTGCGCAGTGCCTACGAGCTCGATCGCGAGGAGTCCACCCCGCCGGGCCAGGTCCTCTGGCATGGTCTGAAGCGCCCGATGATGCTGCTGTTCAAGTCGCCGATCGTGTTCCTGCTGTCGACGTACATGGCGCTCGTCTACGGGCTGCTGTACCTGTTCTTCACGACCATCCCGTCCGTCTTCCGCCAGCGGTACGGCTTCTCAGCGGGCCTCGCAGGCCTAGCCTACCTAGGGATCGGAATCGGGTTCATGGTCGGCCTCGGCACAGTGGCATTCACCAGCGACCGCCTGGTCGTGAAGCTGACGGCGCGCAACGGCGGCAAGTTCAACCCCGAGATGCGTCTCCCCGCGATGATCATCTTTGCCTGCATTCTCCCCATCAGCTTCTTCTGGTATGGATGGACGGTTGAGAAGAACGCTCACTGGGCCGCCCCCATCGTCGGCATGTTCCCCTTCGGCGTCGGCATGATGGGCGTGTACCTGCCTATCCAGACCTACATCATCGACTCTTACCCTGGATACGCGGCGTCAGCTAACGCGGCGCTGACGACGACGCGATCGCTCGTCGGCGCGCTACTCCCGCTCGCGGGCCCGAGGATGTTTGGCGACCTTGGGATCGGCTGGGGTAACTCGCTTTTAGGGTTCTTGGCGGTGGCATTCATTCCGATTCCGATTATCTTCATTAGGTATGGGAAGGTCATCCGCGAAAAGTTTCCGGTTGACTTGAGTGGATAGACTGCCTGTTGCTTAGGCCAGAAATAATGTGGTGGAAGCATATAGACTTTGTACATAATGTAATATCGCAAGCGTAATGACACCAATGATTTCACTACGATATATATAATAGAAGATCCAATAGGAGTAAGTTTGCGACGTTGCACGCATACTTTGCGATGAGCCATCACCCTCCCAGACTATACTTTGCTACAATTGCCTGACCAACAACTCACACATATTAAGCATAAGCCTGGATAAGTTTATGCTAAATGTTACACCTACCCAAAGGCAAAGCATATAAATCATACAGCCTGCACAATCTTCAACCCTCTGAACCAAGAAAATACATCAAAAATATGTATAAAACTATAAATAAGGTATATACAAGCCAGGCACCCTCACGCACCGCGCGATAAGATTACCCATCCAAGGGTTACAAACTCCCAGATATCAAACTCCCCAAGCCTAAGCAGTGAAACGGATAACGTAAGGGCAGGGGGTATCGCTGAACCCGCTGATGCTGTTCTCCTGCACCTGGTTGACGTTGTCGTTGGGTGCGTTCCACATGCGGTCGCCCGAGTCCCTGCCTTTATTAGCATTGTCTACAGTACCTGGATAGGAAGGAGAGGAGGGAAAGGGAAAAACTAACATCATCAGACCGACGTGGTGGATGGAGCTGGGGTCGTTGTCGCAGTCGCACGAGCCGCCGAAGAAGACGGCGTCGCCGGGAAGGCGCTCCTCGTAGGGATATTTCCTGTATTATGTTGATTAGAATCACTCATGTCATATCGGAGGTAAGAAAGCAATGAGGAACATACTTGTAGCCCAGAGTCTCCTCGCTGGCACAGTACATGGACGAGGTAACGCGCAGACCCTCGGTGAACAGATCGCGGCCGGTCACCTGGCACACGGCCCAGCAGACCAGGCCGGAGCAGTCGTAGCCAGTGTCACCGTACTGGTAGGGAGGCTGGTCCGCGGACGGGCCGTCGCAGGAGCCGCCGCCCCAGGCGTAGGGCGTGCCTTCGGCAGTCTGGGCCGTGGCGAGGATCTGATCGCCGACGGTGGCGCGGGAGAAGAGGGAGCGGGCGGAGGCGGAGCCCAGAGTGGCCAGGAGGGTGACGGCGGTGGTGGTCTTCATTTTGTTGGTGGTGCTGGAGAATTGTATTAGAATTAGAGTGTTGGATTGAGAGGATTGAAGTGGGATGGGGTTTGTTATCTTATATGCATGTTGGAGGTGGTGGTGTGGTTGTCGATCGTCATTAGCTGAAACAGCGATAAGATTGCACCTTGTTTGCAATGCATCTATTTCGGACACGAGATGGGTCCGTCGTGTGGGGAAAGTGTCATTCTCCCATACGCCACAAGCCTCGGATAGATAGCGCAGTCCTTCATGGCCTTTTGGGCATGGTGATACCCATGTCTCCACGTTCTCCTGCCCTGACAGACTGAGGTTGCAGAATACGAGTAGCCAAGAGTCCTTGCCGGGAAATGGGTGTCCCAACCTGGTAAAGGCCTAGTCGATCTCCGCCGTATTCCGCCTATTTATAGTCTGGGCCCGTGTAGGGTGGTATACATTGTATGGGATTGTGGACTTTGGTCGCCAGAGCAGGGATATTGGTGTTGCATGCATGGAAATCACAACAGGGATGGGGATGGGGGTGGGTCTTATTGTATGGATCTGTGATAGTGGTCCCTGTTTTGTCGGATCCACCAGAGCCCTACCCTTCTTTACCTTCTGAGTGGCGTATTTCAGATAGGTCTTGGCCGTTGTTATGTTGACTGAATATTGTCCTGCTTGTTTCTCAATATCTGTAGGGTTGTCTAGACTAAGTGAAAGTACTTGATTAAGTATTTACTTGATCTTATAAAGTATATCTTGTAGCGTCCATATTTTTAAATTGACTTGGACTACTTAGTTATGAACATATATCTAATTCCTTAACTTATATCTTCTATCGTGTATATTAAGATTTACTTTGAACAAAGACCATACTAGGTATCGGCAGCTCACGGTTGATAATGATGGACATTGTTGACTCCACTATGCAATATATCCCTGCCTTGACTAATCACGTATGCCAAGAGCTGTACATAAACAGAAAGCCATGCGAATCCTTGACGTTGCAATAGATAAGGAGGTGCTACCACTCTGCTACAATAGACACCATAAGACTCTTGGCTCTCGCAGGTAACCTTGTATCCAACGCGACACTTGATCGTCGTTTTACCGTATCTCTAGGGTGCCAGGGTACCGTTAGCAAAACCACCGAATCTCGCTACATGGTACCCCGAAGCCCCAAGAGGCCTGATAGAGGAGTACTCTGGTATAGTAGACAGCGTCTGCTGAGGTCAATTTAGAAGAGAAGGCCTCGGCGCATCTGTTTATTGTCTCCTGAGTCGCCCATCATATTTCTCTCCATTAACCCCTATTCAACGAGCAGTGCTGGATCTGTACACTAACTACTACGGTGTATACCCAGATACTTCTGTCGAGCAGGGAATATACTGTTCTATGCAAGAATATGGTCCCATTGCGTTGAGTTGACCAGCATATGACCGCCGGTATCTGTGCATAACTGCCCAGTGTCCATGCATAGCATTCATGCCTTTGCCTTGTAGTTGCTTCTAAACCACTTCTCGGCTGTCGTCAACTGAGCCTCTGATTCGCTTTTCCCCCGAGCTAAAGTAGCAGCTCCTTTGAGAGTCGCCGCGATATCAGTTGTTCCTGGCAAGTCTCCAAAATATTTCCCATCTGTTGCCTGGCCAAACCGAAAAAGCTCTCGGTGGTCATCTAGTTCGCTAACCCCAGGAGCCAACGTCTCCCCCGCAGGTATAGGAACATATCGAGCTTTTTCGCCGGTGACTAGTAACCGAAGAGATTAAATCAGCAGAAGGAACCAATAGACACATCCTCACCAGAGATCAAGATCGTTACACACCTTTTTCGAAAGCTCGCGCAAATTCATCCCACGACAGAATTTCACTGATGGCGGGAACAGGCCGTTGATGATACTTTTTCGGATCCAAAAACATTCCATGAACAAGATCACCGAAATCATCATCTATGCATATCCATGGAATCCCAGTGCCGCGCGTCTTACCCCACAGCGGCATATAAAGAGTCTTGTACCCCTCTGCATCCGCGTAAAATGGGAAACCGCCCATGACTTGGGCGACTTCCTCATTGAGATAGTTCTCCATGTACCAGCCGGCGTGAATGGAGCCTACAGTGGAGAAGTGCCCCGACGCGACAGCGTATTTTTCGATACGACTCTTCTCTATGGGATAGTGATAAGTAGGGATAGTACTACCGACTTGTGCGGTGCAGTGGGCCTACCATCCATTGATTTCATGGGTATTGCACCACCGGTGTATTCCCTGGTGGAGACGAAGGAGCTGTACACCAGATTCTTGACATCAGCAGCAATCAGCGCGTCAACTATCGTCTTTCCCAGATCAAATTCCGTGGGACCTTGTTTGTCCAGAAACATCTAAAATGCATAAGTAACCATATAACTTCCAAGATTGACTTAGAGTAACATCCCAAACATACAGGGTCGTCAGAATTCGTATTGACGAATGCACCCCACGAGCCCTTGAAGGCATCCGTAATCTCATCTTTGTTCCACCCGTTCGCCTTCACAATAGTAGCGCCAAGACGCTCAAGCTCCTGTGCACGCGGAGATTCGGGATCCCTGCTTATCGCTCGCACTTGGAAGTCCTTGTTCTGAAGTAAAGACTGAGCTACCGAGCCTCCCTGTGTGCCAGTGGCACCGAATATGGTAACTATTTTGGGGGATCTTGTCATATTGACAAAGATATCGAAAAGCCGAGGTTGCAGACGACTTCTATTGTGATTGGGGGGGGGTGAAGAAGGAGGTGATTATGCACTTCTTTATTGAAGCCACCCTAGTCCTCGACTTCGCAGGAAAGGTGTGATATACACAGTTCAGACTAGTTGAATGTGCAATGCCACAGGAATGAAAAAAAAAAGGGATATTAACCGGGTTAGTGAGCGATGCAAGGGTCGGTGACTGGCGGTCTGGGCCTGGAGTTGGTATGCATGTGCTGTTAATCCCCACCCTACGCGAGACCATAAGACCCCTTTTGTGGTACCGATGTAAGCAGTACACTGCCCTAATGCGGTGTATCTCGCTTCGAAACTAATCATATCAAGTCTGACGAAATACCGATTCCTATTTTGGTGCGGTGGCTGTCATGTAAGGTCAAACTAAGACAGCATGAAGCCTAGCAGAAGCAAGGAGAAGTCATGGCGTCATGATAGCGTCTTAAGATTAAGCTAGGGCCAACTCGAGAGCCTTTGGTCTATTTATCCTTTGCCTCTCTACCGTTGAGCTACGGAACAGACATCGCTTTTCGGGAAAATTGATTTGACATTCAAGGTGTCAGAGCTTTTTGGTCGACGGTTACAGAGCATAGGCGTTGTCATTTCAACTGTCACATTCACTGCAGAGTATTATAAAACTGTCAAACATAAAATATACCAGCCTGACACCTAAAGACCCATTCTAACCCCCGAAAATTGGCTTGTCGACTCCTTTCCAGACGGCCATATATCGACAACCCCGTTGAAAGTTGCCTTGGCCAGGCTTTGTGTTGTCGACCAGTTTTTTAACTCGATACATAGTTTGCCATTGGTTCCAGATCTAGAATCCACCCTCCCAATATGTAAGTAGACCGCGTCTGCTGCGGGAGCCGAATCTTCAGGCCCTACCGCATCCACGAGTGCAAGGTTATATTGACTTTGATGTTGTATATACCGTCTGCAAATGTATTTGTCGAATGTCAGAATAGGAACTTCTGGCCTATCCCAGTGGGCAGTACCCGTATTAAGCTCCCATCCGATGAGATTTATGGCAGGCTCTCCAGGAGGTCTATTTTGAAATACATCCCGAGCGGGAACAGATTACCATCCGATATAACCTCGGGCCATGTAGTCTGTCGTAAAACATCTGGAAGCGCGGGAGTGATAAACAGCTGCCACTGGTGTCTTTCTAGCAGCGGTTTGGAGAAGCGTAATCTTGCCTCCTCGTAGCTAATATTCGTGTACGCAACGTCCACACCCTTGAGATCTAATGCGCCGACCAGGGCCTAGTAATTATCTAGTGGATCTTCCAGAGAGGACGAATAGTGCCAGTTCGCTGGTATAGGCAACAATACCGGTCTTGATAAGTTTTTCTAGATGCTCTTTCGTCTTCAACAAAAGCTGAGGCGATTTTTAAAGGATCTCTCTAGGATAGAGTTTTGAGCTGGTTGCTCATTGATGTGCAGCAACGCGTTTGCGATGTCGCCTGCGATCAATGTAGCTCCGCGGGTTATCTCCTGCACGGTGGCACGCATATTGAGATTGATCGTGTCGTCGAGGAGTTCACCTTCCTTGTAGTCCATGAGCGGGTTTTTTTTTGAGGACACCTGCCTGGAGAGTCCAGATAGATGTAAGCCACGGCTCGAAGCTCTGGCTGTGTTTAATGAGATTGAGAACGGTGTCGCAAAATTGTTCAAGTTCAAGGCCCTTTAGAGGCCTGCTCTCCAATAACAACAGAGATTTGATGTGCGAGGAGCCATACCACGCGGTGTCGTGGAGCCAAACAATACTCTTCTTTGCTTGATGGTAGATATTCCTAGTATATCATGTCTGTCAGCTGATGATTGGACTACACAAGGAAAGTACCCACATTTGCTTGCCTATCTCCTCTCCTGCTGCTTGCGTGTAGTCAGAATTTTTTGGGTTCTGAGGACCGCACATCCAATCCTACCAGACATATTTGACGTGCATTGTCTTGACTGCGGCGATCATACGCTCCAAGGTAATGTTGAGGCTTCTGCTGTTGTCCGTCTGTTTGAGTTTCGGGACATCCGAAACGACACTGCGCGGAAGAAAGTTTCCTATCAACACTATTGGTCCCATCTCGATACAGCCCCCAAGTATAGGATATGATTCCATAGCCTTGCTTTTCAACGGCTTCCCTGGTATTCTGATACTCACATAGGGCCCAGTTGTTGAAGTCTAACTTGCCCATCTGCCGCCACTTTTGAGAATGTATGTTAAAGCTGGAAAACACCTATAAAAGGTCGGCGCTCATGCTCGTCAATGAGGTGAGTAGTTCCTCAAAAAAGCCAAATATAAAGTATTTTAGTTCAACCCCAGTTTTACAACGAAAGGATATGTGAAATATTAAGGAAGGGTCAGAGGCGTCCTGCAATATTATAGGAAAAGTAAGGTATCTCCTCCCTTTTCAGCGCCGCTCAACGTAGTTTAATCCACACTTAGCAAATTATATCCTCTCATTGTTTAAAACCCCTCGCCACATATTCCAGATCATGAACCACCCTTGAGTCCAATAACTTCTCATATCAGTATCGCTCCATAATGAGCCGCGTCTTTAGCACGTCTTCCGGTAGAAACCAACCCTTATTTTGCAGAAAGTCGGCTAAGCGGCCCAGCTCAAGTGAGGCTGTCGTGTGGCTCTTCGTCTTGAAAGACGCCTCGACAATGTACTCAATTCCTGTTCCCCCGAAGTTGAGGAGGGGCCAGACCTCAATATATAGCTTCATGTTCTTCCACTTGCCAGTAAAGCGCCTCGCAAGGACCGGGCCAAAAACTCGTGATACCGATAACGCCCTGGTGCCCCATTCTATGTGCTTCCAGTTGTCGAACTTATCTGGCGCTTCATCGATCAACATCTGACGCGACTTACTCGTCCCTGGCAAACCCATCCCATCATTCTCAGATTTCGATACGGTTTTTTTGCGGCTTATGGAGAGTGTCTGGTTCCGGTAACCCCATTCAACCTGCGCCTCGTACTTCGCGTCACCAGCGTTGAAACCATCCCCATTAGCCGCAGTAAGCGCAGCGTTGATGTCACCGCCCGTGATGGCATACCGCTTCTTATATGTCAGCTCGAAATCGTCCTCGTTCTCCGTCTTGCGGATACGTGGGCTCCAGCCGGCGGCATAGATCTTCTTGCAATTCATATCAAGGAACTGGACATTTAACTTAGTGTCGGCCGCGAGCATATCGAAGGTAGATAGCACATTTTCTGCTAGTCTGTGGTCGGGGCCAAGAACCTCGGTTGGGTTGAGCCGGAGTCTAACCTCGTATTCGGGCTCCATGTTTGGCACTGTGTCCTTGAGGGAGATAAGGTTGGCGGCCATGGCAAAACAGCTAATGCGGAGAGAGGTATAGAGTAAATTGAAGTTTGGGCAGGGCTAAGATAAAGGGGCGAGGGTAATAGAGCAGCAGTAATGGCAAGGGAGGTCAAGTTGGCACGATAATAATCACTCGTAACAGGCCGCCAGAAGCACTGTTGCCAAGTATAGTTAGGGGTGGATATTGGTTAATTTTGATTCTTAATCGTCAGCAATCAGCGCATCACATGTCTGATTTCAAATATAAATGCGTTAAATATAAACCGATAATAGACCTATCCCCAAAAGCGACTTCTGGTTACGCAAATATTCGAACCGCATCCTTCATGATGGAATGAAGGTGTAAGCCAGTTTGAGTTTGGCATCGATCTAGTGACATCCCGGGTCCTTCTACAAGGAACCAAGAAACTCTAAATGCTGCGCTCATTACCCTGACTCCGCGCAATTGCCATAGATTGACTACATGTACGATAGCAAAAGGGTTGTGTGGATATCCTACCCGTATCAAAACGGGCGTGTTAGTTAACGTGAAATCTTGCCTGGTCATCCGCCACACGAGTGTCAAAGAAACTTAAAAACCTTTCCTTAACCAGTGAGGTCATCTAAAAACTCTAGAATTGAGGTTCCTCGCGAAACAACCAAAGTTAGTACAAGGTTACAGGTTCGGATGATCGACGTTCGTCATGTGGCGTACCCGACACTGGGGGTGGTCATCCGTTTTGGGCACTCGTTTTTTTCTTTCTTTTTTTAGATACTACGAGGGGGAAAAGGCTGATCACACTGTTTCTTTGTTATGAAATATTCGTATTTCAGCCAGCGTAACTGAATTCGTAATCCTAAGGGCATTGAATTGGCTGCTGTTCGAGGGCTCGTTACAATATTGTTCCGAAAGGTATCGTTATTGTCCATGGCTTGTCTATATTGAACTATTACAACCCGTGTAGCTGAATTGGCTCTGCTAAGGGAGCATAATACAACCGCGCCAACAACATTCTATTCATTTTTGGTGGAAGCGTGTTCCGCTGCGTATCGTATGTCCTTCTATTTACGGGTTGGACTTACGGCGTGCTAGTATACAATTGGGTGGCTATTCCAAGCCGGTTTACTTTGAACCATAAAAATCGGTTTTTGGAACACTAAAACCAGTTACCGCCGTTAGCAGTGAGGTCAAATTCTACGCGTTGTTTTTTAGCAATATACGAAGTCTAGAGGGATCGATCTGACGTCGTATTAAATTCTACGCGTTAGTTTTTGGCAATATAGGAAGTCTAGAGGGATCGATCTGA